TGCTGTTTCAATACTTGCAGAAGCAGAAGTTGGATATTCACCACCAACACCACAACCCAAAATACCTCTTCCAATAAAAAAACATCCAAAATAAACGTTGTTCAGTGGATCCAGAAGCACAAGCACAAACAATAGCACCAACAATAATGAATACAGTGGTATAAATGAAAGCTTGTTTTCTACCCACACGATCTGTAATAAACCCAAAAGCAATTTGACCAATTATATTAGCCACCAAGATAGAATTAGAAACCATTGTTTTGTATTTGGTAGTATAGCCTTTAAAAGATTTTGATAAAACAGCATTAGCCATGGTCATAACACCCTGTTGATATCCATCACTCAAGAATGCAGCACCACAAGTAAAGATACCACCTAGTCTCTTGAAGATCCCTTCTTTTGGGGCATCACCTTCTTGAGCCTCATTATCTCAGAAGAATTACTTTTCTGAATTTCTGTAGACTTCATATTCAACGTTTTGAATGTTGTCAGTTTTTAAAGTCATTTGTGAAAAATCTTCGCGAATGTGTTCTGTGATGGAGAATCAAGACCGTTTCACGAGATTTAAAAGTTGACGGGCTATCTGTGTCTTTTATACACTTGAAGGGTATGGATGAGCTTGACTGGCTTTAAGGAGATTGCCTTTTCAAGAAGATCATATATCTCTATCGCTGCTTATTCAATTATGATCAACGTGTGCTATGATTTATTATGGCGCGTATTAAACGATAAATCTGTCGTTTAATGTTGAGCTTTTTTCAAGCAAATATTTTGTACATATGCTAATCATGCGCAAGTTATACTACAAGATTAGCAAGAAGCGAAAGTGAAGATGTTCCATGTTTCATTTTGCACATTGCACGGCTGGTGTTCAGCTCACTCAATAGTAAATAGTAAATACTAATTGATTAGGCAAATTCGCGGGTATAAAAGCGCGAATTATGTGACATTTTTTTTTTTTTGGTTGACAGATCTGATCGTTAAACGAAATCATTGAAAACGTGTTTAGTGACGGTAGGAAGGTTACAATGCTACAGTACTACAGTACGGATATGGTACGGTATCAGATTATAAGTGCAATCCTACGCCAGACTAAAATACCTTTGATTGTTCACATTGAATCATCAGCTTAGACGGACCCTCCAAGAACCAGTATCAACAATGACAATTTCAACCTATTGTGAATTGAAGAAAAGTCTTGTATCTACAAATGAAGTGGCTTAATGCCGGAACAACATCAATGTGGCGCTTATATGGTGTTCAGTGCTCACATTGTTTACTGCCTTGGGTGGAAGACCCCTGGTGGTGTTGACTCTAATTGGCTTCTCGTCTGACAATAACCTCAACGTTTATTTGATGAATCTATGAAGAAATTGAAATCTAACATCTTTTCCTTCTTTGTTCCACTGGTTCCATCCAATTGATGCACTCAAGAAGCTACTCAATTCAATCATGGTTGTCATACTATGCTATTTGTATTATTTCAAGAGTTTCGTATCTAATTCTGAGTTGATTAATCTCAACTTTGATCTTTTGTCGAGGCAGGTTCTGGTTTTACCAGAGATAATTTTATTCTTTCCTTTAACAGTTTCATTCAAACCGGTTTCAACAAGTACACCTTTAATCATGGTGTTGCATCTGGTGATCCTACATATTTGGATTCGATCATTGTTTGATTACTCCTAATGTGCATTTAAAAGAAGCAGGATTAGTTCCAGTGGAATCTTCAATAGCAGAGGATCAAAAGCTTGCCAAGATTTTAGCCAAAGGTATCAGTTTTGCAAATGGACTATACCGTAAAGTTGGACACCACTGCGTCAACTGCAAATAATACTTATTATCACCAGTTCAATACTCTTGGTGATGTTAGTGTTGAATCTGAAGTTGGAGAAACCAAATCTCTCAGTGGCTCTTGGTTTGAGATGATCATGAAGTTACTGATAATTCATGGCTAAAAGGGTATTGTTGAAATAAGAGGTTATAAATTTTTGAAAAGACTTGATGAAACAACCCAGGCATATTTTGAATGGTTTCCAATTAGACCACAAATAAAAATCTGGAGAAACTTTGAATTTGGTAAATTATTTCAAGTTTATATGTCAAGACATTATTCTCGTGATATAACAAATTATTATCATAATCAAGAAATGGTTGAAAGATTGGTCAATTTAGAAGACCGTACCATGCTAGGAGATCAAAAAGAATGGCTAGAAAAAAGATTATTAGATAATGATACGGTTTCGAATTTCATTGCAAGTCAATGTGTTGTCAGAGATATTGATTTCACATCACCAGAAACTGGTGGATTATTATTCCCATTTGAAGAGTTCAATCAAGATGCTTGGGATGGTTGTATTTTCAATTGAAATATAAGATTGAACTTTATCAAGGACATTAAATACCAATATTCTGAGTGGTGATTTCCATATTGCAATCACTAGTGAATGTCTTTACCAGATGTAAAGTTGAGACTGGTGAAGGTACAGTTGTTGTTGAGTTCACCACAAGTGCGGATAGCTTACCGACCACTTTCTCAAAGCATTTTGATGAGTCCCAAAGTCTTCAGATGTTAAGATATTGGTTGAAAATAGAAATTTAATTTGGAATGATGGGTTATAGAGAGGTTATATTGAATTATGCACTGGAATGGAAAATGTAACTACTGATTATTATGGGTTGATATCAAAGATGTTAGTTTCGAGCACGAAATTATGGTACATTTCATTGTTAAGAATCATATCAGTCGTGTCGATAGAGAACGAATTGAAACCAACAGTGAGGCCTTGAATGACAAACTGTAAATAGATTATAAAATTATTGATTTAGGACCTTCTCGTGCAAGACCCGGTCTATCTATGCCATCTAGCTAAGTTGATATTGTAATCATGTCAAATACCTTCAGATTATTTAATGCAACTAGGAATTGCTACTATTTTAGTTTAATTATGATGCTGTTCATTGATGATGGGCTTCTTGAGTACCACTACACGTTTCTTGGTTAGTTCCAGGGTGACTCTGGCAAACACCTTATTAACTTCAACGGTCACTATTGCCTGTTATGCTACTTCAACAAGAACCATTGTTGAAGTCGCGCCTATTAACCACAGCACAAATATCACGTTGTGTACATCACACTTATACAATAGTCTATGACTTCAAGATACAGCATGTTATACACACAACTTTGATTAATAGCCAGTAATGGCAGGGAGCATCCAGCCCGAAAGAGGATACGATTTTCAGTTAGAAAGATTATAAAAGGAGAATGGGATCCCATGTAAATGTAAATTAGATTATTTTAATAGACAACTGGTTTTTAGAGTAAAACTTTGTAGAAAAGGAACTCGTGAATCCTCAACAACCTTCGCTAGCGATCCAGGAGGAAAAACAACACATCATTGAAAAACGTTATTCTCTATAGTTATCAATGTGACTTTCAGTAAAATTAAGATTACGATTCGATGATTTAAAACCTGTGTTTGTTAGGTTGATGTAGCTAGTCACGGTATAGATCTATAAGGGCTAAATCGTTAAGAACTCTTGCAGCATGATGTTATAACTATTGAGGTCGAAAAAATGAAGTATATATTTTTGATAGAATCCGCCATTAGCCTATAACCTATAACTTGAATATGAGGGCAGAAAACAAAAAGTGCATGCACTATCAATATCTCCTCATAATTACATGATCATCATCGCAATATTATAGAGCCATATTGTTCAATATCTAATCTATCATGGGTTTTAGAACAGTTCAGTGATGTGTCAAATTCCATGCCGATGAAACATCCATCAACATAAATTATTCAAAGTATTGATTCTGTCAAATCAAATAAAGAATGGCAAAGGACCAATGGGTATTATAGTTGAATACTTGAGCCAATGAGGTAAAGCTAATACCTCAATACCAGTCAAGTCCAATCCAACTCATCAGGACCGCGAATTTGTTTTCAATAATAAAACAACATTAAAATCCATCATGGGCTTCATTAGCATAACTAAAACCAAGAGATGACAAGCTCAGGAGTTGGTGTCATAAAGAAGAGAACCAAGTATAGCAAAAATGGCTGCCAAGAATGTAAAAGAATGAAGGTTAAAGTGAGTTGTTTTTACGCACAGTTTAAGAACTAGAATTAACATTCAGTGTGATGAAATGAAGCCAATATGTACAAGATGCTCAAAGACTTCCAAACAATGTCTATATATACCATCAAATCCAAAAAAGTCTGCAGCGAATTCAAAGGAGAGAACACCAATGGAAAACCTACCAGTGGATCCAGCAATACCCGATTCTGTCTCTTCAAAATCTTCGTATAACAGCTCACCCTTAAGCCTTGATAGTTTCAATAAACTACAAAATAACTTCACAAAATATGACTTCATAGAGATGATTAATGAAGATATTACATCCAAATTTGACAAAGCAATAGATTCTTCACTAAAAAATATACGGTTTGATGAAAATAATTCAAGTTCAAATTTGATTAATCAATTAGATGAAAACATACTCAACAATTTAGAGGTACTGGACGGTGAAAACTCTTCAAGTCAAGATTTTGTAACAACAGATACAATTTACCAAATCCCGTTGAATCTATTCAATCCACTTCAAGATCTTCAACACAAGTTTTATTTGGAAGTTTTTTACAAAGAATTTTCACAAGTCATTTTACCAATGGAACCAAAGCCAAACTTGAACCCAATTAGGGATATATTGTTGCAACATTGTTTCAGAAAGAATTATCTGTTTTATGCAATCTTAGCAACAGGTGCCAGATTCTCTTTCAATAAACGGTTGTTAGAGGATGATCAAAAGAATTATTCCATTTTCATGAAGAAAACGCTTCAGATGCTTGATGATTTGGTTTATGTCAAAGATTTCATCCCAAGTGATGAGAGTTCCAAAGCTGAAATGACTAAAACTGTTGAAAACTTGCTATTGACAATATTAATATTAACATCTGATAATGCTTCAAGTATGAAACAAAGTTGGAGAGGTCATTTGAAAGGAGCAAAAGATTTATTGCATAAAATCTTTATTTTGAAACGCTTCAATCATAATTCTAAAATTCTCATTTTTTGCAAGCTTTGGTTCACATCTTTTGAAGTTTTAGCTTGTTTAACAGCCCCTAGAGGTGGAACTATTAGTAGTGAATTGGAGAGAAAACATTTGATTTTTGATGGTTCAAATATGGATGAACTAAAGGTACTCCAAAACTTGAAATTAATTACAAGGGAAGGATTCAACCTAGTACTTGGATATCATGATAGTATTCTATCTCCAGTTGTCGGATTAATTGATATTATGAAGCTATCCAATGAGTCAAGTGACATTCAAGATATTGAGCATATTACCAACACAACGTTACATTTGATTTCGGAATTCAAGACCAATCAGCATTTATCCATGCTGAATCATATTCCACCTTCGGCAATTTCAACATATCGAAACTCTTCTACAGGTGACGTTCGAACAATTTCATGGTATGATATTTGTCATGAATCGCATGTTGATGCTAGCTTAATTACAATCATTATAAGGTTATTTTCTGCTCCTAAAACAAACCATATTATTCAGGGATTGGTGAAAAAGATATTATCAAGATTGCAAGTTTTGGGTGGTGATTATCAGTGCTTGCACACCGGTGATGATGGCTTGTTGACTCATGATAATCGGAAACTTTTCAACTTAATGCTGTTGCAATGGCCCTTATTAGTGGCTGGCTTGAATAGCACGGATCCACAAGATAAAGTGGATGTGGAGAATTTATTCCGATTACTACAAGAGCTTGGTTCGGGATCTTCTATTTTTGTTCTTGATAAAATCAAGAGGTGTTGGAATAATGAGATGAATCATAATGAAGTTGATATTGTGACATACTAAAAGATTGCAAAATTCCGATTAGATCGCAAAATTTTAAATCATGTACTTCCATTGTCTATGTAGGATTTATAATCTGTTGGATTGCTTAAACGCGATCGGATTTGTCTCGTTTCAGAAGGTGATTGCACAGTTTTTAGATCTGATAAGCACAAATTCGCGCGAAACATCTGCTGCCAATCTGACCCGTGTCAAACATTTTTCTGAACTTCGGACTTTTTGACATCAGATAAACTTTGACTCAATCATGAGCTGTTTGATAACAGTCGGCAATATTGTTATCGTCAAAGCTGCATAGTTCGAGAGAGATGCTGATGTGTTTGTATATAAAACTCCAGAATGGCTTCCAGCAGCCCTCTGGTGGACAATTTATTAATCAAACATCATCATTATGGGTTTATCCAAAGAGTTTCTCAAGAAGCTTGAAGTTCCACATGAATCAGAAAAACATTTGAGTATTTTGCAAAATCCTGACTTGGAACCAATGCCTCCAAATAGAAGAACATGGGGGTTTTGGTCATATGCTGGTTATTGGGGTGTTTTGAATATAAGTATTTGGACTTTTTCAGTGGGGTCTAGTTTACTTTCATTGGGGTTAAATATACAACATGCTATGGCTGCGTTGACTATTGGTAATATATTGATTGTGCTTTACACTATTTTGAACTCTTACCCAGGTCAAGTATATCATATTGGTTTCACTGTCTGTCAGAGAATTGTGTTTGGTGTTTATGGATCAGGATTGGGTATTTTGATCAGAATCATCCTCTCAATAACATATTTCGGCTCCCAGGCATGGCTAGCAGGGTTATGTGTTACGGTTATGCTATCTTCAATAACACCAAATTACTTGAATATGGAGAACACTTTCCCTGAATCTGTTAAAATGTCTACACGTGATTTTGTGAGTTTCTTTATTGTTCAAATCATTTCCATTCCCTTTTTCTTGATCAAACCTGAAAAAATCAACATCTTTGTAAATGCATCATGTGTTATGGCATTGGCTGGAATGGTTGGTATGTTTGGATATATGGTTAAACTGAATGGAGGACCTGGGTCAATATATTATGAAAAGGTTACTCTGAGCAATTCTGAGTTTGGGTGGATGTATTTGATGGGGATTAATGTTTGGTATGGTGCTCTAAGTCCTGATATTTGCAATCAATCAGACTTTTCAAGATTTAGTTCAAGCAAACCAAAATTACAATGGGGGATATTTTGTGGTATTTTCTTCACTGAAATCATACCTTTGGCTGGCCTAATATGTGCTAGTATTAGTACAGACCTTTACGGAAAGCAGTATTGGCTACCAACAGATATATGCTTACAATGGCTAAATGATCATTACACCCCACGTACACGTTGTGCTTGTTTCTTTTTGGGTTTGTCATTTTTAACATCAGAACTGTCTCTTAATACATTAACAAATGGCTTTGCTGGTGGGATGGATTTAGCTGGTCTTTGTCCAAAATATATTAATATTACAAGGGGTTCCATTATCACTGCACTTTTAAGCTGGGTTGTACAACCATGGCTGTTTTATAACACTTCTTCAACATTCTTAGGAGTCATGAGTAGTTTTGGTGTTGTTGTCACACCAATTATTGCAATTATCGTTTCTGACTTCATGCTGGTTCGTGGAGGCAAATTGAAATTAAATGATCTTTATACAACGTCAAAGGATGGAAGTTTTTATCATACAGCTGGTGTTAATTGGAGAGCTGTGTTTGTTTTCTTTGCTTCTGTGGTGCCTGGTCTCCCAGGAATGGCTGCTTATGTCAACCCATCAATAAAGCTGAAAACTTCAATAATCAATTACTTTTATGGGTCCACTGTTTTTTCATTTTTTTGTCCACTGATATTGTATTATGTTCTTTCAGTTTACATTTTCCCAATAAAGGATAGAAAGATTGCTGCTGGTATTGATCTTTATAATGCTTTCACTCTTGATGAATATAAGAGGCTGAATTTGATACCATATGATGGAGTTAATCCTGAAGAAGTTATTGTGTTGGAAGATTTTACAAAGGATGACACTCATGGTGGAAACTCTACCAGTGATTCAACTAGTGGAATAGCAAGCTCAAAGGAGAAAATAAAGAGTGTTTTCAATGTTGTTTAGAGAAAGTTACTTTATATATCTTGTGGTCACTATTGTAGGTTTTTTTTTCTTGTCGTTCCTAAAAGAAATCTCATCAAGCACAGTTGTCAAAAGACCTGTCTACAAAAAGATTCCGTCACAGATATCGTCTATTCAATATTACGTTTCATTGATTCACTTAATATTTCTTGCCAATTGGATTTCAAAACGAAATAAGTTTCAGATATGGCAAGTGTGAATATACCAGTCCCTAATCCAATCCATAAACCGACCAATTTAAGATCTTTGACAAAAGCTAAATATAATGCCAACGGAACAGCAATCATGTAATAACAAGCAATATTCAAATTACTTCCAATTTTTTGACGACCCTGTCCTCTTAAACAACCAGCTGCAATAACGTTGATGCTATCGTAAAGTTGGTTAATTCCCAAAATTTTAATAACCGACACAGCTAAATGAATAACACTTAAATCATTAGTGAATAACGAAACAATCTGATACTTTGCGAGTACAATAGATGTGCAAATAATGGTTCCAAGGACCACTGAAAGAAGTAAAGACACCCTTATAGCTATTTCAGCATCTCTGGCTGATTGAGAACCAACAAATGTGGCTATTCTGGTGGATCCTGCTATACTGACACCGAAGGGGATTTGAAATGTTAAAGTAGCCATTGTTGATGCAATGGATTGTGCAGCTAAAGTTTCAGTACCAAATCTTGATGCACTTATTGTTAAAATTTCAAAGGCAAGAAATTCAGCTTCAACCATGATAACACCAGGAAGTGCTAGTGAGAACATTGGTCCCCAGTTTTGGAAACTTTCTTTCAACCTCAAACCGTTCCAACATTTTCTTCCGTCAATAAACACAACATAACATAGTAACAAAGCAGCCATTAAACAATAATTGAACGCAGTTGCCAATGGTGCTCCGGCAAACCCAATTCCAAATTTTGGATGCCAAACCAGTAAATAGTTCAAAAGGGCATTCAAAGGTGTGCAGATAAACAAAACATATTGTGCAGCTTGGAAAATACCTTGTGCTTGTAAAAATCTTTTACCAGTTTCAAATAAAATGTATCCAGGAGATCCAAATGAAATAATTCTCAAATAAAGTTGAGCCAGATCAGTCAGTTCTTTGTTCGGAACAAAACAGTTCAAAATACTACCTGAAAACCACCAAATTAAGTTAACTGGAATTGCAGCCACAAATATCATCAAAGTACATCTTTGAAAGTGTAAGCCAACCATCTCTAATTTTCCTGCACCATAAGCTTGAGAGCAAAAGGTGTCCAAGCATGTACTCATTCCATTAAAAATGCTGACTGTTATATTAAACGTCATGGTAGACAATGAAACTGCAGCAAGTTCTGTCTTTCCTATGTGACCAACTGAAAAGATTGAAACAACAGTTAGTGAATATTGAAGGAAAAATGTGATAATCATTGGAATTGAAGATTTCCCAATAACTTTGAATTCTTTAGAATAAGTTGTAGACGCATCTTTACCCACCATGGGAATAACAGCTTCTTCAGTGGAACCATAATCTCTTGAATCACTCCCTCCGTTCTGGATAAGTTGTTCATATTTTGAGCCAGACATCACCAAAAAAAATATATGTAGGGTTCTTGCCTTTCCATGAGCAAAGAAGGTGAAAGAGAGGAATCACATTATTATTTTAATCATTGGAAAGCTTAGTGATAATGACATCGTAGAAACAAACTTCAGATTGATATCAACATTCGCAATTTTTTTTTTTTGCGAACAAATTAATTTTCCGATGGATCGGAATTTTTCAAAATTGAAATCCCGATTTCAAAAAGCCGTAGAATTTGAGATTTTTTGGCAGTTGAATTGAAAATGAAAATATCATCGGAATCGCAACAAGTCAATTGTGGACAGATCATGGTTTCCGAAGAACGAAAGCTAGTTAGATATACAATCCAAAATGGTTATAAGAAGGGAGTGAATTCCTTTCAGGAACCCCATCAATTCAATGAAAAACTAACTACACTAAAATGCAACTTTCAGCTGGTGTTTTACAATCAATCGTCTTAGCTCTTTTTGCCTCTCAAGTATCAGGTTCAGCAATTCCAAATGCAGAACAATTAGTCTTGAACTGTGAAAAAGTTGAAAGCTCAAAAGACGTTCAATCCTCTTCTCTCGGTGGAGATAGATCGCATTTATCATTCCTTGATCGTTACTATGGTCCAATTTTAGATAATTTGGGAGTTCAACAAGTCGCTAGCGTTGGTGGTAAGCCAAAAAAATCACCTATTCCAGTTTCAGATGCTGCTTCATTGTTGCTTGTCAAAGATCAATATGACTATCCGGACAAGGATGATTTAAGAGATTTGAATGGCTCAGCTGTCTTGTATCGTGGTGGTGAGTTTGGTGGTGTGAACACTTTTGCACATTTACCTTATGTCGATGCTTTTTCCTCAGAATCCCTCGAGACTGAAAAATTTGACATTGCAGTTCTCGGTGCTCCATTTGATACAGGTGTCAGTTATAGACCAGGTGCTAGATTCGGACCAGATGGTGTTAGAGCAGGTTCTAGAAGATTGGCACCAGCATATTCAGTTTATGATGGGTTTGATCCATATGGTAATTGGGCTCGTGTCGTCGATGTTGGCTCAGTTCCAGTTACACCAATGGATAACCGTGTTGCACTTGATCAATTGTACAGAGCTGAAAGGGCTGTTGGTAAATACTCAACAACTGATAAGAATGCTTACAAGACACCAAAGATTTTCACCATTGGTGGTGATCATACCATCACCTTACCTGCTTTGAGAGGTGCTTTTGAAAATTGGGGTCAAATTGCAGTGATTCATTTTGACTCTCATTTGGATACTTGGGATCCATATTATTTTGGTGGTAATGTTACTGAGTATCAATCAATTAACCATGGTACTTATTTGCATTGGGCTCATGAAAAAGGTCTGTTAGCTCCTGATGCTTGTATTCATGCTGCTATTAGAGGTCCATACCCTGGTCCACAAGATGTGAAACATGATATTGATTGTGGATTTGATAGAATCTTGGCTCGTGATATTGATAAACTTGGTGCTGACGAGATCATTAAGAGAATCAAGGAGAGAGTTGGTGATTATCCAGTTTATATTTCTGTTGATGTTGATAGTATGGATCCTTCAACTGCTCCTGCTTCGGGTACTGTTGAGCCAGGTGGATGGACATCCAGGGAGCTCTTAACTGTTTTAGATGGTTTAGAAGGTCTAAAAGTTGTTGGTGGGGACGTTGTTGAGGTTTCTCCACCTTATGACACTGCTGCTGAAATCACATCCATTGTTGCAGCTCAAGTTGCTGATTCTATCATATCATTGATGATTATGGATTCCAATAGAGAAGCCAAAGAAGCTGGAAAAAACTAAATTTATGAAAAAAAAATTATGTTTTCAATGTTGTATGTAGACTCTGCCATTATCTCGGGTTTCTTTTATTTTTTCGGCTCTATCTTTAGCTACTGGAAACTGGGTGTGAAATATGTTGAAAGTCTAATCAACTTGCTAACCAGTACAAAATGAACTCTTTATCACGAAACTTTGGATGCTCCTTTGAAGATGCTTGCTGAACTATCAATATGTCTCCTTTTGAAGGTTTCTGGAAATATATCATAAGTGTTGTGTTAATAACAGGATTCATATGGACTTATAATCAAGCACCATTTTTGTTTGAAAACCCTAGATTTATAATTTCAAGCGATGATATTAAATACAATGACTACACTCCCTTCAATAGACCGATTTCTTTGGAAAATGCTTCTGCTGTTTTCAACTTGATCAATGGTGTTGCTGCTAATAAAGACCAAAACATATACCCGAATGGTGTTGCTTTTCTACCAGCATACATCTCAGAAGGAACCATGCTTTATCATGGTAACAACCATGGTGAGATACCAGCTGGTGTTGGTTGGACAGCTCTAGACTATGAGTTCAGCTATGCATTTATTGGGCTCACATCACACAAGAAACAACAAGCAAGTCAACTTCAACATGTCATTGAAGCTGAAGGATTATACCCTGGTGGAAGCCATAAACCTCCTGCAAAAGATCATAATACAATGTTAGCGTTTGAAGTTGTCAAGCCTTTGAATAAGCTAATATTCTTTGACGGTGCTAGTGGTGCTAAGGGATCAGGGGGTGAACTGGATACACAAATGATTCTGGGTAACGTTCCCAAAGGTGAAGATGAATCAGAATATAGCTTTGTTGAAAGCGTCTGTAAATGGGGTAGATCATGGGGGCTGGATGGACTTATTAGAGTTGAGACTGGATTTGAAGTTATAATATGTGATATGCATTCTCCAAAATTAAAATTATCTTCAAACACTACTTTAGAATGGTTTGAAAACTTATCAGGCATACCAAATGATAACACCAATGAGATTGAAAGCATATTGAATAAATTCAAACATACAGCTGCATATGATCAGAAGAAAATGGGAAACGCCCATGACAAACGAGATAGAAGAATTCTTATAGATTTTAAAGGTTTGTCTACTCCACTGAATAAGACATGGATACACACAGATCCTTATGAAAGAAGACTAATTGATATTCCACAGGTTTTGAAAGATGAGATGAGAAAGTCAATTGAAAATTATTTGAAATCGGATGGACATGCTGACCCCTTTTCAGGTACTGACTGGCAATTGGTTTCAAATGAAATTGTTGCCAAATTTTCGGATATTTTACAACTGCTCTCAATATATCTTGAACCTTTGGACTTTGAAAATTTGTCCGATTTTGATTTGATGCAGGTGGTTACTAATGTAACAGTACTTACTGGTAACTTTGTCAGGCGATTCAGTGAGTTTCAACTTGCAGATGATAAGTACAATCAAATGAGAGAGGCAAAGCTGAAAGCCGTTTATGAATATGCACATTTCCACGGTGGTTTGGCAACAGAATCGGAGATTCTTATCTGGTCATCGTTCATTAAAGTTACAGAAGCTCTTGTTGATATAATGTTTGGATTCTTTGATGTATCTAATAAGATGGTTGTCAGAAGTATTGTTGAGAAAAAACCATTGGGTGACTTAAAATCACAATTTCAATCCATCAAAATTCAGTTTATGGAATTATTTCAGCTACTCAATTGGTCTTCGTTTTATGATTGTGATCACAAGTGTGGGTTGGATAGTGTCTGTTTGACTCCTTTTGCTTTGAGAGGAGCAAGAAGATTCCCCAAGACACTTCAGTGTACATCCTATCTCTGATAATAAGCTTTTTTATTTGTCTTTGTAGCACTTAATAGTGGTCTCTCGGCCGAAACAAGAATACATAAGTACTTACCGAAAAAATGATACATCACAATGTAAACATGAAACCTGCGCAACAACAACAAAGAAAAAAACACGAAAAGCGCAATGATTCTGTTCTTTGTATCTCTAATTCAATAATAATTTGGTGTTAAGATTCAAACAGTACAAGAGTCATGGCTAATTTAACTCATTTTGATCAATTGGATACCAGCCCATATACCAACAGAGTTGACTTCGAGCATGAGCTAGACAGTGATATCACCATCAGAGGCACAGAAAATATAGAAAACATAAAGTACAGCACTGAATACAGTCGTGATCATTTAATGACCAGTCCTTTGGTTTCACAAACAAGAAAACACAGACCAGTTAGATTTGCAGATTCAAGTCCTAGAGCTCATTTTTCAACTAGTAATATTCAAAACCTTATAGATTTAGATGACTACTATGAGGATGAAGATGATGAAGATTACTATCCCACAAGCTCAGATGCTGATGAAACAGACGATGATTTTCCAATTGATGGTCTTGAGGAGTCACATGGTTTAATACAAAGAATTCAGCCTGACGTTACTACCATGGAAAAAGTTGTCATTCTGAGTACCTTCATTGGCACAGCACTTGGAATAGTTGTTGGTTATGTATTATTTCTATCGGAAAGTGAATAATATTAAGACGATATTCTATTATAAATCCAAAATAATGCCTCTATGGTGTAAGTTTGGCAGTTTCCTTTTTAGTCAAAACATAATCTCGCAATACACATAGTGTAAAGCAAAAGACACAGATTAAAGTTGAAACAATTTGGGCCTTTCTTATTGACGTTTCATAAGACGTACTTACTGTTTCTTTAATTGAATCTGGTAACTTTTGAATGTAGCTGATTGATCTCAAAACTTTGAAAATGACTTTATTGATTTCATCCTCATTCAAGTCTGAATTTTCAAAATTTCTAACCAGTTCATTTTTCAAAAAAAATTGAATGATTATAGAAATAGTTGCAACACCCCAAACATTACCAATTGATCTGAAAAGGTACAATGTTGATGTAGAGCTTGCTTGTAATCTTTTGGTGAAGTTTAAGATAAAGGTAAATAATAAGGCCGGATTTGACATACCTTGACCAGTGTTAGCTGCAATCAACAAAAAATTTAGCATTTTATCTGGGATTCTTGGAGATATAAAAAGTGCCAATAAATTACCAAAACCTATTAAGAAGACACCAAAATGAACAAGGTACACCAAATTACTGACATCTTTATTCATAAAATAAGCTGTGAGCAACGATCCAACGCTGGTAAACAAGGACGGAATACCCAATCTGAGACCAGCTTTTGAAGGGGAATCACCTAGAACAATTTGGAAAAGCAAAGGCAAAATGAAAATATAGGCAAAGTTTGCAAAACCTGTCAAAATTGAAATGAATAAAACTAAATAATTTGAAGTTCCATGGATTTGTTTGAAGGGGATGATTGGAATTTTCACCGTATTGAATTCGATTTTTATAAAAACAATCAAAATTACAAATGAAAGAATTGTCAAAGATACCGAAGATGTGTTTAATGCCAATAATTGAGAGGTCAACCCAACAACTAATAATATGGAGCCTTCTATGTCTATATCCTTTATACCCTTTTCATGATCAAATTCAGTTTGATTCTCGATATAGAATATCCCAAACAATAACCCAGTTAAACTTATTGGGACTTGAACTAAAAAGCAATATCTCCAGCCAATTTGCTCGGATATGAAACCACCAAGTGCAGCACCCAATATACTTCCAATACCCACTAGAATATTTTGAAAGCCTTGAAATAAACCTCTCTTTGCAGATGGTATTATATCAGAATTGATCACTGTAGCTAAAGTAACCAACCCACCACCACCAATACCTGTTATTGATCTTGCAAAAAATAGTTGAAATATGTTTTGAGACATCGAGCAGCCAATACAACCTAATGCAAAGATGGTGGTTGCAAAGAAATAGCAGACTCTTCTCCCAAAGATATCAGAGAATGATCCATAAAGAGGTTGGAAAGAAGTTGATGTAATCAAATATGAAGTTGTTATCCAGGAGCCTAGATTGACTGCATTAAACTCACTACCAATGATTGTATAAGTTGAAGCAGTAATTGTACCATCAAATGCTGCCAATAGAACATTCAAAAGCAAAGATACTTCAATTTGGAAAAGATTTTTAATTTTGAGAATAGATATATCGTGATCATCAGCTTCTTCTTCTTCAATTGTCTCTTCAAGATTTGAGCCCTCAATAGATTGATACAAACCATTATTTTCAGCATCAGAATTCAGTAAACGATCTTCATTTTGGTTTCTGTAAGCACGACGGTAGTCACTAACATCTTCACTAGCCAGTAATAACACAGACTCAGTAGTTGATAGTTTTCTATTTCCTGTCATTGTGTGTCACGACCTTTGTTCTTTTTGACCCATAAATTCAACGACATCGTGTCAGATATAACATCACAACTTTTAAACTTGACGTTGAAGTGCAGCCATCTATTTGTTGGAGCTTCGCGATGCACTAGCCACCAACATCATTGTGGCTCCCAATGAAGTGATCAGTGTAGAAGAGGCATCTTGTTTTTGAGAAGAAAATCGCGAAAACGCGAAACCTATGCTACAAAAAAAAAAAAAAATCTGCAACATTAACGATATTAATGCTAATACAACTGTTTTCAAAGATAGTTGTCCTTGAATGAACTGAACTTAACGAATTGAAATGAACATGTTTGATCAGAGTGTATTTCTCAAACTGTTGGAGCACCCGGCATAGGTGTTGCTTTGATGGTGATATAAGAATTTGTTGAATCAGCCACCCCAGCATAAATGATATAGAAGGCATTAAAAGTCGCCAGTAATCCAACAACACCTCCAGCTTTTATCATGGCTGTTGAATTGATAAAATATCCAATTGCTAAGAACATCAAGAACACCCAAACAAATAAAAACAAAATAAAGAAAGGCCAAGTTGATTTGAATGTACATAACCACAACATGAATGAAAAAATGACCCAGGCTGTTAAATAAAATGCCAAAGCATTCGTATATTCTTCGGTGGTTGCATATGATGAAGCAATTCCAAAAGAGTCTAATAAGATACCACCAAATCCTAACCAGAATCCACCATATGCACCTAGAGCAGTTGCAGCAAATGTATTTTCAATAACCAAGCAAAATAAACCTGCAATAAGTTCAATCACACCACCAAAGAAAAGAGCAGCACTTGCAATGATTTTTGGATTTGTTACACCTCTTGCTTGACAATTAACTAATGAAACAACAAAACAACAAATTGCAAAACCTGACAATCCTAAAGGAACTGGGTTACCTAATGGACGGAATGGAGTTTTATGAACACCAGGATTTAAATCACCAGCAAATGCATTAATTAATTCATTTTTGTGGAATGCATGATCACCTAAATATACAACATCACCATCATTGGATGTTGTAATTCTATGAATTGTTGAATTTTTTAAACTTGTTGTAAAAGTTTTTGGTTCCTCTTCAGTTGAAGAAGCCAATTCGGGATTTGAACCATGGTAGACGGTACCTTTTTCTAAGTCTTCTGGTAAAGTTGCCATTTTGTTAATTTGCAATGCGAGACGGGAACTTAAGGAATTAACAGCTGGAATTTAATCAAGTTGCAATTGAGCTTCAATTGATGAGTTTATATATTATTCACATCACTAGTATTCTTTTGAAAAGAGAGGGGGTGCTCTTTTGTTTAGTTTTGGAATGATCATTTCGATATGGCGTTATGGGTTATTCTGCTTCAATACTAACATCATCATCACCACCACCACCTTCGTTATTTGATAGATTTGGTATACTTTGCTTGAGAAAAAGTATAGACGTGTCTGTCCCTTTTTGGGTAATTCTCCAATCATTTTTTATGAAACCTGTCAAATCATCCCTGAAATAGCTTGAGTGAAAGGCTGGGTGCTCAACAAGTGTCATTATATGTTCTTCTTTGGCAATTACGGTGATATGGAATCAAGATATGTGTTTGGGGTATCTCATTCATTTGGTGAGGGACAAGTTTGAGATTAAAATACTTTTGCATCCTAGATGATTTCTTAGAAAGAACTCATCGTGGGTTTTTCCAAAGTGGATATTCTGATGTAGGGCTGAACATGGATTGGCGCAATCAAGCGCAGTCAAAGCCAACATTAATTCAATACTTGTTTTGAGATGGAGCAGATTAAATCCAAAAGGAGATAAGTGAGCAGAAACAATAAACTGACGTATACAATATTTAAAGTTAGATTTTAGCATCAAGTGCAAGCTCACTAAGGAAGACTGTATTATACTCCCTCTTCTCTCCTATAGCTTATATCATTTGAGTCTTGATATGTCTCGTACAATAATACAAAGTGTTGATCAAATCCATGCAACATTGTGGAGTTGAAATGTGGAGGTGCCTAAAACCACGTCTTTTATTCGATTTTCATTCAACGGAAACACATCATTTCTTTTCAAGCACTTTCCGTGGACGTCTACTTTACTTGCTCTTGTACCATTTACAATCCGTAGTCCGATTTATTGTTTTTCTGTTTTGTTGTTGTTCAGGATGATGAAATTTCCGTGTGCAAAGAAATGATCAACTGGTTTTTGAAATATTCCAAATCGGGTAATGTACCGATTTGTCAAAACGTATTTGAGATACCCTTTTGGGACATAGCTATTTTGAGAAATGGACAGGAGCACCGCCCTCAAGATCAATGGCAAAATGTAATTGTAAACCCATAAAGATTACAATGTACCATAATTGTTGGCATTCAATTCCATACACAACTATGCCGGAGATGAATAGGTACAACCTCATCTTCCTAATCATATTTTTCACTTTTCTTCTTCCTGGCCCACCAAATACCCCTATAAATTCAGATGATCAATACAATAAGCTGATATTGTTCAAAAATCAACTATACCAATCATTTGAACTATTACAAAACAACACTTTCAATCATAATTTTGGTAATCTAACTGGGTTCCAACTAAGTTATCAAGATGTATTAGATGGACAAACAAATGAAACATACCCACTTCCTGGGAAGGACTATGACCATTGGGAAAATAATCAAAAATATTCAATTTTACCAAATGATATCATTGAATTGGCTGAATCAATATGGAGTTTGGAGAATGATAACAACGATCCTAATCAAAACTATTACCAAAATATCTCCTCAAGCTTATACGGTAATTTCACAAGTAATTATAATGGATCAACAAATTATACAAAGTTACCTCTAGAGTTACCTCCCTACTTGGTTGGTTATGATCAAGATTTGAATTCTGAGTTGTCACCTTCATTTGGAAACTCTGTCGGTAACGTTACAATTGGATCAGGAAATGTCAAAATAGATATCTCAATCGTTGATAAACTAAATAAGCATTATTTCAATCACTTGGATTCTAAAATAAAGTTGATTAATATAGACATAGAATTTTTGAATGATGATGAAACAATGAAACATTCAATTGAAACCAAAGGCTTCTATTTTGTTGAATCTGGTAATATAATAACATCAACAAATAGTGCCAAATTTCTAAGTTTTTTCGGTGGGTTACAACATTTAACTTTTACTGATGACAATTTTGATATTTCTAAAAATTTAACAATAAATTATTTAGAGGAAACTTTGTTCAAGACATCAACACCAGCTGATAATATTGATATTAATTTTAATTATCTCTATCAAATGATACAATCTTCAGAAAACCACTGTGAATTTGTTAATTATTTCCATTTAAATAAGGTTAATCTAACAAATGATGAAATCAAAAATTTGGATCAAGAATTGATAAATCCAATTGGTCGCCCAATTAATTTCAAGCAAATACCCAAGTTAAATTTATCTGGTGTTTTATATTCACCTGACTGCTCCGTTCAATTAAATATTCCATCAGCCGTTGGTATCAAAAAGGAGATTCAAATTTTTGAATTACACAAGATTATTTTAATTGGTATCGGAATCTTGTTGGCTCAAATCTTTTTGATAATGAAGCAAATGAATCAAACAAATACACCATCCACTATTTCTAAAGTTTCATTTTGGTCAATTTGCTTAATGAGTCTTGTTGATGGTTCATTAGCAATGCTTTTTTTGTTAAGTTCTGCAGTGCTGAACAAGTTATATTTACCTTTAACTGTTGGTGCATTCTTATCGTTTATATTGGCTTCAATCTTTGAAATGAGATATATGATTAGTATTTATGTTTCACAACTTAATGAGAGATCTCTAAGTATATTTACTGCATTACAAGGAAGATCATTAGATGATGAAACTCAAGAAAATGCACCACAACCTGTTAACAACCAAGATGAATCTCAAGTCAGTGGGGCAATTTATTCAAGATTTTTCTTCACATTAATTGTCTTTACGTTTTTAATCTTGAACTCAGTCATGTGGCCAAAACATTTGAGAAAAAATTTTGAATATGTTATGTTGATTATATTGAACTCTTATTGGCTACCTCAAATATATAGAAATGTTATAAGAGGTTCACGCCAATCTTTTAAATGGTGGTTTATTGGGGGCTCAACTTTGATTAGATTACTTCCTCTATCATATGTCTTTACAAACAAAAACAATGTTTTCCAACATCATTATGACCCAACTTTTTTCTATTGGATTGTTCGTTGGTATATTATTCAAATTGTACCATTATTTTTACAGAATTTATATGGACCAAGATTTTTCTTGCCAAAAATGTTATTACCAAAAACCTATGATTATCATCCAGTATTGACAGAAGGTGATTTAGAATCAGGCTTTGGTATAGTTCATGAACATGATCATGAACAAATTGATGACACCACAACCACTATTAATAGAGAACATGGAGGAAACTGTACTATAGATTGTGCAATCTGTATGAATCCAGTGAAACTACACATTTCCAAGTCAAATGCAGACCAAGCACTCCATTTTGCTTCAAGAAGAACTTATATGGTTACTCCTTGTAAGCATATCTTCCACTCTAGATGTCTTGAATCCTGGATGCAATACAAATTGCAATGTCCAGTTTGCAGAAGTCCACTTCCTCCTTTATAATGATTTGCTATGTCTTCTTTGTGTTTTTAATTTGTTATGACCATTTGTTTTTTGATGTGATATTTGTAGTTGACCGTTATGACCTTTGAAAAAAAAAAGTCTCGAATTTGGTTTTTACCAACGTCCAAATGATCACTCATCAAACCAATTATGGCTCAACAAAAGTATGTGGCTTCAATCTAGTTACCTCTTGATTATGCAATGCTAACTATTGCTCAAGATACAGAGCATGTCTTTTCGGTGAGTTTCCATGGAGCAACACACGTTTTGTATCAACCCGTTAACAATGAGCAGACATGGATGGTCTATTGATCAATACTGAAGATATATACACCGAAGTAACCAATGAATTATTAGAAGAACATGGCAAAGGCCCCTTGAGCTGGGATGTCAAGATCCAGCTGCAAGGACGTCCAGGTCCTGAAGCTTCAAGATTGTTGATTGAAGCTTATGATTTACCATACACTCCAGAGGAATTGATTGAGAAAAACATCAAAAAACAAGTAGGTCAAATTTTAAAGGCTCTGTATAATCATTTACTAACTTAACTGAAGGAAACAAAATGGCGCAAATGTAAATTTTTGCCAGGTGCAGCTGAATTACTACAATATCTTCATTCTCAAGAAATTCCAATTGCATTAGCAACTTCATCAAATAGAATCAATTTTGAACGTAAAACTGGTCATTTAAAGGACATTTTCAAGTTATTTGGAGAACATATTGTCACTGGTGATGATGAAAGAATACCAAAAGGTAGAGGTAAGCCTTTTCCAGATATTTGGTTAACTGCATTAAAATCATTAAATTCTCAATTAAAAGAAGGTGAAACTGATATTAAAGCTGACCAGTGTTTAGTATTTGAGGATGCCTTACCTGGATTAATTGCTGGTAAAGCTGCAGGTGCTTTTGTTATTTGGGTTCCAGACCATAGAGCTTTGAAAGTTATGAATGGTGAAGAACATGATCATATCAAAGACCATGGTGAAATTTTAAGCTCATTGACCGAATTTTCAAAAGAAAAGTATGGCTTATAATGAAAAAATACTAGGATATATAAGTAATTTACATAATTTAGATCAAATGCTAGATATATATTTCTTGTATAATGAAACTATAAATTAAAAAAAAATCAAAAAAATACATCAAACTTCAATCTATCAAATACTTTTGACACACACACACCCGTTCCATTAATTTCCAATACTTCTTCTCACAGTGGAGCATTACGGAATAAGTATGAGACACTTTCACCATTATGCAAACGGCGAATACCTTCAGCCAAGACACTACTTATGTCAATGGTATCTAATTTTGGGCACAATTTCAATTTTTCTTCAAATGGAACAGTATTTGTGCAAACAACTCTATCCAATTTACTGTTGTTGATGTTCTTTATAGCATTACCTGATAATATACCATGAGTAACAATAGCAATAACTGATTTTGCTCTATTTTCCAACAGCACTTCAGCAGCTTTAGCTAAAGTACCACATGTGTCAGCCATATCATCAACAATCAAACAAATTTTATCAGTAACATCACCAACCAACACCATTCTTGAAACTTCATTAGCTTTAGCTCTTTCTTTATGAATCAATGCAAAGTTCAAATCCAAACGATCAGCCAAACCAGCAGCTCTTTTAGCACCACCAGCGTCTGGGGAAACAATAATTGCTTCTTCATAAGGTATTTGTTCTCTGATATATCTAACAACACTTGGTTCAGCATACAAATTATCCACAGGAACATCAAAGAACCCTTGGATCTGGGAAGCATGTAAATCCATAGTTATAACATGGTCACAACCAGCAGTGGTCAACATATCTGCCATGAGCTTAGCGGTGATTGGAGCTCTAGACTTGTCTTTACGATCTTGTCTAGCATATGGGAAGTTTGGAATAATAGCAGTGATACGACGGGCAGATGCTGTTTTACAAGCATTAATCATAATCAATAGTTCCAAAACTCTATCATTAACAATACCAGATCCAATTTGCATGATGATATAGATATCTTCATCACGAACAGATTCATTTATAGAGAACGAAACTTCACCACAAGAGTCTCTTTTCAAAGTCACGTCTGTAAGCTTGATTCCTAATCTCTTTGAAACGAGTTCAGCTAATCCTCTATGAACATCATTTGCAATTAATTTGATAGAGTTCTTTGCCATCTTATATATTCCAAATGGGTATGATCTTATGATTCAAAGTTCACTGATGTTTAGACCACCATCAGCAAGTTTTCACTTCAATTGGAGCCCTTTTGACCTTTTCATGGCCAAAAAAAATAAAAAAAATTTTGTGCTTATGATTATGTAATTTGTTATCTGGGGCTGACATCCGGACACCAACACATAATCTAATCGAATAAATCCTACGGAAATAATTATTTTAATCATAACTTTCATTAACTTGAATAGAATTCCTACTTTGCAATCATCATTTCTTTCGATGGTTTCTTTTGGAGCTAGACGATGAGGGCTCCTGCACAACAACAGTACCATTTTTAACCTCATCAGATGCATCTTTAAATTTTTCCTGTGACTCTAAATAAAACATCAAATCAGTAACTTGGGCTTGCAACTCTTCATTTTGAGTTTTCAATTTTTGATTCTCTTCCTTCACTGTTGCAAGATTCTCGGAAAGTCCAGTACTCATTGCTTGTTCGTCTTTCCATTTTTTTTCAAAAGCTTTAGCTAAGACCTTCAATTGATCACTTTGTTGTAGACGTTTATCGAAAACAGCAGTCTGTTGTTCCACTTTTACGTTGAACTCATCATACCTTTTATTGAGCTGAAGCTCAAAATCACGCATTTTGTTCATCATTGAAGAATTTTGTTGACGAACATTGTTGAAAGCATCCGCAGCCTCTGCTAGTCTTGATTCATAATATTCCCTTTGGGATTCAAGTTGTGATAGCAGCACGTTGGAATACTCGAAGGCATAATCCCTATTTTTATCTTTTTCATCTGAAGAGGGTGAACACCTTGTAGAATTAGCTGCTGGTAACTCAACTAATTTCCCATCTGATTCATTTTGTAGTAATCTATGAACATAGTTATCACCAGCATAATCCCAGACTCTCTGAGTCGAAATATCCATTGCAAAGCAATGATTGGTACTTTCATAGTGTTGAATGGCGTGTTTGGAATTGTAACGACCACATCCAATATTACCACATATCAAACAGATCCATAAATTTTGATCACCTCCACATATAGAGCATGAGTCTTGAGAATTAGAAGGATCTCTCAATGCCAATGGATTTATGCTTGAGTTTGAGTACCTGCAAACTGGACATGTATCATCTCTCCATTTGCTTAGACAATTACAATGGAAAGTATGTTGGCAGGAAATTGTTAAAAGACCTGTCGCATCAGCATCCATTCTTTCAAGACAGACAGGGCAAGTGGGTAGCTCCTTCACAACTGGTGATTCTAAAGAGCCGCCATTTTCATTATGACTTTTCCTCACTTGTAATGTAAATGGATCTTCCAAAAGATATGGAATCCCAGCTTGTAGATTTTGTGAGTTTAAAGGTTTGAAGATCACAGATTTCACAAATATAACATGACAAGTTTCTGATTCCATTGAATTGAAGAACTTCCCATTGAAACATTCTTGAAAAGTTCTTGCGGACTCATTAGTTCTAAATTTCATCAACACCATGAACCTATTTGGGTTATCTGATTTGATTAACCTGAAATGAGAAACATTTTTCGTAACTGATTCTCCAAGAAACACCAACAAGTCTGTAGCTGAGAAATAATTGGGTACTGCAACAATTGCAACTGTCGTATCATCTGATTCAACTTCAATCTCTTCGGATTCTTTTGAACTGTCGTATTGTTTATAAAGCCGAACAACGCCGTAACCAACAAACTTTGCTCTCAATGGCTCTGACGTTGGTTTCATCTCGTTAAACTCCACAGAAGTTATTGAAACTGCACTGAATCTGTAGTCTAAATTGTTATTTTCTTGATCTGGGTTTGTTTTCGGTTTGACTCTTGATAAATCTTTGGTAACCGTCCAGAAATCACAATCTTCCCCTGTCGTAGAATCACTCAGACTAGTTTTGTCAAAATCAAGGGCAATGATATAACGACTCTTGCCTGTCATTAATACTGCAATACAAGTGACCGATTTCTTTAACTACTGAGCAATTGAATGATTAAAGACAAGTGCACTCCGAATTTGGCATAATCTATGGATTTTTTTTCTCAAATTAAAAAAAATGAAAACGAAGACAAACTACAAAACTGTTTTTTTTTATCAATGTCATCAAATCCATCATCAATAGCTCAATCCGTTCTCTTGCTTCTGGCTAGGCGTTGTACACAGTGTTAACATACTTTTTTCAAGGGCTAATGTCTTGGACGAAACCCAGCCACGTCCTGGGATGAAGATACGACGCAAAGGTTTGCCTCTCACATCAACAACTGGATGGTTTAAAATTGATGGAACTGGCTTGGTTGGATCATGGATATTGATGTCGTCTCTTGCTCTTTTGTGGTACAAATTATCCATTGTATTTGTCTCCAATCCCAATTGAGATGCGTTGGTGGTTGCTTTTGGCCTTGGTGAGAGTACACTATTCCCATCAAACAGATGTTGTTTGTACGAAGTTGTTTCAATTCTTGTGTCCTTCTTGGTCACCTCTTTATGAAGCTGACTTTTCACACTTTCTCTCCATTTTGATTTGCCTAGTTCTGTGCTTAGATCAAAGACTTGATTATTAGAAGTGATCAAGAGCCTTTTATCATTCTCCTTTTCTTCCTCTATTGATATCTCTGCTTGGGAATATTTTTGGATCTTCAGTAGTGATTCTATTTCTGGAGTTGTTTCTTCAACAAAAGAGGTGGTATATGATTTTGACTCTTTTTGATTCAGGGTTTCAACTTTTTGATCATGATTCAGTTGAAAATGGGATAAAGTTGCCTGTTTTCTTCTTCTGACAGCAATTGCACAGCATAGAGCGCCTAAGACCAATACAAAAATCACTTTTGATATCATAAGAGTCTTTGAAATTGCTGAAGGATCAGTTGTCTTTGCCAAATATGAATCATCAATGAAACATGTCAGAACTTCCAAGGCAAAACTCAAACTTTTCAGGTTACCATTCAACACTAGCTTCAAACAACTGTTTTTCCCAAGTTAGTGTCACATCTCTCAAAATTCTGATACAGATAAACTCACTTATTAGCATCTTTTGCATCAGGGTATATTTTGTGTTTTTTCATTTCATCAACCAACAATTGGCCGTATCGATTGAAACATGCTGTCCCACTTGATACCTCAACACAAGCTATCAACTTTTTGAAGTTTTGTGAATCAACAATGTTGAAGATTTGACTTGGACTTTTGTTGGTGACATGGGGTGGCCGACTACCTTTGGATAACACAAATGACAGCAGCACTATAACAGGAACTAGAAACTTCCACCAATGGCTCAACATGGCTTTGAACATACCTCGTTTCATGTTCTATCGAGAAAAGATGTCTACAATCAAAAAAAATTTTGATCATATCTATGTGCACAAGTAAATTCGTTTTTGTGTCACTTTAACATTCACAACTACGACAAGCGCCTTCATTTCAAAAACAAAAATGATACAATCAATTATAATATACAAGTACGACTTTCTATTGACACGAGTCATGCAGTTTATTCTTTATTTTTTTGAACATATTCTTGAGCTTTAGCTTTGACATAATCTGTAGCTTTAGCATCACCGTTCTTTTCTTCAAATGTCAACCATTTACCAAAGAAAAATTTGGCTTGTTTACGTGAAACCTTTCTGGTCAAAACTCTTTCAAACAACTCTTCCACTTTTTTCTTTTCATTCTTTTTGATTTCTTGATCAATATAAACATTCCATAAATCAATACGTTTTGGAACATCTGCAATCAAACCTTCAAACAATGTACGACCTTGTTCAGCATCACCTTTAGTGAATTCTAATTGAGCAAATTTACGAACAACTTCAATATGATGACGTTTTGGTAATGAGTTCAAGGAGTTAGCTAAAACTTCATGTGCTCTTTCTGATTGTTTTTGGTCCAACAAATAGCTTCCAAAAGTAACCCAAACAGAGACTGACTCCTTACCAAATTTCTTCGTGATGACCTTGAATAATGACTCAGCTTTATCAAATTTATCAGACAAAATATAAATACTAACAAGTTTTTGATGCATAGTTAATGAATCCATATACTCAGTAGAACGTTTAAAGACATCTTCCAGACTTTCTTCATTACCAAATGTGTTTTCCAAATTTAATAATGCTATCCAAATATTCAATTTTTCTTGCTCTTCACGGTAATTGATGGTCTTCAAAGCACGTTCACCAATTTCTCTAGCCTTTTCAATTTCACTCAACTGTAATTGAAATGACATGTAGTTCATCCAAACAATAGAAGAATTTGGATTACCAATAATTAATCTTTCAAAATCAGAAACAGACTGTGGAGCTTTAGTTTGTAAATCACCAGTGGTATCTTCAACAACGGTCTTTGATTTTCTTTTCTTCTTATTTCTAACTTCAGTAAAATCTTCTTCATCACTTGATGAATCATCATCTTGAACTTGATCCAAAATGCTAGCAGTCCAGTCAAATCCATTTGTGGTTAATCCAGTAACTGGGGCAGATTCGTTAATGTTCTTTTCTTCATCTGATTCATCGGATTCATTTTCTGATTCTTGACCATTGAAAGCATCTTCAACTAATTCATCTTCGTCATCACTTTGATTCTCCTTGACTTCATCCTCTTCTTCTTCTTCAGATTCAGATTCTTCAGCATCTTCCATTTCAACATCTTCAGTTTCTTCTGTGAAGTATGAAGCCTTCATACCAAGTGATAACTGTTTCTTATCACTGTCAATACTCAACAATTTCACTTTGACTCTATCACCTTCACCAAACAAAGCAGTCAAATCAGAAACATCATTATCTGAAATTTGTGAATGGTGACATAACCCACTAATGTTTAATGTGCCATCTAATTTGATGAAAACACCAAAGTCAGTAACTCTTCTAACAGAACCTTCAAAGATATCACCAACTTTCAAATCTTCAAAACGTTTCAAAATGTTTAATTCCCCATTAACTTGAGATTCTTTCAATGTTAATGTAACATGACCCTCTGATTCGGAATCAACAATTTTACCAATAACTGCTTGATGAGGTTTATAGTATTTCTTCCATTCTTTAATAAATGAGTCTGACAAATCACCAACCTTAACATAACCAGTAACTGTACGACCTAATGAAATAAATAAACCCCTGTCTGAGATATTCTTCACAAATCCACGAACAACATCACCACGTTTCAAGTCTTCAAAAGTGGAAATCAATTTATCTTTGGCTTTCTCTGAACGTAATGAAACATTGATTTTTTGATTATTTTCATCAACTGAAAGAACTTTTGCTGGAACTATGTCATTCTTATCAAAAACTTCATCCAATTTTGAAGTGTAGTCATTCAAAGCATCAGTAATGAATGCCATAGCAGTCAAGTTTTCAGCTAGCTCAACAATTACAAAACTATCAGTAATTCTTAAAATTCTTGATGGAACAACAGCTCCAACTTTAACATCTTGTAATGTTGTCACTGAATTTTGTCTACCTGTTAACAAAACAGCATTGTTTTCAGAATCGACAGATTTAACTTTAACTTTCAAGGCTGAACCAATTGGATAGTTTCCATCAATATCTTGTAAAGCTGACGCATCACCTGGTAAGTCCATAAATGATATTCTACCTTTAACGGATGGTGACAGGTTCAAAAAGAAGAAACCGGTAGTGGAGTTATTGATATATGCAACCCATTCGGTACCAACTGTTAATTTATCAAATGATAATGGTTTATAAGGACCTTCTTTCAAATCTGATTTCTTAGCACTCAACTCAATAATGATTTGCTTAGATTTACGATGACTTATTGCTAAAAATCTATGGTTACGAGCATCATGATAACCAATAACTTTAACATCTAAAACATCACCTTTTTTGAACTGTTCTAATGGATTCTTTGTATCCTTGATATCTTCAAATTTTTCGAAAATTTGTGAAACATCAACTCTTCCTTGAACGTTATCAGCTAATTGAACATTTAGTTGGGTTTGCTTCACACTTTTAACAATAGCTTTGGTGATTTTGCCTGGAACAAATTCTTTAGCGGATTTCACAGTTGCATCGACTGGATTGATAACATCATCACCAGCAGTGCTCTTTTCTTTTAAAGATAGCAAAAATCTCTTATTTTCATCATCTGTTCTGATAACTCTAACGGAAACAGATTGGTTAATACGGAAAACTGAGGTTAATTCATCAACTGGTCTTTCAGTGGCATATTTGGCCAAGACTAAACCAACAAGTTTAGATGCAAAACCAACAAAAATACCTTTATTAGTAACAGATTTAACATAACCAGGGATCAGCTGTTCAGAAATAGTGATGTCTTTGAATGAAACTGGTAATTTATCTTCTTGAGCTGCTGAAATCAATGATTTTTTGGCTGTCAAGTTGAACAATCTTGAACGAGCATCTTTATCTAAAACAAGACCTTCAATCGAGGAACCAACTTCTAATCTTTTCAAAATAGCACGATTTTGTTCATAATTACCATCAGAAAGATGACCAACAAATATAACACCTCTCAAGTTACTACCTGGAATCTCAACAACAACTGATTCTTTAGATTTTTCCACAATTTCAGCCTTGACAACAGACTTACCAACAACCAAATCTTCTAATGCTTGTTTTTGCTCTTCAGTGGATTCATTTGATAGTCTACAACTAACTGTGATTCTATGTTTTTCCTTATCAACAGAAGCTATTCTAACAGTGATAGTTTGCCCTAAACGTAAATGATCTTCTGGTTTTTTAACAAAAGTTTCACTGATTTCTGACTTTGGTAAAAACGCTTTCAAATTACCAAAAAATGAGACTAAAGCACCATTTGGTTTGAATGAAGTAACAGTAACAGCAGTTCTTTCTCCAACTTTGGCCTCGTCAATATTTGAAATAATATTTTCATTACCAACTAATGACTTCTTCAAAGTCACTGTGATTTCTGAGGTATATTTTGAGATACTGATGATTCTACCTTTTACTTTTGATCCAATTTTGAACTTTCTTTCTGGATAAATCAATTTAACATCGCTCATATGTAAAGTTGGAACATGAGCTTCAAATTGATTGAATATTTTGATCTTCAATCCATGTTCTGGTAAAACATTTAGCACTTCACCTGTAACTAATTCACCTAATGGGATATCTTGAGCCCTCAAGTATTTTTGATTAATAACTTTAGGATCCATAGTCAAAGTATAGTAGTTATCAAATTGTGAAAATCCCAAAACTCTGGCTTTATGTTGAGATCCGTTGGAATATATAGCTGCAATGTTCGATTTACCACCATCGATTCTCGAAGTATGAACTTGACCAAATCTGTCACCATCGACAGAAACAAAAATGTAATTGCTATCATGACCTTTAACTTCGACTGTTTCAAAAATATGACCAACTGGGAAAGCTTCTAATGGATCTGATAAGACATTTTTATCATAATTATTTTCATTCAAGTTCAAAATATGAGGTAAAAGTGACAAAACCAATTTTTTAGAACCATTTGAAAGTAAAACAGCAATGACTCTAGCTTTAATATTTGTTCCAATTGCATATTTATGTTTCAATTCATTTTCGTTGAAAACACCAGCATGTGTCAAACTTATTGAAGAATCAACTAAACCGAATGATTTTGTTATTAGCCCATCATTATGAACTTCTGTGACTAGAGTTTCAATATAGTTACCTGGTATGATTGAATCAATAGATGAAATGGTGGTGACTGGATTTTTCTTACCAGTATTGAATCTAACTGTGATAGTACGAGCATTATTGTTGACAATTGTACTCAAATAAACAGCACCTGGGTGAATATTTTCTAATTCATATTTGGCAGCTTTCAATTCTTTGTTGGATATGAAAGCATTTGAAGCTTTACCGGTATCAAAAATGATACCATGGTCTTCAACACTCTTGACACTAACTTGTAAAGTTGAGCCTGGGATCAAATCATCATCTTCTAAATCTTTGTTAACTTTTTCAAGTTCAAGTGACAACTGTATACGCTTTTTGTGTTGTTTCTTTTTACCTCTTTGGTTCGACTCGACAACAACAGCACGTAACCATTGGCCGACTCTAAACAATTTAGATAAATTTGGAAATTCTTTTGAAACCTTAACTTTTGAAGTACCTTTGGTGGTTTTATTTTCATCATCTTCATCTAAATCTTCATCAGAATCTTCTTCGTCTTCTTCATCTTCACTATCACTTTCTTCAAATTCTACCAGTTGTTTTGTTATTACTGAGGAAATACTAGTAATTGGAACATAACCAATCAAATTATCTGGTAATGAAAGAGCAATATCTAAACGATTTATTTCACTGATTTTACCCAATACAAGTGTACCCGGTATTAAGGATTTAAATGACAAACTCTCAACTGGGATGGTGGTTTTTTCAGCTGAAGCAGTTGCTGATGTAGATTTTGATGTCTTCTTCTTCTTTAAAGGACGATGTTCATCTGATTTTGAGATTGTAGGAGCGGAAGATTCTTTACCAAAAAGAACATCACTAGCAGCTTCATTGGCAACTTCTTTTAATTCAAGAGGAGTTAAGGCAGAAGCACCACCTCTTGGAAATGATACTTCACTTGATTCCAAGATGGATTTCTGAGGAGCAGATGTTTTGTCTTCCCTTGTCAAAGGTGACTCCTTCTTCTTGGACCCAGCATCGGATCTTCTTCTTTTGTTAGCAACCATATTTCACACAGTAGCTAGTTACCTAGTAAGCTGGGATCTATACTAGTTATCTGATTGAAAATATCTATATTAAGTTATGTCTCTTCTACTTTACTTTAAAAAAAATTTAAAAAAATTTATCTCGGGAGTGTGTGTACCAAGTTCCCTTTTTGGCAGATTGAGATGAGCTGAAGGATCATAAGCATAAACAAAGAATAGCGATGATTTCAGTGGAAACTATACTCGAAATGTATAGATCAGGGTATAGAAATGGTGAGAAACCCTGTATATGGGTAAATAATTTGGATCGAGAAAATAGCTACTACAACGAACATCAAATAACATTAAAACCAACGTAATTAACTAACAATGAATCTATTTGACATGTTTCAAAACTAGGACAATCTAGTTTTGTAAAAGTTGACCAACAACTTTGGACAATCTTGTAACTGAAACTTCTTCACTAACAGCCTCACTCATAATGAATTTGGAGTTCTTATTACTCAAGAATGTTTGTTCAATTAACTTCACACTGTGATCATCCACTAATGATAATTCTTTGTTTTTGGCCAAAAATTGATCAAACTTGTTGGAAATTAATAATTCGTATAATGAAACTAATCCTTGGATTTTGGTAGTGTATTCATTGGTTGTGGTGAAAATGTATGGTGGTAGTAAGTGTAAATATAAGGTAAAGTCAGAGTTGGTGAATTGAATTAAGCCTTTTATCAATATCTTCAAAGTGGAATCTTGTCTCTCAACTGAAGTTTCATCGCTTAATTCATATAACTTTAATAAAGCCAAGTTTGAGTTCAAATCACTGTAATCATTTTCGTATTGGTCAAATAGATAATCTTCCAAATCTTTGATAACTGAAACGTCATATCTTTTCAATGAAGTTAAGATCTCATCAATGACATCTGGTCTCTGTGAAGGTCTGTCAACAAGGGTATTTGTGCTCATTTTCTCAAGTGTGTATTGTGATCCAAATAAAAGTATCACCAACACCTTGTGTTCTACGTCTGTTGAAAATTATATCAATTTTCATTTCCAATGGTCGCGAAAAAAAAAAGGTCGCCCTGTCGTGCTAGCGGACAAATACGGCCACCACCACCTAATACTAGTGCTACATCAACCACCGATAACATGAAAACAACACGTTTATAACCTATTTGAAATTGTAGATATTAGCAGATATAGAACTTATGAATATAAATATGGTGGTCACTAGGTTGAAATTATTTATGGGAGAAGGATATCTGTAAACAATCCAGCAGTAAACAACAAAACTTCCTAGAATAGCCAAAGTTGTACAGATATTGATTGACAACAACACAAGTTTTTTTGTATGAAGGAACTTGTTTTTAGGTGTTAGAAATGATATGGCCTGTTCAACAATATATATGATAATCAGGAAAAACAGCACAAATCTTAAGTTGTTATTAACTTGGATCCAATGAATTAAATTATTCAAATCCATGGAATCTTCAAATTCTGTAGCAAATTCATCAAAGTATAAAGTGTAGATTGTGTTTTCAAGAAAGTCAACTATATCGTAATATAAATCTCCATTTAAACCGAAATAGTTTTTGAAAGGCGACTCCAATTCTTGAAGAAATATAAGTCCTGTTGAGAAAGCGTTCAATTCTGTCTCATTAACACTTGAAGAATCATTGTAATATTCGTATATCATCATATCCAGTCTTGCTTGATGCTCATCGATATATAAGGAAGGTTCGATAACTTTGACTGTTCCTTCTTCTGTGATTTCAAAGATCTTTTCCAAAACTGACGAAGGGTTCTGATAATATTCAATGTCAAATGATGCAACTTTTGTTGGTAGTTGAGCTTCAAAATAGTTTGATGATAGTAAAAACATCAACGACGACAGATAGATAACTAAAAAACCAATTTTCAGGTTAAATCCTGAAGGTTTAGAGGCGCGTTCTTCGTAACCTTGATCAACTTCTTCGATTTCTGTCCTTTTGGTGAACCCAAGCATGATTGAATTTTTGGGAATCAAAAATATCAAGATGACAAGAATTGTGGAATGCAAAATGTTCTGTATAGCATCGAGTAATTTGGGAGATGTTTTTTTTTCCTTATCCTTAATTCTGAGAACTTTTACTTTATTGAACTCATACTTAATTCGCAGCATTCCTCATCGAAAGAAAACAATTCCAAATGACACCAATGGATGAAGAAAATGGAACTTGAAACTGTTTTGGCATAACCAAAAAATTTATAAATTGTACCAATGGCCAAACCATATAATTTGCAATCAATGTTGAAAAATAAATTTTCCGTATTTTTTCAGATAATGTATACTTATTACCCCCTTCCAATACGAAATTTGAATATGAGAAAAAGCAAAACAATGAAATAGGTGAAAATACTAGTTGATCTGACATAACTCTTTCTAGAACCGAAACGAATGTTGGTTCTTGTGTATAAAAATGATTTAATACCCAATACCAGCAAATTTGAACAAATGCCATAACAAATCCCCAAAACATAAATCCAACAAATCTGTGAAAGTTGAAAATGTCTTCATCTGTTTGTTTGGATAATTTTTGAAAATGTTGACCCTCCAATTGAGAATGATGACCATGATTGTTTTGAACACTAGTGTCACCAAAATCTGTGTAGAGAGCTAATTCATCTGGTTGATCACTGAAAGCATTCGTATAATTTCCAAGTTGAATAGAGCCTATAGAACCTTCTCTTGTTCTTTGATTGTTTTTTTGTTGAACCATTGCAAGAAAACATGAAATGTTTTGAGCTAAAGTATCTGATAACCCATACAACAAGACATTGGCTGTAATTGTGGTCAAAAGAACATTAGTTTCATACATGGTATTGTATTTCAAAATCAACTTATAGAGCATGGTAATAAAGAACGACAACAACGCCCAGTTGAGAATTGGAACGTATAGTATTTTGAACTTTGAAAAGAACTTGATAATCTTGTAATAGTATGTATCCTGAAAGGATCGACTGTTACTCTCTGTAGAGACAGATTGTGATTCTATATCTAGAGTTGAACCACGTCTATGCGTACTGATATTATCCTCTGAATCATCTAGCCTTATCGACATTGCTGTAGATGTTTGCTTATTGACATTGGCCACCATTCCATCTTGACATTCTCTATGTGTCAATTATCTCGTATCAAATAAAAAAACAAAGAACTTAAAAAGGGCTGTATATTTGATCAGGTGATGTGCCTCAGGGCATAAAAGTTGACATCCCCACACCACCTGGTCTCTGTTTTACGCATCTCCGACCGGTTTTTACACCGGCTCTGAGCCTGATATTCTCCGCCCACAGCTAGGCAGGTCCTCCCTGGACACCACCGAGAATGGATTTCTGGTAAACACACTCTGCGAAACAAAAAAAAATTCACGACAACCACTGGGACTTGGTGAAAAAATCAAAAAGTATTCAAACATCGAAAAACAAAAACTAGCGTATATCCTTCTCTTTTGATATTCAACAGTTAAGGACCCGTCAAGAGTATTGCCAACATGCTTATCCCAAAGGAAGAAAGAACTAAAATCCACAAATACTTATTCAACGGTATGTTATTGTGATGACGGAGAGAAAGACAGAGAATATGTGCCAGTGTTGTATCATTTATATTTCAAGAGAGTCATTTTAAACTAGTGTCTGTGGGAAGATCAAGAGATCAGACATGACACACAAAGAGAGTAAACAATGATTGATCTGATGAAGAGTTCATGGAAAGAAATTTAAGAAAGCGTATTGTCAAGGCTTTCAGGTTGTCACATAAAAGTTAAATATTGGATTCAAAGAGTGATTATTGAGACAAGAAGCAAAAGGTGGCCAAAAGAGTAGAAAGCAACAATAATGGTATATCGTACCCAAGAAGGCTCATCTTCAAAATAATGTATACATTTGGCACATTTCTCAAATCTCTCCATATTTTACTTGATTTCATTAAAGATTTTGTACTAACAATTTTAAAACAGAAGGTGTTGTCGTTGCTAAGAAAGATTACAACCAAGCTAAACACGAAGAAATTGACACCAGAAACCTTTATGTTATCAAAGCTTTACAATCATTAACCTCAAAAGGTTACGTTAAAACTCAATTCTCATGGCAATACTATTACTACACCTTAACTGATGAAGGTGTTGAATACTTGCGTGAATACTTACACGTCCCAGAAGGTATTTTACCTCAAACCCGTTTACAAGAATCTGCTCCAGAAAGACCAAACGCTAGAAGATTCGGTGGCCCAAGAAGAAACTAAATACTTTGGTGAGGTTTATGTATTTTGTATTGTTTAATAAAATTTAAAAAAAGCTCATAAGGAAAATTAAGAAAATAAAGAAAACAAGAGACTAGTGTAGAAATAGTATTATCAGCTAGCTGTTATTTGTAATTAAATATGTGCTAATAAACTGTGCTATCGGTACGTTCAACTGTGTGGTAATTGCCAAAACACGTGACATTCGCTAGGGCTCAATCCTTTTTTTCCTTTTGCAAACTGCCATTCACCCGAACACCACCAAACAAAATCCTCCCAATCGCCAAAATTGAAAAAATCACCATCAATCAACAAAAATAAATGTATTTGTTAGTTGAAGCTTCAACTTAAAGGTAGAAACACATTATACAACCCTTTGTGCAAAGATGAAATTAAACATTGCCTACCCAGCCAACGGTACCCAAAAGACCGTTGACATTGATGATGAACATCGTTTGAGAGTTTTCTACGATAAGAGAATCGGTACTGAAGTTGAAGGTGAATCAGTTGGTGATGAATTTAAAGGTTATGTTTTCAAAATCACTGGTGGTAACGATAAACAAGGTTTCCCAATGAAACAAGGTGTTTTATTACCAAACCGTGTTAAATTATTATTAGCTAAAGGTCATTCATGTTACAGACCAAGAAGATCTGGTGAAAGAAAGAGAAAATCTGTTAGAGGTGCCATTGTTGGTCCAGATTTAGCTGTTTTATCATTAGTTATTGTTAAACAAGGTGATGCTGATATTGAAGGTTTAACCAACGAACAAGTTCCAAAAAGATTAGGTCCAAAAAGAGCCAACCACATTAGAAAATTCTTTGGCTTAACTAAAGAAGATGATGTTAGACAATATGTTATCAGAAGAGAAGTTGTTAAAGGTGATAAAAAATACACTAAAGCTCCAAAAATCCAACGTTTAGTTACTCCACAAGCTTTACAAAGAAAACGTCATTTGAAATCATTAAAAATCAGAAATGCTCAAGCTCAAAGAGATGCTGCTGCTGAATACGCTCAATTATTAGCTCAACGTTTACATGAACGTAAAGCTGAAAAAGCTGAAGTTAAAAAGAGAAGAGCTTCATCATTAAAAGCTTAAGTTTTTGAAAAGAGGGAAGATTGAAATCAATGTCATAATAAATATATATAAAAAGGGGAGTTTTATAATATCAAAAAGCAAAAAAGAAGAGAAAAAGTAATGAAATGTTATTAACTACATCTTAAAAAAATTCATTCTATAATGTTAAAAGGGTTGTGTTTTTTTTGAAAGTTCATAGGATAGTTTTTTTATTTATCTGTAAATTAAAAAGGTAAAAAAAATGGTAAATTTGATTGTAGACATTTGTACAATGAATTAATTCAAGTTTAAATGCCTTAATTAGCAGTTAGGATCTTGGAGGCTGTAATATGCTTATCATAGATTTCGCATCGCATCCGAACACCAAAGCCATCTCGACGTTATTTTAAAGAACAATAAATCAATTTAGGTAACAGACATCTATAAAAATAGTAAAATTGACAAGAAACGGGCTTTCAGGGGATCATTTTGGAATTGAACATTTGGTCAAACGTTAGAGCATAGTCATCATGGGAAAGACTGTTACAGGAGATGATTTGATAGTAAGTGGGCTTATTAAAGGCAAAGGAGAGTAACTCAAAATTAACTCATGAAACAGCACTTTCCTACACCAACAGAAGCATTTGGTGCTAGAAATCCAAATAACCAAAGTAAACCAGTGAGGAAGGCCCCTTCAAGGCAAGAGTTCACGCCACCGTTACATCCTCAACAACCAATGTCACAGCATCCAAGACCAATTCAAAGACAACAACAACAGCCACAACAACAACAACAAAGATATGCTAATCAACATCCATTACCTCAAAACCCTAGACAGCAGCAATATCAGCAGATTCCTCAATCACAGCCATTACCTAGACCAAACTCAGGTTTCGCACAGGATAGAATAGCATCTCAACCCAATGCTCCTGGATCACCATATGCTGGATATGCTCCAAGTGCCTACAATCAACTTCAACAAAGAAATACAAGCCAACCTAATATTATACAACAGCAGCAGCCAAGAGCCGATCCTGCACAAATCTTGGAACGTCAATTAAGGGAATTGTTTGATAGAGTGGATAGAGATCATGATGGAGGGTTAACAGAAGATGAACTGGCAACAGCACTAATAAATAATGACGGAACACAATTCAGATCAAGTACAGTAAGACTGATGATCAGATTATTCGATAAAGACGGCTCAGGGACAATTGAATTCAAAGAGTTTTTCCATTTATGGAATTATATCTTACATTGGAGGAAAACTTTTCAAAAATACGATGTTGATTCTAATCAAAAAATTTCATTTGGTGAGTATCAATCAGCATTAGAAAGCTTTGGCTATAGATTACCTACGGATATCGTATTGTTTATATTCCAAAGATTTGGTGATTTTAATAGTAACCAGCCAATGTCTTTAAGATTTGATATGTTTGTTGAAAGTTTAGTTTGGTTATTACGTTGTACCAATATTTTCAAAAAGTTTGATACTCAAGGTAATGGAATTGCAACTATTTCATTTCAGGATTTTGTTCATGAGATATTGTCATTTATTTAGATTTGCGGTTTATGGTATGTTGGTTCTTGATGAGTACAGATATTCAAATATAATATAAAACTTAATAGATTAATTCAAAAAAACAACTATTTACAAATTCAAAATAAATATAGAAGACTGAATTAGGTAATTAACTTCTAACTCTTCCATAAACCATAATTGGTTCCATGATCTGAGCTTGACTGGTCAGGTAATGACTTCATGCTGTTATCATCTTGTGGCTGTTCCAATTGAGGTTGTTCTGTGCCAATATTTATGTTAGCGAATTGGTACCTGTATCGTCTGTTAAGTATACTCACCTTGTCTCTTTCTACCAAACCCCCATTCCGCATTATTCCATTCTTTGTTCCATTCCTCTTTATTCTTATGGAATCTCTCCAAACGCTCTTGATGATGTCTTCTCCAATCTTTACTATCAGTGTGGTAACCAAACCAAAAACCAATCAAACCAACAAATAAGTATCCAAAAAAGCCTCCACGACGATGTCCATGATGATGATGATGATGATAGCCCTTCCATGCCCATGGGCCATAACTCCATGATCCAAACTAGAATAAGAGGTCAGATTGTAATGAAATAAGGTTGAATTAATACAAAATAACTCACAGAATTGCGATCATGATAATAACGATGCCAATTCTTATTACCAGCCCTCATATAATGGGAACTTGCCCTCCAGAATTCTGGGGCCTTGTAAGCTTTATAGCTTTTAGCACCTATAGTTGAAAACATGCGAATACCTAATTGTTTATTCATTGTGTATACTGACCTAGAAATATTAAAGCAAGTAAATAATGAGTCTTTGCCATCACTTCTTATATATTTTTTCCAATGATAGTATAAGCGCTAAAGCTTAAACAACGGAAACGGATTTAACTGACACATAGTGACGGAGTTACCGAGCTAAATAGGAAACTCCGGCCGTAAAAACAATAGGAAATACCAATTAGTGGATAAAACAAGAAGTAATATATATTTATCATAAAATCTTAAAGGCTTAGTATTTTGGAGCTTTTCTGATAATAATAAGCTTTTTTTGGGGGACATTTTGAACAATTTTTGAGAAATTTTAATATTACTAGATTATACCAGCCTACTTTATTAAATACCAAATTTAAAATTTCCTAAATCAAATAAATTCGAAAATTCAAAACATTGAATTTGACCATATAATAACAATTTCTTGACTTTTTGCTACTTAATTAGTGGGTCATAAATATTTGAGGTATTGCTGCTTAACAAAGTCTTCGAAATAATGTACCACCATTTTAGCTCAATTTGGCGAGTCGCCGGACATAAGCGGTTGACCTCCACAAGTGACAGAACGTGTAACATTCATCAAGATATAGTTGGACAATATAGTACCATATAACTCTAAGTACACACGATCTAACTGTTTCTAATAACTGATACTTCTAGCTTACCAGATAATCTGCTTTTTAAAACGTTAATTACGATAACTGTTTACCATTTCTTTGATTGTACTAAGTGATACAAAACTCTTTCACTACAAATAAATATCTTCCCTGGTTCCCAACTAATAATTAACGCATATATTATATTAACTTTTTTAAATCAAAATTATCTACCCTAATTTCTCTTTATCATCATCCATTTGGATAGCTTCATTAACAATCTCACCATCACTTGAAACATCAGGTTGAGCACTTGCATCGAGTACTTCAGCTTTACCGTTACCAAAGAAAATTCCTTTGAAGATAACCTTCATTGAATCCATTCCTTGATACAGAGGGACAACAATGATATAAATACTTGCCATGATCAAACATATTGTCATGATAATAACCCATTGTGTAAAATATTTCTTGGAAAATTTATAATCAGTACCATAAAATGCTAAAGGAACAATCAAGTATCCACCAAATAATAAAATTGCATTTAAGATGAGAGCAATTTTAGAAGCTCTTTTCAATTCTCTTTGCTCTTGTGGTGAAGTATTCATGAACTCTTTTTCTTCTTCATCTGCATCATCAGCAGCCGTGAAAGCAGTAGCAAAATATTTGAAATCAAATAAAACGAGTTCAGGTTTCAATAATGAAAGGGCAGGAATGAAAATGAATGAACTTCCCAAAGAGACAAAATTACCAACAATAGAAGGTTCACTGGTCATTAATGTATCTTTTGTAACTTTACCACCAGTGGCTTTAGCAGTAGCAATCCAACAAACGATACCACAAATTGTTGATAATGGTGAGCCATAAGTAATACCAAAACTACTTGTCTTTCTCCAATATAAAGTTAAAACTAAGGTTGAAGCTGCTGGTGATAACAAAATACCATAAAATCCAATTAACCAACCAACAGTGACACCCACATAATTGAAGATAACAGAAACACAAGCCACAACGAGACTGAAAACCATGGTCATAACATGACTAACTCTGATTAAATCTTTACCAGTAGCTGTGGTTTTGATGTAACCTCTATAGATATCAAATGTTGAAATTGAAGAGAATGCAATCAATTCTGCAGATAGAGCACTTGTAACAGATAAAAATAAATCCAACATAGCAGCCGCAGCACCTGGGGTACCCATAATTGTTCCCATTGCATAAATTAATGGTAAACCTGCATTTGCTTCATGAGAAGTCAATTCATTTGGATAAGTGTAAAATTTATCAGAAACTAAAAGAGCTCTAGCAACTAATCCACCAATTGTCCCTAAAGCCCAAGGAACAGTTAACCAACAAAGACCACCTAAAACATAACCTGCTAAAACACTATTTGGTTTTGCAGCGATAGCTTTTTGGCCATAACTTGGATCACCAAAAACAGATGAGAACCCACCAAGACACACACTCCAAGTTGTCATAAACATTTCTTTATTTTTAAAGCTTAAAAAACTTGTCCCAGTAGTTGATGGGAATTTTGCTTCACTTTCTAAAATCATATCATATAATTTTCCAGGAGATCCAATGATTTCTGAACTTGTCAACACTTTAAAGCACATTACAAGAACGATTAAATAGATAATAACTGTATGAATCCAATCTGATAAGAAAGTTGCCTTGATACCACCAAACATTGTATAGACTGCCACACTTAAAGGAATCAAGAAATTAGCAGCAATAACATTCATACCAGTTGCAGCATTGAAACCTTGAGAGGCACCTAACAATAAGCATGAAGCCACCATCAAGTTTGTAGCACAGACATAAAACATATAAACGAAATGAGTTGGGGTATCATATCTGACTTTGATAATTTCACCAATAGTATGACAAGATGGAGCGATTCTTTTAATTTCAATGGCGATTAATGCAAACCCCATAATTTGGAAAGTACCTGAAACACCATACAAATAACCTCCACTGATACCCTGTTATTTGATATGTTAGCAGAGTACTGATTGATTCAACTAAATTCTCAACTTACATAAGTGTAACCCCATAAGGAACTGGTTAAGATAGTAGCTGGCCAAACCTTTAGAATTCATGTTAGTATACTGAATTGATCTTTTGTACGATATTGAAACATACCCAAGAGCTAGTTTAAATTCTGTTAGTATATTGAATTTTACATGTAATTATAGTAACTTACCTGACAACAGCACTTGATATTAAACCAGAACCAACATTTCTTGAAGCTGTAGTAAATCTTTCAGAATTTTGAATTTGATTTAAAAATTTTGCCAATACGTAGGTTATACCACACATGATGATTGCAAAAGCTGCACCAAGCCCAACAACGAAACCATAACCATAAGATTGTCCAAGAATTGTCTCTGTCATTTTTATCTGAGAAGTGTACGTGTACAATAAGTTGAAGCTGCTGACAAGCAGTCAAGTGGTTTTAATTGGAATTTTGAGCCATTGTTACCATTTATAAAGGGTGTACTAGCAATTAATCTCACAGGGATCGAGACCTGGTTCTCGAGAGTCGATTTTGATGTTGTTATCAGATCTTTGGTGATAAAGGTTATCAGCTTATCGCCAATTCTGGCAACAGATGCGCGAAAGCTGGATTGTATCCTAAGCGATGTCCTGAACAGGTTATGACGAATCAGTTGTTCACTACTCTACGTCGATTATCATGGAGGCCTTATAAGATGATTGATTTCAACTTTCCATACAAAACAGACATAGAACTCCAGCCTAAAAGCGTATGGTCCATGACTAATGATGAGTGGCTCTCGAGGAAGTATACACAGCACTGAATTTGTCATTGAATGATTATGAAATCAAGGTTGATGAATTCGATCAGTATTAATGCTTCAACCTGGTATACTGGTGAGTTTTAGTTCTCAGTGTAAAAGTCAATCAGCTGTACCATTGCCCTTTAATTTATAATCTAGCTACAATATTAACTATAGTAATTAGGTACTGCATAGGCACTGCATTTCATGAGACTTAAAGTTAAAAGTGAAGAGCGGTGCTTACGGTAAACGATCGGAGAAACCACCTCATATTCCCGTTGTAGTAAGGCTTAGAGTCTAGTAACTAGCAGCAGTGACTTGCTCATACATAGACTGTTGAACGAAGTCCAATTTCCATCATGGAGAATATATATTGTTCAAATTGACCGATGTTACAATATTTCAGCACTATTATGAGAAAGCTCGCCCAAAGGTATAGTAGAGGTGATGCTGAAAATTTGTTTTTGTGTACACTTTAAATTCCTTGAGCCGCAAAATAGTCCAACTGTTTAACGTACCACAAAAACCAAGCCAGATCAAATAAAACAGATAAAGTCCAAAAAGATAATACAAATCTCAAACCAATCATAAGCGTCAAGTTCTGTTCAAACTCATAAAGGAACCTGTGAGTCTCTAATTAGATCATGTCTGCCTCCATTATCACCAATCAAATCACATTCTTCAAAAAATCAAATGAGCTATACTCTCACTTTTTAGAGAATAAAACCAAACAAAGCGGCCAACCAGCTTTAAAGAGTTGTTTTGATGAAAAATATTCACTTGGAATTGATGCATTACCTTCCCAAACTCAAGATTTGATTGCAAAGAAAGGCGCTGATTTCAATTTGTTGCTTGTTGGTGAATCAGGTTTAGGTAAATAATATACCCAGTTTCCTAATTATTATGAATATTTTTAAGAACACCAGGCTAACCATTCCTAATAGGTAAAACAACTTTTGTTAATACTCTTTTTGGAACCTCAATTTTACCAAGTGTTTGGCATAATGTTGAAAAAGTTGAACCAACAATCAAGTTTGAAAGAACAACAAACATCGTTCATCACACTGCTCATTTAACTGAAGATAACTTTGCCTTAGATTTCACTGTTATTGATACCCCAGGTTTTGGCGATTTCACTGATAACACTTTTGGTTATGTTCCAATCACAAATTATATTGATGAACAGTTGAGATTATACATGTTTCAAGAAGAACAACCAGATCGTTCAAAATTAAAAGATAACAGAGTTCATGCCTGCCTTTATTTCATCAAACCAACTAGTAAAGGATTATCTCCATTAGATGTTGAATGCTTGAAACATATTTCAAGCAGAGTCAATTTGATTCCAGTGATTTCAAAAGCTGACACATTAACAACCATTGAGTTGAAAGAAGTCAAAAAAGCTGTTAGAGAAATTGTTGAAGCTCAAGATATCAAAATATGTGAGTTTATTGAGGATGAGGATGTTAAAAAGACAATTTTGAAACAGTTTCCCTTTTCAGTTATTGGCTCTGAATCATTTGTAATTAATGATGAAGATGGTTCTTCAATTAGAGGACGTAAATATAAATGGGGAATCGCTCAAGTGGAAAATGAAAAACATTGTGATTTCATTAAATTGAGAGATGTTTTAATGGCTAAAAATATGGTTGATTTAATCTCAAGCACTGAATCTTATTATGAAAGTTGTCGTGAAAAATTAACAAGAACAAGAATCAAGGAAGCCAAAGATAAATTGAGTGATGATGAATCTATCAAGTATTTGAATTATGATGATCCTGATAAAAATGGATTGGAAAACAATAAAATTTTGGCTAAATGTAACAAACTTTTTGTTGATGAATTAGTTATTGAATGGAGTCCAAGTTTTATTCAAAAACAATTAGCTCAAAAGAAACTTTTCAGTGATATTGTCTCACAAGAGGAGAAAAAGTTCAAACAATGGAAAAAGGCATTATTTCAAAAACAAGCTGCTTTTAATCAAGAAATTGAAGAGCTTCATGGTGAGATTAAAGATTTAAACATGACCATTGAACTGTTGAGATACAACCACGATGAAGAATCCGAGGAGGAAAGAAGGGATGAAACCGATATTGAAGTCACAAAGCATTCAATTAATCTTGACCAAGATGATTGATTTAATTTCTCAAAATCATGCCCTGAAATTTTCTATATAGCTGCCAATAATAACCGTGTCTTTAATTCATACGTAAAAATTTTTTTCGGTTCTTTTACTTGAAAAAAATTTCAATTCTTTCAACTCAACTTTATACTGTTTTCTTCAACTTTTTCAAAAGAACCATAACTTGAAATTAATGTAAGTCCAAAATGATACGTTGTTTACACCAGGATATTATTCGTTATTGTTTTTTTTATGATGATCACCTTATCATGTATGTTTTTTCTGGCATCTCTAATGTTAGACTTGTTTAATTACCGGTCAATGAATACAACTTTTTTGACAATTATCTGATAAAGAAAAAATAAGAATGAATCCTTTTGAAAACAGTCATATAATCTAATGATTTTTACTAACTTTTAAAAGATACTAGAAAGAACTACTATCGCTCCTATAGATATTTATATTAAATTTCATGGTTTTTTTAAATAACAATATTATCAATGTAGCCTACATTAATTTACTGAATGAATAAACAAAATTTGTATTTGAGAATCACACATATCATAATTAAGGGACCTGGATTCAGCTTTATTGAGTTGATTTCAAATGTGCAGCATGTGCTTAATTGAACACCCTAGCTGTAATGACAATCACCTTGATCAATTACACTGGAATACCCATATTATGTGTGCAGTAAAAATAAAAAATAATAACACAAAGGTTTTGTTAATAAAATAAAAAGATCTCTGAACTCAATAATTAGAACAACACATAATCCCTTCTTTGAAAAATAACCAGGCTCATCCATCAATAACTCACTGATGTGAACTTCAGGAAACAAACATTTTGGTTTTGAACTTATTGGAACATATGTTTTTTTTTGATTCTTCTTTAAACTGAATTTTAACTTGAGATAACTTAATCAAATATCGGAAGACTTAAGGGACCCATAATTCACCTGAACCTCTTGGAGCAAATGAAATAGAATCATAACTTTCACGATGAGTATTTTGTGAATCACCACCAGTATTATTGATATCATTGATAATGTTAGCGTTATTGTTATTAGATTTTCTGGCTCTTGATCTTTTTCTTTTACCACCATTAGATGATGATGATGATGATGATAATGGTCTTGGTTCATCTTCAATACTTAATTTACTGAAAGTGTAATTTGTATCATTTCCAATTTGTGTCTTATTTTTCAATTGAAATAATAAACTTTCAGCTTCACTAACATTGATACATTTGATACCAAAACTTTCACACCAAATTTTAGTTGTTAAATCTTCGGTGATTAGTTTCCAATCTTCAGGATCAACATGAGTTTTTTTGATGCATGGTCTTAAAAGATATTTGTATCTAGCTGGTAATTCAGCTCTTTCTTTCTTCAAGTTTTTCTCATTGGATTGATTTCCTCTCTCATCAGCTTCATCATCATCTTCTTCATTCTCATATTTAATAACCGATGGTTTTGATGTCACATTTTTGTTATTTGGAAATTCATGAGTTTTTGGTGAACGAACTTTAAAAGTCATACATTTTCTCCAATTTGGTCCAACTTGATCAGGAGTTTCCAGAATCAATTTTGATCCAATATGATGATCTTCACTTGAAACAACTCTGTCAATAAAACGAATACTTTCTCTAGCATTTGTGGCCAACATAGACATTCCCTTTTTGAGGTAATCCAACTCATGAATCGCTGGTGAAATTGTTAGAAAGAACATATATGAGTCTTCACCAATTCAAATACTCACTATAAGATGGAATGAATAGTTTGACATTGTAGTTTTGCTCATCGATCCATCTCTTGATGTTACCGAGCCCTTTTGTTAATGCTGAAGCATCAATGATGAAATAACCCTGCTATAAAAAACAAAACAGTTAGTACCAGATATCACAGGAAATCACATTAGAGCCATACAATTTCTTCAGTCATGGTTGGTGCCATTAAACAAGAGAGTTGATGTTGATGATTATGTCCCTTTTCAATTTGACGCTTTTTGGACTTTTTTTTCTTGGACACTACAATAAAAGTTCGCGAAAGCATGAAATCAAAACTTTTATCTGAGAACTATATACAAAAATCATAGGTTTGAATCAGATTTCTCTAGTGTCATCAATCACGTCAACTAATGATCTTGGTCTAAATGGCCAGAGTTCAAAAAGTTTAGCAATTTCATTGAACTCTTCAGCTGTTAGGTCTCTTGGAGTTTTAGCCCATATATCTTCTGAAAGATGTTGCTGAAAAAAGTCAGAAGCAGCTGGACCTAAAAAGTTTATACTCTCCTCCATTGGTTTGACCTTTGAGGCCATCATCTGCTTAACAACAAAATCCCAAGCGAAAACATCATTCACATGATGATCAAGAGGATCAATTTCTAATAATGCCAATGGAACTTTTGAATTACTAAAATCATCAGGTTTGATTAATAGTGGTTGATCAACATCCAATAACTTGTGGTCATATTTTTTAAGTTCCTTGGTATTAGGAAGTGCAATCACTTTTGTGTTACTGAAAGCTTCTCTTGTAACAGAGCATTTATTTCTATTAGTGGTACTTGGAGATGCCATAATCTTTATTGCAGAGGAATTTGGAACCCATAACAACATTTTAACATTCCCAAATCTCTGTATCCAATTTTGATTTCCAAGACAACTTAACCATTGCATTAATAATCCTTCATTGCAACAATAACCTGTAAGTAAAAACTTTGAATGAATATGATCTCTTGATTCAACTCCAGGTTGTAAAATTTTTGTATCATCAGTGATATTAAGAAAAGATTTCCAGTTATATGGGTCTAATTTGTGTAGGTCAAATGTGTGTGGTTCGGCTAAAGTTGATATATAATCATTTAACCAATTGTTGAATTCTTTACGATTTTCCATCAATATATGTTGTTCTGGCAAGATTCTGTTGTAAACAGCACCTGCAAATAAACCATTAGAAGGATACACATCAAGGACTTTGGTATCTTGTTTAAAATGATTCTCCAATTTAAGCTTATCCATAATTTGATCTATTAGATTTATTAGTATGATGTGGAAAAGTTCATTCAGAAAAAACAAACATACCTAGCATTCCACCATTAGCCAAAAAGGAAGAGTTATAGTGATGTCTGAACTTTTGTCCAGCGAGAGGTATAAGTGGAACAGGTAGTCTTGGTGGCATTTTGGCAAAATTTATTGTTGTTTTATAAATCAAAAAAGTGTCAAAATAAGTTTAATTTCGAAATTTATTCCAAAATTTTCATTACATTATGATTTTTTTGCAAAACAGTTTCGCGAAGCTTTTTTTTTTGTATTTGAAACCGGTTCAAAACATCAACAAAGCACAGTTGGTTTAGCATTTGATAGAGCAAAAAGTGTTGTGAAGATGTTCAAGATTAAATTGAAGGATCCTTCTGCTGGATTGCCAAAAGAGAAGGGGAAGGATGAAAAAAAGAAGAGTCTTCCAAAGATCAAAATAGCGAGACCTCAACCACCACCTACAGCATCATCATCTTCATCATCATCATCATCTAAACCAAAGACAAAAGCCAAACATATTAAGCTAAAATTGAAAACCGCAGGTGCTGGTATATCGCAACCCGTGGTGAAGAAAGTCCCAAGAATTAGAGTGAAACCCACAAGAATTCCTGGTGATGGTTATGATTCCGAAGCTTCAGATATTGAAGATGATCCATTAGTTGAGGAAGCTATAGTTTTGAGATTATTACCAGATGCAGAGCTGGACTATGTTAAACACTGTGTGGAGACGGGTGATTTTAGTAATTTCCACATTAAATGGAAGGACAGATTACGTGCAGTGATATATATTAATGATTCAATGTATGCTGCAAGATTGGTGAATTTACCCAATATAGTTGAAGTTCAAAAAACAGTTGATAAGAAAAATATTTTCAAAACAGTTGATATTTCTCAAATTTTACAAGTGGTTTCCAAGATTAGAAGTGAAGATGAAATTGCAAATTTACAAGTGGAGAAAGATGAAGTAATTCCTGATGGGTTAACACCTCCATTACACAATATTACAAAGAGTAAATATAGAAGAAAAATGACAAATGATTATATTGAAAGAATAGAGTCAAAAGTTGATGAGTTATTAAGGTTGGATGAAGAAGCTGAAGAATCACAATTTGAATTAATTGATCCAGAAAGTTTGAACGTTGCCACATCAGAAACTCCACCAACCGTTGTTAATACACCTTCAAGAGATGTTTCAGTTCCGAAAACTCAAGATTCAAGTAGCACCACTGTTGTTAATTCATCCGGTAAGGAACATGATGAAGATTTAGAATTAGAGATTGAACAAGTGTTGGGAGAAGATTTCTCATTAGAAGATGGTGAAACGGTTGAAGTGGAGAGACAAAATGGTGAAAAAATACAAGTTGAAAAAGCTCAAATTGAAGAAGATGAAGAGATGGAAGAAGAGGAGGAAATTGAAGAGGAAGAAGAAGAGGAAGAAGAGGAGGAAGAATCAGAAGAAGATGATGATGACGAAGAAGATGATAATAGTGATAACGAACAAGGTGCATCGCGTAAAGTTGAAATTGATGAAGATGCTCAACATAATGCATTATTAAGAGACGAGATTAATGAATTATTAACCACTATTGAACAGAATAAATCTAGACTGGAAAAGACAAGTAATCAATTGTTACAAAGTAGATTTATTGATAGTATCAACAAGTTGGAGAAAGAATTGGAAAATAAAAAGAGACAGCTAAAGACTAGTGAAGATAAGAGTAATAGTAAAAAAGAACAAGAAAATGGAGAGGATCAAGATCAAGATGGTGATCAAGAGATGAATGATAGAGGTGATGATCGTGAAGAAGATGAAGATGAAGACGAAGATGAAGAAGATGAAGGAGATAACGATGACGATGACCTTGATGAATTGTTTGGTTAATGCAACATTATACATTTGCTAAAGTGCATGTACTTGTAGGCTAAAACTGTTTTTGCATCGAGTCGCAGAGCTAAATTTGTAACGGCACCATGGTCTTTTCAGAAATCAAGTCTAAATAGTCTCGAAATTCAAAGTGAGATGGTTACTATTTTTTGTGGTGTATATATATTGTCCCTTCCCAGATTGTATCAAAGACCGCGAGACTTTTAACGAAAAACCTAACCATAAACTAAACACTACACAATACAACACACACCACCAAAATGTCATTGAACTGGGTTATGAGAACCCCAGGAACAGAGTATCCCCCATTTGTACTCTTGGAGAATGAACAGGTCAAGTTTTCGCCACCGGAAATAGTTGATATCAAGCTCAAGCCATTGGAGTTAAAGAACCCAGACACTATTGGTCTCAAGGGTAAGATCTATCTCACAACCCACCGGATTGTGGTGCTGAGCAGTGGCAAGACTGGAAGAGAGAATAATGACAGCTTTGCCCTACTATATAAGGACATACAATCGCACAAGCTGGAGATGCCATGGTTTGGGAACAACAGGTACTTGATTCTGTTCAAGATCAGTAATCCAGACGGGGGGCTTAATTATCTTTATCCTTGGTCGCTGGTGGTGGACTTTACAAGCGGAGGGGCAATACGGTTTGCAGAGGAGTTCAGCACTATAAAGACGAGATTCGACAATGGACAGTTAGTTGATGAGTTGCCAGCGTATACAGAGTGAATAGATATATGACTATGAATATACACATTCACTTCCCGATCGGGCAGTCGACACGCTCCCCAAAAAACGATCGAGTCAAATTTGAAAATTGAGATGGAAAAAAAGTTCGGCTTTGGCTTTGCCATAATAAACAGCTGAAGCAAATATTGACAAGCGTAAACAAAGAGAAGAGGAATATTCTGAGATCACAGACTGAGCACACGATGGATTTCAACAGACCCATTCCACGAGAGGAAGTACAGAAGCTATATGAGGTGAGTACCCACACACACACACACAAGCACACACAGTGGCGACACGGCTTGCTTGCCCCTAGCGAGACAGAGAGTATTACAAGCTCACAAGTACAGTCCAATGGTGTGAAATCTGGAGAATCAGCATACTAACACACACAAACACAGCGATGGCAACACATAAAGGCACAACTAGGTGATGGTGCAGTGCACAACAATGAATTCATTCACTTATCCAAAGTGCTCAGACACATTTCAAAACAACAAGAGTTGGCTAGAAGACTACTACAACAACAACAACAACAACAACAACAGAGTAATGGGAATAGTAATGTTGGTACTCCTGCTCAACAACCAATGATGCCACCTGGATCTGCCAATACTCAAATCAATCAGAATAACATTGTTGGCCAACAACAACAGCCTAATTTTATACATAACAATAACGGTGCTAGTCAAAATGGATTCGTGAATCCTCTACAACAGAACCAACCTTTCCAAATGAACAATAACAATACTCAAAGTCCAATGCAACAGAATGTTCAAATTCCAACTTCTCAACAACAAGGTTTCCAAAGGCAGGCTCAGCAACAACAGTCGTTCACTCCACAATTGCAACAAGGCCAACCCCAGGGCCAACCACAACCACCACAGCAACAACCTCAGCAGAAGCAGCAACATCCTTTGAATAATGGACTGTTTGATCCTGAACAATCTGTCTTATTGAAAGCTCAAATCGCTGCCTTCAAGTGTCTTGTGAAGAATTTACCTGTTCCACCTGAAGTTAATCATATCCTTGCAAGATCTTTGGCTCAAACCTTACAGAATGATAAATCTCAATCTCAAATGCCATCTCAACAACCTACACCACAAATTCATCAAAGACAAGCTTCAATATCCAAAACCCAACCTACCCCTACAATACCACCAAATACTCAATCCCCTATGGGATCTGCTCATTCCAACTCTCAAAATAATACACCAACCATACCTAACAAAGCTAATCCAACCATCTCAAACATTAAACAACAATTACCACCACAATCAAAACCAAACATCTCTGCAGGTTCAGGCTTACACACTTTTGAAAACCAACCACCTGTTCCATTGGAACAGTTGAGAGCTGAATACCCAGATATAACTACAATTGTGCCTTATAATGATCCAAAGATTAAAGTTGATAGTTATACAAAACCTATTCAACAAAAAGCAGTTCCATTTGAACTACTTTACCATCCAAAATCAAGAGTGACAATACCTGGCGTATTTCCTGAAGGCTTGGATTTGAATGGCGCTTCACAATTACATGAAGCTGAAATTCAATTGGAAATTGATGGTGTGTTGGAAGAGATGAAGTCTAAATTTGATAACATTGCTGATGGGAAAGATCTTGAAGATCCTGAACATATTGATGAATTGATTGATTATTATGCTTTGAAATTATTACCTCTGCAAAAGGCAATGAGAGGACATGTCTTGAGTTTTGATTATTTCAAAAACTCATTACTGACAAATAGTCATCCAAATTTTCTGGCTAAGATTAGAAAAATTAGCCCAATTGATGCTCAAATTACAAATAATTTATATCTTCAACAACAATCTTTAAAAATTAAAATTGAACACAAGAAAAAATTTGACAAGATTGAAAAATTAACTTCAGATTCAAGTTCCATTATTAGAAAAAGATTTAATAAAAAAGATCAAGTTCAAAAATTTGGAAGATCTATTGTTCATTTACATGGTTACATTGAAAAAGAGGAACAAAAGAGAGTTGAAAGAAATGCTAAACAACGTTTGCAAGCTTTGAAAGCTAATGATGAAGAAGCATATATCAAATTATTGGATCAAACAAAAGATACAAGAATTACTCATTTGTTGAAACAAACCAATCAATTTTTGGATTCTTTAGCTCAAGCTGTTAAAGATCAACAAAAGGAAACTCATGAACATGCAAAGGCTTCAGGTATTGAAGTTGCTGATGAGTTTGATAATTTGGAAGGTGATGACAATGAAAATATTGATTATTATTCAGTTGCTCATAGAATTAAAGAGGAAATTAAAAAACAACCAAGTATATTAGTTGGTGGTGAACTTAAAGAATATCAAATGAAAGGTTTACAATGGATGGTTTCCTTATTTAATAATCATTTAAACGGTATTTTAGCAGATGAAATGGGTCTAGGTAAAACTATTCAAAGTATTTCATTAATCACGTATCTAGTTGAAGTGAAGAAAGTTAATGGTCCATTTTTAGTTATTGTTCCATTATCAACTTTAACAAATTGGAATTTAGAATTTGAAAAATGGGCACCATCTGTTAAAAAAATTACTTATAAAGGTACTCCAACTTTAAGAAAAATCATGCAACATGATATTAGAACTCAAAATTTTCAAGTTTTATTGACAACTTTTGAATATATTATTAAAGATCGTCCTTTATTAGCTAAAATTAATTGGGCTCATATGATTATTGATGAAGGTCATAGAATGAAGAATGCTAATTCTAAATTATCATCCACTTTAACCCAGTATTATCATACTGATTATAGATTAATCTTGACGGGTACTCCTTTGCAAAATAATTTACCAGAATTGTGGGCATTATTAAATTTTGTTTTACCAAAAATTTTCAATTCAGTGAAATCATTTGATGAATGGTTTAATACCCCTTTTGCAAATACCGGTGGTCAAGATAAAATTGAATTATCAGAAGAAGAGACATTATTGGTTATTAGAAGATTACACAAGGTTTTGAGACCTTTCTTATTACGTCGTTTGAAAAAAGATGTTGAAAAGGATTTACCAAATAAGATTGAAAAAGTTATTAAATGTAAAATGTCTGCAATTCAATCCAAATTATATCAACAAATGCTTAAGTATCATCAATTGTTTATCGGTGACGAAGAAGGTAAAACATTGGTTCCAATTAAAGGTTTAAATAATCCAATTATGCAATTGAGAAAAATTTGTAACCATCCATTTGTTTTCGAAGAAATTGAATATGCTTTGAATCCAACAAATGAGACTAATAATAAAATTTGGAGAGTTGCTGGTAAATTTGAATTATTAGAACGTGTCTTGCCAAAGTTTAAAGCTACAGGTCATAGAGTTTTAATTTTTTTCCAAATGACACAAATTATGGATATCATGGAGGATTTCTTGAGATTAAATGATATGAAATACCTAAGATTAGATGGTTCTACAAAACCTGATGATCGTACCAATTTGTTGAAATTGTTTAATGATCCAAATTCAGAATATTTTGCATTTTTACTATCTACAAGAGCTGGTGGGTTAGGTTTAAATTTACAAACCGCTGATACTGTTATTATTTTTGATACTGATTGGAATCCTCATCAAGATTTACAAGCACAAGATAGAGCCCATAGAATTGGTCAAAAGAATGAAGTTCGTATCTTGAGATTGATTACTGAAGATTCTGTTGAAGAAGTTATTTTAGAACGTGCTCATCAAAAATTAGATATTGATGGTAAAGTTATTCAAGCTGGTAAATTCGATAATAAATCTACATCTGAAGAACAAGAGGCACTTTTAAGAGCTTTATTGGAAGCTGAAGAAACTAAAAAAGGTGGTAAAGATGAAGATGAAGAATTAAATGATGATGAATTGAATGACATTTTGTCAAGAAATGATGATGAAACTATATTGTTTAAGAAAATGGATGAAGAAAACAAATATAAGAAAATCCAAGGTCGTTTATTTACAGAAGCTGAATTACCACCAATTTTCCAACGTGATCCATCAGATTTCTTCAAAGTTGAAAATGCAGAAGATTATGGACGTGGTGCAAGAGAACGTAAACAAACGTTTTATGATGAAAATGTTTCTGAAGAACAATGGTTGAGAGAGATTGATGGTATTGAAGAAGAGGATGAAGAAGAAGAGGATGAATTTGGTGATATCAAACCAACAAAAAAGAGAAAAAGATCTAGAAAGAAGAAGGATGTTTTAGATGAAGATGAAGATATCATGAAATATGCTGGTAGAAAAAGAAGAAGTGTTCCACCAGGTGCTACAGCTACACCAAGTGCTAATGATAGTGATATAAACAGTGGAGCTTCAACACCGGTTATGGAGAATAACGATGATTCTATTATTGGTGCTGGTTCGAAAACAGTTGCACATAAAGCTTTAGCCAAAAGTGGTGGTGGTGCTGCTAATAGACGCAGAGCTGCAGCCTCACGTAGAGGTAAAGGTGTTGGTCGTGGTAATGCAGGAACTCCAGTTAATAGATTACCAAAGATTGAAGATCCATTAAGCCCAGAGGAGCGTATCAAATTGACTGTTGATATCGATGAGATTTATCAAAACTTGATTGATTATACAAATGAAGAAGGACGTAAATTGAGTGAGATTTTCCTTGTTAAACCACCAAAGAAGTATTATCCAGATTACTATTTGTTGATTAAGAATCCAATTGCTTTTGATGTTATTTCCAAGAGAATTAAAACAAATATTTATTGTTCATTGAAGGAATTTATGGAAGATGTTCGTTTGATGTGCTCTAATGCAAAGATTTATAATGAAGAAGGTTCAATGGTTTATCAAGATGCAGTTGTTCTTGAAGAATTAGCTTTTAAGCTGTACGAGGAAAAGGGTCAAGGTGAAGCTGATTTAGATTTTAGTGCTTTTGATGCTGAATATTGTACAAAAGTTCCTCCAACTTCATCATTAAATGGAGCTACATCAACTATCAATACACCATCCAGCACAGGTACCACTACACCAAACCTGATGGATGGAACAATCGGAGGAAGTGATAAGTTTTAACGAATTGAAAGGGTATTTATTGTATATTAGAATGAATTTAGGAGTTTTCACACTTTGCACATGTTTCAATGTTTTTGTAAATTTCCTTCACATGTTTTTCAGATCTCGCGAATTCACGTGAGCCACAGTGTTTTTTTTTTTTTTTTTTGTTTTTTTTGAAAACGTTGCAACGAAAAAAAAGTTTAAACGACGGTTTTTTTTTATTTAAAGAGATTTGTATCCTAAAAATTTTCATTAGGGAGTTTTCCTTGGAAACAACAACAACAAAGTTCAACAAACCCCAAACTTTATCATCAACAACAACACAATGTCTGAAACATTCTTATTTACTTCCGAATCCGTCGGTGAAGGTCATCCAGATAAAATCTGTGATCAAGTTTCCGATGCCATCTTAGATGCTGCTTTAGCTATTGATCCATTATCAAAAGTTGCATGTGAAACTGCTGCTAAAACTGGGTTAATCTTAGTCTTTGGTGAAATCACCACTAAAGCTCAATTAGATTACCAAAAAATCATTAGAGATACCATTAAACATATTGGTTATGATTCAAGTGATAAAGGTTTTGATTATAAAACTTGTAACGTTTTAGTTGCCATTGAACAACAATCTCCAGATATTGCTCAAGGTTTACATTATGAAAAAGCTTTAGAAGAATTAGGTGCTGGTGATCAAGGTATTATGTTTGGTTATGCTACTGATGAAACCGATGAAAAATTACCATTGACCATTTTATTATCACATAAATTAAACAAAGCTTTAGCTGATGCTAGAAGATCTGGTGCTTTACCATGGTTAAGACCAGATACTAAAACTCAAGTTACCATTGAATATAAAAAAGATAATGGTGCTGTTATCCCACAAAGAGTTGACACTGTTGTTATTTCTACTCAACATGCTGAAGAAATTTCAACTGAAGATTTAAGAGCTCAAATTAAAGAACATATCATTAAACAAGTTATTCCAGAACATTTATTAGATGATAAAACCGTTTACCATATTCAACCATCTGGTAGATTCGTTATTGGTGGTCCACAAGGTGATGCTGGTTTAACCGGTCGTAAAATCATTGTTGATACTTATGGTGGTTGGGGTGCTCACGGTGGTGGTGCTTTCTCTGGTAAAGATTTCTCTAAAGTTGATAGATCTGCCGCTTATGCTGCCAGATGGGTTGCTAAATCATTAGTCCATGCTAAATTAGCTAGAAGAGCTTTAGTTCAATTATCATATGCCATTGGTGTTGCTGAACCATTATCCATTTACGTTGATACTTATGGTACTTCTAAATATTCAAGTGATGAATTAGTTGCCATCATCGGTAAGAACTTTGATTTAAGACCAGGTGTTGTTGTCAAAGAATTAGATTTGGCTAGACCAATCTATGCAAAGACTGCTTCTTATGGTCATTTCACTGATCAATCAAACACTTGGGAACAACCAAAACCATTGAAATTTTAGATCAATTGGTTTTAACCCAAATCAAAACAAAAAAAAAATGAATGAACGAAACCTCATTCAAAGGCATTAAACAAGACTTATTTTCTTCAATTCTCAAAAAGAATACAAAAGTATACGCTCAACTCGTATTACTTTATTTAATTAATTTTTTTATATCACTTTCAATTTCCAAGGTATTATAATTTTGGTTAAAAAGGGAGTGTTATTTTAATAACGGCTACATATTATATTAATGATAGATTTCACGGTACATAGTCCTCAACAGGCATGATTTTAATAATAAATAAATCAATAGAAATATTGAAAAGTTTTTGTAGACTTACAGTATACCGATGACTAAGCACCACTATCGTTATTACATAATATTCGTACTCCACGTTCAATTTTTTTTTCTTGTGAGGGACATTTTGATTTTAGATTTAAGCTTGTGCCATCGGAAATCAAACCATTTCAAATGTTATTGTCTGGATAATTTTAAAGTGGTGAAGGTGCCAATGACCTATTGTTCGATGGCAGTATAAATACAGAGCAGAGAACCAAATCATGTCTTTACTCTTGTCTTCTTTAATCTTCATCCCAAAATGCTGAGAAGAAGTATCAGACACTATTCAACAGACCTCAAGTCCACTTTGAAGAAGGTGATTCCTGCTAAGCAGGAATTGTTCAAACAAGTCAAGTCAAATTTAGCCGATAAAAAAATCGGTGACTTGACAGTTGGTGGAACAATTGGTGGTATGAGAGGTTATAAATCTTTATTATGGGAAGCTTCAGTGGTTGATCCAAATGAAGGTATTAGATTTCATGGTTACACAATTGAACAATGTCAACAATTTTTACCAAAATCCAAATATGAAACCGAGGATCCAAACAGTGAATTTTTACCAGAAAGTATGTTTTGGTTTTTACTAACTGGTGAAAAACCTACTCAAAAGCAAATTGATGAATTTAGTGAAGAATTGGCTTCAAAAGCAAGATTACCAAGTTATTTGGAAAGAATATTGGATTCATTACCAGCTACATTACATCCAATGACTCAACTATCAATTGGTATTAGTGCTTTGAATAACGATTCTAGTTTTGCTAAAGCTTATGAAAAAGGGATTCCAAAATCTGAGTATTGGGAGTACACTTTTGATGATTCAATTAATTTAATTGCAAAACTACCAAGTCTTGTTGGTAAAATTTACTCAAATACTTATCATAAAGGTGCCACTTTGGGTCAGTTAGATTTAGATAAAGACTGGAGTCATAATATGTCCTCATTATTAGGTATGACATCAGAATCTAGAAACATCAATAATCTAAGTAAACAAGAATCCAAGGATTTTGTTAATTTGGTTAGATTATATTGTGCATTACATGGTGATCATGAAGGTGGTAATGTTAGTGCACATGCGACGCATTTGGTTGGGTCTGCATTAAGTGATCCTTATCTAAGTTATAGTGCTGGTGTTCAAGGTTTAGCTGGTCCTTTACATGGGTTAGCTGCTCAAGAAGTTGTTAGATTTATTCTTGAAATGAAGGATAAAATATTTGGTGAAATTAACAATTCTGCCAAGATTGAAGAATATTTATGGAGCTTGTTGAATTCTAAAAGAGTCATTCCTGGATATGGGCATGGTGTCTTGAGAAGACCAGATCCAAGATTCAATGCAATGATTCAATTTGGTTTAAATAGACCAGAACAATTTGAAAGAGATGTTCTTTTCCAATTGGTAAAAAACTTGAGTAAAGTTGCACCTGGTGTGCTTAAAGAACATGGGAAAACTAAAAACCCATTCCCAAATGTTGATTCCTCATCTGGTATTTTATTCTATCATTATGGTGTTAAAGAGTTGTTATTCTTCACTGTGATCTTTGGAGCATCTAGATCATTAGGTCCATTAGCACAATTAGTTTGGGATCGTATCCTAGGATTGCCAATTGAGAGACCAAAGAGTGTTGATCTAAAGACATTGGCCCAATGAAATGTATAGCGATAAATATATAATCCATATTCATATAATTCCATTGTATCATGAATATGATTGTCCGTCTATTTCCGATAATCTGATCTGCTTACATAACTTCCCCGTAATCACCTCCACAAATTTCGGTTGAGTCAATTACTGAATTTTGTTTGTTTCGAAAGACCAAAAACAAAAGCGAAAAAGGTTAAAACCCATATTTTTTCAATCAAATGATGATCAATAATAATAAGATCGGACAAGTATCGGGAATGGGTATACAGTGACTATTTAAAACAGGTACAATTTCTTGAATCAATATCAATTGGAATTGTTATTCATCATCTTCTCCAAACATGCTCAGATTCAAAAGACAATTGTCAACTTCAATCCCAAGAATGTCTTCAATAATCACTGAAAATACTAGACCAGAACCTGACAAAGTGTTGAAAGACATTTCATCATACATCCATGAGTACAAAGTTGACTCTAAATTAGCATTTGACACTGCGAAACTATGTCTTTTAGATACCCTAGGTTGTGGATTAGCTGCTTTGAAATACGAGCAACCGAAAAGAATCATTGGACCAGTGGTTCCTGGAACAGTTGTTCCTAATGGTACAAAAGTTATTGGAACATCTCATCAATTGGATCCTGTTCGTGGTGCCTGGAGTATTGGAACTTTGATCCGTTGGTTAGATTATAATGATTGTTGGTTAGCTGCTGAATGGGGGCATCCTTCTGATAACCTTGGTGGGATTTTAGCTGTTGCTGATTATTTAACAAGAGCTAAGAAAAATGGTGTTGAAGGTCAAATATTCACTGTTAAAGATGTTTTAGAAGGTATGATTAAAGCTCATGAAATTCAAGGTGTTTTGGCTCTTGAGAATTCTTTCAATAAAGTTGGTTTAGATCATGTCTTGTTGGTTAAAGTTGCCACTACAGCTGTTGTTTCCAAGATGCTTGGTTTAAATTATGATCAAACTATTGATGCTTTATCTCAAGCTTTTGTTGATGGTCAATCCCTAAGAACTTATAGACATGCCCCAAACACAATGTCTAGAAAATCATGGGCCGCTGGTGATGCCGTTTCAAGAGCTGTTAATTTAGCTTATCACGTTAAAAATGGTGAAGGTGGTATGCCTTCAATATTATCTGCAAAGACATGGGGGTTTTATGATGTTTTATTCAAAGGAAATGAATTCAAATTTCAAAGACCTTATGGATCTTATGTTATGGAAAATGTTTTGTTTAAAATTTCATTCCCTGCAGAATTTCATGCTCAAACTGCAGTGGAAGCTGCTTTGACTGTCAATAAAAAATTGTCAGAATTGGGTAAATCTTATAAAGATATCAAATCTGTCAAGATTAGAACTCAAGAAGCTGCTATGAGAATTATTGACAAAAAAGGTCCATTATACAATTATGCTGATAGAGATCATTGTATCCAATATATGGTTGCCATCCCATTAATACATGGTCGTTTAACTGCTGATGATTATAGTGATTCAATTGCATCAAACCCTGACATTGATGCCTTGAGAGACAAAATGTATTGTGTTGAAGATAAACAATTCACTGTTGATTACCATGCTCCAGACAAGAGATATATTGGTAATGCTTTAACTGTGGAATTGAATGATGGTACAACTCTTGATGAAGTTGTTGTTGAATTCCCAATTGGTCATAGAAAGAGAAGAGAAGAAGGTAAACCTGTTTTGTTGAACAAGTTTGAAAGACATGTTTCTGAACATTTTAATGATCCTTCAAAAGTTGACAAGATTTTGAAAGCCAGTTATTCACCAGATTTTGAAAAAATGGATATCGATGAGTATGTTGATTTATATGTTTGATTATTTGCCAAACAATCTATTTATTTTAATATCTATTTATGAATACATGAACTTATAACTTATAAAAATTTCCCAAATGCCTTATCAAATTTGGTCAATTTATAGCCATGAGTGCGCCAATATTCATCTTCTTCAGCTAATTCAGCAATATCACTAACAAAATCCATTTCACTTGCCCTAATAAAACCTTTTCTATAGAAAATTTTGTGACCAACAAATAAAACAATGAAAAATGCAATCATGAAATAGCTGAAAACAAAACTTTGTATATCCCAGTTACCTTTTAAGAAAACAGTATATCCATCCATCAATAACATTAAAGAAAACCAAAATAATGACCACCAAGTGAAAAAGGGTAAACCCCATCCTTTATATGGGATGAATTCATCTCTATTAAAACCTTGAGCTTTTAACCCAGCTCTATATCTTAGGTAAGAAATGCAAATGAAAATATAAACAATCAACATACCAGCTGTTTCAACGTTTAAAAACCATGTCAACACTTTATTTGTACCATTTGAAACATTCAAGTATGCCAATAAAGAAATGATTAAAACCATACCAACACAATATATTGGAACTCCCCGACGTGTGGTATATGCAAAGATCTTTGGAGCTTTCCCACTTAAAGCTAATCTTTGTAATGCCTTAGTTGCAGAAAATAATGATGAATTTCCTGCACTAACAATTGAGGTTAAAATTAATGCATTTATAATATGTGGTAAAACTGAAACTTTTAAATTAACACAAGCTGCTGTATATGGTGAAGCTGCAGCATTACCAGCATGTTCAGAAATTGCATCTAATAATGTTTGATCATCTGAAGGTAATAAAATACCAACACATAATGCCCCACCAATATAAAAAATAACTAATCTTGCTAAGACTTTGTTAAATGATCTAGGCATTGTTTTACGAGGATCTATAGCATTTTGTGCAGCTAATGATAAATAATCAATCCCCCAAAAAACATAAGTTGCAAAGATTAAACAAGCCATAAATCCATGGAATTTACCCATTGAACCAGTATCTAAATATTCAACAAATGGTTTATGAGCAAAATTGTGAAACCCTAAAACTTTATGTTCAGGATTACCACCAGACATAACAACTATTGTGAAAATAATTAATCCAATAGCCAAGATAACTTTACCCATTGATAAATAAAATTCACCTTCACCAAACATAAATAAACTAAAACAGTTTAATAAAACATATAATATTAGAAAAACTGAAATCCAAACAGCTTTGGGCACTTTACTTGTCCAAAATTCAATAACAAGACAAATGGCTGTCAATTCAAAACATAAATTAGCATTTTGTGTTAAATAATAAACCCAACCTATAGCAAACCCACAACTTTCATCAACGAATCGTTCGGTATAATGAACAAATGAACCGGAAACTGGTAAAAAAGTACATAATTCTTGGATAGAATTGGAAGCACCCATAAATACAGTAGTCCAAAAGCAAAATGCAATTAATAAAGAAGCACCACCACCATGTGTTAGTTGTGTTCCAATACTAACGAAAAGACCAGTTCCTATTGCACCTCCAATCCCAATTAAAGAAACTTGACGAGGTAATAATTTTCTTTTGGATATTCTCTCCTCTAATGTTGGTTTATTTGAAGATGATGTTATTGATTCAGTGGTGATTATTTCACCAACCTGTTTAGAATCATCAACTTCTTTCTCTTTAGATGTTATATCAAACTTTTCCATGATGATTTCACCAACTTGTTTTGACTCATTCAGTTGCTTTGGGCGTCTCTAAAGTTTTTGGTAATTAAGGATTTTGGACCCTTTATATATATGAAACATGGATCATGGAGAAAGATAACGGTATCAAAGCATTTTGGATGCAGTCTCTGAAGTATCAAGTACTATCATCAATTTGGACTCTGATCTTGATCTGAATGGCCTATAAAACTGCCAGAGCCCATACTAAAAATTCCTTTTCGCGAATTCAATTTCATTTTCGAGGCATCAATTCCGCTCGTTTTCAGAAGGAGACAGCGAGCGTATAAGCTGCCAATTTATAAAGTGACAGAGATTTTGATTAAATATTAGATGGTGATTTAAATGATTTGAGTGATTTGATGATGATATTTGATTACTATTGTGGTGAGTTACTTGTGATATGGTTGATATATGGGGCCAATATTAGCTAGTGTACTCGGAGAAAGTGAGACTGACAACAGATGAAAGCTAGGTATTCCTTGATGAAGTGACAGTCAATACAATTTGACACAAAATACTAGACTTTGGAGTAACTGAACCCATGGACTGAAAGGCTGGTATAATCTTGTATTTGGAAGCCGGAAATCACGCAATGCACCTTAAATTGAGAACGTAGTATCAGCTTTTATACTCTCTTATCAGTACGTGAATGTGATGTCTGGCCAACTGCACTACAATAGTGCTATAAACACCAATACAAGTTTGAGCCACTTAGATTCAATGAAGACATCTTAGTCAATAGATCATCTAATCAACAGTGGACCTCACCGTCGTTTGAGCATTCATAGAGGATAACCAAAAATAGTTTATCATCTACTAGTGACACGAAAGAACTGGCAGTTTACCCTATTGGTTTTTTCGCGAAAACTTACATAATATATACGTAATATTCGCGAATTCAAAGATCAAAACAATCGAAGTTGAAGTGGCAATTGGCGTGAAAAGAACTTGATCACAGTCAAGACGAATTCAATTGGAATACCAAATAACCCATAAACCCAATTGTCTTTTATAATACAGTGTCCTGAAGAAAATGTCCACACTAGAGGAAGTAGCTGACCAACAACGTCCAGAAGATGAAGAGATAGATCAAGAAATCTTGAGTTCTACAACAGATGACATAAATAGTCGTACAAGACTTTTAGATAATGATATCAAAGTTATGAGATCTGAAATGCAGAGATTATCCCATGATAAACAAGTCATGTTGGAGAAAGTTAAAGACAACAAAGACAAAATTGATAATAATAAACAATTGCCATATTTAGTTGGTAACATTGTTGAATTATTGGATGTTGAAGCTGAAGAAGATGCTGAAAAACAAGGTGCAAATATAGATTTAGATTCCACTAGAGTTGGTAAATCTGCAGTGGTGAAAACTTCAACAAGACAAACAATTTTCTTACCTTTGGTAGGTTTAGTTGATCCAGAAACTTTGAAACCAAATGATTTAGTTGGTGTTAACAAAGATTCTTACTTAGTTTTAGATACATTACCTGCAGAATATGATTCAAGAGTTAAAACAATGGAAGTGGATGAAAAACCAACAGAAACCTATTCAGATATTGGTGGGCTAGATAAACAAATTGAAGAATTAGTTGAAGCTATTGTCTTACCAATGAAACAAGCTGAAAAATTCAAGAAATTGGGAATAAAAGCTCCAAAAGGTGCTCTTATGTATGGTCCACCTGGTACAGGTAAAACTTTATTAGCAAGAGCTTGTGCGGCTCAATCAGAAGCTACATTTTTAAAATTAGCAGCTCCACAATTAGTTCAAATGTTTATTGGTGACGGTGCTAAATTAATTCGTGATGCATTTGCTTTAGCTAAGGAAAAAGCTCCAACTATTATTTTCATTGATGAATTAGATGCTATTGGTACAAAGAGATTTGATTCTGAAAAATCTGGTGATAGAGAAGTTCAAAGAACTATGTTGGAATTATTGAATCAATTGGATGGGTTTGGTTCTGATGACCGTGTCAAAGTTTTAGCTGCTACAAATAGAGTTGATGTTTTAGATCCTGCATTATTAAGATCTGGTAGATTAGATAGAAAAATTGAATTTCCACTACCTTCTGAAGAAGCTAGAGCTTCAATTTTACAAATTCATGCTAGAAAAATGACTGTTGATGGTGCTATCAATTGGCAAGAATTGGCAAGATCCACTGATGAATTCAATGGTGCTCAATTGAAGGCTGTTGTTGTGGAAGCTGGTATGATTGCTCTAAGAAATGGTCAATCAAGTGTTAAACATGAAGACTTTATTGAAGCTATAGGTGAAGTTCAAGCTAGAAAGACAAAATCAGTTTCCTTTTATGCATAATCTCTACATCTGTATCTTAAACAAAGAAAAGATTTTCATTTTACCTCATTCATAGTAGTAAATCTTTCCTGAAGAACCAGAAAATGCAACTTTACTAACTTCTTTTGTATTCCACAAGACTTGAGTAATTGCCTTCTCATCTATTTTCAATTTTTTAATCATTTTAGTTGTTTTCCAATCCCAAAACAATGCATTACCATTAGAATCACCACTAACCAAGTTTTTACCATCAGGACTAAAATCAATACCAATACCATAACCTGCACAATTATGACCTATAAACGATTTTTTCTTATTTGTTTTATATCTATCACGAGCACTGAAAACCATAATTGTATTATCCATAGATTGTGCTGCGAAATATTTATTATGCGGGTGAACTCTAGTAACTGGCATTGAATGTAATGAAGGATCAGAAATTAACTTGACAGGAATATTGATTTGTAAATCCCACACACGAGCAGTTTTATCTTCAGACGTTGATATGAATCTTTTTGTTTCCAAAAATGTAATACTATTGATGGATCCTAAATGATGATCATAACTTTGGATAACTTGATTAGTCTTGATACTATAGTGATCAATTTTACTATTCATTAACCCAACAATAAATTCATCATCATTGAATGGGTTGAATTTAACAACATTGGCCACTGATTTCAGTCTGAATTTTGCTAAACATTTACCACTCTCAGTTTCCCATAATTTAACCCAGTGATCATAACTGGCACTTAAGAACTTTGTCCCATCACTGTTGAAAGAGATATCTTTAATAGGTTTGGTGTGCCCATAAAACCCACGTAATAATTCTCTTTTATGATAGACGGACCACAAATATATTTTGGAATCATTACCACAAGAAAGTAATAAATGGTTTGAATTAGGGAAGAATAAAATTTTATTTGTACCATTAACATGACCTTTCCAAACATGTATCTGTCTTTTAGGCACAAAACACTCTTCTGGTATAGCATCATTTTTCAAATTGACACCAACGTCAGTGGGTATATGCATGTAGCTTCTTCCTTGATAATCAATTTCTGACTCACCGAAATACTCTGTAGTCTCTGATTCTTCCTCGTCTTCTTCTCCGGTCTCACTGAATTGTTCATTTTCTGCTTCTGATTCTTCACTAGCTGATTTTGGCACATCTTGCTCCTCATCACTAGATGAATCATGATATTTTGCCCAAGGACCAGCATAGGAATGTTCTCCATCGACAACATCAGACTTCCCCTTTTTCGCTCTCTTGCTTTTTATCCTTTTCTTATCTTCTTTAGTTGATCGAAGTTCAGTTATATCCCTTTTATTTAATCTTTTGGCAGTTTCTTCATTGCCTATAATCGCATTTGGATCATATATACTTTTTGCATATCCCAAGTTTTCGAAATTTCTGTGTTGTATCTCAAATGTTGTATCATCGAATGTTTCCCTTTCAAAGTGACCACTTATTGTCTTTTGTATTTGTTTATTTCCATTATCACCATGATCAATTGTTGTTATTGTTAGAGCTGTTGAAGTTGGTTTTGCCGATACTTGAGGGGCAGCATCCACTCTTTGAGCTTTGAAAACTTGTTTTGGAATTTCTTCTGGCTCATCTTCAGACGAGGAATATCCATTGATTAAAGGCATCTTTTTCGGTTGTTTCTCTACTAGTTAAATGGTGAATCTCAGTACAAATTTTCCAATTTCTATCAAAAGTAGTGCAAAGTTCAAAAAGTGGTGATAATTTTTTTTTTAAACTTGAAGCTGAGATGAGATGAGATGCTTGGGCCATAAACAAGTTTAAAATTAACTCTACAAAAATGTCCAAAAGAAGAATCGAAGAAGAAGAAGAATCTGATATTGATATCAGCAGCACAGACTCAGTATGTTTATCCGGTGGTATTTTTCATTGGTTCCAAACTAACAGTTGAGTAAGGAAAACTCTGACCAAGAGGAAGAAGAGGAGGAAATCATTAATGTTGACTTTGATTTCTTTGACATCAACAAAGATATAGATTTCCATGCTATCAAAAATTTGACCCGTCAATTGTTAGGTGAAGATGGTAAGAAAATTCAAATTTCACCATTAGCTGACTTAATATTGGAAGCACCAACAATCACAATCAAGACAGATGGTAAAGATTCTGATCCATACGCTTTCCTAACGGCTTTAAATTTGAAGGATTTGAAAACTAACGACTACTTGAAATACATTCATAAATCAGATGCCAAACTTTCAGCTTATTTAAACAAAATATCACATAAAAATAATGCATTATTACTCGGTGAAAGAATGATTAATATGCCTATTCAGGTTATCCCAGCTATTTTCAAATTAACATTAGAAGAAGCTGAAAAGGCAAATGGTGCACATTTTGATCACTATTTGATACCTTCAAGAAAATATGAAGTTAACGATGAAACTGAAGAAAACTCAAATAAAAGAATTAGAACTGTGGAGGTTGACTATTATCATTTTGAAGATAAATTCTTGGAAGATAATGCATCATTCAAAACCCAATTAGAATCAAGAGGTGGGATTATACAATCATTCATTGTTGTTAGCCATGAAGGTGTGATAAAAGCTATCGGTGAGCTAGAAGATGTCATCACATCCATGTTTCAATAGAAATATACGTCTACATGGACAATTTCAATTTTTTTTTGTTTTTGCATTCTTCATATTGACCAAGGATCTATTCCTATTAATGAACCGTAGACCCCATTCCCACATCCAAATAGTTGCCATCTATAACCAACATGATCAAGCCAAATAGTAATAGGTTTGGTTGTTTTCTTATAACCAGCAACATCATTAACAGAAGGAACAACAATATAAGCTGTTCTACTGTTTGGTTTATCTCTGGCCTTAACATCTAAGAGACTGCCACTCAGTTGTTCAACAGCATCATTAAACTCCAAACCATGCATTTCAAACCAAGCTTCTGAGTCATTAGTTTCTGAATAATTAAATAAATCATCATCTGCAGATTTCAAAGCATCAATAGATGTTTCTTCAAATTTGTTAGCTTTATCACTCAACTGTTTGGCTTTCCCTGAATTATTTGTTCTCCAAGCATCTGTGGACATTTTAGCATATTTTTTTCTCTGTGCTTCATTTTTATTTGCTGAATTCCTATTGTTTATATAGGATTTGAAATATTGGCTTTCAGTTGTATTTTCCCATGGAATCAAAGTTGGCTTCTTGATTGGTTTCACAATTTTTATAGCTTTTGAAGGAACAAATGATGAAACTGAGCCAACATTAAAGTTTGCAAAGTTAGTTGTATTAGCAGAACTTGGACTTGCATTAGTGCTACCTTGTATAGGTGTATTGGAGGATGAAGGTGGAGTCAATGGTTCTTTTGATAAATCCGTTGTTGATAAGTCAAACCCATGTTTAAATAAACACTTTTCACCAGCAAGACAATTTCCCTTCAACCAAAAGCTACAAACTCTGGAATCAATGTCATGACTGAACTTACAGTCAGCTCTTAAGCAGGAACCATTTTTAATGAAAAATGAACATAAAGCCTTGTTTTTCTTATCAACTGAGAAAAACGGTTCAGAAGTAGTTGGTGGAGTGGAAATGCTTGTTTGCTCTTCACTTGACTTTAACTGATTCATCAAATGAGTAGCTGCCTCTATAACATCATAACCGTTGGCTTTTAGTGCTTGTTCTATTCTATGTCTTGGAATACTTCCGTTAAACATATCATTTAATTGATCGATAGGCGATGAAGTAACAACAGGTGCTTGTCTTTTCTCTCCGTAAAGTTCATTTCTTAATTCTTGAGTCTTTAGTAGCAAGTCTTGGTATTCACTATCAATCTTTTCAATTTCAGTTTGAGTTCTACTATTCTTTTGTTTGGATTTTGCATTCAAAACTTCCAATTCTCTAACCTGTTTCTCAAGTTCTAATCTTCTTTCCAAACTTGGAATGTCAATTTTAGTCTCGATATCTTGGACCGAGATAATTTTAGCTTTTGGCTGTATCTTCTTACTTGGATCCTTATGCTTCCATAATATATCAAGAATAATCTTTTCAGCTTCTTTAGACGAACATTTATGCTTCTTGAGTACTAAATCCTCCAAGAGATCAATCTTATCCTCCTCGAACAGTGAGTCATTGTTCAAGATCTTATTACACTCTTCTTGGAAATCAGACATGTCTCTCTTATGCCAAAACCTTCTTGAATGTCTTTACGTCTCTCTGTCTTTATACAAAGTGTATCAAACTCATTGGACAATCGCTAATTTGAATATGAAGTGGTATAAATATTTTGTGCTGCTGCCCGTACCGAAATCCGCGAACTTTCTTGATTTTTTCACAGAAAAAAAAACATCAAAACAACGAAGCGCAAAAACGCCTCTGAGCAGGGAAAAACAATCATACAAAACAGCTCAAACAACAACCCTTTCCCATCAGCAGTCGTCGGTTTTCAACAGTGGAAGACCAGAGAAACAGCACATCACCAGAAAAAGACCGGTTCCAAAACGTTGTGCTGCTGCTGAGCCACGTTCAATTTCACCACCAGTGTTTTTTTTTGGTTTTTTTGGTTTCGAGGACATCGGAATTGACCAGAGAAAGGTGCTTTCAAAAGTGGTTTAATAACAACGTCAATTGGACCATCGCAATCATCTGGATTACACGTTTCTAGCTCTATCTGGTGTGGGATTACAATAAATAACATGTCTTCAGGTCTGAACATGGATAGGCTTCGTTTGGAGGCCTTGGAGAGACGAAAAATAGAGGCTGGAAGTTTGATACAGAGTCGAAAGAGAAAGTTGGCAGAATTGTATTCAGTTTCAACATTATCACGTATAAGGGAGATAAATGATGAAGTCTCACTAAGGCCCGTCAAGGACTCGCTAATGAGCTTTTTGGAGAAGAATGATTTGCAAAATGGCCATATTTTTGATTCAAAGACATTACAATCAAACAATGCATCTACACAACAAACACCATCTCAATCGCAGAATCAGCCACAGGAACCCCAGTCTGCTTCAAACCCTTCACCACAACAGCCCAATCAACAAGATGCTGAAACAGAATCTCAACTACAGCGAAGTTCACAACAATCACAAGCACAACCAATTACGAATAAACCACCACCTAAAGAAGCAGCTACATCTGACAATGAAGTGAGAGTTCAACCAAACATAACAGATTCAACCAGTGATGCTAATGAACCAAGTGAAGTGCCCGTTGAAAAAGTGGAATCCAAAGAGACACGCATTGATGAGGAACAAAACAAGCAACCTGAACAAGAAATTCAAAAACTTCCACGAAGACCTATTGTTAAGAAACGAAAGACTTCAGATAATAAGATATCTTTGTTTGACCCTTTCAATAAGGAAGCAATTGATACTCATGTCTTGCTATTGAAGGAACAATTACCACCAAGAATTGCAGAAGCAACACCATTAGCTGAACTTTATTACCTGGCTCAGACGCTGCCGCTTGTTAAATTGATGCCTTCAACTCACAAAGTTATCACCTCGACAATGTTTGAAACTGCGCTTACGGAAGGTAAAATCAATGTTGTTCATTCAAGAATAGAAGAATTGAAAAGACAAGGGAAATGGAGTTTAAGACAACCTACAAAATTTATTGATCCAATCAGAGGTAATACAAAGACACATTGGAATCATCTACTATCAGAAATGAATTGGATGGCCACTGATTTCAGAGAGGAAAGAAAATTGAAAATTGCAACATGTGCTTACATTGCTCAATCTATTAGTGATTACTGGAATTATGGTAAAGTTTGTTGTGTTAAAAGAAAACCAATAGAGTACTTGGATAAAATTGATGAAGATAAAGAGATGGAACAGATTTTTGATATAGAAAATGCAGCAGATGATGACGTTGATGAAAAAGATAACATTGACATTTCCAAACTTTTGGCAAGACCTGATCTATCAGTTGAAATTACACCACCTGAATTACCTCAAGTTAGCGAAGAAGAATATACTGAACACTCTACCACATCAGCTTTCAAAGCATCAATAGATTTTGATTCTTTAACAGATCAAAATAGGACATTATTGGAAGAAATGCCAGCATTCACTTCTTTTGAACAGTATGATGATAAATTCAGCTCTGCACCTTTAGTTCCCGTCTCAAAATCATTAATACCGATTGAAGATGATACTTGGTACAATGTTTTATTTAAACAAATTGTGGATGAATCAGATTCTGTACCAGCTCAACAAAAAGGTTTATTTGGTTTTTCATCACAGAAAAGGATTAATACATCAATCAAGCCACCACCTCCTCCAAGTCTTAAGTATCTGGATTTAAGAACTCCAACAATATGGCTCCCTGAAGATGATCAAAACTTAATTGAATATGTTAATCAGTTCTCATTTAATTGGGGCGTTGTATCTGCCTATTTATCCAAAAAACCCACTAGGAGCTACTCGTCAAATATTGAAAGAAGAACACCTTGGCAATGTTTTGAAAGATATATACAATTGAATGATACATTTCAAATTAATGATATGAGAGGACAAAATACATTGAGTGCTATGAAATGGTTAGAACATGCACATAATATACAAGCTACAACAAAGAGAAGAATTTCCCCCCTGGGTGTTGGTGTTGATTCTATTCAAAGAGGCCATAAGCGTTTGCGTTGGGCAAGTATGTTTGAAGCTATTAGAAAATGCATGAGAAAAAGAGAAAGTGTTACTAGACCTAATAATAACCAAGTCCGTAAAAATGGTGATGATAAAAAACTTGGTGCTCCTACACCAGCTGAATTATCAAAGTTGAAATTTGAAAGAGATAAAGCAATTCAAGAGGCTTATATGCAAAATCCAGTTAATGGTTTCAGAGGAAGAATGCCACAAGCTGCTCCTGCTCCTTCAAGTACTGGTAATCATTCAACAGGTCCAAACGGTCCGACACCACCAGGCTCCAATGTTGCACCAGCTCCTCGATCTGCGTCTCAATCACAAGCGCAAAATCAAAATCAATTACAACAACAACAGCTACAACAAAGATTTAATGACGCTAATAAACGACCAAATTCAGTTCCAGTCCCTGGTCAAGCACCACAATCAAGAGCAGGAATGACTCCAGCAAGTGGTTCAGCTACTTCTAACAGCGTACCAACTGGCCAAAGAGTTGCACAACCCAATGCTATGCCAAAGATTACCGGACCAAATGGGGTTCCATATACTCCAGAGCAAGTCCAACAGTTGATGCAATTAAGACAAAGAAAACTGATGCAACAGGCTCAACAACAAGCACAAGCAGGCACCAATGGCTCTCAACAAGGTTCACCATCCCCTAATATTGGCAATGCTCAACTTGTCAATCCATCATTGAATCAAGCTAATTTAAATGCCAACAATATTAGGTCAAATAGTAACCCTCAAGTTTCTGGTACATCGAGTCCATTAATTGGTCAAGCACAAACAGTCAATCCTACCCCTAATGGAACCAACAATAATGGTGGCAATGGAAATAATGGACGTAAATTGACATTTGTTCCTGCTCATGTTTCAGCCATAATTAATCAGATTCAATCTCAAAATCCAAATATGTCCAAACAAGAGGTTACAAAGATTGCTGCTCAATATTTGGCAAACCTTCAAGCTAAACAGAATCGTGTTAATTCAGTGAATGGTAATGGTAATGCTAGTTCTAATGGGCCAATACCTTCTGGTCCAATTCAAAATGCACAAAATCGTGTTCCATCCACTCAAGCTTCACCAACTGGTATGTCACAAGCCAAGTTATCTAGTGGTGTACCAACCCCTCAACAGATTCTGCAGCAACAAGCTGTAACATCATCACCAACTATCCAATCACCTCGTGTTCAACAAGCTCAATCTCAACAGCCAGTAAGGATACAACAACAACAACAATCACCAGCTGTATCCTCTCCACAAATTCCCTTACAACAATCAAATTCAGTTGGATCTCAAGGGTCGCCAGCGTTGACGCCTCAGCAAAAGGCACAGTTAGATATGCTGAAAGCTCTACATGCTGAACAACAACAGAAGAGACAACAACAGCAACAGCAGCAGAATCAGCAAGGCGGTCAACAGTTTCAGCAGTTTCAACAACAAAACTCTCAGCCTCAACAACTATCCAATTCAAATATTCAAAACAATACACCAAACAAATCAAACGCTAAATCTCTGCAGCCTAAATAGGGCTGTATTCTAATAGTGTTAATTACCATTACCAAAGACAATTTTGCTTTTGATGCCTTTTCAATAGGATTTGTTCCATAAAGAATTATCATTATGATATATGTGTGTGTGTTTTTACGATCTATCAGGTTATGACAAATAAATGACGAGTAGTACATGATTTTAAATTACATTCCAATTATTAGCGTAGTGATGAAACAAAGGATTTATATTTTCAAAGACTGACATAAAAACACGATTATCAAATATGACTAACCCAAAAATTAATTATAAATAAATTACAAAATGTTAAAAAGCAGCATGCGCTCAAACTGAAAAAAAAGATAGGTAGAATGATCAATCAAATAGTACTTGGGAATGTATAAGTACTAGTTTCTTCCACATCTGAACCATTGACAACATAATTCAATTTCCATTTGATTTTTAAAGGTGCACTTGGATTATTTGAATCAATTCTAAAGACTTGGGTAACAGCATCTTTAGCATAAGAACCTAAGAAGCTACCACTTTGAGGTTCAAGACGTAAAGATAATGATTTTGGAACTGCAATCAAAAATTGCAAATTCGAAATAGCAAAAGTGCCAATATTTGAGAAAATAGCTTTTGCCAACACTGTATTTGAAGATTCTTTCTTCAACTCTAATTCGAATTTCAAATGTTGCGATTCATTAACTGTTGAACGTGGTGATGTTGAGGAATGTTGTTGGTTTTGATTTTGTTGTGGAGATGCAAAAGATCCAATTAAGGAGGTATCCAATGAAGCAAATGCATTTTGATTAGATGAGGCAATAGTTGGGTTAGCTGTTGGGGCAGCAGATGTTGAAGAAGTGTTTGAAGATAATTGGTTGAATATATCGTAGTTTGGTGAAGTTGCTCTGGATGGTTGATTTGAAGAAAAATCTAATGTTATATCACCACCAGAACCAAAGTTATTAGTACTTGATGAGGTGGTGTTATTTCCAAATGATAAGCTACCCAATTCACCTAGTAAATCATCAACGCCCCCAGATTGTTTACTTGATTCAGGAGCTGGTGATGTTTCTTCATCATCAAAATCAATCAAGTTTAATGACTCTTTAACATTTGATCCAGCACTAGCAACATGAAGTTTTGAAGCATTTTGAACATCACCAGCTTTCAACAAGTTGTACTTTTCAACTAATGAATTCACTGTATCGTTTATTTTTAACAAATCCTGAACTGCTTCCTCATCATCCTGTTCTTCTTCGATAATTTTTTGAATTTTTGGTTGTGCAACTTTCAATGAGCTGTATAATTCCACCAAAGTTTCATCAGATGTATCAATATGACCAGTTTTTTCAGAAGCTGATAACATCTCATTGAAAATATCAGCTTTTCTTTTCAACCTATCTAGATCTTCAGCAACTTGAGCTCTACTATCAACCAAATTATCATCTTTGAAACCTGCCATGATTTTCATCAATTTATTTGCTTCCTTCAAATCACTAGGTCTACCACGTCTAACCAATTCTTGTAGCTTAGCAGCTTGTGCAACAGCTTCTTCTTTTTGTATTTCAGCAACTGATTTCAAATTGTCGGAAGGATTCAAAACAGATGCATCTTCAGCTTTAACTTCTGGAAAGACATAACCTTTGTAAGACAATAACCTATGCATATCCCTAATGAAACCTAAATCTTCTTTATAACGAGAAGTTTTACATAGAGTTTGGTTCCATTCTTCAATTTGACCCAAAATCAATCTTTGGGGACGAGAGTATCTAACTGGTGGTCTTTCTGGGAATCTTTTGACTAATTCATTAAGAAACTCCTTACGAGATATTTGCAAATGGAAAGGATAACCACAGTTTTTCACCAAGACATCTAAAAGATTCAATGCAAAAATGGATGTATGACTATCTCTGCTATTGATCAAATTGACAATCGTAACAGCAGCTTCTCTTGGACTGGGATGGTGTTAGTAACTTTGCTCTTAAGATCTTAGATATCCTCAATACTTACGCTCCACCTTGCTTATCGTTCACATAGTCTGCGACTGCTAAATTCAACGCAAGATCAGGCTCCGCTAGCGTAGATCTGCAAGCCCTATCTATTTAACATAAGTTAGAATCAAGTTCATGATCAAATTCTCGAGGATTCAATTGACATGATCAATGATTGATGTGTCATCTGAATAACTTTCAAGATTTCTATTATCCACTTACAAATCTTTCTCACCAAAGAAGATGAGCTGCTTTGATGCTGTCTTTCCTGGTAAGACATTTTTCTATCACTCTTTATAGAATCTCTTTCTTTTAGATACTCAATTGGAATTCTTGAAAGTGTTGATAAACTTTGCCGAATCAAACTTGTCAATACGAAATCTCCTTTAAACAACCCAAAAAACAATTCGCGAATTCGTTTTGCAAACTGATAGAGGGTAACCGGTAAGGGCAACACTGATATAAACTTTCCAAAAGTTTTGCATGGTGAGTTAGAGTAAAACCCTTCTAAAAGCTCATTTTATCAAAATTATTAACCAGCAAATGTCAAGTTCTGGTACAAATTCTATACATAGAGCTACTCATGAAGCATTGAGTGGTGGTTCTACCGTGAATTCAAGCTCTGAAGATGTGATATCCATACCTGAAGATCCACAATTAGAATCAGAATATGTTGAAGAAGAGGATGATCCATTGGGTGTCAAGAAACTTGCTTTGAGTTTTGATTATCTGCTTTACAAGATAAGTGAAAAGATGGAAGTATTGGCTCAACAGACGGAATCTAGTGTTATTAGTAGGAAAGACGAAGCTGAAAGGGAGCTTCTTGATGTTGAAACATCGGCAAACAATTTGAAAGATTTAATACAAAAGTGTGATAACCTTGACAATGACTTTACAATGCTGGAACAAATAAGCATTATTGTTTCGGATTTCAAGCAGAGAATCAAAAACCTTGAGCTTCAGATAAAGAATGATGGTTTATAATGAGCTACTACAACCTGCAATGTTAATTAAACCCGCTTTTAAATTAAAACAAACACTATATAAACATCCCTAAAACATTGACCATTATCCATTAATTAATTAAATGTTACAGAAGCATATCATGCTTTTATTTTGAAATTGTTTTTGTTTCAATAATCCTGCAATTCCAGCTTGAATTTCAAATTTTCAAGTTTTTTGTTCCTTATCCCACTATGCTCAGTTTTCCTTTTGATTCTAACAGCAGCAACAACAAATTTGAACAACACTGATAATGATGGCTTTTTATTACAAATTAATTCATAATCTGGATAAATCCCAGCAGTTTGCAATTTTTTAACATCTTTTTTAATATGTGAATTTGTTGCTTGAATGGATTTTAACATGAATGAATTCATAAACTTCAAATCATTGATGACATAAGTGCTTTTGTTGTATTTCATTCTATAGAAATCAGCTTGATCTTTGGTCATTATCAGTTCTTTTGATGATAAAGATGGTGACTTGTTATCAAATACCTTACCGTTGAGATTGTTTTGTAGTTGACGGTAATTCTTTATTATTTTTTCAACTCTTCTCTCCAATGATGATTTTTCATCATGAATCTCTCTATATTTATTGATCAAATCATGTTTCATCTCATTAAATTCCTTATTTGAAGCTTCTAGCTGATTTTCTCTTAGCTTCAACTCACGTTTCAACTCATAGATAGTTGACGGGTCAGTAGCTTGTGATAATAGTCTTTCAGTTTCTTTTCTCTGTGATACCAGCTCATCAGATAACAAATCAATCTTGGCGTCAAGTTTCTTATTGTCATGTAATAATGATAATTTGACACCTTCCAACCTTGAAACTTCTTTTTCCAATACCTTGACATTGGAGACTGCCTCAGTTAATTTGTTGTTCAAAATTCTGATTTTATTATTTTTATCATTAATTTTTTGAAGCAATTGATCAGTTTCATTGGCAGTATTGGATACAAGTCTTGAGTTAACATCATCGACATCTTTGCCCGAGGAGGCATTTTTGAGTCTTTCAATCAATTTTTTGTAAGATTTAACTTCAGCATCATGTTCCTCTTTGAGGTTATCTAATTCAATTTTCATTGCTTTGATTTGGTATTCTTTGGAACTTTTAACTTTCAATGCTTCTAGTTTTTCCTCATCAAGTTGTTGAGTAGTTGAATATTTGATTGCTCTTAATTCACTGGAAACTTTACGTAACTCATCCTCTTTTTCTCTAATCATTGACTTATAGTTTTCAATTTCATTCTTATATTTGTTAACAGTATGATTAAAAAGATTTTCTTTCTCAGATAATTCCAATTGAAGATCATTGCATCTAGCTGTTAAATTTTTCACTTCATGTTTTTCATAACTATCAACATCAAGCTTCTTCAAAACTTTTTCATTTTGTAATTCTCTAGAAAGTTTTTTATTCTCAACATTCAAATCATTAATTTGGTTTGACAATTGATCAATTTCCGATTTCCAAAACTGTTCATTATTTGAAGTAGTGGCTTGGGTTGATTGATTTTGTTGCTGTTTCTTTTTCAATTCATTATATGCTTTATAAGTACGTTCATTGTTGTTTTTCAAACCAATTATTTCTTGATCTGATTTTGCTAGTTGTTTTTGTAAAACATCACGTTCAAGTGATAAGCTGTGCAATTCTTTCTCTAATGATTTAACCTTGACCTTCAAATCATCAGCAAATTTGTAAATTTTTTCATTTGAAGTTTTAGTCGACCTCAATTCATCAATAACATTTTCTTGTTTGCGCATCATATCATTAGCAGATGCCAAGTCATGGCGTAAATCACTTAGTTCACGTAATGTTTCGGAATATTTTGATTGTGATTGTTTCAATTGATCATTCTTTTGATTTTTTTCAATCTCGAGCTCTTTCAACTTTTGTTGGAATTTATTGCTTTCAACTTGTCCATCTTTCAACTTGGCATAATCGTTTTGTAATTTTTCCTTCAATGAATCATAATCATTTTTCAGCTGAGCTAACAACGAATCTTTTGCATCAAGTTTATCCATTAGTGAATCAATCTCTTTATCTTTTGCCCTGATAGCATCTTTCATATCTTCTAATTCATCTTCGATTTGATCTTGTTGTTTATCGCTTAATGACTTATGTTTTCTCAAGATCTCCTCCATTTCTTCTAATTTATCATCTTTCCCATCAAGTTCTTCATTTTTACGGTTTAATTCAAATTCCACGTCGTGTAATCTTTCCTTAACTTCTTCCAACTGTTCTTCAAGTTTATCAACATATGCTGGAGATATTGAGCTTTGTTTTTCTTTAATATTCTCAGTTTCCAATTCTTCAATAACTTGATGTAACTTATTAACTTCCCTTTCTAATTCATGTTGGTTTTCAGTCGCTTCACGTAATTCTTGAATAATTTTGTTTAGAGATCTGATTTCATCTTTGAATTTTTCAACTTCAACATCATTTGCAGCTGAGTTTGTTGACTTTTTTGAATCTGAAAGTTCTTGATTTAACAAGCTTATCTGACCTCTCATTTCTATTAATTTCTCTTGTAATTCAGAATTCTGTTGATAAATTTCCTGTTGTTCATTATTCGTTATTGAATTTAGAAATCTTGTAAGGCTAGCAATCTTCACTTTTAGGTTATAATTTTCATCTTGTAACTTGGAAACATTTTCTTGTTGTTGTCTAACTGGGTTAGAACCATTGTTCAATAAATCATGATTATCAAAACCATTTGGCACTGGTGATGAAGTTTTATGTTGTTTTGAAATTTGTTGACGGCCATTATCTGAATAATGGATTGTATCAAATGATTCAGGCTCAATAAAGGAAGATCCGCCACGTACTGAATTTGCTAATGGAGATCCATTGAAAGGGTCTCTATTTCTTTTTATTGTTGACATTGGATTCAATTTCGAAGTTCTCTTTATTGTATTTGTTCTTGGGTCTCTATTTTCATCATTAACCTTATACCCTATAGGTGTAAACTCAAACTTGTTACCAACCCTTGAGTCATTTGGTGTACCAATCAATGGTTTGGTTTTAAACATCTTATTCTAGCTGCAATAATACCACAAAATGATGTGTAAAAAAGATGATAACTTGATGAGCGATGACGGAATATATTGAAGGTAAAGGAGAGTATAAAGATGGATAGCACTAGCTAGAATTGTGGATCAGAATGAACGGAGACGGTGGGTTTCTAGGACTTGATTCAGCTTCTGTTTTGTTTTCAACGTTTTGTATTTATTGTTTTGTTTACTTTTTCTTTGAACACCAAAAAAACAGATTCGCGAATGTAACTATGGCAACGTCGTTCAAAATAAATTGATATGGGACACACCATAATAGACTACACTAAATAATTTTATTTATATCACAGTAATTCTAATGAAGTCTCTTAGTCAAGCTGAATACTTTCGACTTCGTCAATGGCAGCTTTGAATGAGTTTAGAGCGGCCAACGCAGCACCTGATTGTATCGATTCAATTGCCAGTTGTTTGCCTTCTTTCCAATCTTTAGCAGCACCACTAACAACAGCCAATGCAGCAGTGTTCATCACTATGTAATCAAACACAGGATCACCTTCTTCAAACTCATTATTCAAAATTCTAAGTAATAATTGAGCATTTTCAGCAGGTGTACCTGATGCAACGGATTGAATTGAGTGTTCATTTAATTCAAAATCTTTTGGTTCAATATATTGAACATCAATTATTTCAGTTTCTGGATCAACAATCCAGATTTTAGTTTTCCCAATAGGACTGATCTCATCTAGCCCGATTTGACCCCAAACAATCATTGATCTTGCCTTTCTACATTTTTCTTTATCTAATTTCAATACAGCTTCAGCAAAGACTTGACCTAATGATTCTGAATAGACACCAATAATTCTTGCTCTCAACGGACTTGGATTCAATAAAGGACCTAATATATTGAAAATTGTTGGAACACCAATAGCTGTTCTTATTCTGGCTACTTTTTTCATAGCACTATGGAAATTTGGGGCAAATAAAAATACAAATTTTGATTTTTGTAAAATTCTTGAAGCTGTTGTAGAGGTAACTTTTGATAGATCTATTCCTAACGAAGATAGTAAATCACCAGCACCTGAGGATGATGTAGATGCTTTCCCACCATGTTTACAAACATCAATCCCTATACCAGCAGCCACTATAGCTGAACTTGTAGAAACATTAAATGTATTTTGACCATCACCTCCAGTACCAACGATATCAACATATCCTTGAGGATCAACGTCCAATGGGTTTACGATATCTGAATATTCTAGGACCCTTGATGCAGCAGCAGCGATGAATTCAGGCTTATGATCCAAGTTCCTCAATCTCAAAGCAGTTAGGAAACTAGCGATTTGGACATCTGACGGCACACCTTGGACAATAAGTTTAATCACGAGCGAAAGGTCGTCTGGCTTGAGGTTTGGGGGGTCCAGCAGAAGGGACTTGATGAACGGTGTCAATACTGTGTCAGCGTCCAATCCAGCCATCTTTTAACAACACTTGATCTTGCTCTAATCACACCAAAATTCAGTGGTTTGAGTCTTGTTCGACTTTTTTTTTTACAAAAATATACATGTATTATCTAATTACTTACTAAGCTATATAGAGCGAAGAGTATTATATATACAACGGAAAATTTTACCCCATCATATAGAGTCACAGGGTTTGGACTAATCCCAAAATAATTGCTGTGAAACAACCTGTCTCGTTTGGACTAGTACTCGAGACCGGATAACCTGAGAAGAACCCAGCGTTTTGGGAGTATCTCAACAGCTAGTTTTGAAGTTATTCGCATCAATCATTGCTAGTGTAAAAATTCATTTATGCTTTCAAAAGGTAATTAGGCCATGGAAGTGTAGTAGTTGAAGGAAGAGTTTTTTTGTTGGATCATCTGTTGGACTCTTTCAACGATCTCTGAAGCATCAAAAGATGGGAGTGAGGAATTAAGACGTGATTGACGAAGCGCCAAAAGTATTTCAAGGTAAACATTGATTGAGCGCAAAGAGTGTAAGTCACGTTTAAGCGGCACAAACAAATTGTCTAAATGAAGTGGCGTTCCTCCTTAGTTAACTTGTTGATAGATGAGCTTGCTGATATGACAATTTTGAAAAAAATGGTGAAAAGTTTCTGGTTCAGAATCATCACCACATAAGCAGCAGGTTTCTATGGTTTGTCCGGAAATTGTTGATGATGAGGTGAAATTGGAAACTTGTACTTGTAATGACCTAGATTAAATCTCTGTAATGCTTCTAAATAGCCTGGACGTTGAGTTTGGTGCTTGTACAATTGTAGCCAAAAAGTTTCCCATTTGAAAGTTGATAACACTTTGGTTTGTAATAATTGATGGTTTGAAGATGGCGTGGAGAAAACTGTAGTGGTTCGAGCGTTTCCCTTCTCTTCATAGAACTTTTTGTGAAAGTGTTTGAAAGAGTCAACAGTTAATTTTTCTTCCTTGATATCTAAAACTTGAAGATGAATGTCGTTGGAAGCCTGGTGACCAGTCTTAATGAACTTCCTGTAAACACTTGTTTCCTTTACCTTGAAGTAATCTAGAGAGCCAGCCGAGTCAGCTGGATGTACCACCTGAAACCGTGCCTCCAATTGAGCAATCTGAGCATCAGAGAAACATTGATGATGAAGTTTGATTTTTGGCAGTGCTCGCAACAATTCATGGTTGTTTTGATTCTATTTTCAGGGCCAGCGACTTGTTCAACTTGTTTTCTGAACAACGAAGAGTGCGGTAAATTGTGATAAAACTCTAAAAAGGAACCGTCTAGTAATTGATAGAAGGGAAAACCCACTTTTGTACCGTCAGAACCATGATCTTGAGCCAGTAAGTTGTCACAGTTGTCATAAGATGATTCTTCAGTTGCTACCAAATTTCCATCAGGATCTCTAGCTGAATGTCCATAGTTACCAATGGGGACGTGAACAATACGTTGAGATGGATGGAGATGGAAAATGTTGGTGATGATGATGGCCAAATGCTGAAGCTTGTCTCTGAAAGAAATGTATGCACAGTAATGTGAAACACAAATTATGTTGTAAACCTTTTTTGCCCTATAACCAAGTAATTGTTGTTCAAGATCAATGAGACCAAAACCACCCAGTTTTAAAGGTGGCTTCAAAACATCAACGGATAGACCATGGAACCGTCTTGCAATCATTTTCATGATATCATTTAGGACTTGCTGTGGTATTGGAGAGTGCTGATCCCTAAAATAAATGACAGATAAAGCATATATATCGAAACTCATTCTTTGAATTGTGATATTTCTTCTTTTTTTTATATTTTTTTTTTACAGAGTATGTTCTTATATTTCTAACCTTATCTATATTATACAATTACTTCCATCAAGTTCAAATTCCAAATTCACAGTTTAATAACCACTAGATTTCTAGTAATTGGTTTCTTAAAATAATAGGGTTCCATGCAAAAAGACTCTAAGCCGTCAAACTATCAATCAAATTAAGATTTCATAATACAGTGGGATATAATTTATCTTTGTAACACCCTAGTGATGTTGAATGATAGGAAGTTCTCCAACAGTAGGTGTCATGATGAGTTGAGTTATGTCTGGTTATAACTAATTATTTAGCTATAATCTGTTATGACACTTAAATAGATATTTGATCATAATTATAATTATGAGATAGAAAACTAATCTGTAACACAAATGTTAATAAAGGATATTTCATATAAAGTATAGAATAAATAATCAATAAGGACAATTCCCTTTCTTATAGTAGAATAATGAATGTAGCAAACTAGCATCAATCAAATAAGTGGAATGAATGAATATAGCACTTGAATAATAATAATAGAGTTATAGTAATAAAGTAATAAATGAGTGTTAGAGGAAACAGCATAATGAATGATCTCTTACCTAATCACGAACTGTTGATGGTCAGTACAGAACGGAAAAATTCACCAGTGTGTCCTTAACAATCAATATTAAAAATCTTTACAGACCCACTGTCCCTGTAAGGATGAAACCCACCCAAGGGCCATCACCAACCCTTTTATAATTTTTTTTATGTGAAAATTTTTATCTTCAGATGCTTGGCTATCTCTCCTGTAAATCTTACGCCGTGTACTCTTCTGGTTGTTGAGTTATATCGTTTATAGTTCGCCGTGTTTTTGCTGCACAGGCCCTTCCAAATTCTCGAGATTTTGAAAAAAAACACGCATACGCGTCACAGCTGAACCCTATCAATTTCAAGTTTTTACACAAACTAAAGCGATTCAACTATAAGCAAATACACTAGTATATAAAGCAGCCTTTACTTGACCATAATGATGCTTTTCAAAACGTTTAAAATGAATGTAATGTGTTCTTTATGTATGGGATAGTTCCTTGTCCCATACCACTTTGAATTGCAAAATCCGAATCAACTTTTAGGGTATGGGATAGATTTCAATCCCATATCTTATAGTATGGGATCAATCTTAGTCCCATGGCTTATAGTATGGGAACGATCTTTTCCCATACATTTTTCTGCCTCGTTAAACTGCTTGTATGTGGGACAGATTGAGGTCCCATATATATTTTAGCTTGAAGTCAACTACTTTTCATGGGAAAAGATACTGTCCCATACTATTAAAAGCTACCTGAGAGTATGGGATGAAGAAGAATCCCATATAGATTTTGATCGTTTTTCATGTTTGAATAGATAAAGAATTGGGGTTTCTTTTATTTAGGAACTCTTTTATCTTTGAAGAATACAGATATATATTATTAGCTCTTGTTTACTGTCTATAACATAGAACTACTATCACTGTTTGTAATTGAGCCTGAACCTTCAGAACCTTTTCACAAATAGCAATACCTGATCCAAGAACAACATAGAGATGCATCTCCATGTTAATGCTAGTGCCAAAATACCATGACTGGCGTTGTTTCATCAATCTAGTAAATTGCAGGAATGACCAGTCATAAAATGACATCTCATGGCTTAAATGCCAAACATGCGCTGAGTTTTCTTCACAAGAAACTCAGTATAGCACAGATCATCAAGTAGATTCCAACGCAGTAGGAACAGTGACCTAAGGAAGGAATCCACGGGGTAGATGGAACCATAAATCCACAAAGCTAACGTTGACGACTTGATTAGCTTCACCGAGCTTAAATAAAACGGACAGAATGGCTTTGTTAGCTTTCTGTCCAACCAATCAACCGATAGACACAAGTTTCAGACTTTAAATTAAGCTAAATAACTTAAAATCAAGAAAAGTGCGATTTGGTGAATTGTCATTTCCAAAATCTTGCAGACAGAGTCAAGTAAGTTATTTCTAACCACCCTCCCTTGAGTTTAATATCATTCAAATGTAATCTCACAGAGGTCTGAAGCATAAATTGGAAATGACGGCCTATTTTGTTAACAAGAACAAAATGGAACAATCAAAATCATTGTATTAACCGGAATTAAAACAATTCAGCAAATGTTAAAGCTATAGGGAAACAATCAAATGTATAAAAATACACGTCCCAAGTCAACAAATGCTAACGATTATTCACAACAACAAATTTTGATGTTCCTCAAAGAGGCAAAAACCTAGAGATAACCACCATATAGGACGTCGTCTCAGAACATTAGTAGTTTGTAGCGAATGTTTTTTCTAAAGAAAGGGCATTGCTAATTGAATAAAAATTAAGAAAACAAACAATTAATACTCACTTTAAAATTGCAAACAAGACTCCCTCAGTTCTCAAGTATCAATTGGATCTGAATTTTCAAGACTCCTTAATCAATTCCTTAAAGTTTACCCAAGGTTCTTGGTTTAAGAACATTGTTTAATTTTGTTTGCCCCTTAATTTTTATAAAAACCCCAAAATCAGTTTCCTTCAAAATTCAAAAAGAAATCTGATCATAACTATTGAAGTAACGTTAGTAAAGTCCCAGCAATGCATTGATGCCATTTAGAATACTCATCGTGATAACGTTTTGTTGTTTTTGTTGTTTTTGTTTGTTTACCCTTGATTTCTATAGAAATCCTGAAATCCCAATTTCCCCCAAAAGACAAATACACAAAGGGTCAAAACTACTTCCATAACGTTAGTAAACATCCACTAATCCATTGATATACTTTGAAATACTTAACTTGAACACTTTCAATTGTTTTTGTTGTTTTTGTTGTTGTTGTTTTGGAAATAGAAAAGGGGAATGTTTATTTTTCGGCGAAAATTTTTTAAAATCAAAATTCGACGACAATTTTACCCGGACTTTCACCCAATTGTGAAAACATCAACAACATCAAAATCAAAACTAGCCTAGATATACAAGTTTTGTAGGAGTCATTGTTCCCCATATATAAATTGTTAGTCTACTATATCTCTAAGTTAGGTTCTTAACTAGTAAAAGTGCTATATGTAGTTTTTTTATGGTTTTTCAAGAGAAACTGTGAAAATGGAAAATTTCAACATCAATTTTCCTATCGAAAACAAAAATATTAGCTAAATTTCTATATATATATAAGTTAGGAAAACATTCTACAATAATTTAATACCTTCTTCATTGATTTTCATACTGTTTTCAAATTTTTAACAAAAAAGTGATGTTAAAATACTATTTTATAAATTTAAAAGTTTTAATCTCTAATTTTTTTTGAGATCACTATTTTGAGATTTTCGAATCCCTCCAGCGCAATGAAAACACCATGAAATTTTTTGAACAAATATTTAAATAAAAGCCAGCATTTTGTTCTACAGAATGATCAATTATTATAGCAGAAACAAGCTGGAATACTAGTGCAAATTGCATTTATTAGGTTTTATAAAATGAAATTCGCGGAAATTTTGAAAAATGGTTTGGGCACACTGGTGAATTTTTCCGTTGTATAATACTCTTCCGAACTGTTGACATTACCTTTAATGAGACAGTGAATTTTGTCCCATTATAAATTGTCCAATACGCCTATTGCGGATTACATTTGAAAATAAGTTAATATTCGTTAACAGAATAGCATCTTGTAACAATATGGTGTGAACATCATCCTCAATCATATTCTCATTGTAACTCGTTGCAAAACTTAAGTTCTGACCCAAAAAGCGATAACACATGGCTGCTATTCTTTTAATTTCTCTTTTCTTATCTTGATCGTCTTCATCAATCACAACATTTAATTGACCAGAATCACATACATAGACCTGCGCTGACCCAGTAATGTTACTATTGGAAAGACATCTCAATAGGTTAATACTATCAACCTTCGTACTATTATCTCTGTTAATCAACCCTATATCGTTATAAGCAACTAATATTAAGCCGGGCGACGCATCGCTTGCTACTGTAAGCATTAACTGACAACATAGTATGGTAATTAACTTAATATATTTCGTGAGCATTTTGAAGTGTTAAGTGATAAATTTAATTTATGGTTTCATCGAAAAGTCGAAACAAATCAAAGAAATCAGCTGGTGTCTGGATGTCACAGAACGCATTCGCGAAGTCAAAAATCAAAAAAAATCAAATTCGACAAAATCAATTCACAAAATTCTGATACGAAACCAATCTTCAACAACAACAACAACATCATCAAAAGAATTCCTTATTCTTTCAAATTAAATTGATCAATCCGGTTTAATCGCTGCTCTCATAATCAACTGAACACTACCAAGATCAGATCACACAATGGTTGAACCAATTGGGATATCCTCTTTACCAAATCAAAGGTACGTGTTTTTTTTTACGCCTTATGGTATTTTTCGTGTTTCCAGTAGTACTAACAACAACAACAGATACAAAATCGTAACAAAACAAGGTGGTCATTTCACTTTAATGGTTGCTGGTGAATCAGGATTAGGTAAAACCACTTTCATCAACACTTTGTTCCAAACTTTATTAAAACAACCTTTAGATAATAGATCAAGACATAAACGTGGAATTCGTTCAACAACAGAAATTGAAATTATAAGAGCTGAATTAGAGGAGAAGAATTTCAAATTAAGAGTAAATATAATTGATACTCCAGGTTTTGGTGATAACATAAACAATAAGAATTCATGGCAACCAATTATCGATTTCATTGATGATCAACATGATTCATTTATGAGACAAGAACAACAACCTCAACGTTTAGCAAAGCATGATCTAAGAGTACACGCTTGTTTATATTTCATAAGACCAACTGGTCATTCCTTGAAACCTTTAGATATTGAAACAATGAAGAAATTATCAACAAGAGTTAATTTAATTCCAATCATTGCTAAAAGTGATACATTATCTCCAACTGAAACTTCAGAATTTAAAAATAGAATTAGATCTGTTATTGAAGCTCAAGAAATTAGAATTTACACACCACCAATTGATTTAGATGATCAAGCAAGTTCTGAACATGCTAAACAATTGATTGAAAGTATGCCTTTTGCAATAATTGGTTCTGAATATGAATATGATAATGGTAAAGGTGAATTAGTTAGAGGTCGTAAATACCCATGGGGTATTGCAGAAGTCGAAAATGAAACTCACAGTGATTTTAGAAAACTAAGATCTTTATTATTAAGAACTAATTTATTAGATTTGATATTATCCACTGAAGAATTACATTTTGAAACTTATAGAACTTTAAGAATGGAAAGTTCTGATAATTCTGATAACAATGGTGCTGGAATAGCAACTTCAAGAAAATTACACAATCCTAAATTTAAAGAAGAAGAAAATGCTTTAAAGAAATTTTTCACTGATCAAGTTAAAGCTGAAGAGCAAAGATTTAGACAATGGGAACAAAATATTGTTAATGAAAGAAATAGATTGAATGCTGATTTGGATGAAATTCAACAAAAAGTTAAAACTCTTGATGAACAAGTTAAAGCTTTACAATTGAAAAACAAACGTTAAAGAGGTGTGAAAGAAGAAATATTCATAGTGTAAATGGACTGTAAAATTAAAGAGTTGTGATGATTGAAGAACAAAAATATTGAGTATTTTAAAAAAAGATTTGTATGTAATTGATTTTCTCAAAAACAATATTAAAGAGTTAAACCTGATTGTAGCTACAAAATTTCAAACGACAAATATTAAGCTTGTGTATAATAAAATTCTCATCAAATCATCTATAATTTATAATAATCATGTTTATATAGTTATTCTAATTCAGACAAATATTTTTCAGCATCTAAAGCAGCCATACAACCAGTACCTGCGGATGTAATAGCTTGTCTATAACGATGATCTTGAACATCACCAGCAGCGAAGAAACCTTCAACTGAAGTGAAAGTTGAACCTGGAATAGTTTTGATGTATCCATTTTCATCAGTATCCACTTGACCTTGAACAATTTTAGTAGCTGGAGTATGACCAATAGCATAGAATAAACCATTAACTGGTAAATCTCTAACTTCATTAGTGTTGACATCTTTAATAGCTAAGGCATTTAATAATTTACCATCACCTTTAGCTTCAACAGAAACCGTGTTGTATAAAATCTCTAATTTATCATTTTTTTGAACTCTTCTTTGCATAATTGTGGATGCTCTTAAATGATCTTTTCTAACAATTAGATAAACTTTTGAACCATATTTCGTCAAAAATAAGGCTTCTTCACAAGCAGAATCACCACCACCAACAACAGCTAAAGGTTTGTTTCTGAAGATTGGAACAGCACCATCACAAACTGCACATGCTGAAATACCTTGTTGCCAATATTGTTCTTCACCTGGTAAATCTAATCTTTTAGCTGAAGCACCAGTGGCTAAGATAATAGAATCGGTAGTAATTGGTTCAGCATCTTCATTCCATTCAGTCCAAAATTTGAATGGTTTTGAAGATAAATCAACTTTTGAAATAGTTTCAGTAATAACTTCAGTACCAAATTTTTCAGCTTGAAGTTTCATTCTTTCAACTAATTCAGAACCGGTTAAACCATCTGGGAAACCTGGGAAGTTTTCGATTTCAGTAGTTGTTGTTAATTGACCACCAGCAGCAATACCATTAGCTAATAAACCTTCATATAAAGTTGGTTTGATTTCAGCTCTTGATAAATATAAAGCAGCAGTTAAGGCAGCTGGACCACCACCAATGATTGTGACTTTTTGATGAACCATTCTTGTAAAGATTGTAGATGTAGTAGAGTGGAATGAGCGCAGAGTTCTTTGATTGACGAGAATCTTGATAATCAACTGTATTTTGAATTTCTGGGTGTGGAATCCAGAGGGTTTATATACTTTCAAAGGTGAATCTACATTTTAGTAATCCCTACGCGAGCTAGATTTTATCGTCAACGCCAATTCGCGAAGAAAAGTTTCGAGATTTCTCGAAAGTTTGAAATCAGGCAAAAAAAAAAAAAAAATTGTGGCGAAAAGAAAAAAAATTATTAAGCAGAAAGTTATGTAATCAATTGGTCAGCTTTCTGCCATTTGAATACGTGCCATTTACACATCTGGTCACATGACTTGTGATAAATCCCAAAAGGGAAATACGTAAACAAAACCGCTTTTTTGTTTACTTTTGGATTCGAGAGCCCATCACCATCACAACCGAAATTTGTGTATACACAAAATTCAGTAAACCTCAGGCCCAAACCCACTAAACAGGCAACCGCTAAAACCACAAAAACCCTCTCTAGTCCTTTAGGCAGAGTGATACTACTACCAGCTGCATATACCCACTATACAATATTCCATTTGTCAAGTGTTGTTTTTTTTCCAGCTGTCCCAGATCATCATAAACAAAGAATTTGCTTCACTATTAATTTCATCAAATATCACTAGAAATCATGCCAAAGAGAGTCAAAGTTGATGCTATAGAATTCCTAAGAGGTAAGTACATTACTCTCTAGTGATACATTTTCATTACTAACAGTTCTTAAGGTCGTATATATCTTGGTGTTTATGATTATACTCCAGAAGATACAGATGAATTGGTTCACTTCACAATAGATGATTCTCTACCTTATAACTCATTCAACCTGGATTTTGGGCCTTTACACATTGGTCATCTTTATAGATTTGCTGTTGTCCTACATAATATCTTGAATGAAGATTCAAATCAAGGGAAAGCTATTGTGTTTTACTCTTCCAGTGAAACAAGACAAAGAAGTAATGCAGCTTGTTTATTAGCTTGTTACATGATCTTGGTTCAATCATGGTCACCACATCAAGTTTTACAACCTTTATGTCAAGTTGACCCACCATTTATGGGGTTTAGAGATGCTGGCTATAGTCATGCAGATTTTGAAATTACAATCCAGGATATTGTCTATGGTGTTTGGAGAGCTAAAGAAAGAGGTTTACTTGACTTAACAAATTTCAATTTAGAAGAATATGAACAATATGAAAGAGTTGATCAAGGTGATTTTAACGTGATTTATCATAATTTTATTGCATTTGCATCTCCACAACAATCACCAAAATCATCTACTTTAAATCAACCATTCAGAAAAGTTTTAGATTATTTCCAAAAAAATGATGTTCAATTGGTTGTCCGTTTAAACTCTCATTTATATAATAAGAACGAATTTGAAAAAAAAGGTATTCAACATATTGATATGATCTTTGATGATGGTACTTGCCCAACAATGGATATTGTTAAGGACTTTATTGGTGTTTCTGAAGGTATCATTAAGAACGGTGGTAAAATTGCAGTTCATTGTAAAGCTGGTTTGGGAAGAACCGGTTGTTTAATTGGTGCTCATTTGATTTATACTCACGGTTTCACTGCAAATGAATGTATTGCTTATATGAGAATGATTAGACCTGGTATGGTTGTTGGTCCTCAACAACATTGGTTATATTTACATCAAAATCAATTTAGAGAATGGAAATTCACAATGGTTGTTGATAACGTTCCATTAGAAAGACTAAATGGATATTCAACTTTAATAAGTTATGAAGAATTTAAAAAAAGAAAATCAATTGAAAAAGCTTCACATTCACCATCAACTCCAGTTAGAAGAAAAATTAGTATTGGTACAACAAATTTACATAAAAGTGTTCATAAAGCTGTTCCTATTGAATCTCCAGGTCAACCAAGAAAAACTTCACCTCAAAGACAAAGACATTATAATATTAACTCAGATGATGATGAAGAAGAATCTAAAGAAAATGAAACACCTGAAGAAGTTGAAGCAGAAATTTATAATTCAAAAGCTCCAAAAATTGAAGATAATAATAAAGATGATACCCCATCTTCAACTATTCATTACACCAAAACTATAACCACAACAAAGACAATTACAACATCACCACCATCAACAAGAGATTCCATTCAGCAAATGTTACCAAAACAAAGAGGTAGAGTTACATCAGGTGCAAGAGTAAGATCAAAATTAGCAACACAAAGTACCACTGGTGTTATTGGACATGGTGGTATTAGAAAAACTTCATCATCAACTAGATCAAGTAGTGGTGTTCAAAAAGCATTAAAATGAATTGATATTATACCCCCTTCTCATACCCCTTTATCCCTCTTGACCCCATTGTAAACTACTGTATAATAATAGACATCAACTATGTTTCCAGATCATTAACAAAAAATAATATTCATAAACACGTTGTATTACACACATCAAATCATAATAAAAAAGAAAGATTGACTTCACATAATTAGCATTTAACTAAATGCAACTTGATTGAAAATAGAAACAGCTTTATCGAAACCTTGGTCCCATTCCCACAAAAAGTTTGAGTTTTTTCTATGAGAAATGTGTTCATTTCTTCTTGCAATTTTCCATGCATTTATTCTACCAATTGTTGAACCATCAAATTTAGAAAATTCATTAGCATCAGCCCAGCCAGTAATGAAACCTTCTTTATATCTCCAATGTTCATATTTTTCATTTTTATTCTGTCCATCCCAATATTGAGAATGTTGATTCAATTCATTTTCTAAAATCTTGTTAACTTCATCTTCTGGAGGAACTTGAGTAACTTGTGTTGGTCTTGATGGTATAGCACCTGTTTCCACTTGTGGAACAAACCCCCATTCACCACCATCACCATGTTCAAATCTAAAAGTCCAGAAATAAGAACCTGCACCTGCTCTTTGATAAAATAATTTTGATAATTCATTACCATATTGTTTGACTAATTCATTTCGATCACCACCAGCTTTATTCCAAGAATCACCATCTAAAACACATGAATATTCACCAACCATTACATCAGCTTGACCAGATAAATTGGTTAATAAATCACCATTCAAATCTTTAATAATTTGTTCTGGTGCCTTTTTCTTATCAGCATCTGAAAAGCAACGATAAACATGATGATCAATAACAATACCAACAGATTGATTTTTCAAATCTTGTTCATTTTCAACAACCCATTTAACCCATTGATCTGGCCACCAACCATCAGAGATAACAATTGGGATTTCAGGATCAATATTACGAATATGTTTAACAGCTTTTGTATAGTAATGTTTTTGAGAAGCTGCAGTATTATCAAATTCTGATTCATTAACAATTTGTAAACCAACAATATTTTCTTCATTTTTGAATTCTTGAGCAATAAATTCTAATACAGATAATGCAAGTTTTTCATTTTTCTTAGATTTCCAAAATTCAGCTTTGGATAATTGTTGACCACTATGTTCTGCAGCATTAGCACCACCTGGTAATGCATGTAAATCAATCAAAACACCAATATCATATTGTTTTGCTTTGGCGACAATGTTTTTGAAAATACTCCAAGCATTCTTGTAAACACCAGCAACTTTTGCAAATGGAGTATCACTAGCAAATGAACCCCCATTAACATGCCAATAACCAATTGGAATTCTAATAGCTGTAACACCTTTACTCTTTAACCATTCCCAATCTTGATCAGTAGCATAATTGTTCCAATGATCTTCTAATTCCTTTTGGGTATTCTCAGCACCATTTTTCTTTGAATAAGCAGTAATTGCTTCTAATTCACAGCTTGTGTTATCAATAAAAAATTTATCAAATATGAATTTCTCCAAAACAAATAATGAACCAAAATTTACACCAAAATTATATCTACTTTGATAAATTTGTTTCTTTGAAGGAGGTTTCCCAGCTGGAGCCGCTGGAGCTGCTGCTTTTAAGGATTCTTGATCAATTGCTAAACTTTTCAACTTGTCAAGCACCATCTTGTATTTCTGTATGTAAAGGCTATGCTAAGGGTGTTTCCAGACAAGAATTTAATAAATGTGGACGTTCAGATCTACTTTATATATGAATTCAAATTGAGGCTGAATCTTGAGACAAGCAATGAAATTTCGGTCAACGTAATTCAAGGAATGGAACAAATTGCTATGAAACGTAGCTAAATGTAGTTTGCTAATTAAGCGAGATGATATTGTTGATTTGACATATAACCAATTCCGGTACATTTTGAGTCATGTGATTAAGGTGTGTATCGGATTTCCTGTTATGGAAGCACGGTTTTAGAGCGGCTCTAACATTTGTTTTTGGTAGTTTGCAGTGAAGAAGTGAAGCACCCAAATGAAAAGTTGGAATATCCCAATTGTTTTGAATAGTTTGAATTGTTCTCTTTTACCATTTTTCTATCGATGGTTGAATAATCATAGAAATGTCAGAGGTTGAGGAACTCAAACCGAAACGGAAGAGACAAAGGCTCACGTATACGTGTAATTATTGCAGAAAGAGAAAGATTAAAGTGAGTATTCTATTTGGGAAGTATTTTTAATGGCCAATGATTCTAACAAAGCAATTTAGTGTGATAAAGCTAAACCAAAATGTTCAAACTGTCAGAAATTTGGTCGTGTATGTGAATATGAAATGCCATATTGGGTGAATACTAGTGTTCAACAAAATAATGCTGTCATGACTGATGTTATTTCTGAAAATGAACATCAAAATAAAACCAGAGAAGAGTTATATGATGTGATAAATTATTGGAAATCGAGATCTGTGAATAATGGAACCAATACAAGTACTCCTGATTTTGAAAAGAAAAATCCTGAATTAGGTGAACATGCTGATGATATTATTGATCTATATGCTTCTTATGACAGTTTAACCGAGAAGCATTCAAGTGAAGAAGACAATAAACCATTAAGCACAATGTCAGTATATAAAGCTGATCATTACATGATGTTTTTCTTGTGCTTTAAATACATAACTTTACAAATAGCTTCAAATTCACTGACTAAGAAATTTGAAGAAGCTGGTTGGAAATCAAGACATCCAGATGGTGCAACAAAATGGTTAACTTTATTGGATCAAAAAGATGGGGATTTTGACTTGAAAAATTCAATCAAAAGAGTTACAAATGATAGATCTCAACTGTTCAAAACAAATATCTTACCATTTACAACTATTGAAAATTCTGATAATGTTCAGACTGAAGCTTTAATTAAAGATATTGAATCGATATTACCAGGTAAATTATTACTTGATGTTTACTTGAACTTTTTTTTCAGAAATATTTGGCCAATAAGACCGTATGTTGATGAAGAATTGTTCAGACAAGATATCAAAAGATTGATAACTTTTGAAGATGAAAATGATCCAGCTTGTTTGAAGGCAAAAGTTGAATTAAGTCAAAGATCTGATTTTGCTACTTTAGCCACATTGCTCATCATTTTAAGATATACATCAATATCAATTCAAGTTGTTGATGATAAGGATCTATCACTTTCGACATTACCTTTCAGGCAAAACCTTATTTCTGTTAGTGTGATCCCTTTAGCTCAAAGGTGTCTTTCAATTTATAAATTATTGAAAAAAAGTTCATTTCCAATGATCCAAGCATTACTTTACCTAAGGGTTTATTATAAAGATTGTCCAGAAGATGGTGATGGATTAACACTAGGCCAATCGCAAATGCTTTTTGGAATGATTGTTCAATCTGCAATCTCAATAGGACTACATAGAGATCCTAAACATTATGCTGCATCTACTGATGTGAGGGTTGCAAACGCTAAAAGAAGGATTTGGTACGAAATTGTTTCCTTGGATGTTCAAACTGGTATTTTATCAGGTACTTTAAGTGTTGTTCCATCTTCAAAGATGACGTGTGTAAAGTTACCAGTTATTACATTAGGTGACCCTTTGGAAAGAGCTCAACTAGATGAATTGGAGAAAGAGGTTGAGTTGCAAGCTATTCATGAAGAATTAGTTGAAAGGATCAATAGAATGGATGAAGCACCGACTTTGCAAAAGTTGGTTGAATTGTTGGATAATGCAAGAACTTATGTAAATGAAAATTATTCAATGTCATTCATGAGTTCAATTTCCAATAGTGAGGATAATTCGCAAATATATAAGGCTGCCATGCTTAGAAATTACAAGATTATGGAGAAGAATCTTTTACAAATTTGCTTAGAGATCACTGTTTATCATATTTTATACATTCAATATGAAGATAACAAACGATTGGATCCTCGCATGTTTAAGCACTTCTTTAAGAAATGTCTTGAAAGTACAACTATTGGGTTTGATATTTCAAGTGCATATTTATCAGGTGCTTTGAAAAATTATATCAATCCTGTGCAAGCAAGTTTTGCGTTATTTCCAATAATAACTACATTAACATACAGAATGGTTAATACAGTATCAGCTGCTTTATTAAGAAGTTTTCATGCACAAGAATTATTGGCTTGTGTTTTTTATTCAACAGATGATTGTCATCTCAACATTCAAGCATTTAACGAATTTATCAACTCATTGTGCAATATCTGTGAAAATCATTTGAACATTTATGAACAAACAATTGGTGCCAAATATCATTTATCTTTGAAGGTGATTTGTTCTTGTAAATTCAGTTATGCATCATTGAAAAAACATAGATTCTCTGTATTGAACAAAATTGTCAGTTTTTTAGAAACAAATGATGATGGTAAAGTTACAGACATTTTTTGGAAAGGTGCTAAAAAGCAAGACATTAGAACTTTATTTCAACTAAACACAGGAATGTTTGAAGTTTATTCTCAATGGATGCAATTGAGTAAATCATACACAGCTGCCCTTAAAGCGCAGTATAGAGATCATCAGCCGGTTTGTGATGTTATTGTTAACATCAACCATTCTAATCATTTCACTAGATTAACAGAAACTGACTTGAATGAATTTGTGGAGATCTTAACTGGTGGATACAGGTATTGTTCTGTTTCAGCAAGCACTAAAAATGTGGAGCAAGAATTTTCAAGTGGTGTATCAAGTGCTAGTAGTGATTCATATGACAGTTTTTATGATATTTTGGCTCAAGATCCAATGTTTAGCGCTCAAATGTCTAATGTTTTACAGAGAAGCCGCTCAAATATCATCGATAAAGAAATGAATCCTGACATGAATGATGTTGTGAATGAACTTTTTCAGCCTACCACTGATCTATTGGGCCAATTTGATGATTTATTGCACTATTAATGATTATGAAGCTAGCTTTTGTATTTGTATTGTAGTTTATATTTCCGACCATTGTATCACGTGCATCAAGAGTCACCCTCGTATATTACACGGCGATAAGACGGATGTAAATCCCGTTTCCGCCGCTGGAACAATAAGATTTCTAAGCGCTGGCTCTGTTTATAAAGTGATGAGTGTTCCCAAAACATATGCTATCTCCATACATTGGCCACAGCTACACCTCCAAACTTCAAACCGCCCTGTTGACATAATTGTTCCATCGTTGAGGTCTATTCCACCGACGGCTATTAACATAGAGAACTTGCTGAGCTGGGAGAGCTAGGTTTTGCTGAAAGAATCACTTGGCCAGTTAGCATTGTTGGTGCAAAAGCGTATCAAAATATCGCCATCATCACCATCTCATCATCATCAATTTAAGTTTCTACAAATTGCACTTGGTACTGTCATGTCAGACGCGGAGGCTAACGAACAAAAACAAAAAAGGAAAAGGCAAAGACTGTCGTTGGTATGCATACACTGCAAGAAAAGAAAGATCAAGGTGAGTATTAATTAGTTATGTGCTTTGCAAATTGACATTTAGCTAACAACCTGCTAGTGTGATAAAGTCAAACCAGTATGTTCAAACTGTGTGAGATTTGGTGTTGAATGTCAATATGAAATCCCACATTGGGTAAACAACAGTTTAAACCATGAAAACGCTTGTGTGAAGACTAGCGTGGCATCCAATCAGAAGTACCAACAAAAATCAAGAGAAGAACTATATGAAGAGATTGAACTACTGAAAAGTAGACTAGATAAATCAAACAATGTTTCACCAAAATCCTTGCCAACTCCTATGAATAACTCCGTTTTATCTCAATCAGATTTTGGAGAACATAACAATGATGTGATTGATCTCTATGAATCTTATAATGCACTATCAATGAAAAATTCGAGTCACGAAGAACATACACCTTTGAACCCAATGGCTTATCACAAAAAAGATCATTATACTGCTTTTTTCGTTTGCTACATGTTTTTAACAATAAGAGCAACAACTAGTTCAATATGTGAAAAGTTCAAAAGCACTTGGAAATCTAACCATTCAGATGGGGCAAGTAAATGGTTACTATTGTTGGATTTAAAATATCAGGACTCTGAACTTCAAGAATCTATTCAAAGAATTATTAATGATCGTGCAAAATTATATGAAGCCAACACTTCTCCATTTCTAAGATTAGCAGATTCAAATCCTGAAAACGTTGAAGGTTTGATAAAAACAATAGAACAAGTTTTACCATCAAAAGTTCTTTGTGAAAATTATTTGGATTTTTTTTTCCATTTCATGTCAATTTTAAGACCATTTGTTGATGAAGATACTTTCAAAAAAGATGTTGCTAGAATCATCAGTTTTGATGATGTTACACTAAAGCCTAAAGTTAAATTTTCAGAAAGACGTGATTGTGCCATAGTGGCTACGTTTTTGATCATAATACGGTATGCTTCAATTGCAGTTTCCGTTATTGATGAAGAAGAGTTGCCCACTTTTTTGATTCCATTAAAAGAAAATCCAGTTTCTGTAAAAGCCATACCCGTTGCACAAATGTGTCTATCAATTTATAAAGTCTTGAGGAAATCTACAATACATATATTACAAGCATTGCTATACCTCAGAATGTATTTTAAAGATTGTCCAGAAGATGGTGATGGACTGACTTTAATTCAATCACAGCAATTATTTGGTTTTATTGTTCAATCCGCATTGGCCATGGGTCTTCATAGAGATCCAGTAAATTACAGTCAGATATCCAACGATGTGAAAGAATCAAATTTAAGAAGAAGAATATGGTACTCCATCGTTAATATAGATACTGAAACATCAATATTAGCAGGATCTTTAAGTGTATTACCAGATCCATCACTAGTCAATGTTAAGCCACCAATGAAAACATCTGTGGACTCAATTGAAAATGCACAAGCTGAAGACTTGGAAAAAAGTACTGAACTGAATCAAATTTGGCAAAAGTTTTGTAATGAAGTTAACAATATGCAAGAAAAACCAACTTTGTCAACCTTGGTTGGAACACTAGAAAGGGCTAGAAAATTTGTGGAAACAAACTACTCAATGAAAGATATGATTTCATGTAAAGAAATGAACTGTGGTTCTAGAATTTTTAGAAGTTCAATGTTTAAAAATGTTAAAATATTGGAAAAAAATTTATTGCAATTATCTTTAGAGCTGAGTTTTTATGTTGGTTTAACAATACACTATGAATCAAATGCACATTTGAATGCAGATCTATACAAAATTTTCTTCAAAAAATCTTTAGAAAACTTGGTTTCAGCATTGGATATTGCAGGTGCCTATTTGGCAGGTGCTTTTAATGACTATTTTAGATCGGTTTACACCAACTTCACATTACTTCCTTTGTTGAACACAACTATTTATAGAGCTTCAAATATTGTTGTGGGAAGCTTATTACGTGCATATCATGCACAAGAATTGTTAAATTCCAAATTTTATTCATCAAAATCAAACGTTTCCTCAGAAGAATTTGAAAAATTGATTAATCCACTTTGTAAAAGGTATGAAGATTTCATGTTTATTTATAAAAATAGATTGGGAACGAAATATTATCAATCTTTGAAAATGACTGGTGCAGGTAAATATAGTTTTGTTGCCTTGAAGAAAAATAAGTTTACAATTATGAATAAAATCATCAAATACTTGGAATCAAATGAGAAAGGTCAAATTAATGAAGATCTTTTTTTAAATGGTTCAAAGACTAGAGAAGAAATCAAAAAAACTTTCCAATCAAATAAAAGCTTGATACGAGTATATGCTGAATGGATGCAGTTGAGCAATTCATCAAAATGGGAAAATGGTAATCGCATTACAAAAGAGAAGGATGATGATAAACCAAGCGAAGAACCTGCAACTATTATTAATATTAATAATTCAAATATGCTTTTGGAATTCACTAAAGAAGAGATTCATGAATATTCAGATATATTGATAAATGCCTTCAGATTCTGTTCGTTCCCAAAAAACACTAATATGGATGCTTCAAAAGAATTACTCCAAGAACATACAACATCTTCAACACCTTCAGAATTGTACAATGAAGAATTTTATGACAAAATATTTCATGATTCAGATTTTGATTCACAAATGTCAAGACTTTTTAAGGCAAGTAAAGGGATTGCTCCAGGTAATGATTATACTGCAAGTGATGGTGTCTTTGGAGAAATATTTGATCAACTAATGGGTAGTTCAACTGCTACCGTTGATGATATATTGAAGTTTCAATTTTAATTAGGTGTTGCAGGTCAATATTTATAGTAATCTCATGAAGCTTAAGGGAGCCTTGATCCCTTGCAGTCGATATATTATTAAAGTAGTACAGCAGCCTAAGCTAGTTTCAGTTTACGAGTTTTCCCCTGAATGTCATCGGTTATAAGGTGTATTTTCAATTTTAGGTTCGGAGATAATATACAATTATCCCCGAGAGCTTTCAACAATATTTTAGTGTCAAACTATGAAAAAGAACCTTCAAAACAACCAACAAAGATCGGAGACAATTAAAATGGATCAAAAATATAGCACTGGTTGCTTTATATAGCAAAAAACGGCAAATTTTGGCAAAAAAAATGAGCTCCGCGACGGGGAATTGAACCCCGGTCTACCATGTACTGTCAAACGACAAACGGTGATTCTAGCCACTAAACTATCACGGATGAATTTTACTTTGAAAATCCTCTGGATTACTACCATTAGAAGATTTGTGTCACGTGACTACATTTACAAAACTCTATAACTTCATCAATATAAAAGCCATTGATACCGTTAAACTTAAACAAAGTTCAGGGAAATCTAAATTATGCAAAAATATGTATTTCTGGCCTTTATTCGAAATTTATAAAAAAAATCATTGTCTAATTATTTTGAAATTTGATTTTATTCTTAGATACAAGAGATTACCTTTAATTTTTTTTAATTAATTACGTTATACAAAAACTTTGTAATATTATATATTTTGATTTGAAATGCACCTAAAGAAAAATAAATATCGATTAAACATCGTGATTACACCATCCGCCTTCGTACTACTCTGATATGGTGATGAATCTGTAATTGTAGTACAGCTAGTTGGAAACATCAATAATATCGTCGACGTCTCATTAAATACGTCTCAGAGTCCACAGCAAATGCCTCTATAAAATCACATTGACATTGAAAATAATTCCAGGCAATTTTCTATTACTTTTCTTTGAGAAAACCTTAAAATAAGTGTCAAATTTGATGTTTATATGTGATAATTAAAATGCTTAAAATATAATATCTGCGCATGTTCACGATTGTGATTACATAATTTTTTAAGTAGATTTAAATTAGAAAAACAATGTCAACATATTAAAACACTGCGATGGGATCTCTAATGTAACTGATTCTTGGAACCTTTCTCACTACATTTAATATCCATCTTGCTGCATACTCACACAAGGAAAGGAGGTCAATCTACTGAAAAGAGAAAGTTGAAAAAGCTATGACATTTTGTAAGTGTTGTCCTCCAAAAAGTTGTTTATAACAATTACTGACAAAGATTACTAGCCAATTTAGAGCTTGATGAATGCATAGAAAGACTTTATAGACGTGAATTACTCCCAGAGGTTACAATTAGAGCGCTATGCTTTAAGTTGAAAGAGATACTAGTCAAAGAAAGTAATGTGGTGTACATAAACTCTCCTGTTACGGTAGTGGGTGATATTCACGGACAATTTTATGATTTGATTGAAATATTCAAAATAGGGGGTTATTGCCCAGATACAAACTATTTATTTCTTGGAGATTATGTGGATAGAGGAATGTTTAGCGTTGAGACCATAACCTTGCTGATATGTTTGAAAATAAGGTATCCTACAAGAGTTTATCTAGTTAGAGGTAATCATGAATCAAGACAAATCACACAAAACTATGGATTTTACTCGGAATGTATAAGGAAGTATGGTAATCCAAATCCATGGTATTATTTCACTGATACATTTGATTATTTGATTTTATCAGTCGTGATTGATGATACCATTTTCTGCACACATGGTGGTTTATCGCCAAATGTCCATACAATAGATCAAATTAAACTTGTTGATAGATTTAGAGAAATACCACATGAAGGTGCAATGGCTGATTTAGTCTGGTCAGATCCTGATGATGAGAATCCTAATTTTTCATTATCACCAAGAGGGGCAGGCTATACATTTGGTGTTGATGTTGTGAAAAAGTTTTTGAAGATGAATGATATGGAAAAGATTCTTAGAGCACATCAACTTTGTAACGATGGGTACCAAATATATTTCAAAGGGCTTGTAACTACGGTATGGTCAGCTCCAAATTATTGTTATAGGTGTGGTAATAAGGCTTCAATAATGGAAATATATAACAAGGATGAACATTATTTCAATGTATTTGAGGAAGCACCAGAAAACAGTGAACAATGGGGAAAGATAGACCCACTAACAGAAACAGAGATTGAAAGGCCACAATCGGATATTAGACCGCAGCCAGTTGAATATTTTTTATAATGATTAATCGCTTAAAGAAACGTTGCATCCAACTACATAATGAGATAATGTCAGCATCATATCATTCATTAATCAAGCTCAAGAGTAGTATAATTCAACACTTGTACCGTTATGTATCTCATAGTCACCCAATGAAATGTGATCTTTCAAAGTTGTATTACCTTTCTTCAACAAAATCTTTTCCCAAGCAGTACCGATCTGAGCAGCTAGTAGCTTCTTGAAATCACCAACCAGATCATCTTCCAATGCCTATTATATTGTTAGTTATCTAATCAGCACTTTTGCTTTATTTAAACTCACCTTCACCTTCACTTTCTTTCCAACTCTGGCAAATATTGTTAGCTAATTTCTTCTATACCACTACCCACTCAGAGAGAACATACCTATCATTCACTACAACTTCAATCATCTTTCTTTGAATGTTTTATGGCTTCATTTCAAACTCAACATACACGTTAAAATTTCAAAGTCTTGAAAAAACACACTTCGCGAATTCGTTCTGTGATCGTCACATGGAAATTGAAAAAAACCGTTGAAGAATTTACCAAATGATACATTTTGATGCTTTCCAAAGACCAAAGGACTCCAGAGCTTTCTTTTACTCAAATGCCAATACTGCTCATAGACTCTTATGACTCCTTCACGTTCAATTTGAAGAGCCTGATCGAGCAATCAACTGGTGAGGCCGTTGTGACGATCCATAATGACACACTCTCTGCATCAGAGCTGTCAAATTACATTGATCTATTCTCAGCCGTGATTGTTGGTCCTGGTCCAGGCCATCCAAAATTCGATAAAGACGTTGGTGTGATCCCTCATTTGTTTGATGGAACTATTAGCAGTGTATCAATACCCATCCTTGGTATTTGTCTTGGGTTTCAATCGTTATGCCTTTCTCAAGGTTGTGAAGTTGATAAACTATCATCAATCAAGCACGGTCAAGTCTACAATGTTACTCATAATGACGATCCAATGTTCAATGGGATCGATCAAAGCTTCAAAAGTGTAAGGTATCATTCGTTGCATGTGCCTGAACTATCACCATCCTTGGTTGGTCTAGCTTATTGTGATGATCATGGTGAAAAGATAACAATGGCTGCTAAGCATATATCTGAACCATGGTATGGGGTTCAGTATCACCCAGAATCAATATGTTCAGAAAAAGGTTCACAGTTGATCAAAAACTTTATGGAGATTGCCAAAGCTCACAACACACAACGGTCAATAGCACAAGACAAAGAACTCCTAAATGGATTAGTATCTTCAGTTCAAATTAAACCATTAATACCACGCTCTGAGCTAAACCAAAAAGGTATACACTTGAAATTTGAGAAACTAGAAACTTCAAAATCAGCCATAGAAATTTGTGAAACTCTTCATCAACAAGGAAAAGAGTTCATCTTATTAAATTCTGCATCACATCCAGGAACTTGGTCTATAATTGGTTTGCCAAATGAAAACTCTTTAAGAGTTACACACTCAACAGAAGCTTCAGATGAAATAACCGTTGCTCAAAACAATAAAACAGAAACTAGAAAAATCAATTCAATTTGGGAATATCTATCAAATTATATGAAGACTCATCTGTGCTCCGATGAAAATGATTTCCCATTCATTGGTGGTTTCATGGGTCTTTTTTCCTACGAAGAAGGTCACCACTTGCAGTTTGATAAATTACCAAAGATTACCAAGGAGAAAATTCCAGATATGAAGTTGATATTTATCGAAAATCTCATTTTAGCAAATAATTCAAGCAAAGAAACTTACATTATCTCCATTGCAAATGATACATTCATTCAAGACATAAAACCAATACTTCTAGATGAAATAACATTTGCGCTTCCATCAGATCACATCGAAACCAAGTCGATAATAAAACCTCTTGAATCAGATTACAAATCACAATATTCACAATGTCAGGAATTTCTAGCATCTGGAGACTCATATGAGTTATGTCTAACATCATTAACAAGACTTCAAATACCCAAAGATACAGAACCTTGGGAAATTTATAAAACATTAACCAAGAAAAATCCTTCACCATACTCTGCATTCATGAATTTTGATGATTGTGTCTTGATTAGCTCTTCACCTGAAAGATTCATAAGTTGGAATAATGACAAATGTGAATTACGTCCAATCAAAGGTACTGTTAAAAAAACACCAGAGATGACATTCCAAAAAGCTAGTGAGATCTTAAACACACCAAAAGAAATTGGTGAAAATTTAATGATTGTGGATTTGATTAGACATGATTTATACGAACTTTTATCAAAAGTTGAAGTTTCTAAATTGATGAGTGTTGAGGAATATTCCACAGTTTATCAATTAGTTTCTATCATTAAAGGATATTTCAAAGATACCGAGTTTTCAGGAATTGATGTTCTTTCAAGATCGTTACCACCTGGGTCAATGACTGGTGCACCAAAAAAAAGATCTGTCAACATTTTACAAAATTTGGAAAATTCAAGAAGAGGTATTTATAGTGGTGTTTGTGGATATTGGTCTGTCGATAATAAAGCTGATTGGAGTGTCATAATCCGCTCAATTTTTCATTACAAAACGGACATAGAGAATAACGACGAGACAAATACTTGGAGAATTGGAGCAGGTGGTGCAATCACTGTATTAAGTGATCCTGAAGGTGAATGGCAAGAATTGTTAACCAAATTAGATAGCGCATTACAAGCATTCAAACTATAGCATATTCCTTTTTCTAACAAAAATTCACACAATATATTCATTATATTTATACATGTAGTATAATTTATTGTACATAGAAGTCTATTTCAATTCAACAATTTCATCGCCAATTGCATTCAATCCAATAACATTCAAGAACAAGTTCAAATTGTTAATAATCTTAGCCTTACTAATCTCATCTTTGCCTTTAGCCTTTTGAACAGCACCAAAGATTTCATCTCTAATTTCATCAACAATAATTCTTTGATGATTAAGTTTACCACTTAATGCTAAACTTGCTAAAAATTGCCATAGATATGAGCCATCACTTTTCAATTCTGAAGATGGGAAAATTAATGATAATTTAGTCTCCAATGATGAAAACAATTTATCATAAGCAGTGGTCCATGAGGCTAAATCTTCACTTGAAACACTATGTTCTTGTTTAATAATTTCAGCTCTTGATAATAATATAGTAATTAAGGAAATACCCAATTGTGAAGTTGAAAGGAAAGAAACATTATTATGTTCAATTAAAATGGTCAATAATCCAATAATCTCATCTAAAACTGCATCGTATGATAAAAATAAAACAATTGGTTTCAAAACAACTAGTTGGAAAATTTCAATAGTTTTAGCAACATCGGTTGGAATTTCATCATTTGGATAATTCTTAAATGATGATTTTGAAATGATTTTGATAAGTGATAAATTGGCAAAGATTAAAGTAACAATAGTTAGTTTTTGTTGTCTATTCAAGAAATGGAAAATTCTTGGGAAAATCTTTAAACCTTTGGTATGTGATAACATTTGAATGAATGGATTTAGTTGTTGTGAGTTATCGAATAATCTTAATGATTCCCATAGTTGTTCAGTGTTTAACTCTAGACCTTCTCTTTCAGCAGATTCCAAGTTTAAAACATGTTGATAGATATTTTCCAATTGTAGCAAAATGAATTTTTTACCAACTTTAGAAATTTCTGGTAATTCTGGTTTATGAGCAACAATTTCCAATTGTTTTCTTGGGGCTTTACCAGATGAGAATGAAATTTTACCCAATGAACCTTCTTTAGCAAATTGACCTGTTCTTGGTCTATCTTTAGCGACAGTAACAGCTTTTTGAACTTGTTGTTGCATTCTTTGTAAGGCAACATCGGCTCTTTGATGGCGACCACCTAATCTATGACCCGAGAAGTCTAAGTAGGCTTGAGCAATGGAGTTGTTATCATTGATTTGTTCTCCACTTTTCAATAACTTATAAACTTGACAATAGAAATCTTCATTATATGGATCATCTGTAACAATATGAGAAAGCTGGATTCTTGTGACAAAATCTTTATCACGAGGAGTCATAATACCAGAGAACAGAGAGATACGGGCAACTTTTTGTTGACGTCTCATCAAACGTTGTTTTTCTTCTTCTGGTAGTTCATCAAAATTTTCGACATGATGATGGTGACGATGTTGATTGTGATGACGATTGTAATTCCCATGAGTTTGATTAAAGTGTTGCTGTTGTTGTTGTTGTTGCTGTTGTTGCTGGAATTGCGGACCTTGAATTTGTTGATCATGGTGAGCTCTATGATCTTTCAAATGTGTAGCTTCTTCAGAACCCAAAACTGGGAAATCAGCCAAATCAGCTTTTCTGTATTGTTGATTTGCTTGAAGATGCTGAGGAGCACCTGAACCAGATTGCTGTTGATGTTGTTCTGGTTGTTGTTGTTGTTGTTGAAATTGAGGTGGTAGATTATGCACTTGACCTGGCTGATGTTGTTGTTTTTGAACTTCAGCTGATTGTGGAGGAGTTGGGGCAAATTGATTTTGACTTTGTTGGATCAATTGTTGTTGGATAGGTGCTGGTAGTTGAGCAAACTGTTGAGGATGGATTTGACTCAAGTTCAATTGAGGTGGAAAATTGAAACCTGGAGGTCCTTGTTGAGGAGGAATGAAACCAGGTGGGAAAAAGAAATTACCTGGACCTGGAGGAAATGGACCTTGAGGAGGTTGGCCTTGTGGAAACTGGGAAGGTTGAGGTGCTGAATTCGATTTTGCAAAATACTCAAAATGGCTAGATACCGTTAAAGATGAAGCAGCAGCCTTGAAGAGACTGAAACTTGATGCAATTGATGGATTGACTAAGGAAGAAGAGGAGAGTTTAATAAAATGGGAGCAGGAAAAAGCACAAGCTAAAGAATCAAAAGGATCTGCTAATGACTTCTTAAATGATCCAAAAGCAATCAAAGTGACCTCTCACATGACAGCTAATGTATTCAAGATTAATTTTAAAAAGGGTGAAAATGTTTCCCTAGATGATACGGTTGTGATTTTGGAAGCCATGAAAATGGAGATTGCAGTCCGTGTGAAATCTAACAAGAAAACCAAATTTGAAGTTCTCCAAGTTGTCGTTGATGAAGGTGATATGGTAAATCCAGGGGATGTACTAATGCTAGTCAAAGGTGTATAAATTGATTAAATGAGAAGCGTATTTCCTAATAAATTAGCTGTCTGTCAGATATATCGGGTCAATTAATTTTCTGCTGTGATTATGTAATTTTTTGTGCTGGCAATTTTCTGTTAATCCAAACACCACTTTCTGAGTTCGTTGGCGAACTTTTTCAACGAAATAAAAGGCTCATAGATTCTACAGAAGGCGAAAGGATTAGAGCTCGAAACAAAACATTGACAATTCTCCAGACAAAAATGTCGTACAGGGATTTCAAGAACAACAAAGATGTCCTTCAATTCGAGGATACTTATGAAGGGCTCGATGAAGAGGATGATGCTTTAAATGATGAAACATTCGGTGTTGATGTTCCAGTTGGTCAAGCTTTTGATTTTGGTAATCCAAGTGAATCTCAACCTCAACCTCAACTGAACTTTGCCCAAGCTGCCAGAGCTCCTCCTCAACAAATTTCAATCCAAGAGCCACTAGGTGATGATCCTTTGAAACCAATCGAGTCTTTATGGGGTGGTGCACCACCAGTTGCTCCACAACAACAACAACAACAACAACAACCAAAAGTGTTATCTCTTGATGAGCTAGAATCACAATTGACTCAAAACCCTGCATCTTCCCAAGTGATCTCATATTCACCGGTCAATAGGTCGTTATTCATCTTGGTAAGTTCGTCTTCTGAAACTTCATAAAACTTGACTTGATCAAAATTTTGTAAAAACCATGGGTAATTATCAAACCCTTTCAATTTGCTAAATGTATCCCAAAATCCATTAGGTAAAGTCATACCCCAAATCATGTACCCACCAGGACTATCAACCGTGTAAATAGCTTGAGCGATAGAGCCAGTACCAATTGCACCAGCTGGTGTGAATGTTCTTGCTGGATTATATTTAGAGCTTAAGAATCTCAACCTTGGGTCGGTATGAACAAGTAGAGGTAAAGCACACAAAAAGGAAACAGCAACAACAATTTGAGTGTGACCAACAATAGCTGCCTTAAACTCTTCAACAGTATTGATACAATTTGCCCTCATAACAAAATCAGTGTTATTTGGTAAGTATGGAGCATGTGGCCTTTGTGATCGTTGGTATCTTTCAATACAATGTCTTAAAGCTTTGTGGTCAAATGTTATTGGAAAGTTGAAAACTCTTGATGGAACTTTTAGTTCATCAATAGATGGAATACTTCTTTCCAATTTGGCCAACTCTTGGATCAAAAAATCTCTTGATATATGATCAGAATCGAAAACAACACACATTGCACCAGTTACAGCTTCTACTCTAACAATGCTGTCATTGAGCAGTTCGTTAATTTTCAAACCTAGCACATATTGACGACCATTATTCAACAAATCGTAATCAACAACACCAAAATCAATAATAATCATATCTTCACCAGCTTGTCTGAAATAAGCATTTGGTAAGCCCTTGGACCCAGTTCTTGAGTATAAAATGGTATCATCTATTTTGTCTTCAGAGGCTTCCAAAGTATCATCAAAAGCAATAGAATTATCTTGTGTTGGTCTAGACTCTAGATAGTTTATATATTCTTCCCTTTGTCTCTTTAATTTCAAAGAATCATCATAAGTAACCAATTTCAAATTAATTGCAGCACCAGTAGCGGCTTGTCCAATTTTCCAAAAATCAGTCATTGTTGGAACAGAAACACAAACAAATCCAGATAAAGTACCACCATCGGCACCATACATAACAATTGTAGATCCAACAGCACTTAAGCCACCAAATGGATATGTATACTCCAAAATGTTACTTGGATGTGAACCTCCATCACCTCCAGATTTTCTACTGAATTCAACTGCAGGTCCATCTAATCTGGTTGCACCTCTATTTGAATTCAAATTAACATGGTAAGTTGTATTGTATAATTGCTTCAAGCCTTCCTTAGACACAATGTCATCGGTATCATGTGGACCCTTCAACATTCTTATTGTCCAAGACTCCGATTCATAGTTTGGTCTTGAGGCCTCAGGTAAAACGTATCCTTCACATTCAGATTTTGAAGATTTCTTGATAGTTAAGCAATCACCTTGGAAAATTGCACGACCTTGGTGACCACCTAAACTTAATGTTGGTGTACAACTCTTTGAGCCCAAATATGGTGCAACATCTGGGAAGCCACCTTTAATTGCCAAATAGCACTTCGAAGCTGATTTACTCTTTGAGCCTCCAATTTCCACTATACTGCCTGCATCAACAAAGGTCTCAGTGAATAAAGGTTTATCTTCACCATTGATTTTGAATTCAAAATTTGCACCAGCAAGAGCAATTATTGCAGAGGAATGAAACTTTAAAATTGGGCCACTGAGATTGATTTCTAAACATTCAGTATATTTATCATTTCCCACAATTATGTTTGCAATTTGTAAACTTAGTGGATCAACCGGTCCACTTCGAGGAATACCACCACTAACAGTAGGACGACCTGGTAAATCTTGAATAGTTGTATAAGCACCAGCCTCTTCAAACTCAATCAAGCTTGGTTGAAATTTTAATGAGTTTAAGAATGAAGTTAATGTGAAACCTTGATTAAACTTTTCAGTTTTCAAAATGTCAATCAAGTAAGCAAGATTTGTTGGTGGACCATGAAGTTTGACATCTTCAAGATAGGCTATAAGATTATCTGTGGCAGTTTTCCTATCTTTACCCCAACACATAATCTTTGCCAACAACGGATCAAAATATGGAGAAATCTTTGTACCTGTTGAAACCCAATGATCAATTCTAATGCTTTCCCTTGGAGGAAATTCTACTTGATGTAAGATCCCAGGAGATGGAGCGAAATCTTTGACAGGATTTTCAGCATACACTCTTACCTCAATGGAATGGCCAGTTGGTTCTAAAAGGTCATGTCTCCATGAAGAATTACTTTGTTCTTGTAAAGTCTTCAATGGGATACCAGATTTAGCAGCTTCATAGTCAGATTGTAATAGCATCAAATATACCAGATCAATCCCATAAACCAACTCAGAAATACCATGTTCAACTTGTAATCTAGTGTTCATCTCCAAGAAATAAAAGTCACCAGTATCATCATCAACTAAAAACTCTATTGTCCCTGCTGATTTATATTTAACACTAGAAGCCAATGAAATTGCACAACCACTCAATTGTTTTCTCATCTCGAAATCAACAAATGGACTTGGAGATTCTTCAATAACTTTTTGATGACGACGTTGAATTGAGCATTCTCTTTCCCCAAAGGTAATAACATCACCAAGGCCGTTACCAAACAATTGAATTTCAATATGTCTAGCATTTTGAACATATTTTTCGATGAAAACACCAGTATGGTTGAATAAACTTTGACCTCTGGATTTAACTTCGTTGAAAAATTGTTTCAACTGGTTTTCGTTTTCACAAACTTTCAAACCCATACCACCACCACCGGCAGTAGATTTTAACATTAATGGGTATCCAATTTTTGCACCTTCAGCTTTGGCATCTTCTAATGTTTCTACTAAATCAGTACCAGGAACAACTGGGACCTTGGAATTAATAGCTAATGAACGTGCAATATGCTTCAAGCCAAATTCCTCAACTGATTCAGCTGATGGACCTGAAAACAAGATACCATGTTGTTGGAGTTTTTGAGCGAAAGTGGAATTTTCAGAGAGAAATCCATAACCAGGGATAACAACATCAGCTTTAACTTTTATTGCAACATCGATGATTGAATCAATATTAATATATGCTTGAGAGCCAGATCCTGGTAGTAAAACAGCTTTATCAGATTGTGAAACGTGTAATGAATCTGTATCTTCCTTAGAATAGATAGCAACTGATTTCAAACCAAACTATGTTCTTTGTTAGAATAATGAACAAATTGATATGGACTATGTACTCACTTTTTTACAACTTGATATGATACGACACGCTATTTCACCTCTATTTGCGATCAGAACAGTTCTGATATGCTTGAAGTCTGATGCACTTCTTGAATTGATTAGTTTCTCAACCATATTGAAGTTGAAATGTTGATATCTATCCACACATCTATAATACACAGCTAAATGGCGTTGTTAATATATTATAGAGCTGTTTTTTTGATTATTGTTGATGTTAACTGATATCCCCACATAATGACCATACTGCCTATCCTTTGACCAATTCAACCAAAGTGCGCTGGATGTGCTACCTAATACCTATTCTCCAATCATCATCCTATCTCCAATTTCTCCAGCCTCGTCGATTGACTTTTCAGGGATAAACCGTCGATAAATCAAAGTGAGCGAAAGTGAGACCCTAATTGTCAACCACAGCTTTAATGGTAATTGAGCGTATGAACACACATGATTCAATGGTATCTCAAAATTGTTCTGGTGGTCCAAATTTCCTGATTCCTGAAAATGCGCGAATTTGAATTCCGCTTCAAAAGCCAGTTTCCAGGGAAACGATCAAAAGCCGGGTTGCCTGGGCAAAAACTAAAATTATAAGCGCGCCAGGAACACAACGACAGTTCATGATAAGATAGTAGAGTTCCCTTGGAACTTGGAACCACAAATTCAAACAAGCATCCTGTTATGAAGGTAATCTGTGATATGATAACGATACATGTTCCTCCACCTTGACTAAGTGGACACAACTTCAAAGAATTGAACTGGCGATTTCAAACGTGGATGAGTTGCGCTGATAATAGCTTTGATAAGAGCTGAGCTTTCAAATATATACCGTATCATACATACTGCAGCCTGTCCAGTGTCCAGTGGTGGCTTACCACAACTTTCAGGGCTGAAGCTCAATGCTTCCTGAATCCTGAATCGCGATAAGAAGTGCGCTTCAAAGGTATGATTACTATTCAAGGTCAGACAATGTACCTCCCCTGTCATAAAAGCATCATAATCCTCCCCAGAATTCCAAGATTTTAATTCACCACAGACACTAAAGGCGGAGACCAGAATAAATTGAATTCAACATTATGGCTGGTGATTTTGTTGTTTTCCCTCAATCTGTAGGATGGGGGTTAGTTGTTGGCGTTGGGTTTGCCTTTGCAGTGATTATGGTTACTACAACTTATCTATTAGAAAAATTTCGTGGTGAAGTTCAAACTTCTGAAATGTTAATGACTGGTAATCGCTCAATGAAAACTGGGTTAATTTCAGCAGCTGTTGTATCGGGATGGACTATTGGGTCAACTTTATTATTGTCTTGTACGACTGCATATCAACTTGGTGTTAGTGGGAGCTATTGGTATGGTGCTGGTGCCTGTGTTCAAATTATTGTTTTCTCCGTTGCAGCTATTGAAATCAAAAGGAAAGCTCCAACTACTCATACTTATCAAGAAATTGTCAGAGTTCGTTATGGTAAAGCTACTCATTTATTAAGTTGTGCGTACTCTTTCTTTCAACAGATTTGTTACTCAACAAACTTGTTAATTAATGGCTCTTCAATTATTGCAAACTTGACAGGTATCAACAGAGATGCATCAATTGTTATTTTACCTTTCTTTGTTACTATTTATACATTGTTTGGTGGTATAAAGGCAACTTTTATTTCAGATTACGTTCACACTGTAATCATTTTCATCATTTTATTAATGTTCATTTTTGTTACTTATGCAACAAGTGATAAATTGGGGAGTCCAGGCGCACTGTATGATTTGTTAGTTATTGCGGCCAAAGAAGAGCCTGTTGCTAAAAATCATGAAGGTTCTTATCTTACAATGACATCTGTTAATGGAGGATTATTTGGTTTGGTTCTTCTAGGTGCAGGTTTTGCAGCTGCTTCAGATTCTCAATTGATGCAAAAAGCTCTTGCTGCAGATCCGAAATATGTTTTGAAAGGATATATAATTGGTGGGTTATCATGGTTTGCCATCCCATTTGCATTAGCTACAACTCTTGGTCTTGCATGTCGTGGGTTAGAAAATACATCATCTTTCCCGACTTATCCAAACAAGTTATCAACTCAACAGATCAATGATGGGTTGGTGATGCCAATTGCGGCTTATGCGTTGCTGGGTAAAATAGGTGGCGGTGGTGTGTTGACTATGATTTTCATGGCTTGTACAAGTGCTTATAGCTCTGAAGTTGTTGCTGTCTCAAGTACCTTATCTCATGATATTTATAAAGCTTACATCAATCCAAAAGCTTCTGGTAAGCAGTTGGTTTTGGCAAGCCATAGTGGTGTTATTGGATTCTTTATCGTTTGCAGTGCTTTAGCAATTGGATTAGCACATGCTGGGTTTGATGTTTCTTTTATTACTACAGTATCAGGTATTGTTGTTAACGTGAATATAGTTCCAATGGCTTGTACACTGTTTTGGAAACGTATGTCAGCATTTGCATATATTGTCGGAACTGTTGTTTCAACTTGTGTTTCTTTATCGATATGGATAGGGTATGCTGCTAGTCAAGCTGATAATGTGGTAAATTTGACAACTTTGAGTACTTATGATGCATTGGCTGCAGGTAACACACTCGCAGTTTTCTTTCCTGCCATTTTTGTTCCCATCTTGGTATTGATTAAACCTGCTAACTTTGATTGGGAAATTTGGAAAACAGATATCCAACAAGCTGATGATTCTGAGATTAATGAAGAACATGGGTTGACCAATATTTTGAGTGGAGAAAGGTTAACAGAAAAAATTGTTAGCGAAGAAAGAGAAAAGGACGGATTTTTAAAGAGACAAAGAAATATTGGTTTCGCTTGTACTGCATTCCTTATATTCTTCTTTCTGGTGATTTTCCCTCTTCCAATGTATGGAAGTAAATACATTTTCACTAGATGGTTTTTCACAGGTTGGGTCGTTGTTATGTTTATATGGGCTTTTATTGCAAGCTCTGTCATCACTCTCTTGCCAATATGGGATGGTAGATTCGCCATTAAAAGTGTAGTTAGACAACTTTTGAAAGGGAAGGCTGACCCACAGGTGATAGTTGGTGGGGGAAGTTATACTGTTGAAGAGCTAGAAGGCGTTGGCGGTTTAGATGAGAGGCTTGAAAAGAATTCAATCATAGCAAATGAAGTAAAGGTTTAATAAATTGTTTATGAGTGTTTTACGACGATTTGTAGCGTCTGCCATATTCAAAGGGCAACTAAAGGCAAATTCAAAAATTCTTACATTTTTCATAAACACTTTTCCTATTCAACGTGCTCTATGTGTTGTTTAGTTTCAAGATCGTTTCTTTTCAGCTCTTGAATCAAGTTAGCATTAATTGCTTGCATATCATGTTTGTTTTGGTAAACCTCTTCATCTCCAAAGACTTCATCCATTTCTTCTAATGTCTTCAATTTGGTTTCAGGGATAAAGAACCAAACGAAAAAGAATGAAATAAAGGCAAAAGCAGCAAAGAACACATAAGTACCAAATTTCATTTTCTCCAGCATCATTGGTGTCACCAACCCGATGATGAAGTTACACATCCAAGTTGAACTTGTCGTGATGGAGATTGCCTTTGATCTTATACCAAGTGGAAAAATCTCTGATGGATAAACCCAACCAATTGGTGCCCAAGAATAAGAAAAATTAACATCAAAAATATAAATAAATGCAACAGCACACCAGCCGGCACTTTTATGTTGATCTAAAACACCATCATATTTACCAACGATACCACCAACAATTGCCAATGAGATACAAGTACCAACAGAACCAGCCATTAACATTGGCTTTCTTCCTAGTTTATCAAGAAATATAATAGCTGGAATTGTAGACAAACAATTCACAATTGAATAAACACCAGATGCTAATAAACCTGAAATATTACCTGTTAAACCCAATTTCTTAAAGATTTCAGGTGAATAATAAATGATAGCGTTGCAACCCAAAAATTGTTGGAAAAACATTATCGCACTTCCTATAAACACACGTCTGAAGTTTGCCTTGATAAAGAATAGACTTTTGAACTCTAAAAGCTCTGACATTAAACGATTTCTTCCACCAAATTTTTGCTCCTTGAATTGTTTTTCAAATAAAACTTCACCCTTCATTTCCAAAAATTCAGCTTGAATCTTTAAATCACCCGTAGGCAAGCGACGAACATAAGCAAGTGTCTTTAAAGATTCATCTTCAAACCCTTTCATCAATAACCAACGAGGAGATTTAGGCAAAAAGCACATTCCAATACCTAACACAGCAGCTGGAAAGATTTGAAGACCAAAAGGAACTCTCCAAGATGCATCTTTTTGTCCATCACAACCAGTCAAAGGAACATCAGTATAAGGATTAAAAGAGTCACCATCTGCATACGGCGTGCCAGGTGAACAATGTGTACCACCAATATAATTTGTACCATAATCGATCCAATATGAGATCAAAATACCGATAGTGATACTGAGCTGCTGTAAAGAAACCAGTTGCCCTCTAGAACTAGGTGGTGCCAACTCTGAAATAAACATAGGAACAACCATTGTTAAAGCACCAACACCCAATCCAGTAACAGCACGTCCACCAAAGAGCATCGAAATTGAATGTCCAGCACATTGGAATATACTGCCAATAATGAAAATAACTGATGCAATGACAATTGAATTTCTTCTCCCATACTTATCAACGATAGGTGAAAAGATTAAACTTCCAAACCAAGCACAAATCAATAATGTAGAGACAAACCAACCTTTATAGTCAGCATCTTTATAGATTCTTGGGAAACGGGCACCAAACGATTGTTGAGTTAAAATACCAGAAACCACACCTTGATCGTAACCAAATAAGATACCACCTATTGAGGCAAACAGCACAATAAAGAACACCAAAGGGTTATCTTTCAAGGTTTTAAAAATGTTATCACCACCAGAATGTGCTAATTTGAAGAATTCTTCATCATTTCCATGACTATCAAAGTCTTCAACTGAATGGAGTGGATTTGTATTTGATAGCTTCTTCTCTGTATAGCTGTTTGAAGAAGACATTTTTGCGTTTTAATTAAGTTTTGACAATTAAAAACCAAATATGAGTATCCATAGACAGAAGCTTACCTCTTTTTATACCTTTTGAAATGAAAACATATGTATCACATCTTGCAAAGGGTTAAAATTCACCTCTCGCAGATTCGCGCTTCTTGAAGAAATTTCTGGGGTAGAATTTTTGCGTCAAAGTCATACATTGCGCAACAACTCGAAAAAGACCCCTTTGAAGAGAACGGTTCTTTGTGATCCATCGGGTGGATGTAATACGAGAAGAAGGGGATTACTCTTTATAGAGGTATGTGCTTGAATGTGGTTAGACTTAAAAAAGTGTAGACGTGTGTCGTTCATGGGGGAGTCTTTTGGCAAAGTGTCGCATGTTTAGCCTATTATTGTTCTATCGCCTGCGGATTAACCATTTTTCTTGTCTCTTGGAAAATGGACGACTGAGCTCCATTTTAATTTTGAGACAGAAATTGCACAATAGCGTTGCTGAGAAATGGCTAAACTACCCCAGATTGTACAGTTGGTGCACCCCACGAATGTCCGTCCGTATGCCCCATAACGCCGCTTTGCAAGTGAATATTTACATCAGAGAAATATGTAGTCGGGACGAGGATCTCCATAGGATTACGTTGTGTTATCAAGCTGAGAATAAGTGTATAGAGCTCATATAATCATCAGGAAGAATGGCAAGGATGAAGTATTATGCACCATGGACCTTTGAAAGCCGCAACCTATTCAGCTTAACCCCAGTCTTACGATTTTCAATTGTGTAAATGTTTCAATTTAATCCAAGAACTCTACGGTCCTCAGATCTCCACTATCTATTGAAAAGCACTTGTAGTAATTGCCATATTGATAAAATTTCTAGCACATTGGTTACACAAATTTAAAGAACGCTTTTTCCATCAACACAGTCTCCTCAACTTCAAGCTGCTGTACTCAAAAACCATCAACTATGGACCAAACTGAAAATAATCTTGCCTTGAGAGCATTAAAATTATTAGAGCAAATACCATCTGATCAAAGGCTCTTGATTGGATTAGCTGGCTCACCTGGCTCTGGGAAATCTACAATATCAAAACATGTGGTTCAAAAAATCAATGAACTTTATGGCTCAGAGATTGCAATTGTGGTAACTCAAGACGGATTCCATTATTATAGATCAGAGTTAGAAAAGTTTCCAAATAGAGAGGAAGCATTTAAGCGTCGTGGTGCTCCATTCACTTTCAATTCTAAAAAGTTCTTGAAACTAGTCAAACTATTACGTGAACCAATTAATGAAAATGTTGTAATCACTGCACCAGATTTTGATCACAAATTAAAAGACCCAAAGCCAAGGGCAATCAAAGTGGAGCCAAATCATATGATTGTTATTATTGAAGGTAATTATGTTTTGTTGAAAGATGAAAATTGGAAAGAAATTGGATCTTTAGTTGATGAACGTTGGAAAATCAATGTTGATTCAACCACAGCAAGATCTAGAATAGTTAAAAGACATTTAGAGAGTGGTATTTCAAATTCAATGGAGGAAGCTATAAAAAGATGTGATGGGAATGATATGATAAACGCTGAATACATAAGATTGAACTCTTGTGTTCCTGATTTAGTTATTCAAAGTATAGATGAATAGATAATTAAATATTATTCAACTTATCAATTGCTTCACGAGCCTTCTTAACATTATTCAAAGAATTTGGCATATCTGAATGTAGACACACACTGATTGGATTTTTTTCAAAATGTAAATCCATTTTGTTATCATTTTGATCAGTGATTGTATCTGTTGAGCCTGCAACATAAATAGCATCATGAATGATATCTGGATTTTTAGGTCTACTTTTAGCAGGCGGAACTAAAGCACCTTTTGCATCATAATCACAATCAACATACAACTCTTGAATAAAATCAACACCTTCCTCTTTTGCAATTTTCTCGTAATGTGCATTTTTAGCTCCAACAACCGGAACCCCAAAAGTCTTTATAGCTTTCAAAGCAGCTCTCATTACAGCTTCGTCTCTTTCAATGTAAAAGTATAATTCACCATGAGGTTTAACATGACTTAATTCAACACCTTCAGCATCCAAAAATGCCTTCAAAGCACCAGTTTGATATAATATCAACTTGTATATCTCTTCAGGTGGAATACTCCAAGGTCTTCTTCCGAAACCAATCATATCAGGTAATCCAGGGTGGGAACCACATTTAACCCCATATTTTTTAGCAGTTTGAACAGTTTTCAACATAATGTTGTAATCACCAGCATGGAATCCACAAGCAATATTTGCACGATCAATGAATGGCATTATCTCATCATCTGGAGCAATTTGGTAGCGACCAAATCCTTCGCCCATATCACAATTGATTTCATGTTTGGATAAGAGTTTGGAGTTAAGAGCAGCAGATCCTGATAGTTTTGAAGTTGACATTCTGGCAGTCTGCGACTGAATTGATGCGTTGACTGAAGGTAGATTAATCAACCTGAAAAGCATTAATGGGACTATCCATTCTTATATATTTGGGGATTATTGATCAGTAGTATAATCTTTGATGTTTCTGAAAATGGAAAACCTCCGCCAGAATTGATTTTGTAGGGAGGTCGCGAATCCGTTTTGTAAATTTGTTCAAAATTTGTTCAGGAACCAGGAACAGCCCAAATTCTTGGAGTTCATCAATTCAATGATAAAAGTTTCTGTTAAGCCATTGAGTTTTGTTCATCACCAAAGTCATAGACGCTTACAATATAACAAGAATTGATATCGATACTCTATTAGTGAGACTGCATTCAAGTCACTAAATATCACATTCACTTTTAATTTCAACTAGAATCAACAATACAATTGTTCAGCAAACGCGTTTTCAAATGTCACTGCTAGCCCTTCCTGATGAGATATTGCTTCGGATATGCAACTTGCTTGATGTTTACGATTTATCCTCACTTGCCAAAGTTCCAGTGATCGGGCCAAGAATAGCTAGGTTTTACATGTTTTATCACGACGAGACAACAGAGGCTAGAGCTTTAGCCAGAAAACTAGAAGATAACTCACCAGTCTACGTCTATTCACTTGAAGATTCTCCAGAAGACTATGATCCCTCAGAGATATGGTCCACTTTCATCATACTGGGTCAACCAAATGATCAAATAATTCTGGATAAAATAAAAGACATGCCCCAAAAGGCATCAATCAAAATCATATGCACTTCAAAATCTTTAGTTAACCTCATTGAAAGCCGCTCGATATTTGAGTCGTGTAGAAACACGGTATCGATTTGCTTTTTAAATCTTTGGGAGCTAGGTATGGTTCAAATTACTGGGCTTGATCCTGGGAGTTTGGACTTCCCAGAGCTTCATGAGCTCACACTTGTGTGCTGTACAGCAACCAATGACACTTCAAAGTTCAAATTGCCAAAAATTAGCTCAATTTTATTTGGGTGTAGTACGGAAAGTCTATCAATTCTCAAAAATTTTGACTTTGAGAAATATGATTTATTGCAGTTGATTAAACTGACATTCCTGGATTTCCAGAATGATGTCAATATTGGAGATATAACCTTCGGTAAAGCAAAAGAAGTTCATCTTGCGTTAAATCATAATGGATTTCCAACAAATATAAGAGGACATCTCAAAAACGTGTCAATGGAGCATGTTAGCTCACTGGTTCTTACAGATTTCACTTCGCTTATTGACATTGATGCTCCCAATTTAACTGAAATGACAATTGATATAAACACGAGTTCTTTTACAAAAGTGAAGTTTTTGAATTTTAATGCCCCAAAGTTGTTGAGAATTGGCACCACTAACCCAGACTTTGTGCTGTTTGATACATTTGAAAATTTCAATGCACCATTATTGAAAGAGATTGATATCAACGAGTTATCTCTAAGAGATAATCCTGATTATGTGTTTGAGAACCTGCGAACCATATCAACGGCTGAGTATACATTATGGCATGGTAAATTTAACTCATTGGTCTTGACCACATTAGAGATAAGTCTTGGTCCATCAATGGAACTGTATAATGACTTGAAGGCCACGGATTTTCCATCACTTCGAAACTTGCAGATTCATTCCCATTCACCGTGTGATCTTTCAAAGATTCCTTTTGGTAAAACATATCCAAGCCTTTTACGCCTAGAGTTCTTTGGATTTTATAATGTGCAAAGTGACACATTAAATCAGCTTTTATCTAGGTGTCCCAATTTAAAAGAACTTGAAATGGAACCACAAGATGCTGCTATAACTATAGACGGTGTTTCATCTGATACTTTAGAGGATATTCGCATATTCCCCAATGAAGATACTTTCCAAAAATTTGAAATGACAAACTGCCACTTTAAAAAATTGAAAAAGTTTTTCATCGCCCCTGATACTGATACGAGCATGCCTGATCAATTTGATAGATTTTCTGGGAGAATTGAAATGATTGCACCTAACCTTGAATCAATATTAGTTGGTTTGGAGATGGAGAGTATTGATATATCGAAATTCAAAACAACCAAGCTTAAAAGGGTTCTTTTAAGAGGTCCAGTATCCGAAATTGAACTAGGTGATATCCAAGATCTCAAAGATTTAAATTTATTTTATCCATTCACTAAGCTTGGATTTGGACAAGAGCCAGCAGCACTCCATAACTTCACCTTACCGGATAGACTAAACTTTCCAGCTGTTTCAGAATATGCTGTGATGAGGCTGATGTCCATCTATCGTAATACAGCTCTAAAACGAAACATAATATAGCACATAAATTTAACAAGTAATTTGGTTGAGTCAATATATAGTAGGTCAGTGATCATTGAGCTGTTAAGATATCCGAAAGTAAAATAACTCCAATTATTTTATCCTCGAATTTTATGACCCATTAAACAGCTTCCACCACAAGCTGTTGAGGATTAAACAAAAATGAGTGTAACTGGCCGCGTGAATGTTGGTTGGTTATATCTTCGCGAATTGATTTTACAATTGAATTACGAGGCCAAAGTCACCTGACAGAAAAGTCACCCTCGTATCTGAACTTTCAAAATTAGCGATTTGAATTTCTGGGAAGGATCGAAAAAGGAGACAGGTAATGACAATATTGTTAAAGCTTTGGAAAAGTGTTTTAAATTTGAACCAATTGGGATTTGAAAAATGCTTCAATTACAAAGTGATAACTTGTTGATCAAGAAAACATTGACTGAATTGTTTGAAACACCTCAAAATGTTGATAGAATTGTTTCAGATTTTGATTATACAACTTATCATTTATCAACACCTGAATCTAAAACAAAATTACTAGTCTCTATAAATTCCAAATCTTGGAAAGATCTAAGCAAATATGATGTGACTGGTAAATTGAACTCTATATATGGCCAATTTCAAACTGATACAGTGGAGCCAGGTTATAATTATTCAATTTATCTTGATTTAGAAGAGATTGCATCAAAATCAAAAGAAGAACAATTGGAAATAATTGATCAAATTTCATTATTGAAAAGAAACACACTAGCTGCTCCTTTCGAACAAGCATTTGATGAATATGAAGAACTAAATGCTAAATATCAAGAAACTGGGATTGAACCAGAAAATTCATCATCAATCATTGAAATCAATTATAGAGATGAAGAATCTATTTATATTAAACCATCATTTGATAGAGTTACAGTTATATTTTCCACAATTTTCAAAGATGAAACAGATAAGATCTTTGGTAAAGTTTTCTTACAAGAATTTGTTGATGCAAGAAAAAGAGCTGTTCAAAATGCCCCACAAGTTTTATATTCTCATAGAGAACCACCATTAGAAATTAGAGATTTGATCAAGTTTAGTCCAAATGAACAAAAAGGTTATGTCACATTTGTTTTATTCCCAAGACATTTAGTTCAACAAAAAAGATATAATACAATTTCTCATATTCAATTATTTAGAAATTATTTCCATTATCATATCAAATGTTCAAAAGCTTATATGCATTCAAGAATGAGATTCAGAGTTAATCAATACTTAAAAGTGTTGAATAGAGCAAAACCAGAAAATGATGAAGCTGTTGAAAGAAAGACTGCAACTGGTAGACGTTTCCTTGAAAGATAAATAATAATACACAAATATGTTTGTCCTGAATATGTACATGTAAGTTCTTCATTAATATTTATATACAAATCATCTATTCAGCCTTTGCAGGTTTTTTCACACCATATTTTGATCTTGAAGTGGTTCTATTGGCAACACCACTCAAATCCATAGCACCACGTATACAATGATATTTGATACCTGGTACATCTTGACAACGTCCACCTCTAACATAAACAACACTATGTTCTTGAGCATTATGACCTTCACCAGGGATATAAACTGAAACAACTTCACCATTTGTTAATCTTACTCTACAAGCTTTTCTTAAAGCTGAATTTGGTTTTTTAGGTTTTAAAACCATAACTCTTAGCACAACTCCTTTTTTAATTGGACACCTGTCTAAATGTGGAGCACCTGTTGGTCTTTTATGATTAGGTTTGACGGCACCTCTTTTTATTTGATTTATAGTGGCCATTCTATTATTTATTTTGATTGGATTTAATGGATTGGAAAAAATTGAGCTTATGGATGTTGAAGAAGAAGGTAAAAATCTTGATGAGGCACCGGTGGATTGACGAAGTATGCTGGTGGTTGGAGTAGAAGTCATTAAAGACTTGAACATGAATCTTAGAGCAGTCATGGTGGGATGGTGGGATGAGGATTAATCTGATTCAACTCGTTCTTTACAATAATTTTCTATTCAATTTTGGACCTTTTCCTCAACTTTTCACGATCGAGAAATTCGACTTTTTTACCCGGGTTTGATTATGTTCGCGAACGCCTAACTATCAAATGTATATTCCAAAAAAAAATCCAACAAACAAAGGTTCTTTTGAAGTCAATTTTATTTGAGATTACTTTAAAGCCCATCTATCTTATTCCAATCCTAACCGTCAGCCACACCACCATCAAAGCATTTTCTCGAGTATCTGTATATTTTATTGTTTCTGAAAAAATTGTACAAAACCCATTCGCGAAATCGCGCTTATTCGTTTAACCCTGAATCTGGTACGCGCCATACAGTTTCGCGAATTGTATTTTTTTCTTTGGCGTTGACAATTCTTTACTTCAATCCTTAAATTCAACATCAACTTCAGAAAGAACAATAAACGACCCATTCCAGAATGCTAAGATCAAGATTACTCCAAGTTGCTAGACGCTCAATCGTATCAAAGACCCCTTCTTTCATTACTGTCTCAAGATCCTTACCTATTACTCATCAATTACCAGTTTTCAATACGGGTGTTAGATTTTATTCAGATGTTCCTGAATTAACAAAAGATGTGATACAAGAACGTATATATGAAATTTTAGAAAATTTTGATAAAGTTTCAGCAAATTCCAAGATTGAAAATTCATCAAGTTTAACAAAAGATTTAGGGTTAGATTCATTAGATCTTGTTGATATTATTATGGCATTAGAAGAGGAATTTTGTATTGAAATCCCAGAAAAGGATCAATCTCAATTTAAAACTGTTGGTGATGCTATTGAATATATTGCAAACACTCCAGATGCTGCATGAGGAAAAAAACACAGAAACCCCCATTTTTACTTGTCAATTAATATATATTGACCCTTATTTATTCAAAGTTTATTTATTTTCTTATAATACATTCACATGATCATAATTCTTTAATTTGTTGCAAAAACTTCTTTTTCTAATTCACCTAATGATTCGACATAAGCATCTTTCATTGAATCAATATCTTGTAATTCTATTTCACTAATTTCATTATCACCTCTATTAATATCCAAATTAAATTTATTCCAGAAATTTTGTTCACCTTTACCAATAAGGAAATTGTAAGCATCACCTTTATTATTAGCTCTAGCAGTTCTACCAACTCTATGAACATATTCTCTTGAAGAGTTTGGTAAATCATAATTGACAACGTGTTGAATTGTTAAAATATCAATACCTCTTGAAATTAAATCAGTGGAAATTAATATATGAATTTCACCTTTGGCAAATTGAGTTAATAATTTTGATTTTTCAGATCTTGATTGTGATGAATTGATATTTGATATTATTAATGGTATTTGTAATTTATTTGAAATTAAAGATAATAATCTTGATAATCTGAGAGTTGATTCATTAGATTTTGTGAAAATTAAAACATTATGAGGAAATTGTAATGATTCTAATAATTTCAATAAATATAATGGTTTATGACTTGATGAAGAACTTGATAATTTAACAACATGTTCTGATAATTGTGAAGGTAATGTGAAAATCTTGTCATTTTGTAATATACTTTCTTCATTATTAACAATGATCAATCTTGGATTATGGAAATTTAAATTTGATAATTTCCCTGAATCTGTAGTTAAAGTTGCTGAAAAGATCATCTTGATTAAATTTGGTTTATAAATTTTTGATAAGTTATTACCTTCATTGATTGAATTCAAATTTTTGATTAAAACATTTGACCAATCTTGGAAACTTTGATTTAATAATCTGTCAGCTTCATCAATAATACACCATTGTAAATTCTTCAACTCAATACTTTGTAGATTTAAATGATCAACTAATCTACCTGGTGTAGATACAATGATATCTGGAACATTTGTTTTCAATTTTAAATGTTCATCTTGTAAGTTCAAATCAGTTTTACCTAAAGTAACAATATTTAAATCAATACCTTTGGAAATGGAGATTAAAGTTTTATAAACTTGATTGATTAAAGGTTTTGTTGGAACTAATATAATACACCTTAGTTTTGGAACAATTCTATTTTGTAAAGATTGAATGATTGGGATTGTATATGCTAAAGTTTTACCAGACCCAGTTGATGCATTAACTAATAAATCACCTTTTATGGAATTTGGATTTAATTTATTATTGATTTCAGGTAATAGTAAATCTAAAGTTTTAATCTGTGTAGCAAATGCATTATCAAAACCCAAATCTTGTAAGTTTTTCAAGATTTTCGGTGAAATATCAAATTCATTAAATGGTTTTGTTGAATCAGTCTTGATATATTGAGGGTTTGCTAGCCAATTTAATGAATTATTTGTCAAGGCACGGGATAATCTTTGATCTCTTGGTAATTCAGGTTGTGGTAATGGTATAAGTTCATGTTTTTCTGTTTGATCGTCTGATTCTTCAGATTCCTCTTCATCTTGTTTAGGTTTTGCTATTGATTTGTTGAATCTTGATATTATAGATGAGAATTTTGTATCATGATCCTGTTGAATTTCTGGCTCATCATTTATTTTTTCAACTTCAACTTCATCTTTAGTTTCATCTTCACTATTTGATTCATCAGAGCTGTCTTCACTCTCACTTTCACTATCACTGCTTTCACTTTCATCACTTCCACTATCCATATCTTGATCTTTATCACTCTCTTCACTTTCACTCTCTATTTCAGCATCGCTCAATGATCTTTTTGAAGGCGTCACAGGTTTATCATCTTCCACCACAAGACTCAAAGGGTCAAATCTAGCGGCAAACATTCTAATTGTTGATTTGAGCTTAGCGCTTGTAATTGAAGATGACTTGTATAAACTCATCTCATCTCGTACAATAAAAAAATTTACAAGATTAGCACTAAAAAACGTGATAAGTCACATGATCTGAGCTTTTCAACATCCCAACACCACATCAGATTTTTTCACTGCAGATCTCGGAACATTTCGAATTTAATTTAGATCGTTGATTACGTAGTTTAACAGGTGATTTTTGTATCAACGATGTAATCAAGCACCTTTGAAACTGGGAATCATAGGATCTAGAACTAATCAACTATACAAAATCACTTGATCAATAGTGTTGTTTGTTTGTTCAAATAGTGAGCTGATTGATGAATACAACCAAGTTCCAACGGTTTGTCCTGTTTTGTGAGGTCTGGTAGTGGCAGTTTCCCGGGTCAGCAGTCCATGGTTTTGTACAACCGGTTATTTGTTTTGTCTTCCCCATGGTTTTAGGGAATCATAGGATTACGTCAAAGACTCAATGAGGATTGGTGTATAAAAGGAATAGGATTTCCTGCTTTTGTTCACAGTTCAGATTGATATGAATCCAAAGACAAACACTTTAAACACTATTATTACACAATGAACGCTCCAATCAGAAAACCAAATGGAATCCTATTTGCAGGTATCTCCACTGCTCTATTAGTTGGTTATTCATATGTCCAACTAAACTCTAAAGCCTTTGAAAACCATTATGTTTTACATCATCAAAATCCATATGGTTTCAACCAAGAAAACTATGGATTGTTTAGTGGTTCCAAGTAAATCAAACAACAATACTCTTCATACAACTCATCATGAATTCAATTCTCCCTACTGCATACTTCATCATACGTGATACCTTTTCAGATACTGGCTGGTTCAATTATCTATGAGAACACAATTCACTCATTTAACAATTTGTATAACTATCTTGATACCAATACAATAATTAAAATCATATCATGTTTTCGTGTAGATTCCCTTTGATGCTAAACTTTAAAAATCCCCGGGACCTGGTCCTTTTGAGATTTCGCGATTCTTTCCGATTCAACATTTCGAGGGTTAAAGGTCACATGACTGTAATTTTAGAGAAGCAATTCCGACCATATTTAATTTTTCGATTTGATTGTATTTTGGTGAAAAAAAGTGGTTGATTTGAAGGATACTCAGAATTAACCTCAATATCACACCATAATGAGAGCTGCTAGTGTGCTACTCAAGCGTTCAGCATGGAAAGGTGTGTATTCAATAACGTTAGCTTGTGATTTATTCAATACTAACACTTTTTTACAGGTCCACATGTTGTTCCATTACCAATAGGACATGCATTGAAAACTGGTACACCAATTAGAACAAATGCAAGATCTTGTACAATATTACCTCAATTTGTTGGATTAAAATTTCAAGTTCATAATGGTAAAGAATATGTTCAATTTGAAGTTATTGATGATATGGTTGGTTCAAAATTAGGTGAATTTGCACCAACAAGAAAAGCTTTCAGATATACACAAACTAAAAACAAGTGATTTTAACTCATTTATTCATCATTATGCCCTGTATATTACATGTATATATATATATCAATTATGCTTATTGGTTTTTCATAGGTTATCTTCTTTCCATTCTAGATATACCCATTTTTAATCTTTCCTCTCTAATTCTACCAGTTTTATCCTCCATTGGCCATTTCCCCCATTTATTTAATCTTATAACAAGACAAGTTGCATTATCATCACCACCAATAGCTTCAACATATTTTATAACTTCTTCTGCACAATCTTGAGGTTTCCCCAATTTATTATTATGAGTAGTTTTAATTAAATCCACAATTTCTTGATCATTTGCATAATTTGTAACACCATCAGTTATTAAAACTAAAAAACATTCATCACCACCTTTCCCACCAATAGTTTGGTTAACTAAACTTTTCTTAAAAATTTCAGAAGAATCACCAATTATATATGAAGTTATATCAGGTTCTGCAGTTATACCTTTTGATTTAGCAATAACATCACCAAAAGATCTTGTATTTGCAAAATTCATAAATCTATTTTCACCAAATGAATCAGTTGCAAAATTTGCACTATATTTATTTAATCTTTTAGATTCAATTGTGGAAGTTGGATGATGTATTGAATTTAATGAATGTGCAATACCATCTTTATCACAAATCAAACATTTTGTATCACCAATTTGAGAAACTATTAGTTTTGAAACTATACCATTTTCAAAATATAAATTATTTTGATCACGACCATCTAGGTTATATAACCAAATTGATGTACAAGTTGAACCTGTTTTAGAATGATTATTTTCAATGAATTTATAATCTAGAGATAGATAAGACTGTGTTAATCTTAATTTCAAATCATCAATATCATCTTGTTTTGGTTCAATTGATTTGAAAATATCATTTTTTTCCTAAATATTCTTTTCCAATAACCTCCAATATTTTCATTATATTTTGATAATAGATTCATAAATCCTTCTTTGGAAGGTTTTAAAGTTTCAACTTGTTCATTTAAATGATTTCTTAGGAAAGTTGAACATTCATCACCGCCATGACCATCAAATACACTTGCAGTAAAACATTCTTGTTCCACAGTTTTATCAACCCCATAATCATTGATTCTGATGGGTATTTTGATCATATTAACAGTATATTTATCCTCATTGTATAATCTATTCATTCTATTTGTAAAATGACCGAAATGTGAAGGAGCTTTTAATAGTTGGATTTTCAATCTTGCATTTTTGTATATTGAATCTTTTGATAGATTTAGATTTGGAGCTGGGTTATAATTTCTGATGGGGAACGTGACATAGTCAGATAGTGATCTTTTGAATATAGTAGTGAGTGATTTAGCTTTCATATTTCCATTATGATTGGAAGTAGAGGGTCTGTTAATTGTAAAATTATGTTTATCCCCCAGTTTAAAACTCAAATGACATTCGAGTTTTGCACCAAGAAAAACCTCTTGAAAAACGAATTTCGCGAACACCCACGCCCAAAAGTTTGGAGGGGGGTCCCATCCGGGAGCTCTAGGCAGGGCTCCTTCTGGAAAGTATATTCTGGGAGCAGAGGCTAGGCGGAGGCTAGGCAGAGACGTAAACAAGTTACGTTACACGGCTGGACAATATAAACAGTAACAGGGATTGTATGATGAGAAATAGACATTGGCAAAGGGCATAGAGACAATGATTAACTTGTCTGACTGTCAGACTCCCCTTCAGCTTCTTCTAGGCCCACCAAATAGGTCCCCTTGGGCTTATGTCTAGGGTGTTTGGGATCGTTTGATCCATCCGATTTGCCCATCTTTTCAATCACAGACAAGAGTAAAACTTATTTGAAAGGTACAAATGATTCAATTCCAATTATTAATTCATATATATATATACACTCCATTATCACTTACAAAGAGAGTACACTAGTTGTTAGTTTGTGTTTTGTCAGCATTTAATAAGACCTAACGTTTACAAAGACCTTGAAAAAAAAACATATCCGAGAATGCTCAAACTACTACATGATATTCCAATATTCCACAAATCATCACCACATTCTTTATTAGACCAAGAAGTACCAAGGAAGAAGAAACAAGTCCAGAAAATGGAAAGGAAATTGCCTTTATACTTGCAACAATCTCAATACCAACTATTAAAGAAATTTGAAGAGATCAAGTTATTAGAAGGTGAACGAATTCATGAAGCAACAATTCATCAAGATAAATCAAGATGGAGTTTACAACATGGTGTTGAAGGATTCGATCTGAAACGGAACAGATATCAAAATGTGATTCCATATGATCGTACAAGAGTAGCATTGCAAGTGAAACCAGGTTTTAGTGATTATATCAATGCATCAAAGATTCATTTAGACCTAACAAAGAAATGGGGCAAGCCTTGTGAATCATCAAATTACATTTCATGTCAAGGTCCAACTTTCAATACAACTAGTCATTTCTGGCAAATGGTTGCACAGAGTACCACTGCAAAGAATGTTGTTATATGTATGGTTACTCCATTAGAAGAGCATGGGATATCAAAATGTTTCAAGTATTGGTTAGATGTTAAGGATGATTTTGTTGTTTTCAAAAGTGGTAAAGATGGGTTCCTAAATGACTTGAGATTGAAGTGTATTGATGCTAGTGAAGACGTTGACATTCCAGGTGTTCATTACACCACGTTATCCTTGGAGATGTTGAAGCCAGGCACCACTGATCAAGTTGTTGATGAACGAGTTATCCACCATTTGTACTACGACCAATGGACAGACTTCAGCAAACCAGACAACTGGGAGGCAATCCACCAATTGTCCAAGCTCGCCAGGGGGCTCAACGACGAGGCCAACCCGTTGATTGTCCATTGCTCAGCTGGAGTGGGCCGCTCAGGGACGTTTGTGGCACTGGACTACCTGTTCAACTGTGTCTCTAGCTACGACCCCAGTGACTCCCAGGCAGACGACCTTGTGGAGGTCCTTGTCCAGGCGCTCAGAGCCAGGCGGATGATGATGGTTCAGAGCCCAGAGCAGTTTGTGTTTGTTTATGAGAGTCTCGCAAAGTTTCTACTCAGCGGCTAATGACTAGATCGAGATTGGAAAAAACATTCTTTTACTTTATTCCTTTTACTATTTGCCATCAAATTAATCCAACCACAACCATGACGCTCAGCTGCTCCTTCAGACTATCCCTCAACAAGATCACAGTGGCCCAGTCCTCTCTTAAATCCAAGATTTACAACTTGTTTGGTCATCAACTCCATTTCAACTTGGTGGTGCTAGAAGAAACTAAATATATCAACTTCTAACTGCTAAATAAACTAGATTGTTTGAAACCTGAATTGTTGGAATCCATTGAAGATTTCGTTAAATTGATTACAAAACCTGAATATGTTTCATTGACTTTCAACACTTTTTATATGGATCATTTTAATAGAAAAATCATTTTCAAACCAAGAATATTGCCTGGTTATAGTTATGAATTTGATTTCATTGATAATAACATGGAGAAACTGAAAAGGGAATTGATCCATTCCACTGATGCATTGGGCGGCTATGTTACACTAAGACATTTATCACTGGCGCCTGTTGATTATGATTATGATTATGAAACTGGTAACTATCATGCTGCTTTAGACTACTCAAGTGATTTGGAAAATTGATTTTTATGCTGCATCTATATATTCGAAAGAACATCTTTAATTTAATGGCTAATGATTAATCATGAAAAATTCAAATTTATCAATTATCCCACTCCATTTTTGTAAATCAATCTTTTCATTATCAACCATAGTGAATACAAATCTTAAATCATCACCCGAGACAACTAAATTAATACCAAACACAAACGCCAAATCAAAAGTTGATTGAACAAACCAACTATCTAATTCTTCCACTTTACCAATGTTTGTAATTTCAAGACATCCTCTATGCATTTCCTTATAATTTTTAGAAAATTCTTCATCCCAATTCAATCCAGATGTAGCATACATCATAAATGGTTGTAAAATATCACCAGTCAATGCGTCATTTCTTAATTCATCACTATAAAGTTGAGGATCCACATTCAATGGATCAATACTTTGGAAATAACCAGTTGAATAACATCCATATCTAATTGATGAATCTTGTAATTTACCAATCCATCTTCTTGAATCAACTCCAAAACATGTATCATATTGAACTGATTTTGGGAACCCCATTTCAATCAATGCCTTGACCCATGATGTTTGAATCTTGGTTGTTAATGACATGTTCAAGTTTGATGGCTTCTTGATGACTTTGGTTTGGAAATGATGTTTACCTAAACCATATGAATGAACACCAGATTCAAATCTTGGTAAATCTGATGTTAATCTTTTAGGAATTGTAGAGTTTGGATGTAGGATAGTTTCTAAAGGTGGAGAGATTGTATCTTTAGGGTTGAATTTATAAATTGGTTCATTGACATTTTGGGAAGCTGGGGTATTGTTTAAATTTGATAAGAAATCTTTTGATAATGACATTACTGATTTCCCATCAAATATTGAATGATCCATAGTAAAGGCAAAATGTGAATCAGTTTCAACAATCTTAAAGAGATTTGAATCTTCAGAATATTTAAATCTAATACCATTGATCTTGGAAAATAGTTCATTCAATTTGATATGGTTTGACCATTTTGAATAAACTTGATTCAATTTCAATGAATCTGGTAAATATATTGAATCATTCAAGACAACACTTGCTAAGATTGGATTTGATTTGATTGTTTGAGATAATGAATAATGGATTTGTTCAGGTGAATAAGTTTGTTGTTTGGCAACAATATAACTAAAATTATTATAACGTCCAATTCTTGTGATTGAAGTAAAGAATTTTTCAACTTCACCTAATTTTCTAATGAAATTTAGTTTTGAAATGGTCATGATTGGAAGTGATGAGGATAGAAAAACTCTTTTGAATATATTCTCTATTGAATGATCATTTCATCTTTTTATATGTATATTTTTTTTCATCACCACCAACATAAATGGTCCAAAGTTCAAACGTTTTTTTTTCTCTACTGTAAAACTCTTGAACAATACGAAATCCTCGGATTTACTATGAGGTATTGTTCCGAAGACTATAATGTACAAGGTGATATAGACTGGATAGGATTGCTTATATTCTGAAGTATAAGGTATATTTACAGTACGGATAAACACTATTGTGTATAAGCTTTGGGTTAAAGATCGAAAAAGGAACAATAAATCACATGCTTAGACAATAAGGAGACCGTTGAGATCTGTTTCAGTAATTGACACATCAAATGTCTCATAATTGATTATTTGATGAGCTCATGATATTCTTAACACTGCAATATATTCCTTCAAGTCATATATTGACGTAGTTCACAAATTGTACTTTTTTGTCAGTAAATAACCATTATAATATAAGGCATATGACGGAATCCATCCACCGAGACTCCGAGTAACTCGGCCGTAGCGATTTTAACTACAACGTCAAACACGGCCACTTATATCCAGAATATTTGTCTTAAAAATTTAATCCTATATTACCAACTGTGACTCTTTCAATAGATATGACTATTTAGTTAACAGCTCAGCTGTTTACAGCTAAATTATTGTCAATCTCAATCAAAAATCAACCGTGTAAACAACATTCAACTTCATTTTAAACTTCAATTAATATACAAATCAAAACACCATCTGGAAATTTAGTGGGAATAATCAACTCAAACAAAATATCATCTCAAAATTATGCTGTAGATATATAAAAATAAATAAAACCAAACCAACTTTAAACTCAGAAAACACAAACAAAAGCAAATTTCTCCTTCATATACTCACTCACAAGATAAATAAAAGAAAATTAAATACACATTATATTCAACTATAGTTAAACATTATTCTCATTAACCAAAATAAGTTTCTGCTAAAGCATCCTTATCAACAAACCATGCAATTCTACCTGCAGATCCTTCATTAACAATAGATGCTGGTAATCCCTTTTCAGGTCTTTCCATAATCACTTTAACAATTGAAGCTTTAACAGCACCTTCCACGACAAATGAAACACGATGTGAATGACATATAACAGGTATTGTTAATGTAATTCTTCTACTTGGACCTGATGGTGCATTTTCCACAGGAACAACCCAAGCAAATTTTTCTCTCAATACTTCATGATCATTTGGGAAAATTGATGCGATATGACCATCTGGTGCACAACCTAATAAAAATAAATCAAATAAAGGTAATCTAACAGAATCTTTATTTGCAAATCCTTTAATTAAAACTTTTTCATAAGCATCTGCAACAGCTTGTGCATCATCTAATAATGATTCATCAATATGATAAACTTTGGGTTGAGGTTTACCCAATTCTTTTAATTTATCAAAAATTTCCATCTTGGCTAATCCATAATTTGAATTCGAATCATTAAATGGTACTAAACGTTCATCTGCAAAATAAATATCCCATTTATCCCATACAACATCATCTCTTTTCAATAATCCTTGAGCTAATACACTTATTAATGAACCACCAGAGATTGCAATCTTGAAACGTTTATTAATAGCTTTCTCTTTAGCCTTTTTAGATGTCTTGGTTACACCACTCCCAGAACTTGCTAAATTTGTGGATGATGCACTGGGTGTTGTTGTAGCTGTTGTATTAAGATTAGAATTACTATTAGAACTTTCTGTTGATGGGTCTTGACGAGGAATTGAATGTGAAGTTAATGTTTGTAGATTTTGAACTGAAGTTGTTGAATTATTACTTGGTAAACTATTGGCTAAAGCTTGATTTTGAGCATTAATCACATGGTTGGCCACCGCATCAGCAACACCGGCAAATTCACTGAATGAATAAATCTTTGGCACTGTTGTTGTCATAATCTTGAGCTGTGAATAATCAAATATATGGATAACAATTAGGATCACACACACGATCAATTGTGTTTATAAATTTCACTTGATTTGAAGGATTCAACGAACAAAACTCCTTCTCAACTTTTCTCTTGTGGCCTCTTTTTTCTGATTCTGGGAAAACGGATTCGCGCACAAATCGAATTCGCGAAGCCCTTGCTGAGTTGCCGGGTAAAAAACCAGTGAGTCGAGATTTCGCGAATTGATATTGTTTTAGATTTGAGATGGCAATTTGAATTAAAACATCATCAGCAATTTTCAATTGAATTCAAAAACAATCCTCAAAATATGGCATTTACTACCAAGCTAGAAGTTCTGAGCCATGCGGCTTGCTTGACCATTATGGATGCCAATCAGACCATCCATACTCAACTAAAAGATAAAAATTCCATTGTGTCAATATCAATAGAACCAAAAAGAGGTATCCCAAATGTGTTCACTGTTGTTAAACTAGATGATAATGATGAAAACTTTTTATTCACATCCACCATCAGTAACATTACGCTTTCGGCAATTATTAAATATGACCATTTCTTTGCTAGTATACAATTACCAGTTCAAGAATCAACTTTGGAACGTTTTGTAGCTGAAAATTACAGTGCCGATAGGAAAGGTTCTTTATTGGATCATTTATTAAAGTCATTTGGTGATGCAGGTAAGGTTTATGAAACTATCACTAAAAGCGCAATTGGAGAAAATGCGGAATGGACAGATTTTTATACTAGTATTTTAATACCTGCTTTCCAGAAATTTCAAAAATCAGAAAAAGTTGAGTTGAGTGAACAAGATACAAAAACTTTTATTGATATTGCTAAACCAACTATTGGTGGAAGACCAATGTTTTCAGAGAGAACCGATCCACAAACAACAGGTTCTTCATCAAGCTCCATGAAATCTTCATCCAAACCATTGCCCGAGGAGTTACCAAAATTTGATGATGAATATGAATTACAACGTCGCAAAATCCATGAGGATTTTATCCAAAGACCTTCATCCTCTTCACCATATGCTCCAATTGGTGATCGTGATTTACATCCATTTGGTCAATATCCTCCAATGAGACCAAATTTGGGTCCAGAAGCTGGTTCTCAATCAGGAGGTATGATTCCAGATAGAAACCACCCATTATTTAGACAACCATCAGGTGGTAGAGGTGGACTAGAGGGTAGAGGTGATCATCCACCAGGCTCAAGATATGATGATCCACTGGGAAGAGATGATTTTGATGCTGTGGGGAAAGGTTTACCAGGTGGAATGGGACTTGGTCGCAATAGTGGAGCTGGTCCATTTGGAGGAAGTGGAACTCCATTTGGAAGATCAAGTGGCTTTGGCGGTGGTTTCATTTAGTTGAATGGAAATTGAATGGTGTTTTTTTGTCGAGTAATTTGTTGTAGTTTCTGTCAAATTCCACGGGTTTTTGTAGCCTGAAGAAAAATACAATCAGATCTGATGTTAAAATCAATACCAAGACACACCACCACATTCAGACTCCAAAACATGTCTCGTTTAGATCTATCTACCAAGTTTCAAGTGATATGTTACCAAGGACAATTGTTCACCATGTTATTTGCCAAATCTCATATTGGCGTAATTCAGAAAGATGAATTTAAAGTGATGAATTATGGGTCAGATGGATCTTTTCTTGGACCAGATACAACGGTTTTCACTTTAGAAGCTGAAGGGAAATTTAGATATTCAATTATTAAACTGGATGATGATCATTTTTTAATAAATTCAACAATCGGTATGCACCCTCCAATCTCTGTGAATGTCAAATACAGTGATTATTTTGAAGGCTTACCGCTTCCTATCAGTAACCTTGAAATATCAGCCAGAGCTGATCTCCCAACAACTCCTTATAGAGAAATGAATGCAAGATTTTTGGGATTCTTGAAGGATAAGTATGAAGCAGCTTTTGGGTATCATGAAGAGTATGCACTTGAGATTATTATGTCTGGGGGAAATAGAGAATTTATATCTACTTGTATTAGCCGCGAGTTTATCGCAAAGGGGATTGAAAAAATTTATTACAAAAATACAAACAGACAAATTGATGAGAGTGATGATAGTGATTCTACCAGCGCCGATGAAATTGATAGTTTTGAAGCAAACGAACAAACTTTCAACACCTCAGTTCCATCATCTACGGGAAACAACCCACCAAAAGAAAAGCACCCATTTATGAATGGAAAAATTGAACAGTTACCAATCATTTACCCACCAGTACCATTTGGTGGTCAAAGTCCTTTCTATTTTGGAGTTGGTAAAGGAAATCCTTTTGGGAAATTTTCAAGAGAACAGCCATTTTATTAGTAACAATGGTAACGGGTGAATTAAACTACGAGCTCAATTCACTTGAAGTGAAGAGAATGGAAAATATTATTAGCTTACTTTTTTTGCTCAAATAGACTACTTTTCTGTTGACGGTCACAGGATTTATTTTGCCAATAGTTTGAACTTCAATTGACTTCTGGAAAGTCTTTGAGGTCGAAACTTTGCAATTCCAAAATATCACACAGTGGCCATAAGGATACAAGACTGATATATGAATGAGTAGTTTTAATTGCTAGTTATAAATGAAATATATGAGTTTTTGAATGCTTTTAATGTTTAGTAACTTCTTCTGCCAATTCACTCGGTCGCCTCATTGGCCGCGGCCCGCTAATAATTAAAAAAAATAAAATTGGCTTCTTTGTAAACAAGACCTTTTTCCAACGCAGTTCCATTGGAGTCAAATCTAATGACAACCATTGGCAGCCAGCATGCTTCTTCATACCAAATTTGACGTGATATGTTATGAAGGTCAGATAATAACCATGCTTTTTGCTGGCCGTTATTTGAAGAAAAACGAAATTGAAGGCCTCCATATAGATCATAGCGCCTCAAATGTTTTTACAGCAGAACAGATTTCAACTCGTCAATTGAGGTTCACCGTTATCATGCTTGATGAAGAAACTTATTTGATAAATGCCATGGTTGCAATGAGACCCCCAATGTCAATCCTTATTAAATACAGTGATTTTTTCCAAGGTTTACCACGTCCTATTGATCATTTACAAATGTCAGCTCAAGATCCAAATAATAGAACTATCTGGGGAGACATGACTCACAGATATATGACACACTTACTAGAAACTTATGAACAAAGATTCAAATACTATAATGATCATGCAGCTGAACTAAATAGTGGGTTTACTGAGAAGGAATTTGTGTGCACTTACATTACCCGTGAATTTTACAAGCAAGGAGTACAAAAGATTTATTACACTCCTTCCAATGATCATACTGAAACTGGATTTGATATTGATGGCGATGAAGAAGAAGATGATGGTGATGACACTGAAGAAATTGACGAAAGTGATGACAATATTGGAATCAATGGACGAACGCCCGATAGATCAACACGCGAAGCACCGAAAAAAGATGCTTCGCATTTGGCTGAGGAAGAATCTCTTCTACCAATACTGTATCCTCCTATTCCCTTTGGAGGTCAAAGCTCAATAGATTTTGGAGTTGGGAAAGGGAATCCGTTTGGAAAATCAACAAATAGCCAGCCCTATCTCAGATGGACTATAGACTAGACGTTACACGTATGCATTTATAAACTTCGTTTCAATTAATGGATCAACAATACAATTTTCTCATGACTGCACTGTACCTGCTTACTCTTCTTCAAAAAGACAATTTGTACTATGTCATTATTTACGTGTCAATAACTTGGGCGGACATAATAAAAAAATCATGAAACAACTTCGACTGGTTCAAGAGCCTATTTCCAACCATTATTAAAACACCAAAAGATTGACTGAAAATTTGAATAATAAAATGAGTAACTATCCAGGGAGTAATAGTAGTATGATATATGATAAGCTGAATGCAATGTACACGCTCACTTGTGGACTTGTTTATGTGGTGTACCTCCAACACGCTACTCCACCTCAAGAAACAGAATACAAATATGATGCAAGATCAATTACTTTACAATCCAAAGTGCAAAAAGATATTAGACTATCATTAGTTCAGTTTGATGAAGATACTTTTTTTATGAATGTGCATTTCACTAAAGAACTGTTCATTAATAAAATTTTTAGTTACAACAAATATTTATCGGAGCTTCCGTTACCAATAGATGCTCTTAATATTTTACCCAAGCCAGGGTGTGCTTCCCATCCGTACCAGCGCAGAGCACAAATGCTTGAGGAAGATCTTCGCCGTTATGTTAATGATTATCTTGCCAAATTTGAGATAAAGGATGACGCTTGGGATGCTAACCCATTGCGTGCTTTATATTACCCAATGAGAGAGTTTTTGGGATATGTATTGATGCCGAAATTTTATAGAGACTCTGCATATAAGCTTCAGCTGGCAATTAGATCAAACGAGCAGGAATTTGATAATGATTCTTCATCAAGTGACGATGGAACAGATGATGAAACAGAGAAAGAGAAAGATTTCAAGACAAATGGCATGACATATTCAAAAACCGGGAAAAGTGATACACGAGAACCGAAAGCACATTCAGAGGTTAGTGTACCTTTGAATTACCCAGAAGTGCCATTTGGTGGAAGAAGCTTGGACTTCAAAGGAATTGGTGGAAACCCATTTGGAAAATGGTTGAGCTAAAGCGTTTCCGCCTTCTGTCTTCAAAGGATTTAAGTGACAATGTTTGGTCTCTTAATATTTGGGTGTGCCCAGGACCTTTGATTCAAGTGTTTATGCAAGTCTTGATCCGCATAGTGTCTCCATATGCTAATTTGAAAGTGAAGCTTTATGCTACTCATCATGCTTGAAATTATCAGCTTTTTGTCTTTAGCATAACAACTGAATCTAGTAGCCATCAGAGCTACAGGCTAGCTGTGCGTATCACTTGAAATCTGTAATGTCTGTGTGTTTACAAAATTAGATAAATTCAATCAATTTAAACATAGTAGCTGTGTAATCTGTCATGTTTTGCGTGTCAATAATTGTACCTTTAATTTTCAAACCAAAGGGATGCTTATTGAACATTCTCCAACCATAAGTCTATTCAGACCTTTCTAACCCAAAATGAATGTTAATTGGCTTGTAAGAAAGGTAGATGTGCTGTTCCTTGTGACTTGTGGGTACATCTATATGTCGTTCTTTGTGGAGGAAGGTGAAAAAGAAGACGTTATAAATGATTCTCGATCATTAACTTTACAATCCAAAATCAAAAAAGATCTTAGAATTTCATTGATACAGATAGGAGAGGATGAATATCTTTTCAATGCAAACGTCTCAGAGGACTTACATATCAATATGATCTTGAGTTACAATAACTATCTACCCGAAATTCAATTCCCAGTTCATAGTTCCCAACTATTAACTATGATTGGTGTTACTAACCCAACACCACTCCAACAAAAAGTTACCAGATTACAACAGGAAGTTACTGAAAAGTTTAAGGTTTTGATGCTTCAACGTAATAGAGATTTTGTTTTCAAACAATCAACCCAATATAACACTTATAAGTCATTCAGAGAGTTTTCCGGGAATTTAATGATACCAATTTTTTACAAAAAATTTCAACAGAACACTTCTTCCACTAAAGTGGATAGTCAAAGTGAAAATGATGAGGATGTATCTAGTGAAAGTGATTTGGAAGAACTGGCTGATAATTTTGCGGCAATGGAATTTTCGTTACCTATAAAAAAAGAGTTAGATATTGGTGCAATACCGGAACCAACTGAAAAACAAGAGAAAAAAGCCGATATAGAATATCCAGATGTACCTTTCGGTGGGAAAAGTTTAGAATTCAAAGGAATAGGTGGTCATCCATTTGGGAGATCCTTAAATTAGCATTTCATTGGGAACCATCCAAGTAATTCAAGAGGAGCCGGCAATAAACCATTAACTGCTTCTCGGGGTATGTGGCAACACCAATGTCAAAACCACAAGGACACTTATTAAAAGACAGTTGGAAAAGATACAAATTGGGCTTCCATCAAGTTTCATGTTGAATAAACCAATATATACTCATGATTTTACGACATCCCATTTGTGTAGCGCTTCTCATAATTCGCGAAAATTCAAAATTGGGTACTTTGAAAAAAAAAAGCTCATCAAGCCATGAACAAGTTTCATCAAACATCAAATAATTCATAAACAAACTACAATTGACCCATACAATTTGAGCCATGGCCATCCATAACCCTTCCAACTTCACTAACAAGATTGAAGTTATCAATCATGCCGCTTCGTTTCTTTACAGAGCTCTAGGGTATCAAATACTTGAATCATCAATGGAAGCATCATCAATGATTACAAAATTCAACAATAATAAGAGATTAATTGTTCTTCTAATACCTAGTGGTGACTATACTATCATTTATATGAATGGCGAGGAAGCTTATACATTACAAGCTGGTTATGAAAATTTATTTCCAAATCTACGATTACCAATTACACCAAAGGCAGTTGACGAATATTTTATAAATAAAAAGACTTTTGCTGTCAATCTATTTATTGGATTCGCATTTACAGGAATTGGAGAAATACCTAAAGATATTAAAGCTGGTCGTACAAAGAAACAATTAGATTTTATAAATAATAAATTGTTACCTGCTCAACGTGCATATAAGCAAAGAGATGAAGAACCAAAGTTCACTAAAGAAGAATTGGATATGCTTATTTATGAAATTATTAAACCAACATTAGCTGGTGAAATATTATTTCCAATGGATGAAAGAGAGAAAACAAGAGAAGAGGAGAAAGCTAAAGAAAAAAAGGAACAAAAGGCAAAGAAAAGAGCTGTTCAAAAGGAAAAGAAGCGTAAAGAGATGGAGGAAAAAGAGAGAAGGGAACAGGAGGAAAGATCTAGAATTAATGTTGAAGAGAAGTATCCAATTTATAATCCACCTCCATTAAGTGGATTTGAACCAAATTAAAACAAGGACAATCTAATAATGAAAGATCACAACTTATTACCAAACATGTGTATCACTATTCTGAATAGTATATGAGTTTAAATTGTTGAAATGTTCTACAAATATTGTAATTGATGATATCAGACCCTTCAGACCATTTAGACTTTGAGACTCCAGCAAAAATGAAGTCTAGTCCCTAATATACAATCACCTAGTCCCAGATAACGGTGAAATCTTATCTCCCAGTTCACCTTCCAAAAGAGGCAAGCGATGAGGTTTTGAATTCCGTTTACACTTTTGACATGAAATAGGATTTAATATGAAAATTTTGTTTTGGTTCTGTCAACCTTTTGATTTTATTGAAACGCGTTCTTGTTGGCCAAGAATGATGAAGAAGCATTCTGATTTCACTGCATCATCAAGATCAATAGATAATTCATTTTATCAATTAGATCAACAAGTTGATAATGGTTTCAATAATGATGCAGAGGATTTATTAGCAGAGTTTGGGTATAAACAAGAATTAAACAGAACATTTGGAACATTACAAGTGTTTGGCATAGCATTTTCCATTATGGGATTATTACCAAGTATTGCCACAGTAATGGGGATTGGTTTAACAGGTGGGATGTTTACATTACTTTGGGGTTGGTTTATATCTGGGTTTATGATATTAACAATGGGTATTGCAATGAGTGAATTGGCATCTGCTATTCCAACATCTGGTGGGTTATATTATTGGACACATCATTTTGCACCTCCAGGTTGGAAAAACATTTTATCATTTGTTGTGGGGATTTCAAATTCAATGGCGTTGATAGGTGGTGTATGTTCCATAACTTATGGATTAGCAGAACAGATATTGGCTGCGATTTATTTGGCAACAGATGGTGGGTTCATACTAAATGATTTGAAAGTTTATTGTGTTTTCGTTTTAGGTATAATTGCAGAGTTATTGGTTACAAGTTTTGCCTCATCAGCTATATCTAAATTACAAACTACTTCAATCATTGCTAATATTGGACTGATTGTATTATTCTTCATTGCCTTACCAACTGGTACTGCTAAAAATTCTCAGTTTAATGATTCCTCATTTATTATCAAAAACTTTCAAAATTTTAGTGATTGGCCATCAGGTTGGGCTTTTATTCAATTTGGATTAGGAGGTTGTGCTTGGGTTGTTAGTGGATTTGATAGTTGTATACACATGGCTGAAGAAGTTAAAAATCCATCAAGAGCTATTCCATTTGGTATAATTGCATCCATAACAACATGTTGGATAACAGGGTTTGTTATATTGATAGTAATTGGAGCGTGTATCAATCCAGATTTAAAGTTAATTATAGATTCAGCTACTGGACAACCATTAGCTCAAATATTTTATGATTCTTTAGGTAAGAATTGGGCAGTTGTTTTCATTTCATTATCAGCCGTTTGTCAATTTTTCATGTCAGCAAGTGCATTAACTGCAACATCAAGACAAGTTTGGGCATTTTCGAGAGATGATGGATTACCATTTTCCTGGTTTATTAAAGTTGTGCACAAAGAGTTGAAGGTCCCCCTAAGAGCTACAATTGTATGTGCTTTGTTTTCATTAGTTATTGGGTTATTGATATTGGCAGGACCTGTTGCAGCTAATGCGTTATTTTCAATTGGTATTATTGGAAATTATTTGAGTTGGTCTACACCTCAAGTTCTTCGTTTGATATCTGAGAATGGTTCTTTCAAACCAGGTTGTTTCTATCTAGGTGATAGATTATCTCCAATAGTTGTTACAATATCTATTTTCTCACAATATTTGATTATGATACTGTCATTTTTCCCATCTAGAAAACATATCATGGATGCTTCACAAATGAACTATGCAGCTGTTATCAACATTGGTATCTGGGTCTTATCAATTGTGTATTTCTATGCTGTCAAGAGCAAGACTTTTGTTGGACCCAAGTCAAACATTCCAGAGGATGAGTTTATTGAAGGTGTTGAGCCAATAATCGATGCCACGTTCCAAGCCCATGAACGTGATTCGTTACTGAAAAAGAACAAGTTCAAGATGATACTATAGAATCCTTTTACAATACACGTAATTAATCTATAACCATCTAAAACTGAGCTAATCAATCATTTCTTTCTCTGGATCTCAAGCTTAAACTCGCTTAAAATCATGACCCTAGATTTTTCGCGAATCAACAAACGCGAAAAAAAATCAGACCAATAATTTCCTTGGATCAAAAAAGAAAAATAAAACAGCCATTGTTCTAAGATTTGTTTCATCACCGTCCAATAATCAACTGGCCTCAAAGACCATTAAACAAATGAGCTTCAATATCTGGGAACTTCCATTTGACGCGCTTCATTGCATCACAGACCGTCTGAGCAACAGGGACTTGTTGAAGCTTCGACTAGTCAACAAGAAAACCAAGAAAACCATTGAATCATTACCAAACTGGAGAGAAACTTCACTGAAAAGATGGTTAGTTTATGATGATCAATTACAAGAAGAGCAGATGAAGCAAACCGTTGTGGATTTCAAATATTTCTTACAAAGATCAAGGGAAGATAAAAATGTGCAAGTTAAATTACGTAAGATTCAAACAGGTCAACTTTCAGATAAACAAACCCTTGATTTAATTTATTCATTTAGTGATAAATATGGTACAAGACTAACTCCAGTTTTGAATAAACTATTAAAGCGCCCAAACCCTGAAAAAAATTTAAGAGTTGGTTATTTTGCAAAAATTATCTTGGAAGTTACAAGAAGAAAATCAATTTATAGATATTTTGATGCTTTGGAAAATAATCCAGATGGAACAATTAATCAAATTTTTGGTAGTATGGAACAATTCTTCTTTATAATGAGTCATGGTGATAAAGCTTTTGAAAATTTACTTCATTATAGAAAATTGATTATGAATAACGTTAAAGAGAGATTACGTTATGATTTAGCGTTTCTTAAATTAAATCCTACCAAAAAAATCGTCAAGATTCATGATATTTTCATTGAAGAAGTTGGTAAGCTAAATGGTGGTAAATATACTCATACCATGTATACAGAAGATTCTTCAATTTTGAGAGTTTATGCTGGTGAAAATTTAGGTTTCCCATTGATTAGATTAGCCATTGTGGAAAAAATTGCCAGAGAATTTGGTGTGAAATGCCTTCTTTTAAAATTCACTATGGGTGAAATGGACTTTATACATGCAAATGGGATGATGAAAGTTAAAGATAACTCTTATCGAGAAGGATTTTCTTATGTTAAAGCACCCCCATATTTTAGAATTCATCACAACATCAAATTAACGGCCCTAAGTACTTCTGATTACCAGGCAAGTTTAGCTGCTTTCGGTATTACTGAACCAGTCGCTACATTGCTAAGACCATTCTCTGCGGGGGAACTCTTTACAGAATATGCTATTGATATTCATGGGGTAAAACCAAGATTATTAATTGAAGAAGGGAAAACTAAAAAAGAACTTTATCCTAGATCAAATTATGAACTTGATGAATCTCATTTAATAGCTGTACAAACTTATTTCCATTCTATTAGATCTGAAACAGTTGGGTTTATGTCATATCCCTTAAATTCTGGTGGAACTTTTAGTACTCCTAAAGATATGTTTCTATATTTCCTAAGTCATACTTTACCATATGAATTGGGGGTTATACATAATCCAATTTTTTTCAGAAATAAATCTAAGGCTATGATTCAAAAAGAATGTTTGGAAACTTTTTCCACGGTTGTTCAATCATTAATTTTAAGAAGATATGATTTAATTGAAAAAATTGAAAATTCAAAAAGATTACCATGTTATTTCCCAGGTCAAACTTTAATTGCTGATCAAGGTGTTAAATGTATTGTTCTTGGTTGTAATATGGCTGATGATCGATCAAGTGATATGATTGATGAATATTTGATAATGGATACAAGAGTTGGTTCAATTATAAGGGGTAGTTTTGCACCAACAGATACTGTGGCTTATATCCCAACAATTGAAGATGTTGCACAGATGGTTGATTCTTGTTCGAATATTGGTCTTTATTTCGAAAGATTTGATACCATTACAAAAAGATTTATTCCAATTAAACCATTATTGGACCTCGTTACAGGAAGTGAAAATTTCAGAACTATAAGATCACCAACAGAAGTGAGAATAGCAATTGGACAACAACAAAATGGTCAATCCGTGACAAGTGAAATGAGCTGTCCATTTGAAAACTTTGCAGGTCATGTTCATGATCATCATCATGATACTGATCATGACAATCACCCTGAAATTACTGCACGCCACATTGATCCTTCTCAATTTGATGATATGACACTTCGTGTAATGGATCTTTACCGTCAACAAGACCCACAAGGATTTGCCTCATTTATGGAAAGATTGGAACATATGTCTCTTGAAGAAATTATGGCTAGAGTTGCTGATATGATGAATGGCAATAGTGATGATGAAGAAGATGAACCAAGAGATACTGGTTTATTTGAAGTTGATTAGTTTTTGAAATTGCTTTACCAATGAAATTATGAATTATTTTAATAAATATTATTATGTATTACAAATGTGAACTAATCACAAAATGTCAATGATCGTAGTGCGATGCGGTAGTGATACAAGACTCATACTTATCAATTCATAATCCATTAAAACTGTCATTACTATTAAGCTCAGCTCAATCTTCCAAATGGATGACCTTTATCTATTCCAAACAAGGCACCACTTTTACCTCCTGAAGGGATATCTGGATATATTATGGGGCCCTGGGTATAATCTTCTAAAGGTTCTTCAACTTTTTTTTTACCTTCTTTCTTATTATTTTTACTTTTACCATTTGACTTTTTATTTTTAACATCTTCAATTTCTTCCTCCTCATCCTCTTCACTTTCAGAACTTGACAATTTCTCCACTATTCTCTTTGGGATATATTTTTGACAAAACCAAGGAGTGACAAGTTGTGTATAAAATCTCTTCATTTCATAATATGACAGAGCATCTTCATCATTGGAACGATGGTTAATACCAGAACCTTTCCCATGCTCCAGTTCATTGAACTCTGTTGTCTTTCTCATAATCTCTTGCATGCAATAGTTTAAAAAGGCATCACTTATCTCATCAGCTTCATTATCCAAAAATTTTTCACTAACTGGCAATGGTAATGATTTGAAATATTTCGAATACTTCACCTCCACGGGGATTTTCCCCTGGTGTGTATCTATATTGAGTATGAAATCTTCGTCTGTACCCAAATCAATGGCCTGTATTGGACCACCATCATCGAAATAGATGATTCTGCAATTTTGATCCTTCACTTCCTTCACGATCTTGAACCCAGTGGCCCTTTGAGAAAAACTTGCCATGAACAGCACCAATTCCAATTTGGATCTCACCATTCTCTCAGATCCAGATCGCTCTGGATTCATGGTTATTCCCACTCTTCTCGAGGACATTTTTGGTGTGTTGATGATTCTGTACGTTAAAAGATGGTTTCAGATTTCGATTTTTTTTTTTCAATCCTCGAGAACATGATCAATAAAAAGATAACCAGATACTAAATCAATTGTACTTCACCAAATTTCAAAAGCTCAAAAGAATGGAAAGAGTCATAACATCGAGACTAGAAGTGGTGAGCCAAATGGCCACGCTGTTCCACCGTGTGATTGGCCACAATCCGTTGGAAACCAGGATCTCTGATGTTTCCATTGTGACGATATTCCCAGATAATCTTAAAATCATTGTTATATCAACAGGTAATGAATCATATTCGATAATCATCAAGACCAGTGCAACTTGTTATTCATTTGATATCAAATATAATCAATTCTTCAAATCAGTGGTGCTACCAATCGAGCCATATGAGTTAGATACAATGTACGTTACTTATAAAGGAGATGTTCACAAAAATTTCATTGGAGAAATGTTTAATAGATTAGGTGAGGTTCCAAATATTTTCATAAATCATGAATTCGATGCTGAAGGTGCTAAATTCATGTCTGAAGTGTTTGTTCCAAGACATCATGATTTTTCTCATCATGGTGTAGCTCCAAATTTTAGTGCTAAAGAGACGGATTATATTTTGTTTAGAAGGGTTAGACCTAGAATTGCTGGTGAATTAATGTTTCCAAATGATATGAAGAACAGTTTCACCACCTCAACTACTGAGATAAAAAGGAAAAGGGAAGAAAAGAAAGAAGTAAAGAAGAAACAACAAGAAGAGAGATTATTAAGGGAAAAAGAAGCTAGAGAAAAAATTAATATTGATGATTATCCGCTATATTTCCCACCACCACTTCCTGGGTTTTAAATATAATTTATAATGAAGTTATGACTTGTTTCTTGTGTAATCTCACAAACGACTCTTTATATGATTTTCAATTTCCTTTTGATAATCATGTTCAGCTTTGGCTAATCTCTTTGCACTGGCATAAAAACATTCAGGAACAACACCAACTTGTTGGATTGATTTCCCAGAAGTGATACAATCTGCGATAGCTTTACCACTTAGGTAAACTCTAGGCATACCATGACCTGAAAATCCAGCAACGATATATGCATTTCGCATACCAACAAAATCCAATTCACCAACATAAGGGAACTTATCATTAGTGAACCCCAAAATACCACTCCAAGTATAATCATTAACAGTTTTGAAATCTTTCCAAGTGGAGAAGAATTTTTGCATATAACCTTGTAAATGTTGAGCAGCTCTCTCGGGATAATATGAATCATCTGTAACGTTGAACAATTCAGAATAATCACCATTTGGCTTAATCATTAAATTACTTGCACCACCAACAATAACACCACCATCAGATCTATTGATCAAATAATCACTGTTTAGACCAACACGGTCAAATAATCCATAAGTGTTTGGTAGTTGTGGGATTGGTTTTGAAGGATCATTTGGCTTAATATGTGTAACAAGACCTTTAACAGGGACAATTACTTCATTAAATTGGTTCAAAATTCCCTTGGTGTAACCATTTGTTGCAAATACAACTTTTTTAGCAACAATTGAACCATTCTCAGTCTCCACGATATATTCACCAGTTTTATCAGACTTGGTAACTTTTGTCACTGGTGTATTTGAATACAGTTTCAAACCTTTAGCAACACATTTCTTTAACAATCCAGTCATTAATTTCCATGGCCAAATATGAGCAGCAGGATAAGTGAAGCATAATTTAGCATCTGGGACTTTAGAAATAGTGGCAACATCACCACCTTTAACCATTTGAATACTTTGTTTAATATCATCTCGAACATAAGGATTAGCCATCATTTTATCAAAAGCTTTTAAATCATTTTCAATTCTTTTAGAATCTCTATAAACATCACAAGCTCTTGTCAAGACAAAATCACAATCAATTTCCTCCTTCTCGACAATTTGCTTAATCTTGTATAGATGATCAACTTCAAAATTAACAACTTGAGCAGCAACAAATTGACCATGAGCAGCTTCATAATCCAAATACATTCTGTGACAATACGGTTTCAAATGACCACCGTTTCTACCAGTGGCACCTGAACATATAGTTCTGGCCTCCACCATTGTCACGTCTAATGAAGGGTCCTCATTGAATAAGTTGTAAGCTGTTGATGTCCCTGCATAACCTGAGCCAATGATCAATATGTCAGTCTTTGCTGGAACTCTCTCAGAGGATTTATAACAGGAGAAAGGGTCAGTGTCCTGGAGACTTAGCCAGAATGGCTTTGTGTAGTTTGGCACTGGGAGGTAGTTTGGTTTGGACATGGTTGGCTCTCTATTCAGATTCTGTTACTCTCAATAGCATACCAATGCCCATATATAACTCCAACTTCACCATCTTCAGCCATCACGACTTTCCGTTTAAGGCAAACATTGTGGATAGCCTCGACTTCTGCTTTAGTCAAGTTGTGCGACCAATTGATAAGCTTTAGACACTTCGCGAAATGGAAAAACTATTGGAAAAACTCTTCAAAGAACGAGATCGATATGGTTCACATTGTCACAAGGATAAAATGGGAAAAGGGTGTTATTGCTGGTGACTAATTGGTGTGATGATGGTTAAGGGATGACTTATTTGAGGGTTTGACGATGAGAATGAGATCCAGATTCCCCATTTTGCATCGATTCGATACGGCTATCATAAACAGATTGGTTTCAAGAACATGGTAAAAGATACGACAATCAGCTCTTCAAAATGCAATTGATAATGCAATGACTTGCTCATTTATTTGGTGTCCTCAAGATTTCGAGATATTTTAGATCAAATCATTCATTATCTCAACCACAAATGACGGATTTCAACAAGACACTAAAATGAACCCTATATATACCCAAGAAGATCTTCAACAATCAGCCCATATTTACTTATAGTCACTTCATACTATCCAATTGAATTCATATCACCAATCACCAACATGTCAGATATTGAAAAGGGCAATCCTTCCCTCCAACTTGATGACAATGATATAAAATCAACACCAATCGTCACAACAACAAGTCAAACTAATGGTGAAATCATTGAATTTGGTAAGAAAATTCATCTTGACACTAATAAAGTTGATGATGCAATGGAATTGGCCCTTAGGGCTTCCAAGTTTGAAATTGATCCTAAATTAGATAGGAAACTATCTTGGAAAATTGACTTGATGTTGGTTCCCTTCTTATCATTTCTTTATGCAATCCAATATATGGATAAAGTTACAAATAGTTTTGGTGCAATTATGGGATTGAAATCTTTTTACAAGATGGAGGGAAACATGTATAGTTGGTGTGGTTCTTCATTTTATTTGGGATATTTATTTTTCGTGTTTTTCGCAAGTTATTTAGTGCAAAGATTCCCACCAGCTAAAACTTGTGGTGTCTTCATCATAATTTGGGGTGTTATAAATACTGTTAATTGTACTCCAAAGACATATTCTGGGTTTATTGCCCTAAGAACTTTATTAGGTTGTTTTGAATCAATTGTTACACCAACTATGGTTATTTTAACAAGTCAATGGTGGAAAAAGGAAGAACAATTTATTAGAACTTGTATTTGGTTTTCTGCAACTTCATTTGGTACAATTTTTGGTTATTCAATTGCTTATGGAGTTTGGATCCGTCAAGATTCTTATACATTACCAGCTTGGAAAGTTGTCTTTGTCGTTATTGGTGTTATGACTATTACCCTGGGGGTAATGTTTGTTATTTATGTTCCTGATTCACCTGCTAAAGCTTGGTTTTTAAGTGAAGATGAAAAATTACATCTTGTTGAAAGAAATAGAAATAATAATCAAGGTTTTGGTACAAAAATTTTCAAAATGTATCAACTTAAAGAATGTTTATCAGATTATAGGGTTTGGTTAATATTCATCTTTGGTATTGTTGATGAAGTACCAAATGGAGGGATTACTAATTTTAGTAGTATCTTGATATCAGATCTAGGTTATGATACTAAACAATCATTATTGTTAAATTTACCTTTAGGTGCAGTTGGGTTTGCCGGTTGTAATATCATGGCACTTTTCTATGGACTAGGATTGGTTAAGCATAGAATTCCAATTAGTATTGCTGCTATGTTTATTGCCATAGCTGGTTCTTCAATGTTGGCATTTGCTTCAAGTACTACTGTTCAACTAGTTGGATTATACATCATGCAAGTTAGCCCCCTGGGTATGATTGGCTGTTTAACTATTTATAGTTCCAATATTGCAGGACATACTAAAAAAATCGTGGGTAATGCACTATATCTTGTTGGTTATTGTGCTGGTAATTTGATTGGTCCTCAGACTTTCAAAGGTTCTGAAGCACCAACTTATCAATCTGGTAAAACAGCAGTATTGGTGTGTTATGTTTTATCAACAGTTATTTTGATCATTTTATATGTTTCCTATTGGTTTGATAATAAGAAAAGAGATGAATTTGTTATTAAAAATGGTACTGATCATTTCTTGGATAATCAAGAATTTGCAGATTTGACAGATAGAGAGAATCCTCAATTCAGATATACTTTGTGAATCTGTGTTCTGCTTTTGATTTTTGTGAGCTACTATACAGAAGTGCTGTTTGTATAACCTATGAAATGTACTATCATGGTACTTTAGCCTTTTGTCATTTTGTATTTACCATATCCAACCAAACCATCTCATGCATATAAACTATAAGTTTATCCAGCTTTGATAGGGCATGAAGTGTCGATTAGTTAAAAATCTATTCATGAAGCCCAAATCCTCATACTGACATTTCGGTAATTACATCATGTAGAATCCATTAATTAGTACTATGTAGCATCGCTTAATACTCAACATGACCACGCCTCAACTTCTATCCAATTTCAAAACGTCAACGTCGAAAAAGGTATTTAAACACTCACAATTTCCCATTAATATAAATGTATTAGTTCAAAAATCTACTAAGGTTAAATTTAGTTTGAGGGTGTTGTTATTTTGTATGGTTCGGTTGATCTGTATATCAAATTGGCTTTCCACTAGTGTTTGTAGTGCTTTTATCTGCGTGGGATATTGGGGCTAACATTTCAAAGATTTCAACAACTGTACTGACCAGTGATCATTTTAGTATTATATATTATACTCATGATCTTTTGATAATTACAGGGATGTTGTTCTTTTGAAATGGTGCAGCTGCATTAACAGAGGTTTCAAACATGATCACTTTAAAATGTAATTTATTTTAAGTGACTTGGTTCTTGAGATTCTCATTGTTTTTTTTAATTATAATTATGAATGACATACAAGACTGTATCAAATAATTCAATTGATGTTCATCCTTTATTCACTATCAGCCAGCTTATTTATAATATTTGACGTTAATTGTATTATAATTAGTTAAACTAATTATAAAACCATTATATTACTAGCAGCTCAAGTAATTAAACGGATCAGAATACCCACACAGATTGATTACTTGACAGCTGAACTAGCACTCACCTTAACTTGCCTTAGGGCTTTAGTTCCAATACCACAATAGACGTTGTTAAAGGAGCACCAAGTTCCAACCATCATATTATTCACTGTTGTAATATTAAAAAGTGTTTGAACTTTGGCCTTATTTGATTTGATCAGATGGTCGCGAATTTTAAGTTTTTCAAATTTTCAAAAATAATTGATTAATTCGATCACCATTATTCAATAACCTGGTCAAATAACTTTGGAAGTGCGTTCTTCAGTCCGAAAGGAAGTACTTGGAATGATGAAGTGTCCGATTTGTGTTACGAAAGTTGCCCAACTATGGAAAAGCGATAACCATGTTCATGTGCTACTGAATAGTAGCATCGCTGTTACAGCATTAATAGGTGTCTGTGTATGTACTGGTATCAAGTTCAGCTGATTGATATTGAATATTATCATGGATCAACTGCATGACTAGCCATTGAATTGAATTATGATCAATCATTTGTTTTCTTTAGGATGTTGTTTTATTCTAAGAACTTATGGATTTGATTATTTAATACATATTTAAACCCTAGACCAACGTAGAAGTCTACAAATTGAGATTAACAATAATCAATAACCAAACTACCTATTCCTATCAAATAAACCAAAAGCTTTAAATCGCTTTACATTTTGCTCATCGTTTTTCATCTGGTCATGTGATCATCGACTAATTCATTCCTCGAGAATTAAGGAGAAAATAAGATGCAAAAAAATGAAATCATTAATTCTACTTTAATCCACAAGTACTTATGGCTCTTGTGTTGTCTAATATGTACTCCAAAAGGCGTTGCTGGGAATTAAGACGTTCTTCATTTGACAGTTTCAGGCTAGAAGGTGAGATTGTCAAATATTATATTGTGGCCTTGTGAAGATTATTGATCAGACAGAGAGAGAGCAATTCATGAAATCATATTGATTTTGTTGAAGTTTGCAATATCGATGTGTCTACTTCACGAAGCTCATATTAATTATACTCCAAATCATTAATAATTAGCTCATGAAATGATAATTGAGAAAGATTTTTTTGAAGATGTAACATATTTTCAAGATCTTATTCTTAATTATTCTATTGATTTTAACAATATATACTCAAATATTCAAGTTTAAATTGATGTAGTAGAATTTATTAATGACCACCAATTAATATCCATACCATAAGTATTAAGGACATGTCAACCATGATCCAATGATCATGATCCAGTTGCTTAACAAATTCTCCGTCAATAACGTCTAGCTACCTCACGAACGAAACGCAAGGAACTACACAATGAATAGAGAACTGAAATGTCGAAATAGCGTAATAAAGAGAGAGATCAACTACATGCCATAAACCTTTATGGCAACATCAAGATGAAAAATAATTATAAAGAGGTGAAAATGACTGAGATCAATCAATCAGTAAGATTCAATTGAAATCAAAAAAGATCCAATCTAATACAAACTATCATGGAAAGATCCTTCCATAAAAAACACCTCCCGTTATTATCCCCAAACGACAATCAAATAACAGCTGAATCATCTTCAACATCAGACAGGGCCCTTGCCTTTCAGTTTCATTATCAATTGAAATCATCAAAATCATTTGTTTGAATGGAATAACAACTAAAGATCAGATTATGATCTTATATATATTATCAAATGATTAGGCTTCAAGTTCAAGTTCTTCTTTACTTTCTTTTTTTTTTTTTTTTTTGGCTTCTTGTAAACTTCTTATGACTTTTGACTAGTTTCATGGAAAACATTATTCTACCAATGAAATTGGCATCTTGACTGATTCAATAAAATTCCCGCACTACATTCCCGCACTACACTGGAAAATGAAGCAAGCAATGAATTTCAATCAACATCATCATCAAAAGCTGAAAAATTCCGAAATTATAACTTCAACAATTCTCACAAGTTTCTAGAAATCATTAGTACATCTAAATGTAGTCCACCCAATTGACCTTCAACATCTATTCACTCATTGAAATCCATAAATGAAAACATATAGTAAGAATCTCCGTTATGTTCCCCAATTTCAAAAATAATTCAAGAAGAATGCAATACACCATGAAGAACTGAACCTTGTAGAAACCCAATAACCTGATGGATAAAAAAAATGGATAATGCCCCCAGATCCCATACAATCATTAATTAAATTATGATTTAATAAATGCCCCCAGTACCCACACTCAATAAAACTTTTAATTAAAGCCCCCAGATCCCACATAATCATTAATTAAATGATTTAATAAATTCCCCCAGATCCCATACAATCAGAAGTCAAACGATTTAAAGCCCTCAGTGCCCTCACAATAAAATCCCCCAGATCCCAAAAAACAAAAACTTGAATAAATCAAGATTTCATGACAAGAGTTCAAACCAAAAGTTTGAAACAAGTCCAATCAAGGACAACCCAATTGGATCAAAAAACAGTAAACAAGTGTAATGACAATGTTTAAAAAAGAATTTGTAAACAACATGGAAAAAGAAAATCAATGAAAAGTAAACAAGTGTAAATCAACAGTGGAAAAGTCAGCACATGGAAACATCAAACAGAATAACAACACCAAAAACATAAATATGATCTGTTTAATAAAAGTTAGTAGTTGAACATTTAATGAAGAAAGAAATGAAGCAAAGTAAATGATAATACCAAACTGGAAAAAAAAGTTGAATTGAATAAATGACCTGGGGTAGAAGTCAACGAAACAATAAAACACCATTGGGGGATGATATCTTAAAACACAAGATCAAGAACAACGACATATGAAAAACAATCATCATTGATTTTATGGAAAAACAAAAGAGGCATGGGGGAATATAACGTTCTTCAAAATCATCGGAATCATGTAGACATAATAGTCATCCTAGGTTATTTAAAATGAAAAGCTAAATTTATCTCATCAAGAATCCTCCCATAATTGTAGATATAAGTTCAAGACAACAATGAAACCCAAAATACTCAATTCAAAAGAACAAACTCTTAAATCTTTCAATCAGGGGTAGTGGATCAAAGTATGCCTCCTATCAATTCAGCCCAGTACTAATGACCTTCATAAATAGTAACCCATCAAACAAGGATAACGTATCTCAAAGGAAACTAGATTCAAATGACAAAACAATAGCTTTTCTAACCACCAAAGTGAACTGTGAATCTTTGCAAGATATCAAGGCTTTTATGTTCATGAGCATTCTACCTGGAATGAATGAATGCATTAGTTGAAATGACATGATAAAAAACCAACAATGAACTAGAAAAACAGTGGATTGTAAAAGAATTGAAGTGAATTTGGATTCCACCTTCTTTTAACCTTTCTCACTCAATTGATACAAAACCCCAAAGCAACCACAAAACCCACCACAAACACTATAGTAATTGAATTATTCTCCTAAGTAATTCATTTTTGTGTACACAAAACTTAAAAAAATAGACAACCACAAAACCACAAAACCAATCTAAACATTTCAATGACGTAACTCAAATACCACGAAGATAGTTATTGAGGAAATAATGATGATTCCACCAGCGACAAAGCACAATTAATGTCTTTGGAAACAATTGAACAACGAACCTTGTATAGGTTTCATGAAGAAATTTAGGCCCAATCAATAAGTGATTTAATATTGAGAGCGAATCTTTTGAAGGAATCGGATAACTGGTTCAAGATCTTAAGCTTTATAATACCAGCTATTGACTTTAACATCTTTACTTTAGGCTATTTTGAAGTAATGTAGAATTCTCAATCAAGATGTCCCATTTTTGCTTACCGCGAATTTTATTCAGAAAATTTAAAAATCAAAGGGATGAAGATCAAGTTCACAAGTTAATTAATTCATTGAGTTTATCATTTTATGGGATATATTTTCGAGTATGCAATGTATTGGATCAATTAATATGCCTATTGTTTTTTTCATTACTTATATTGAGTGAGCAAAGTGGTTTAGTTCGTTCTGATGTGAATATTGGAATTGTGTAGTGTTATACTGTACAATTATGAGTGATGTTATATTGGTTCTTCTGGAGGTGATCAATTGACCAGACCCAATATGAGCTGTCTACATGATCTATCAAAACCATGTTCATTAAGAAAGACTACTCTTTAGAGTTTACAATGATTCTAAGAACTTTCTTTAATGTACATTATGAATTTTCTGCAATATCATCATTGTAGATTAATTAAGCTATTAGTTCACCTTGAAATAAACAATATGAATATATTGATGATCATGATTAATATATTCAACTCTTTCTCCGCCATGGCACTTCATTGTTTATTCAAATCAACTAGCACATTATTTTCAATTCAATTTGTTGAGCCAAACATGAAGCAAGACGTGTATTAATGGTCCAAGGCCAATGGGATCATAATCAAAGAATCAAAGACTTCTCAAGAAAGAAATACGTTAAACTTAGACATAATTAGGGTATGGACATTGAATTAACCGTAGCTGGTATAGCTGATTAGGGCCAGGGCTGTGTAACCGAAACATTCTTGAGTTACCCTTTTGATGAGAATAGGGATCAAAATTATCATTATTGTTATTGATATTGTTTCAATGAGGTGTACGACGTGATACTATCATTTCTGTTCTCGATCCTTGGAACGGGTTTAGATACTGTCTAAAACATTTTATTCCTGATGTTTGACCAATTCATACTGTGTCAGTGGCCTACTTCACATGCAATTAAGTGTGCGCATCATGTTCCATCATTGTCACAATATCACATATTGAAGGGTTATTGTCAAATGGGATTCACCAGGTTTCAATATGCTTATTATTAAACATTAATGAGCTGGTTATTTGATAATAAAACATGAGGAACTAGGAGTTGTCTTTGTTTTGGGTTTTAATCAAATCACAGCAAGATTCTACTTCTGTTTCTAATATACAATTTTGATCAATATATACGTATGTAGAAAATAGATCACCTGACCAATGCTTACCTAATCTTCACCACAATTTCACTCTGGTACACACACGAACTTTCGAATCTCGGTTAAACCATTTGAATAGATCAAGTCATAATTTGAATCAGATACACCACTGATCATTTCCAAATCGTATGAGAATATGGGTTTTATGAGTCTAGATTGAATCCATGATCATCATAGCAATTGTATAATTAATGAATGTATGTACGGATATTGGTGGAGTGTACACCTCGATGATCTTATATAATCGTCACCTCTGTGTTGTCTGATGCCAAAAGAGCAATTTGATGAATTTAACAAATTTAGCCATCATCGAGAAATTACAAACAACAACAACAACAACAACAATTCATCATACGATAATTATCAAACCATGTTGAGATCACAATTAATCAGAGCATCATCCATAAATAAAAAGATCTACATCAAGCCAATCAGATTCTATGCTTCTAGTTCCCCTTCAGATTATCTAAAATGGAAAGAGTTGAAAGATGATGACAAGAGAGACTTTATTAGTAAATTTGTGGAAAGTTATAGATCCAAGCATAAGAACACAAAGAATTATTATAAGCAATTAGCCAGTGATATGGATGTACATGGAGATATTCCTAGTGTTTTCGGGTTGTTGTATAATGATTTGATTGAGAAGAGTGTGAATAATGAGGTTACCAGTGAGTTTGATGCTGATTTCTTTGGGTTGTTGTACAAGAAGTGATATATTATATAATTGAGGTATTATATTCATAATAATCCATATTATAATCCATATTAATTGTATTATAATTGTATTAAATCTCTTAAATCTATTATAAGTTGACTATTACATAAGCTAATTATCCTTACCTAATCCCTTACATAATACTACCCCCAAACCCCGTTTCAGTAATTATAGGCTCTCCCCTCATCGAACCATATTGAAATCACATTTAAATACCCACAGCCAGAATCAATTTCAACTTGACTTTATATCAAAATGAATTACAGCCATCACTATGCAATTACAAAATACTATCTTAAACACCTTGAAATTCATCAATAAACCAACTCATATCCAAATATCAAAATCATTGGGCAACTTATCCATTTCTATTAGACAAAACCCACAACAATTGTATGAAACTTATAATTATATGAAGCAATATTCTCATTATAATTTTGATTCAAAATATAAAAATTGGTTTGAATTGAATAAATTTGAACAATCGAAATTCATGGATACTTATATTAATAAACATGAATTGATTAATCAAAATAAACAAGCTTCAAATGCTATAAAGCAAATGGATAATGAAAATAAAGATGTTAATTTTATGTTTTTTTATCTTTATGAACATTTAAAACAACAAGCTGATCAAGTTGATACTCAAGAAGTTGTTTTCAAAGATGATATTTATGATTTGTTGATTGAAAAAGGAGATTATTAAACCAACCATTTGCATTCTACTAGAGATTTAGATCTAGAGCTATTTATTCATCAAATCAACAACGCCCATGTTGTTGTTTTGCCCCTATTTATTAATGACACGTTATGAAATCTTATTTAAATACTTGATCAGTAGTTTATTATTTTCAAATTCTGCATGATTTCTAAATTTTTGTAAAACTTGATTATATTTCAATTCAAATTGTTTAAATTCATCACTTTTGGGATTTATAATTAATTTTAAATAGTTTAAATTTTTCCCAATCTTGTTGAAAAAATCACTTATATCTTGATATTGTTTATTAATTAAACCTTTACTAAGGTAATCAATATTTGTTAAATAATCTTGATCAAATTTTAATTCATAAAGTTTTAAAGTATCTTTAGGGTCATGTAATTCATTAATTAATGATTCATTAGTTTCAAGGTTGTCAATTATTTCATTAGCAAATGTTTGTTTCAATTCATTTTGGAAATTTGGAAATTTTATCAAGATTAATTTCAAATCAATAAATTCATCAATTTTAATCATTTTTAAAATTTTCCCAAACAATCTTTCATCAAACTTGTTTAAATTGAAATTCACATTCCCACTTATAAAACTCCTCAATTTAAATAATTCTTCAATATCATCAATCTTGTCAACTTTATCAAACAATATAATTTCAACTTGTTTAAATTTCTCCAATATAACAAATATATCCTTCCCATCACCCCAATTATTCCCCAATTCATTAATAATTTCATAAATCTTGTCAAATGAATAATCTTGATCAATTTTCAAAAATTTACTCAATTTTATGAAAAATTCACTATTTTCCAAAACATGATTAAAACCTCCCACCTTCTTTTCCTCTTTAGTAAAAAACCTTTCGACATTTCTTTCATCAAGACGTTTCCCTCCAGCATTAAACACTAAATCATACAATTGTTTATCCTCTTTATACGCCAATGTTTCCATTTGTTTAATTTCATCTGCACTAATTAATAAATCTCTATATTTTGAACCAACAAGATTTCTAATTTCATCATGTTTCCTTATAGAGATCGAGGATAATTGTGAAGAGAGATCTTGGATCTCTGGGAGTGATTTGGTTTGGAAGAGTTGTAATGGTGTTGTGTTTAAAAGATCCATATCTTGATGGGTATCAAATCATAACAATTCATCAGTTTATTGAATCTTGAATTTGTTTATTTTGTAATTCGCGAAATTAATAAATTCATAGACACGATCGAAAATGACAGATCTACAATAAGTTTTAATTTTAAAATTTTAATTCTCTTTTTTCTAAAAAGTCTCTTCTTCATTTTAAAATGCTTTTCTTCATTCTCTTTTTTGTATCTTTTCTCTATCACTTTCAACCTCTTTGAATATCATTGAAAATTCTCAAAATAATCAATGTATCAAAAAACCCATAAGTTTGTATTTATGAATATAGATATTCCTATTTCTTTTGTTGTTGTTTAGCAACTGCATAAACAATACCAGCTAAAAATCCAATGAAAATTGAACTAATAGATAAGAAATTAACTGCAGCATCAAAGAAAATCAATCCTGATAATGCAATTGGTAATTTATTTAACGCACCAACCATGGAATAAGTAGTTGATGATGTAACTCTAACACACCAACCTGAACAATATGAAATCCCCACAGATGCTAAACCTGAAACAATCATGGCAATAATTGAAGGTTTATTAAAATTTGCATTCAAATTTGCTGGGGACCAATCTTCTAAAATGAATGAAGATAATAATAAAATTGGAATTGATAAAACATTATTATAATACATTGTATCAAAATCTTTAAAATTTGTCAATTTAATTCTTTTTCTCATCACTAAAACAAATGAAGCTGATGAAAAACAATTTAAAGCCATCCAAAAATATCCAATACTTAGAGCAAATGATGTATTATCCTTTTGATCACCAAAACATGCAATAACTGATGAAAGAACCATCAAAATAAATGAACCTAAAGCCATCGAGGTAACTTGGCCACCAAAGAATAAAACTTCACCATATGCAATCAAGATAATTGTTAAATTTTTAAAAATTGTATAAACTGGAATTGTTAAAAATTGTAAAGCTTTTGATGATGTATAAATCATAACAACTAATAAAATTGAAATTGGTGCCCAATTTTTAGCATCTGTCTTGTTTAAAGGTCTATAATTGATAATACCAAATGTTTTCAAAATTGCAATAGCAACAACACAAACTAATGATTGAACTAATAATAAAACAAAATTCATATTAAATTGGAATCCATTAACAACATATTTATTTGTAACAGTCATCAAGATGGATGAAATACAATAACATAGAATGGAGACAGGACCATTGTTAACCAATGAGGCTAATCCACCAGCTTGAACTTGAGGAGCTTGGGACATCTTTGAGATTTGTTGTTGTTGTTGTTGTTTTTGGTGTCGTGGTCAGAAAAGAGAAGGGAAATTTTGGAATTTTTGAAAGATCTCAAATTTTTTTTATTTTTTTGAAACGCGTCAACGAAAAAAAAAAGGAAAGGGACTGGGGTCTAGAAAGGGGAGGGAGGGACTAGGAGACTAGGGGTATATTCAGGTACCAGGAAATTTATAGAAAAGAGAGAAAATGAAACAGTGAGGAAGTGTATATAGGGTTGGTATTTAGTGGATCTAATGTAGAAGGGGGTAGTTAATATGTCTATGGTTATTTGAATATTTGTTTACTCTTCATCTCTCAATCATTCTGAGTATTCTAATCTCAATGCTTATCAGATACACATGGTGTTCTAGATTATGCAAATTTCAGAGACTTTACCCGGTGCTTGGTGGGTCTGATTGGCGCGGGTCGGATCATGTGACTGGACCGGATAATAACCTTTTAAAGCCATGATTCAGTTAATTATGTTATCAATATCTTGAAGATTGTTTGCAGCTCTAGTGATGATGAAGTGAGTGAAGCTAGTGTTACTCCGTTGTTGATATGAGCTTGTCGTCTTGGTAGTACTAAAGATACCATCACCACGAGTTCTTTCCAATACACTTTGATGAATAAAGTTGACTCTTGTTCGATTAAATAATATCATATCGACATATTAGCTGCCAATTCACCATATTTGTTGCCCTTAACCTCAAACCTCAACCTGCTGAGCCCTAATATAGATACAATCCTTGTAGTTTCTAAACTCACGTTCTAGTTCCATCAATGAATGATGATCAAACAGAAATCCATAGGTTTAATTAGTAGTATTGACTAAGATCTGTGAATATCATATTTCTTTCTCATGGTTAGCACCGTGATATCGTGATCATCATCTTTCTCACCAATAACCTTCCCATGAATCAATATGGTCGAGGAAAGAATTCATGATAAACCAGATTAGACTATTGATAATCATCATTGAAACCAATAATCAATATTGCATTCATAAACACTTCTGTCACCTCTTTAAGGCCCCTCCACCACCTATACTTACTCACTCTTCTTCCCATCCATGATAAAACAGTCTCCTAACCACCAAAAACACGATTTCAATCAAACTTAAACCACTTTAAACCAATTTCATTCAAAAAGAATTCAATTCAAAAGTTTATTGTGTCCCAGAATTCAAATTTTTCACACGTGACTTATTAAACCCCCGTAATAGCAAATATCTTGAAAACCACTTTTCAATAAGCATTATTTGAATTGAATTGAATTGATCTTGATATTGATATTGATCTTATTCCATAGATAATCACCATGTCTGATAATCTTCCCCCAAGTTCCAAACACAGCAGACCTTCCCACAGCAGGTTGAGCCGTGATTTGGTGAGTATTGAAGAAATGATGAAATTCATTGTTTTATATACTAACCCATGTCATTAGGTTGTTGAAGTAAATATGATTATTCTATTTCCTTTCCCCAAATACTAACAATTCATAGCCAAACTTACTCACTGCCATAATCTCTGGTGTTGCTGCTTCAATCGCTCAAACTACAATGACTTATCCTTTTGAATTTTTGAAAACAACTACTCAATTACATAGAAATTTACCAGGTGCTAAACAAGTTGAATTATTTCATCAATTTAAACATTATTTTAGTGGATGTGGTGCCTTAAATATTGGTAATGCCCTAAAATCAGGTTCAAGATTCATATTGTTTAATAGTACTTCAAAATTCATGAGTACTGAAAATGGGAAAACTTCTGCTCCAAGATTAGTTATTGCAGGTGCAATGACAGGATTTGTTGAATCTTTATGGATCATACCTTTCGAAAATATTAAAACCACAATGATTGAAAACTCTTTACATTATTCTGCAATTGAAAATAAAGAAAAAGAATCAAATTTAAAGAAAAAAAATGAAAAAGTTAATTATAAACCACCAACACCTAAAAAACAAGTACAAACATCACCTAAAACATTCCATAAACCAACATCATCATTACCAAAAGATGCTCACCCTTTCTTATTAGCTAAAGAAAAATGGGATAAATTACCATCATCTAGTTTTATAACAACAATTCAAGAAATTTATCAAACAAGAGGGTTTAGAGGGTTTTTACAAGGTACTGTACCAACTTTAATTAGACAATGTACAAATAGTGCAGTACGATTTGGTACTTATACTTCTTTACGTCAATTGTTTCAACCACATGGAGGTGAATTAAACACTTATTTAGCTTTTGCAATTGGTGTTACAAGTTCTTTAGCAGTTGTCGGTGTTACTCAACCAATTGATGTTATCAAAACTAGAATGCAAAGTCGTGAAGCTTATTATACTTATAAAAACTCTTTAAATTGTGCTTATAGAATATTCGTCGAAGAAGGTTTGAAAAGTTTTTGGTCTGGTTGGACTTATAGATTATTAAAAGTTGCAACAAGTGGTGGTGTTGCTTTTGCAGTTTATCAAAATGTTGAGAATCAAATAACAAGAGCACTAAAAGAACAACCATTTCAGGCAGCTTAATGAAAAAAATATGTAAATATCTATAATGTACATTAAATATAAAAAAATTATCCTAATACAAATTTTCAGAGTTTTCAATAATGGTACCTGCATCATCACCTCTTTCAACTAATTCACCAATTTCATAAACAACTTCACCAGCTTGTTTTAATAAAGTGGAAACTTTTTCAACAATTTCTTTTTCAACAATTGCAACCATACCAATACCTAAATTAAAAGTTTTCAATAAATCTTTAATTGGAACATTTGCAGTTTTACCAAACCATTTGAAAATTTCTGGAATTTCAAAAGTTTTCAAATCAACTTTTGCACTTAAATGTTTAGGTAAAGCTCTTGGAATATTTTCCACTAACCCACCACCTGTAATATGGGCAAGACCTAAAATCAAATCTTGTTGAATTGGTTTTAATAATTGTTTAACATAAATTCTTGTTGGAATTAAAACTTCTTTACCAATTGTACTTTCAGGTTTCCATGGGGCAACATCTGTATAAGAATAACCATAAGTTTCAATGATTTTACGAACTAATGAAAATCCATTTGAATGAACACCATCAGATTTTAAACCTAACAAGACATTTCCTTTGGCCATTTCATTAATTTTTGGTAAAATTTTATCTTTATTAACTGCACCAACTGCAGTACCATTTGTATCATAATGACCCGGTTCGTACATACCAGGCATTTCACTAGTTTCACCACCAACTAATGCACATCCAGCTTGGATACAACCATCTGCAACACCTTTAACAAAATCTGAAGCAATTTGGATATCTAATTTACCTGTGGCGAAATAATCTAAAAAGATTAAAGGTTCAGCACCTTGAACAACTAAATCATTAACATTCATAGCAACTAAATCAATACCAACAGTATCATGAATGTTTAAAATTTGTGCAATTCTTAATTTAGTACCAACACCATCAGTTGCAGCAACTAATAAAGTATCATCTGTGTTTTTATAACCTGCAGCTTTTAAATCGAAAACACCACCAAATCCACCAATATCTGAATCAGCACCTGGTCTTCTTGTAGATTTAACTTTTGCCTTGATATTTTCCACTAATAAATTACCATTATCAACAGAAACACCTGCTGCAGCATATGTAATACCATTTTTATTAGCTTCAGCATCTCTAAATGCTCTATGAGCAATATCTGTTCTATTATATTTATCTTTAAATTGGATTCTTTCAACACCTTCATATGCCTTTTTAACAGCATCTTGTAAAGTTGATGCAAATGAAGTTGATGCAATAACTCTACCACCATTTGTTAGAATTTTACCGTCCTGTTTAATAGTACCAGCATGGAAAACTAATGAATCTGGATGTTGTTCAATTGTGATTTCATCACCTTTGTTATAAGATTCTGGATAACCACCTGCAGCAATAACAACAGTTGTGGCGAATTGATCTTTTTTAGTTTCAATTTTAACTGAATCTAATCTACCTTCTGCAGCAGCTAAAAACACTTCAGCTAAATCAGTATCTTCTGTTAATAATGGTAAAACTGTTTGAGTTTCTGGATCACCAAATCTAACATTATATTCTAAAACTTTTGGACCAGTAGCTGTGATTATAATACCAGTAAATAAGACACCTTTGAAAGGGAATCCATCTTTTCTAAAACCCTCAATTGATGGTTTAATAATTAATTCATCAATTTCTTTTTGTAATTGTGGAGTAGCAACAGGAGCTGGAGCATAAGCACCCATACCACCAGTGTTTAAACCTGAATCACCATTACCAATACGTTTATGATCTTGAGCAGGAGGTAAATTGAACCAAGAATAACCATCAGAAATTGTTAGGATGGAAATTTCATCACCTTCTAAAAATTCCTCCACAACAACTTCATTACCAGCATCACCAAATTCTTTATCCACGATAACTTTCTTCAAGGCTTCGATTGCTTCTTCTTTAGTTTCAGGAATTAGCACACCTTTACCTGCAGCTAAACCTGTAGCTTTGATAACAACATTATGAGAAATACTTTGAATATAAGCTTTTGCAGCATCAAATTCTTTAAAATTTTTGTATTCAGCAGTTGGAATATTATGTTTAGCCATAAAATCTTTTGAGAAAGTTTTTGAACCTTCTAAAACTGCAGCTTTCTCTGATGGGCCGAAAACTGGTACACCAATTTTGTTGAAAACAGTGGTGATACCATCAACTAAAGGTTGTTCAGGGCCTGGAACGACTAACCCAATGTCATTCTTTTGGGCAAATTCCACTAGAGCTGGAAAATCCTTTTTAGATGAACCTATTGGGATATTTGTAACATTTTCAAATAAATCTGTCCCACCATTACCTGGTGCAACGTATATATGATTAACCAATTTGGATTGGGACAATTTCCAGACTAGGGCATGTTCACGACCACCGTTACCAACGACTAGGATATTGAGGGACATGATTGTGGATGAGTTTAATATGGTCAAGAGTGATTAAATTAACAGAAACGTTGTAAATTTTTTTAATCTCTTCGCTTTTAATCAATTTTATGTCTGCCAAAATTTCATCAAAATTTTTTTTGACTCAGATTTGACAGCGACGCAGATTGGATTCGCGAATTATTATTAAGTGAAAGCTCTACATTTGATTAATTTAAACCTCAATCCATTTGAATTAATTTGTAGTTGTAAAGATCTTGATGATAATAGTCTTGAAGAGAGGATATATCCAAAAAAAAAAGAAAAAAGTGATGACTGGTTAAAAAAAAGGAAAAAACCAGTCACCAAAGACATGAATAAATTAATTTGGTGAAAAAATAGATATTGTATAGATTAAAATCAAACAACGCCAAAGTATAAGAAAAAGAAGAAAAGTTTGATGATGAGATATCCAATCTGGTCTGATGGACTCTGTAATCAGTGACTATTCCTCATTCATAGAAAAAAGCAAGATAATAAAGATAAAAAAAAGGTGCAATTTGTACTAATTGACTTCTTTTCAAACATTTCAATCCATTGGATTATGGATCAACATTTATACTAAGACAATCAAAATAGTTTGAAAAAGGCACATAAAAGTAATTTGTAATAGTTTTTTTGAGGAAGTTTTTTTGGTTCAAATAAAAAGATAAACTAGTCATAAAATCAACACCATCAAAGGACAGTATCAATATATGAAAAGTAATGTATAAAAAAATGTAATGAAAACAATATAATGACAACACTTGGTGAGTAAAAAAATGAAACGACAACGCAAAATAATAAGACACACATATAATAATCAAAAATCAAAACAGAAAAATCAAAGTCATAACTTGACATTAAGATGAGATGGGCAAGTCACTTTCAAAGTGACCATGTTTATTGTTGTGTTGGTTGTGGTTGTTGAGGAAATTGTTGTTGTTGAGATTGAGGAGGTTGTTGAAATTGTTGAGGAATATAACCTTGTGGGAACCCTTGTGGAGGATAACCTTGTGGGAAACCTTGTGGTGGGTATCCTTGAGGTGGGTATCCATAACCTTGAGGTGTGAACCCATTAGCTTGTTGAGGAGGATAAGGATATGCTTGTTGAGGAGCTGGTGAACCACTTGAAGATGGAGCTTGTTGTTGTTGTTGAACAGCTGCTTGTGGTGGAGTTGCACCAATAGATGGAACATCTTGTTGTGGTAATGGTAATGGTGCTGGAATTGATGATGATGAAGGTTGAGAATTTAATTCAGGTTGACCTTTATAATGGAACCCATTAGTATTAGCATTTGGTAAATTTTGAATTGGGAAAGGTTTTGGAACATTTTTGTTACTTTTAGCAACATATAAACTTTCATCAATATTATTTGGAATCTTTGGAATTTCAATACCCAATTCTTTTTCAACTTTAAATAAATTTGCACGATCATTCCATGTAATAAAATCAATAGCTAAACCTAAATGACCAAATCTACCAGATCTACCAATTCTATGTAAATAAGTTTCAGCATTTTTAGGGAAATCAAAATTAATAACAACATTAACAGCTTGAATATCAATACCTCTTGTTAAAAGATCTGAACAAACTAAATTACGAACTTTCCCTTGTCTAAATTCATGGAAAACTTTATTTCTTGCATCTTGAGGCATTCTAGCATGAGAATAATAACATGAATAACCTAATTCTGTAATTTTTTTAGCCAATAATTCAACTCTTTTAGCTGAATTACAAAAAATAATGGATTGATTGATTTGTAATTTTGAAAATAATGTATGCAAACAATGTAATTTTTGTTGTTCTTCTAAATAAGCATAATAATTTGTAATACCTCTAAGGGTTAACTCATCCATTAAATTGATTTCATATGGATTTTTCAAATTTCTTGCAATAAATTCTTGAATAGTTAATGGGAAAGTTGCAGAAAATAATAAAGATTGACGTTTTTCTGGTAAAAATGATAAAATTTGTTCAATAATTCTTTTAAATTCTGGTGAAAGCATTTTATCAGCTTCATCCATAACAAATAATGAACAACTTGATAAATCAGCAACTTGTCTTGCAGCTAAATCTAAAACACGACCTGGAGTACCAACAAGAACATTAACAGGATCATTCAATCTAACAATATCATCTCTTAATGAAGTACCACCAGTGGAAACCATACATTGAACGTCTAAATGTTTCCCCAAAGTTCTCACAACTTGTGAAGTTTGTAAAGCTAATTCTCTTGTTGGTAAAAGAATTAAAGCTTGAATCTTGTCAATTTTTGGTTTAATTTTTTCTAAAGTTGGAATAATAAAAGATGCAGTTTTACCAGTACCATTCTTGGCTCTTGCTAAAATATCTCTACCAGCTAATGCAACTGGAATACTTTCTTCTTGAATTGGACTTGGTTTTTCAAAACCTGCTTCAAAAATACCCATCAATAACTTCCTACTTAGATAGAAATCTTCAAAGGAGTTACCTTTAGTCTTTGTGACATCTTCTGTTTGAGGTCTTGTGTCTCTTTCTGGAATGTTTAACTCTTGTTTCCAATCACTTGACATGTTGAATTATATATTGTATTGTATAAATCTTTGTGTATATTCCCAGTACGATTCAGTATTTTGTAACCAGTATTTTTTTGTATTCTTTATCTTCTGTTGATGTAATGGAATTGATGAACCAATTGAGTAGAAATAACAGCACTTTATATCTTTGAGATTGAAATAGTTTTTGATAGTTTTTTGAATCTTTTCGTTGACGTTGGCAAATTGTTTCGATTTGTCCTTTTTTTTTTGGTTTTTTTTTCGTTGAAGTTTTTTTCGAATTGTTGACTTCCTAATCGGGAAGTGAAAGTGGATTTTAGTGATTATATCAGCCACTATTACACTTTTAAGCGATTTGCGCTTCATTTCCGCCATTTGACACACATGTCACTTTCGCATTTCCCAAAACAGCACTTTTCTATTTTTAAAATTCACTTTTGGCGCTTTTTTTGAGAATTTGATCGTTTTAAAATTGAAACACAGGAATTTTAATCAACATCAACATCAACAAACTTCACCAAATTCCATAGAAAACCGTGCTCAGCTGGAATGAGCTCCATGTCCCACAGAAAGAGCTCCACGCTCAGCATCAACGTCAGCAGAAACAAGCCTCTGCCTCCAATCGTATTGGACCAGAATCAAGACCTTGATGAAACCTCAAATCATCAACACCAAAACTTGCAACCCATCAAGCCTCTTCAATTCCCAAGATCAACTTCAAACTCAAACCCATCTACTCCTACAAATGCCACAACACCCACTTCAAACACCATGTTTCAACCAAAGACTTTGAAAAGAAGAAACCTCAAGAAATTAACATTATCTGATGATAATAACAATAATGCTCAAAGTTCAACTCCATTATCATTAACTTCACCAAATAATCAAACTCTAAGTATACCAACACCGAAATCCACCACATCTAGTAAAAATGAAGATCTTGAACTATTGGAAAATTTTGAAAAATTAACAATAACGATCAATAATCAATATAATTTAAAACAATCAGATTTATTAACTTTGAAAACTCTTGGTGAAGGTCAAAGTGGTACTGTTACAAAATCTTTACATATACCTACAAATAAAACAATGGCAAAGAAACAAATCTTGTTTGAAAAAAATTTTAAAGTTCAAAATCAAATTTTAAGAGAATTAAAGATTCTTAATGATGTTAAAAATCCATATATTATAGAGTTTTATGGCGCAATTTTCATTGATAGTGCAGGTTCTAACGGTGGATCTGGTGAAGATTTAGAACCTTCTTCAGCCACGAAAGAAAAAGATGAAAATAAATTAAATATAATACCCAAGGAATCAAATGAAGTTCCAGGAATTAGAAGTAATGGTGTTTTAATATGCATGGAGTATATGGATTGTCGTTCATTAGATCATATCCTAAAGAAATTGGGATTTTTAAAAGAAATTTATTCAAGTAAAATAACTTTTGCCATATTGCAAGGTTTAAATTATTTATATGCAAAGCATAAAATCATTCATAGAGATATAAAACCATCAAATGTCTTGCTAAATTCAAAAGGTGAAGTTAAAATTTGTGATTTTGGTGTTAGTAGAGAATTAAATAACAATTCAATTGCAGATACTTTTGTTGGTACTTCAACTTATATGTCACCTGAAAGAATTCAAGGTGATGTTTATTCCATTAAAGGTGATGTTTGGTCTTTAGGCTTAATGCTTATAGAATTATCAACTGGTGAATTCCCATTTGGTAAAAAAGATACACCAAATGGTATATTGGATCTTTTACAAAGAATTGTTAATGAAGAACCACCTTCATTACCAAGATCCAAATATAGTAAAGAGTTGTGTGATTTTGTTGATTTATGTTTGAAAAAGCAAAATGAACGTCCAACTCCATTAGAATTATTAAACATGCCAAAATCATTCATCACTAAATATGAAGCTGAAGATTCAAAACAATTGTTGAGACATTTAGCAAAGAAGTTAAAGAAACCAAAGAAGTAATAATTTACATTAATTTTTAGACAATAATAAACTCTTGTTTCTGTTCTTTTTTTTTCAATTCTTTTTACATTCTTTCATAATTATATATAATTACATTAATGCATCATTTCAAATCATCATTAATTCATTCATTATCGTAACCTCTATATACGTTTCTCGTCATTAACAGGTTTATCATTCCACAACCAACCTTCAGTTCCTCTGAAAACACCATATCCAATCAATCCATAACCTGATCCTCTAATGAAATATCTCCACCAAATTGGATTTTTTTTCAAATTTTCAGTTTTAGATAATTTTGAATCATCAAATAATTGTCCACTTGTAAACCAAATACCAGCACCTATAGCAGTAACTGTGGCCATTATTTGACATGGAAGACAATTCTCATATTCTTTTGGTTCCAAATCTCTAGATTCTGGTGGATTAAACACTTTTACGATATTGGACATTGTGTAAAATTGTGTGAAATTTATTGACGTTTAATCTGGAGACGGTTTGAATCTTTTTTTATTTGAAATTTTTTTTTAGATCGTCTGTCAAATTTGCGCGTGTCGATAAACGTACACGATTTTGAAATTTTTCGAGAAGGACGCGTATTAACTAGAATACGAGCATCATTGAGTCAAAAACTATTGGAAAGTGCTCATTTATTGTCATCATGGGACTATCGGAATTTGAGAAACAAAGATTAGAAAATATAGAGAGAAACAAGAAATTACTAAGCTCTTTAAATTTAAATTCTATATCTCATGAAATTTATCAAGATATTAAAAAAGAAGAGCAACATGATTTGAAAAGAAGGAAAACTTCAAGTCCCAAACCTAAAAAGCCCAGAGATAAACAATCAATTCCTCTACCAACTAGAAGATCAAGAAGACTTGCTGGTGTTTCATTAGATGATGGTTCTGATAAGTCTCGTGAATTTGAACTTGAAGAGGAGAAAAGACGTAAAGAGAAGGAAGAATTGGAAAAACTGAAAACAATAAGAGTTAATGGTGACCTGAGTTTATTAGATTTGATAAAAGATGATGATGATGAAGTTAAAACTGAAGATGGGAATGATAAATTATTAACCAAATTCCAATCTTTTTTGAATAATAATGGTAATTTTAGTATTGGTGATTATTATGAAACTATCATGGCTAAAGATAATTCATCAAAAGATGTTAAGAATCTAAGAGAAGAATTCCAATCTAAAACCATCTATCCACACTTCAAACCAAATGAAATCAAATTAACAAAAGAAAGAATGACATATATTGCATTCCATCCCTCAATTGATAAAAAATTAATTATTGGTGGTGATACTAATGGTAATTGTGGTATTTGGAATTCCGAAAACACTGAAGAAGTTGATATAACTTCTTTTAAACTTCATGGCAAATCAATATGTAAATATGAATTCAACATTAATGAACCAAATAAAGTTTATACAGCAAGTTATGATGGTTCAATTAGAAGTATTGATCTTTCCACTTTAAAATCAACACAATTTTTCATCAATGATTTTGATGGAGGGATTTCAGATATAAATTTTAATAATCAACATGAAATTTATTATACAACTTTACAAGGTGAATTTGGTCGTTTAGATTTAAGATCAAATGATCATAGTAAAAGAAAAATCCTAAGATTATCAAATAAGAAAATTGGTGGTTTTACAATCAATCCAAATGATCCAGATCAATTAGCTACAGCTTCATTAGATAGAACTTTAAAAATTTGGGATTTGAGAAATATTGTTGATTGTGATTGGAATGAATGGGATGATGAACTTCAAACGTTACATAGTTTTGGAACTTATGATTCAAGATTATCAGTGTCAACAGTGGATTGGAATCATTCAAATGATTTGGTTTGTAATGGGTATGATGATACTGTAAATATCTTCAATTTAGACACTTCAAATTGGTCCAAGGATACAAATGAAGATTTAACACCAAATCACAAGATTAAACATAATTGTCAAACTGGTAGATGGGTTTCAATTTTAAAGGCAAAATGGCATAAATTCCCAGTTGACAAGACTGAAAAATTCGTCATTGCGAATATGAACAAATATTATGATGTATATGATAGAAATGGGGTTCAATTGGCACATTTATCAGATCCATTAATGACTGTTGTTCCTGCTGTTTGTAATTTCCATCAAACAGAGAATTGGTTAGTTGGTGGTGGTGCATCAGGAAAAGTTTACTTGTTTTCATAAGAAATAAACTGTATATTTAATCAAAAATATTGCTTTGTAGGATCTAGGAAAAAATGATGTTCTTCAGCATATTTTTTAATAACTTCAGCATGAACATCTTTATCATTTTGAGTATATATGGGGAATTTCTTACCAGCCCCATTTAAAGGTTCCACACCACCAGCTATTTTAGTTATATAATTTGGCCATTCAAATTTTTCATCTTGAAATGAATGATAAGCTGGTGTGTTTTTGAAAATTTGATACCTTACTAATATCCATCTATTTTGTTCTTCAAGTGATGGTAATTGAATTTTACCAGCCAAAAATCTTGCAACCCATATAGCTTGGAATTCAAATACTCTAAAAGTGATGGCTTGAATTGGAATACCCACAATTGATATTAATGGATCTTTACTATAGATTGTATGTTCAAAGAAATCAGGTAAGATGGTACCATTTGTAAAATTTGGATAAGAATTATTCATAAATGGGAAAGATAAATGATAACCAGTAGCATATATAAACCTATCTGGGTTTTCCACAATGGAACCATCACCAAAGTAAACCAAAATTTTCCCTTCATCATCAAGTTTTATCTCTTTAATTATTGGTTTTTCAATAATGTTTTCAAAACCTTGATTTTTCTGCTTCACTTCAGGAATTGTTTTCTTTGAATGGTAGACAGTTTTACTCGTTTTCGATAGAGCTGTAACTATATCCATTCCTGATATTCTACCACCAACAACAATAACAACTTCGTCGTCATATGTATCAACATTCGGTTTGAAATACTTTGAGTGGACAATCTTTTCAGGGTATTTTCCATGAATTAAATCCAACCCTTTCACTTTTGGAATGACAGGTACATGGTAATGACCAGTTGCTATAACTAAAGCATCAAATTCTTCTTGAAACCATTCATCAATTAGGTTACCATCAGAATCTTTTTCATCAGTTTCCCTTCTTAAAGTTAGGACAAATTTTGAATCAGGTTTAGAATAATCTTTGGAAACATTTTCAAGACTAGTTTTAAAAACAATATGATCTCTTGGATGACGATTGAAATAACGTTCAACATAATCTCTAACAGCGTCAACTTTCACATAATGTTGATCAATACGTTGCTTAATATCAACACCCCAATCTTTTTCATCTGAAAAGCACATTAATTGTTCAGGCACATTTGTTCGAAGTCCAGCATATCCAGCACTTTCCACAAATCTATATTGATTTGATCTTGGTGTTTTCACGATTTTTCCAATATCATCGTCAAAGTTTGGAATATCTCCCAATACAGGATCTAAATCATGAATTGTAGTACCTGGTGCTATATCTATCTTTACAGGATCTTTTTCAATTGACCAAACACCACCAATTTTTGAATTTCTTTCAAATACTTTAACTTTATCAAATGAATTTTCCTTCAGCAGGGCATCCAATGAAATTGCACCAGCTGGACCAGCACCAATTACTGCCACTGATTTAACTTTTCTAGGGACTTTAACCCCATTTTCTATAAGTTGTGGGACTGTCATTGCAAGATATATTTGATGAAGAACATTAATATTGGAAGCATTTTCATGGAGAAGTACTGGTTTTTTTATTGTGATCTTGGACTAATGATGATTTCAAATTGTGGCTTCGGTTGAACAAAGATGAAAATCTGTGAGCCGGTAACAATCAAAAGACTGTGATTAATGCTACACAATTAACTGAAAAAGACTAATATCAATCATTTATCATTAAGCCTAGTACTATTATACAGCCAAAATGAAAAGATCAATATCTGTAGTGCTCTGGATACCGAAACATGGCTCCTGGATTATGCGACAATCCAAAGAGTACCACTTCAGACTCCAGAGCCCATAACATTGAAATCATGAAAAATGGAAAATGACAATTTTAGCTGTAAGGGATGAAAGTTCACACCATACCCACTTATTCCCAATAAGCACTAGACGTTATCAAAACGACATAGCCGCAGCTAGACTTGAAGTATACAAAAAGGGCGCACAAGGCTCTGGACGATTATAATCTACCGGTCATGAATGGAAAGAATTTGAACGTCTTCGGTGCTTTTTTTGCGAAAATGCTGTGTTTAGAAAGTGGGAAAATCGCGAAAGAACATGAGGGACTAGACCTTTGAGCCAATTACATTTCAATTATAAATTGTAATATTTAATCTTCGATTGGTGTATATAAAAGTATAAAGAACTAAATAGTAAATAGTAGTTCTTGTTGGATTTGTATCATAGTTCGTTGATTTATATATAATTCCTTTTTTTGGAGGGTTGAAGCGGTGTGTGTGTGTGTTTTCTGGTGATTTTTTGAAGCTGTGTAAGGTGAGTCCAATGTAATGGGATATAAGTTAATGAAGCTACAATTTCTCTTCCATTCTATAGTAGAAGCAATGTATAGTCATAAATATTGTATTGAAATTCAAGATATTTAAATCATGGTGCAATGGTAAAAAATAAACAGCGTGGTCACCCCAGAATTGGCATCATTCTGATTATTGAGGAATCTTTAAGATCAACTTACCAGTAGTCTTTCTACCTTCCAAATCTTCAGTTGCTTGCTTGTATTCACTTAAAGGGTAAACTTTAGAAATATCAAGCTTTAGATCACCGGCTTCAATCAATTTAAAGAGTTTTTCTGAATAATATTCCCACTCCTCTTTTTCAACAAGATAGTTGAAACAAGCTGGTCTTGATAATTTTAAGTTCTTTGGAAGCATAATACCCAAATGTACTGGAGGAACAGGGCCAGAAGCATTACCAAACGTAACCAAGGTCCCTTTTCTAGCTAATGAGTCAATTGAAGCTTGGAAAGTGGCTTTCCCAACGCCATCAAAACTTGCTTGAACCCCTTTCCCTTTAGTAATTTCCATAACTCTTTTGCTGATATTTTCAGTTTTAGAGTTGATCAAGAATTCTGCACCCTTCTCTTTTGCAATTTGTAGCTTTTCTTGTGTGGAAGCTGTAGCAATAACATGGGCACCGCGGGCATTGATCACTTGTGTAAGTATTGAGCCCGTTCCTCCTGCAGCAGCATGAACCAATATATAATCACCTTTCTGGACATTATAAGCTTCAGTGGTGAAAGTTAACCCAGTAAACCCTTGAATGAACAACCCACCATATAATTGTAATTTCTCTTCAGAAGCATCTTTTGGTAACTTGAAAATTCTTATCGATGGGTTGAATTTAGTGTATTGAGCAAAAGTTCCTTCTGAAGCATATGCAACATTGTCACCAATCTCGAAGCCTTGAACATGTTTCCCCTTAGCAACAATAACACCAGAGGCTTCCCTCCCAAGAATACATGGTTTAGGAGCATCATATAGCCCAGTTCTAATGTAAGTATCGAGAAAATTGACACCTGCATATTTGTTCTTAATCAACACTTCATCTTCGTTGATAGATGGGACAACAACATCTTCATAGTGCAAAACTTCTAACCCACCAGCTTCATGGATTCTAATGGCTTTTTGGATTTTAGGAATTTGAGTAGACATGATCTTAGACGTACTTGACGCTAAGGCTGATTTGAATAGCATATATATTGATCAAATGGTGAACACAAGACCTACTGAAATTCCAGTGAATATAATTGGTCCTTTTATATATCAAATTTTTTAATCATATTTGAATCAATGACACCACCTTTTTTGTATTAATAATTAAATGACAATTAATAATACCTTGAACTCCGAAGCTAATTAATAATATACTTGTTAATTAGTAATATACTTGTTAATTAATAATATGCTTGTTAAAGTATTGTATTGAAAAGGCATTCTTAAAGTTGATCTGTCAAAAACAAAGGTTACAAGAAACTGTAAAAATCAATAATTACAAAATTTTTATGAAGCCTTGTATAAAGAGCCATTTCGCACATTTTATATCATATATACATTCACGTTTATTCAGCTAGCTTGATACACTTCATTTCTTCTTCTGGGAAGTTGAGTTCTTTGGTAATTCTTTCAAGAATGGAATAAATTCAGGTTCACCTGGAATGTATTTTCTTAAAACTTCTGGAATAACTAAACCATCTTCAGTTTGGTAGTTTTCTAAAATACAACATAAGGCACCTTCAGTAGCACATAAAGTTGAGTTTAAACAATGGACGTATTTCTTTTCTCTATCGACATTCATTTTCTTGATGCCTGATCTGATTTCCAAGTTTCTTGATTGGTAATCAGTACAGTTTGAACACGGAACAAGTTCTTTATATTCTTGTTGGAAGGGGAACCAAGCTTCTAAATCATATTTTTTAGCAGCAGCATTGTTTAATTCACCAGAAACAATACCAACAACTCTGTAAGGTAACCTTAAGAATTTATAAAATTCTTCAGATAAACCAATCATACAATCAAATTCAGTCCATGATTTTTCTGGTTCAGTTAAAACAAATTGTTCAATTTTTTCAAAAGCATATTGAAGAATATCCAGCGTAACGAACTGGTAATTGTTCAGCAGGGCTTTCAAACCATTCACCAGCATGATAAGCTGAAATTGGTTGTTCTAAAGTGGCAATCAAATATTTTTCATCTTCACCATCAATAACTTTATATAACTCTTGATCGAATTGTGATAATTGAGCGGTTTTAGCCATAACATCTTTGTTCATCATAACTGGAGCTTGTAATGGAGTATATTCATTTTCAGCTAAGAATGATAAACCATGGTTAATCAAGGCTTGATTTAAGAAAACACCATAATTTCTTAAGAAATAACCACGGTGACCAACAATACGAACACCACGTTCTGGATCATAACCATCTAAACGTGATAAAACTTCATGATGGGATAATTTGGCTTCTTGCAGTTGCAACTTTACCAATATCAGCTGAACCTTCTGGTTTCCAAGTTCTAACTAATTCATTGTTATCTTCATCATTTGAGATGACAACTGATTCATGAGCAATGTTACCAATTTGGTTAACTTTGAATTTCAATTGTTTATCAGCATCTTGCTCCTTTTGAGTCAATTGTTTTTTTTTGTTCAACAATTTCATCCTTCTTTTTAACTAATTCTGAAGCATCTTCTTTAGCTTTAAATTTAAGACCAATTTCCTTTTGGATTTTGTTTTGTTCCTTATTTAAAGCATCTAAATCAAATTTTTGTCCATTCTTTATAGTCTGCAATAATTTCATCAACTAATTCAACAGAAGCAACAACTTTTGAAGATCTTCACTTTGTTCATAAAATGCAGATTCTAAAGTTTTGAATTCTTCTTTTGAAACAAGTTTGTCATCTTCATCAGCAGATTGGTACATGCTTTCGCTACCTTGTTCAGATTCTTCTTCATGCAATTGTTTCTTAAGCAAAGCAATTCTAGCATCAGCTAATCTCTTGACGATTTCCTGCTTCTTAGCATCAGTGGAAATGCCAATATCAGCACAGCAAATTTTTAATGCTTCTAAAGTATATTCATTCAAATGGAATTCCATCGATTGATGCTACGCTATTCATGTAAAAAGACTAATATCAATCATTTATCATTAAGCCTAGTACTATTATACAGCCAAAATGAAAAGATCAATATCTTAAAACTCTGGATACCGGAACATGGCTCCTGGGTTATGCGACAATCCAAAGAGTACCACTTCAGACTCCAGAGCCCATAACCATTAAAACGTATTGAAATTCCTAGAAGTCCAAAACGCTGTAATTGGATTTTCAAATTCAACAGTAAACACCAAGGGACTTTGACAAAAACACACTATCGTAATGCCTGCTGTGACAACCAACCGCTAATTAAAGCACTCATTGTATAGATTTGCGTGGAAGTATGCCTGCATCTCCAAACGTCAATCCATAGCTGTAATCATAAGCTACCAATGGTCTGGCATAGTAGGTTCCTCAAAATATGAAAAGAATTTATGTTCGACACGGTGGAATTTTCACGTCGTTTTGAAATCTAGGCCTGCCCCTGGTCTAACAGAGACCCTGGGTGCTTGGACTAGACTCTCTTGCCAACACCAGGGAAATCACTTCAGAAATCTTTAGCTTTTGCTATTTACTTTCCATATCCCAAAACTAGCCTTACTATTGAAGGATCCATTTGGTTTGGTAAGATTGAACACAACTTGGAATCAAACACGGTTGCGCATCCAGGTAGCTTGATTAGAGAGAAGTACATCTTGGAATCGCGAAAGAACATGAGGGACTAGACCTTTGATTTCAATTATAAATGTGTATACGCATTACTCTAAGCTAACGAAAGCTTTTCCAATTCAGCATCAACTGAGCTCAACTCGAAAGTTGCAAACTGTTTCTTTCTCTCTTCGTCTTTTGCGTCCCACATCGCAACAAGTGTTGATCTTTTTCCATCCTTGTATGGTAATTTCCCATGGGATACCTGATAATTATGAACAAAGACAATATCACCACTTTTCCAATTATGTTTATATTCTGATTCAACTGTGAGTGATTTAAACTTGTTAAGTTCATCCTTATCAAACAATGAACCATCACCAAATTTAATCTTTGGTTCATCAATGGTATATTTATCCGCAAATGCAGGAATTGAACTAAACAAAACTGGTTCACTTTTGAATTTCTTTACTGGATAAGTAGTTGAAGAAATGATTAAATCATCCTGATCACCAACAAACTTAGAGTCTTCAGAAACATACTCTTTAGCAAGTTTCAAAGCTTTCCTCTTTTGAGTTTCATAATCATCATCAGGTTTGATATATCTACCAAATGTAACTTCATGATTCCAAACAACTTTTTTATCTTCACCAGCTTCTTTATACCAAACTTCATCCTCAAATTTTAAACCAACTTTTGAAAGTTTTGTCAAAAAAACAGGTAATTCTTTTAAAATTTTCTGATATAATTCACCACCATGAACTAATGGAGTTTCACCACCTGTGGCAGTATACTCTAAAATTGTGAAAATCAAAGAATTTGGAAATTTTTTAAATCTTGAATATTCATTATGTTGATGCAATCTAAACTCTGGTGGAGATTTATTTGCCGTATATAAATTGAACCCTTTTTTATCTCTTAAAGTTAATGTACCATTTTGTTCAAATGGGACCTGTCCTCTATTTGATTCAATCGTTTTAATTATTGATGCAACCTGTTGAGATTTAGAATCATCAGAATTTGGAATCGAATCTCTCAAGACAAAAGTACCATTATTTTCAATCAATTGAGTGAATACACCATCTTTAGCAAGTTTAGCTAAAAATGATTCAACTTCATCAGTATCATAATCTAACCCATGAAGATTCAAGGAATAAGCAACAGGGAATTCTCTACCATGGATAATATGAGCATCTGGTAGCTCGACTTTATCGAGTGAGATCTTACCGTTTGAGTAAGTCTTTTGAGGAGCAGCGTAATCAACAGTCATATTCTTTAACCCATTAGAACCAATTCATCAACAAAGTACCACCAAAACTCCTTGTATTTATACACCCCCTACTTTCCCACCTCAAAAGCCATTGTTTTCAGCCCATAATAACACACCACCATTAACAATAACAAAAACCCCTAGCTTGCCTCCATGATTAGATTGTGGCATATTAGTGCTAACGCTTAAGATCCTCAACTGAGTTTTAATTCCTTTGAAGGCTTCGCGAATTCGTTCTGTGGAAATCTCAAAACTGTGGATCAAAAAATTCATCACCTTTATACAAAAAAAGATAAGGGAACCACAATAGAAATCTGATCTTTGATACCTTCAAAATGATTTTGAAAGGTTCAATGAGCTAAAGACACTAGAGCCAATCACCAAAATGACAATTGACAAAGTCAGTATACCCAAAGGCTCCATCAAATCAATAGCCATAATTGGAGGTGGTGCTTCAGGTGCAGTGATCCTTGATTCCTTAATCAAACAACAATCATTTGATGAAATAGTCGTCTTTGAGAAAAAAAATAAACTTGGTGGGATCTGGGTCGTGGATGAACACAAGACAAAACTTGATATTAGACCTGGTTCCAAGACAAGTGAATTAGATCCAAGTATTGAACCACCTTTAGGATTACGAAAAGGTCAAGAAATCACCATACCTGATAATGATGAGTCAACCAACCCAATTCATTCATTCACCCCATCATATAGAGGGATGAGAACAAAGACAACTGAATGTGTCATGACATTCTCTGATGCTAAAAAATGGCCAAAGTTGGATAAACCAGGTTTTGATAATTTTACTAAAGGAATTTATGTTCAACAATATCTTGAAGATTATTTTAATAGACATCCAAATAATATTGTTTTAAACACTAGTGTTGAAAAAATTGTTCCTAATGATGGGAAATATCAATTATATTTACAAAAAAAGAATAGTGATGGTACAGTTACTTGGAGTATTAAAGAATTTGACACTTATATTGTTGCAACGGGTGCTTATCACGTTCCTTATATTCCAGATGTACCAGGGCTTGATGAAATTTACTCAAGGTTCCCTGAAAAGTTGGAACATTCCAAATCATTTGGTAATACTGAACAAGATTTATTAAAATATGAAAACAAAAATGTTGTAATAATTGGTGGAAGACCTTCAGCTTCAGATATTGCTAGATTTATTGAAAAAAGGGCAAATTCAATCATTAGTTCTGTTCGATCTCCTCAACGAACATTTCTATGGGAAACTGAGAAAATCAAAATTAAACCAATAATCAAAGAATATAAAGTTTATAAAGATGGATTTGATGTGATCTTCCAAGATGGCTCCATTGTTAAGAATCCTGATAATTTAATATATTGCACTGGTTATCAGAATTCATATCCATTCTTGAACGATGCATCAATAACTACTGGTTGGATTGTTCCTAATCTTTATCAACATATTTTTTCAATTAAAGATCCAAAAATTACATTCTTGGGCTTACCGTTGGATGGATTAAACTTTAGATGTATTGAATATCAATCAATTTTGATTTCAAGATATTTAGCAGGCTTAGTGGAATTGCCATCAAGAGAACAACAATTACAATGGTGTAATGAAAGATTTGCAAAATTTGGTGACTCAAGATTATACCACACTATTGGTATGAAAGAAGCAATTCCATTTTCCAAAACATTAACAGAAATTGGTGGTGGTGTGCAAAATGGACCTGGAAAATTGTTCCCAATCTTGACAGAACAAGATACAGAAGAAAATGAAAAAGATAAATTGATTTTCAAATTAGATCATTATTTGTTTGATAATTAATCAACTTTAACACAAAATCCTTTCAATTGTCTAATCAAGCATTCTTCAGAGTTATCAATTACACTTTTCACACTATCACTTATAAATGAAGCCAATTTAGCAATACATAACCCATCTTTAATATGAATCACTTCACAATGGAATCCAGAAGAACGTAACCCACCATTTTTCGCTCTTTTGTTCATAATACTTGATTTTTGACATTCCAATTTCAGATCTTGATCCACTTTGAAAAGTAAAAAAGAATTATAATCAGTAATGATTCCAAAATTATTTAAAACAAAAACTGATAGGCAAAATGCTTGGGTTACCAAATTTTTAAAATTTGCTGATTTTAAAGTATATCTTCCTTTATCATGTTTGAAGTCTTTGATGTATTCTTTCAATGAACTTGGTTCACAAACCAATATTGTGAATGCTGCCATGTTACTCTTACTTATTGGTTTATGGTACTTCAACAATATGTCAGCTTTTAATTGAAATTCAAAACTAGAAACATCAACCAATTTTGAATTATCCGGTAAATCTCTCAAGTTGACATTATTTTCAATTTCTAAAGTGAATCCTTGATTAGATAGAATTGTCTTTATTGGTTTCAAAATGTTTGCCACAATCAATGTGATCAGCTCTTCCTTGTGATAAGAATATTGACAACGGGTTAGAAAATTATAAGAAAAAAATTCAGATGGTTTGGGTAATTTGAATGTGGCAGAGTTATAAATTTCAAATGCAAGCTTACAATGCCAATCATGTTCAAATATATCATTTGTAAAGTTTTCAATCATTATTGCACCATTGTTACCAATTGATTGATTATCTTCAAATTTCAAAGTGATTTGTGGTTTCCTATTACTATCTGGGAAAATTGGGGGTGCCAAATTAAAGAAAGCATTGAGTTCATACATATACTGAACAAGACCAGGTTTGTATTTGGTAACTTGGCATGTTTGGACAATGAGTTTCCATAAGACTTCCTTAGTTTTATTGTAAATATCTGGATCTTTAAGACGTAAAGTTATCGGCTTCACAATAAGATCGAACCGTCTCAAGTACAACACCTTTCTGTATTCATTTCTTTTGAAAGCAGTCTCACCACCATTCTCATCAACTCCAGATAGTTCATTCTTGAAATCTTCAACAAGCTCCAAATATTTGGTTTTGAACCCTTCATAGTCTTTTTGATAAGAGCTAAGTAGCTTTATATTTTTGAGCGTGGTACTTTTCAATCCTGCTATCAGCTGCTGGACCCTGTTACTACCAGGAGCCACTTCATTCTTTTCTGAGTCCATCCTCAATACCAAATTACACCTAAGCCTGGTTTGTCTCTAGCTCTTCAAATGGATTAACCGCTGAGATTGAATTGGATCTAAACTTTGTGCTTGTTCGCTTTCGCGAATCTTGACACATTGATTCTGTCAAGATTTGAACAGATGCTCAAGCTGATTTTACAATGACCATCAAGTATCAATATACAGATAGCTGGTGGCCTATCAAACTTGTAAGCTGAGTATCATATGTAGTAGAACTTGATCAGCTAGATCTTTTGCCCATGCTCTGACCCGATTATTGACCATCTCAGCCGATTGCTCTGGAAAGCTCTAACATTTGATCATAAGTGGCTTGTAATTGAAAAGAATTATCGACATGAGTGGTGAACATAATATTGAATACACGAAAATTAATTACTTCTATTTAATTAATAGAGCTCTCTACTTCTCTTATCACGGATATTACTGCATTCAGACCCAAAATCTGACCCGATCCCAAATCCATTGTTGTAACAAGTGAGCCGACGCGAATTCGCGAATGTATGGCGTCTCTTTTGCTTGAAGACGTGATTTTGTACTTGATTCTTCAAGAAAAATCTTTACAATTTGTATACATGTCACTTACCTTTGGTACCAAATACGAGTGAAGCAATATGGCACTGTATAATCTGTGGTGAATGATGGCTTCTTGGTGCAACCCAAGTATATAAACTAGCTCTATTCGCCTTCTTGGTTGGTTTCGAAAAGATGTTCAAGTATCAACAACGATGAGCTCAATAAGTGATGAGAAAAGTGCACCTAGAGAAATTACTGAAAGTAGTAAATGGGGATGGACACAGAAATTACCATGGTTTATTCCTCATGAAAGAATAGTCATTGAAACTCAAGAGGAAATAGATGCTGGATATGCAATTAGAAAGAAGAATGAAGAAGAAAAACAATCATATCATGTTAAAGAATATAGAGATGAAGCTCATAGACCATGGTATGCCTTTTTCAATGAAGTTGAATATAGACTCACTAAGGAGGAGCAATCCAAACATGATTGGTGGAGATGGTATGATAAAGGTACTTCCAAAGCTGAGAAGAAATTAATTTTGAAGCAAGATTTGTTAATTACAATTACTGCCTTTTTAGGATTTTGGACTTTTAGTTTGAATCAAGCTAATCTTAACAATGCTTATGTTTCAGGAATGAAAGAAGAAATTGGAATGAAAGGTAATGACTTGATTAATACTCAAGTTCTTTTCAGTGCTGCTAGTATCATTTTCCAATTACCACTTATTTATATATTACCAAGAGTTAATCCAACCTATATGTTATTTGGTGCAGAGTTTTTATGGTCAATTTTCACTTTGGCTACATCTAGTGTACATAACGTGGCAACTTTGAAAGCATTTAGATTCATTGTTGGAGCTGGTGAAGCTGCTTTTTTCCCAATTATTCATTCCAATTTCGCTTTAAATTATACTCATGGTGAAATTCATCGTCGTGCAGGTTTTTACTATTTTGGATTGTATTTGGGTACTTTAACTTCAGGCCTATTACAAAGTGGGATCCATAATGCATTGGATGGTGTCAATGGGATTTCAGGTTGGAGATGGATGTTTATAATTGATGGCATAATTTCATTTGGAGTTACATTCGTTACATTATTATCAATCCCTGGAAGTCCTTTCAAATGTTATTCAATTTGGTTAACAGATGATGAAATCAAATTGGCTAGAAAAAGAATGAGAATCAATGGTACTGATGAACATACACCAACTACAAAAGAATTTTTAGATCCAAAAGTTTGGAAAAAAATCTTTACATCATGGCATTTTTGGGTTTTCACAATTGCAAACATTGGTGGATGGAATGGTAATTCTGCTTCTTCAGGTTCTTTTGTTTTATGGTTAAAATCATTAGACAAATATTCTATTGGGAAAATGAATAACTTGACTGCAATCCCACCAGCTTTAGGTATTCTCTATATTTTCATTGTTTGTTTTGGTGCAGACTTCATTAGACAAAGATTTTTAATGATTTCATTTTCACAATTGATGAATATGATTGGTAATATTGTTTTGGCTCTTTAGGATGTCCCAGAAGGTGCTAAATGGTTTGGTTTCTGTTTTGGCTATTGGAGTTGGTCTCAAAGTTCTGTTTTTTATCCATTAATGAATGACATTTTGAGAAGAGATGCAAATCAAAAATCAATAGAGTGGTTAATTTCATACATTTTTTGTGCACAATCAAATGTCTGGTTAAATAAAATTCTTTATCCAACTGTGGAAGCTCCAAAGTTCATCAAGGGTTTCACTGCAGCTGCGTGCTTCTCAGCGTTACAGGGGCTTTTCATGGCTATTGCTCTATGGTTCTATAAAAGAGATGAAAGAGCATATGCGTACGAGCATGGAATTGTTTTATACAACTCTGCCAAAGGTGAAGATCCAGAAACTGCATTGAAAAACATTACACAAGAGGTTAAAGACTCAGATGTGTCTTCTATTGCTATTTCCACCAGTAGTCTTACTGAAGACGTGGTATCTCATCATCATGAGCCAAAGAAATAATTATATACTCAATACTAAATATTCGTGTTTTATGACTTTATTTAACCATTTCGCGAATTAACATGTTTGTATTACATAATCCTGGACCATTGAAATTTTATCCGAGAGCCACAGATTTTGTACACTTTGAAGTTTGAAGCCACAAGAGTCATGATTGAAATTGATAACAGGTGTGGTTCAAATTGTGTTAGAGATCCATGATGATCTGAGTGAAAATTATGTGTATGCCTGTGGTTTTAAAAATACTTCATTGGCCAAGGAAACAACGTTGATGAAAAGTTGATTAGGATAGAAAAGCTTAGCATAACCAGGTACCCAGCGTTGAGCACTTCCCATTGTCTCTCCAAAATAAAGACATCAAATATGACATGGTTTCTCCAGTTTTTCAGGCCTTGGTGTTGAATATATGCTGCTGTTTTTTCCCAATTGTGTCAAATTGTGGCAAAGTGAAAAAGTGCTGCCCTAGTTGCCCTCATAGGCTAGACATTTACGCTACATCTTTGGCAAAATTTGACGCCATTATTAACTGATTATTCTGTGATAAAAATCAATCCACACCTGGCAAAAGCCATTAGATCTCCTAATAATCTGCTGTCAATTCTGCAAGCTATAAAAGGGAAACAAATGCCACTTACGATGTATACTTGGAAGTAGTTGATTTGATCAACAAATCCCTGTTTAGATCATGGCTCTTTTAGATCGATTTAACAAACAAACTACAAACTCAGAAGTTCATGAGCTGGATTCCAGTTCAGATTCAGGCTCAGATGCTATCAAAGTTAATGGTTTTGCCACCCATGACGTTAATGAACCATACATTGATTTGTCAGTTGATTTAGATGAAAAAGAATTGGCAAGAAGATCAACATGGTGGTATAAAGTGTCTTTATTCTTTTGGGATTCAATAGATAAACATCCATTGGAAAGATCATTTTTATTCAAACTAGATTTTTTCCTTTTAAGTTCTTCAATGTTGGGTTATTTTATCAAAACTCTTAATCAGTCAAATCTTGGTACTGCTTATGTTAATGGTATGAAAGAACATTATGAAATGAATGGTAATCAATATAATTATTTAACAACGTTATGGACTGTTGGTTATATCATTGGTCAAGTTCCTTCAAATTTGATTCTACATAGAATCTCTGCACGTTATTATTTGGCGTCATTAGAATTATTGTGGGCTATCTTAACAGTTTTGATGGTTACTCCAAAAACATTGAGTGGGATGTACGCTTTAAGATTCTTTATTGGGTTGACTGAATCTGGATATTTCCCTGGTTTAGAATATTTGATTGGTTCTTGGTATAGTCGTCAAGAATTGTCTAAAAGAGCTGCATTTTTCGGTTGTGCAGGTACAGCTGCTGGATTAGTTAGTGGTCCATTACAACAACGAATCTTGACATCTGAATGGGCACAACATGGATTGAAGCCATTCCAATGGATGTTTGTTATTGATGCTATTATTTCTGCCCCAATTGCATTTTACACATTATTTGTTGATCCAAATACACCATCAACAACAACAGCTTTCTATTTCAATGATACAGATAAGAAAATTGCATTGGAAAGAAGAAGAAGAATTGGTGCACAGTTGAATACAAGAGAAGCTTACACACTGAAGAAAATCAAATCATTTTTCAACACATGGCATATTTATGTCTTTCCAATCTTGTTCCTTGCTTTCAACAATGCATATCAACCAATTACTTCACAAGTTTTCCAATTGTGGATGAAGATGGATTTGAAATTAAGTTCTTATGATTATAACATTTATCCTATCGGTATTTCTGGTGGTGGTATTGGGTTGTCGTTAACAGTTGCATATGTGAATGATTACTATAAAGGTCGTTTGACTCCATATTTGTTGTATTATATGTTTGTATCTGTCTTATTCAGTTGTGTTGTTCTTGCAGTTTGGGATATTCCAGAAGGCTTGAAATGGTATGCATACTTCGGTATTGGTATTCCATTGAGTATTGGTCAACCTTTGATTTTCACTTGGGTGAATAAAATGTTGGCCTATGATGATATGAAAAGAAATTTCCTTGTTGTTTGTACTAATATGTTGGCTTATGTTACAGGTGCATGGGTCCCTATCTTAACGTTTGATCAAACACAAGCTCCAAAATTCCATATTGGATTCAGTTATACTGCTGGTTTAGGTGGTCTTGGTATAGTATGTACTACAATTGTCTGGATATTGAGTGCGCGTGATGGTAGACGAAATAAACTTAGAGAGAAAGAAGCTGAAGATAGTGCATCATCAGCTTAGATACAGCGTTTTAGATGTTTATATTCGAAAGATTTGGTTTTTAATTTGAATATTCTGTTGTAGACTAGTAGTTGAAAACCTCACTACCTATCAAATAACTTTAATTATTGAGCATTTCATGAACATGATAAGCAAGTGAGTTTTTGGTGGCTGAACACCTACTTAATTTCCAATGCCCAAAGATTATAACGGTAGCAATTTCAAAAGATGATCAGTTTGTAAATTTAGCTCAGTATTCCGTGTTTTAGTTCACAAGTACATTTTGTTAGATCGCGACCGAAGTTAACTATGAGAAAATGAAAAAAAACCGCCGGCTACCACTCAAAATTCCGATTTTCAAGCAACATTAATCAACACACTTTGTTAGATCATATAAAATATAAAAAATTCAGTCTACTTAGAACTGAATTCTCTAGCGAATAAATGTAGTATTAGGGTGTTTTGAAAAAAAATTTCCACATAACAAAATTATACCTATATTTGTTTTATATTCTAGAGACATAAAGGTCGTTAAAATTTCTAAACTAATTTTGACACAGGAAAAAAAACAAGTCGCAATATTAAACAAATATCGGACTTAGTTATAAACTTCGAAACATGGAGATTAAATATATATAATTTATTCATATTTGTGTCACAGTATTGTTCTGATATCTGCGATTGAAATTTAAGTCATGTGACCAGGCCGCGCGGGGCCGCGAAAATGCACTGAGCTTGTGCAGTTGCCTGGTTCAACTGTTTTAAAGAAATCTGCTCTTAATTACGTCTTGTACACAATAGTTAGAGCCTATGAAGGGCTGTCACCTCCACTAGAAGTACTACTCTCTTCGGTTCGGCTATAGGATTCAATTACGTATTAAATGATCAAACCGAGACAGTCTTGATGAGCCATGTATTTGTACCACAAAAATATTGTAGAACCACAAAACCAAAACTTCTCAAATCCACGATTTTGGGATTTTTGGAAAAAAAAATCAAAATGAAATCGAAAAATCGATTTGGCAAATTTCCATGGATCTTGGGATCTTGGGATGAAGTCACCTAGGAAACCAGCACATCTCTGATAGCACGTCATCTCAGTTAAGTAAAATATTGTAGAACCACAAAACCAAAACTTCTCAAATCCACGATTTTGGAATTCTTGAAAAAAAAAATCAAAACGAAATCGAAAAATCGATTTGGCAAATTTCCATGGATCTTGGGATCTTGGAAAAATCTCTGAGTTTTCCTCAAAAAGTGCTGAATTGACCATTTTCCCATACAAATACTTCAACCACCATACATACTTAATAAACACCAAATCAACAATAGACCTTCAATATGTGCAACTATCACCAGCTAAGTAGATCTGTAGGCCTATTCAATTCTCCAGCTTTTGTTTGGCCATCTCCATCATACTCTCTCTCTCTCTCTCTCTCTCTCAACCTAAAGTGAACAAAGATTAGATCTCTAATCTATAGGCAATCCAATCCACTTTGAAGTTACCTAGCAAACCAGCACATCTCTGATGGCACGTCATCTCAGTTAAGTAAAATATTGTAGAACCACAAAACCAAAACTTCTCAAATCCACGATTTTGGAATTTTTGAAAAAAAAATCAAAATGAAATCGAAAAATCGATTTGGCAAATTTCCATGGATCTTGGGATCTTGGAAAAATTTCTGGGTTTTTCTCAAAAAGTGCTGAATTGACCATTTTCCCACACAAATACTTCAACCACCATACATACTTAATAAACACCAAATCAACAATAGACCTTCAATATGTGCAACTATCACCAGCTAAGTAGATCTGTAGGCCTATTCAATTCTCCAGCTTTTGTTTGGCCATTAGTAGAGACATATAAATCGAGTTGACGTTGGAAGTTGGAAGTTGATGAATTGTTAAAAGATGTTGATTTTAATCAAAACAAACTTTTTTTTCCTTGAAATTTTGAAAATAGTTTCGCGAATTGAGTGGCCGTACCATTGATATTTTCATGTGTACAATCTTTTGACTTTTGGTCATAAAACAACATTAAACTACAACTAGAAGTCATAAATAGTATCAAAATGATCGTAGAAGTGCGTAGAAGGGACTCAGGAAAACGCGAATTTGGTGGTTTTTCAGAGCGGCCAAAATGACGTTAAAATGGCAGTCGTGAGAGGATTGATGTTGGGTCACTGGATGAATCTCTAACGTGGTAATAAATTCTCTAGGATAGTCAAGGTCCTCAGATTCTAATCCTTATGATACTATATTTCAATCTGAGAAACGAGTCAATGTTTCTAGCTTGTCTCGTGTGCCCTGTGCTTTAATGCTCAAACTTTTAAAAATCCATTGATATAAAGTTTAAACAGCCGGTCAAGTTCGCGACTAGACGTATAGTTTACGCTAGGAGTCGATATTGTGAGTACAAATTTATATAGACAATATAAGTTAACAGTAATATGATGAGCTAATCATCCTGTTGAGTGCCTGCTAATGTACATCTTGTCTTATCATTAGGATTTATATTGATATATTTTTACTGCGTTTTATAAGTCGTTCTCGACATGGCTTCATTGCATGAGTGATCTGTTTTGAAATGATGGTTTTATGAGCTGGATTTTACAATTGATTCAAACATTAGTATTATCATTCATTATATTAATTAAGTTAAGCCATAAAATAATTTATTCTATATTATTAAATTTTTTTTGAAAAGGAATGTACAAAGGGTATTATCATTAATCCATTAATCACCCACTATTGGGACCCATATTAATCTAATCAAGGTCTTGGTGAGGCGGCAGATGGTGAAGTTACACCAGAAGCTGATCTTGAGACAGCTGTTTCACCAGAAGCTCTTCCTGCAACTGATAAACCACTCTTTTCATGAGGAATAACTTCAAATTCTGGAGTCAACAAACCTAAACGTTCTAAAGTGAAATCATTTGTAGCAAGAAGGAAGGCTAATGAATAGAAACCAAAGACAACAACATCTAAAACACCGTAGAAAATGGTTTCTGAATCAGGTTGTAAATCGTTACCACCTTCAGAGACACCGAAACAAATTGGATAGATAAACCATAAGACAGTTAAAATACCAGCAGCAATATGGAAGTAAGCATGACAATCTTTACCAACTTTATCAGCTAATCTACCTGATGTGACAAAAGTAGAGACTGTAACAAAGATCAAAGCACCAATAGCTAAAACATAGAACCCCCATTTATAAGTTGATGAGACCAATGAAGCAATCAATAACATGACAACATACATTTCAGTGAAACAAACGTTGAATGCAATTTGACCCCAAGGAGTTCTTGACAAGAAACCTAAATTGATGACATGGAATGGGAAAGACAAGAACCAACCAATATATTTAGCGTAGAAAACTTGTCTATAACCTGGGAATTCATCTTGCGTATCAGTCTTAACATGATTGAATTCTGCTCTAATTGGAGCCCAACCTAAATCTGAAGCCATTGTGAAATAAGCCAAAGCCATAAACATTGTTGGTAAAATGGAAGTGAAATAAAAGACTCTTTCATTAGCAGGTTTTCTAAACATTAAACCAATGATAACCAAACCAATGACAATGAAGACACAAAATGCAGACCACAACCATGCAGAACCATGTTCTGTAATATGGAAATCAGCACCAGTAGGAGGATTTATCTCTATAGCTCTGTTACCACCACGCTTTACTAACTCTAAGTCAATGTAAGCCATTATTAATTATTTTGATTATTTAAAAAACTTTTATATGTAACTCTTTAAACTTTTTGTAATTGTTGATGAGAAATAAAAACAAGTACAGGATATCTTTCAAGTTGGTCAATCCATGATCCTTTTATACTTATTCACCCAGCATAGCTAAGGCAGCTTAACAAGGAACTAATTATTCAGTATGATAAAATGGCTCGTTCATGGGCATTCTCAAATTTTCCTAGAACCATAATCCTGATCAAATCAGTATAATTGTAAGCAAAACACGCACGGTAACAACGGGGGTCTAACCACCAAGTAGCCCATTTTGGGAACCATGTATGATCTCAATGTATCTCATATGATCCTGAATTGGAAATCATCGTTTGTTAAGCAAGTAATTAAGCATCAAATGTGACACCTTTTTTGCCGATACGTTAAAAACTAGAGTCTTTTTTTTTTGTCGCTCTCTGGAAAAAACCTTATAGCTATGGCAGCTCATGATCCGAACAAATTTAATGCGCTTCATAAAAACTCAGACATGATGATCTTATGAGGATAGAAATTTCTAGGTAGTATCACGGTAGTTTTAGTTTGGGTGTTTATTAGCTGAGAGCTCAAAATCAAACTGGATGGAACGGCAGGATGTCGTAGGTTCTTTTCATGATTCAATCATGTCTCTAGTGGAAACTTTAAGAAAACATTTACAAGGCTGCTCTACAACAGACCACTAATCCATTACACATCTATTACAATTATTAAAGGGTCTTCACCTCAACTTCCGTCTTAACTTTAGCGTTATTCAAATTTGCAAGTTGGATATCCGATGCAGCAGAACTGGTAATTGATTCTTCAACTTCATCATATTCATCATCAGTCACCACATCATCCTGTGGATTTTCATTGTACCCACTCTTTGCTCTATCTCTGTTATCCAAGTAGGTTGTTAAAATATATAAGACACCCATTAGTAATGAAAATGCTAAAGCTGCTGGCCATCCCATGATCCAACGAGGTGCGGCTTTTGCACCTTGAGATTCAGATGTTGGAAATAATCCTAATGGAACAAAAGTGAATGCTAAAAACCCGAAACTCATAGTTGATCCCATGATAATAGCTTTTTGTTCTTGATCATGTTTCAATATTCTATTCAACGTTGCAAACAATATTGGACTACCAGCTCCGATCAAACCAGCAATATAGAATGCAAAGAAAACAGCACCTCTTGGAACGTTATAGATAGTCATGATTAAAGTGAAAATACTTGATCCAGCAACATTAATCATATATGGTTTCCATGGAGAGATAACACCAGCACTAGCTGTTGCGAAAAAACTTGTCACAAGATTAATGATGTTTTGCACTGTTGGGTAAACATTAATTTGTTCAACACTATATGTACCTTGAGCTTTCAACCATAATGAAAAATATAAAGTTGGGTACCAAGCAATCAACATTGAAATATAAGATAATCCAAAGACATAGAATTTCCAATCGGTTAGTGCTTTCTTAAAAGCATCAAGTCCAATTTTTTGAGCTTTACCAATCTTATAACGTATTCTTCTCTTGTTTGAAAGTTTATATTCATCTTGTGTAAACCACCACGGTTTTGGTGACTCTGGAATCCCTGGAAAGAATGAAAGTCCGATCATTGCGACTGGAATAGTTATGATCCCATCAATAATGAATAGCCATTGCCAACCTTTATACCCATTCACCCCAGATAGATTCTTGTAAGCTGCAACTTGCAGATACGAATTCACAATTGTTCCCAACGAGGTACTGCTAAAGAACACACCGGTGCGGACAAAAAGTTCTGAAGGGTTTCCTCTAAAGCCTCGTGATCCAAACCATTTTCCTAAAATGAAATGCACTGTGATATACATAGGTCCTGTGTATTGTTAATATCAAGTTTTTTCAAAAACATTTCAATGATTACTCACCATCAAAGAATCCAACAAAGAATCTAATAACATATAGATGTTGTACAGTCTTAACTTGGCTTTGTAATATTGTCAGCACTCCAAACGCCAACTGCATCAATGGAACAGCGTATGGTGCTAAATTTGCACGGGAATTAATCAATAGTAATGGGATTTGAGCAACAATAACACCAGTTTGATAACAAATATTCAAATAATTTAATTCGTTACCATATAGTTTCAAATCTTCTTTCATACCTGAGACGAATGCACTATTGATATTAGCATTATCTAAACCAGCAACAAATGTAGCAACACAGGCATAAGCTAAAATTGAAATATCCAACTTGAATAAGAATTTACGTTCTAATGGTTCATAATTTTTAGGATACCAAACAAACAAAGACCTTAACCATAAGACAAACCTATTCTTTTGAGTAGCAACACCAGACATTTTTTGGTAATATGTAGTAGCTTAGCCAAAGGATTTAATGATTATTGATTGGCATTCTCAAAAGCTTTTATACATATTGACATTTAATTAAAACAAATCGACTGTAAGCCACACATGAGTCAAGATTCAAAAGTAGATGCAATGATAACAACTCAATCTCTTTATTCTTGAGCATTTTCCTTCTCAAATCTGGTTTTTGGAAAGCCACCATAAACTGTAACAACAATCTTTATGACACATTTATTCGGTTCGGTTGACTTTTGTGTAGATGAAGTAAACAATAAAGATGTACATATGGCGTTTTTTTATTATTTAAAAAAGGGTTCCGGTTTGGGTAAATTCCGATTTCACGTGACTAAAACCTCGTATTTTGATTTTTTCACATACAAAACTTGCGTGCATCAGATTTGTATCAGGTTTAAAATTCATCATCAAATTCAATTTTTTATTTCATCATTCTTGTTGTTTCTATGCTATTGATATAGTATTTTTGTTGCTGAAGTGAAATGGCTCTTCAAAGGAAGCTCTACATGCTTAACGGACTTCAATTTTTCTTTATTCCTAAAACTCATTCAAAGGTTTATTTTCATAGGAAAAATTTAGCAAGAAATGGTGGAGCAGTTATCAATAGAGAATACCTCCCAGATAAAACCACGCATATCTTAGTTGATACCAAATATGTTTATACTGAAGACTATCTAGTTAATCAATTAAAAACTGAAGCTTTCACTTCTAAGGATATTAAAAATGTTAAAATTGTTAAACAGGATTGGTTAGTGGATTCTATATTTGAATCTAAATTGAAAGAAACAGATCAATATGAGATTCATCTTAATCCAAATTTTTTCCAAGACAAGCTTGATCCACATTTTTTGGTGCCAAAGAATAAGTTAATCTTTAAAGATGATGAAGGTAAAACAATTGTTACTAGTGTACCTAAACTACAAATAGATCGTGCCTCAAAGCTAAAAGTTGGACAAAAAAATGATACCAAAGATGACACTACTAGTGTACCAGTTGTTAAAAAAAAATTCAAAAAAGTCAATCTTTTAGAAGAACAATTAAGATCAGAATGTGATTTTGAACAACCCAATCTTGAAACAATCAAAGTATTGAGTAGGATAGCTGACCAAATGACACTACAAGGTCTTGATTTCAAGGCGAAAAGGTATAGAATGGCGATTGAAACGTTGAAGAAGCAAAAAGTTATAGTTTCAACAACTAAATTTGCAGAAAGTTTACCAGGTATTGGACCTTCAATTGCACAAAAAATTGAACAAATTGCTCAACATCAAAGGCTACCACAATTGGATGAATTTGAACAATCAAAAGAATCTAAACTATTGAAACTGTTTACCAATATTCATGGAGTTGGACCACGTTTTGCCCAAAAATGGATTAAAGAAGGTATGGAATCATTAGATGATATACGTGCAAGACAAGATTTAACAACTCCTCAAAAATTGGGTTTAGAATATTATGATGATTGGTTAGAGAGAATATCAAGGGAAGAATGTGAAGCACATTTCAAATATATTTCTAAAAAAATGCAAAAAATTGATCCATTAGTTGAATTAACAATTGGTGGTTCTTATAGACGTGGGGCACAAGATTGTGGTGATATTGATTTTATTGTCACTAGACCTGATGCTGATATGAATGAAATGAAAACAATACTTTCTAAGCTAAGAGAGTTGTTAATGAAAAGTGATTATTTAAAGTGTGAGCTAAATAAACCAAGTTCAAAATTAATGGCAGGTTGTGCACTAGGGCCGGTAGGTAATAAAAAACTTACAGGTAAATTTACTACAGGGAAATGTCGTCGAATTGATTTCTTATTAGTTCCTTGGTCTGAAATTGGTGCAGCATTGATTTATTTCACAGGTAATGATAATTTTAATAGAGCTTTAAGATTTCGAGCTTCTAAAATGAATTTGATTTTGAATGAAAGTGGATTATTTAAAAGAATTACATATAAACAGGGACAAAAAGTTAAAGATCGTGAAATGCTTATTGAAAGTTTTAGTGAACGGAAAATTTTCAAATTATTGGGAGTTGAATATGAAGCACCTGAACAAAGAAATATGGGATCTAATGAGAAATTAGTTGATGTTAAACCTGATGAAATTGATGAGAATGAAGTTATAAAGAAGAATGATGAAGAAACTGATAGTACATAGGCATATAAATTAATTGTAAATAAAAAAGTAATTTATTTCATTTCAAATTAAACTTAAACACATTAAAAGACCCATTATATATAATTTTTTTTCCATCATCAAGATTATTTGTTGGACAAGTAAGTAACACCTGGTAATTCTTTACCTTCCAATAATTCTAATGAAGCACCACCACCAGTGGAAACATGAGATAATTTATCAGCAGCACCAAATTTCTTAGCGACAGTAGCGGTATCACCACCACCAACAATAACGGTGTTACCATTAGCAGCAGATTTGACAGCAGCATCTAATAAAGATTTGGTACCTTCAGCGAATTTTTCAAATTCAAAGACACCTGGAGGACCATTCCAAACAATGGTTTTAGCTTTGGCAACGGCAGCAGCAAATAATTCTCTAGTTTTTGGACCACCGTCAAGACCTTGCCATTCATCTGGGATACCTTCTTCAGCGGTGGCGTAACCAGTGTTTGCATCTTTATTGAAATCATCAGCAGTGATGAAATCAACTGGTAAAACAATTTCAACATTGTTCTTTTTGGCTTTTTCAATCAATTGAGGAACAATTTTAGCACCTTCAGCATCGAATAAAGATTTACCAATTTTGGTGTTATCTAAAACTTTTTTAAAAGTGAAAGCCATACCACCACCAACAATCAAGATATTAACTTTGTCCAACAAGTTATCAATCAATTGAATCTTATCGGAGACTTTAGCACCACCCAAGATGGCCAAGAATGGTCTGACTGGGTTTTCTAAAGCTTTAGCGAAATAAGTTAATTCTTTAGCCATCAAGAAACCAGCAGCTCTTTGTGGTAAATCAAAACCAACCATTGATGAATGAGCTCTGTGAGCAGTACCAAAGGCATCGTTAACATAGACATCAGCTAATGAAGTCAATTGTTTTCTGAATTTTTCAACATCTTCTTTTGAAGCTTTAACTTTACCTTCTGAAGTTTTTTTAGAACCTTCTTCTTCGATATGGAATCTCAAGTTTTCTAATAAAAAGATTTGACCATCAGTGGCACCATTGACAGCTTTTTCAACTTCATCACCAACACAATCGTTTAAGAAAGTGACTTGTTTACCTAATAATGAAGATAATTCAGCAACAACAGGTTTTAAAGAATATTTTTCATTTCTTTCACCATTTGGTCTACCTAAATGAGAAGCCAAGATGATAGCTTTTGGTTTATGTTCAGCAACGTATTGGATGGTTGGTAAGGCAGCAACAATTCTTTGATTGTTTGTGATTTTAGTACCATCTAATGGGACGTTGAAATCAACACGGATGAAGACACGTTTGTTTTCAACGTTCAAGTCAGTGACTGATAATTTGCTTGATAAAGACATTTTGTAAAACTAGGGTTAGGGTGTTAGCTATTGAGATGTCAATTGAGTGTTCACTGTGCTTACTTTGTTTAATACTCTAAGTATTCTTGATGTGGGTAGTAAAGAAGGTTGTAAGCAATAAGGGGATAGCACTCCTTATTTATACCACTGGGCTTGTTCCATCACCAGCTCGAGGGAGTAGCATTGGGTGATGTTGCACCGTGTGAGCGAGTGTGCCGGGCCACACACCACCAACGTCAACGACATCAACGGACGAGTCAACGGTGGGATGCAAATTTTGTAAGAAGGGTAAACTGGGAGTGATAATTAGAGTAACAGAGTAACATAGTAACAGAGTATTAAAGTGGATTACAGAAGACTACAGAAGGAATTGATCTGAACTGGGAATGAATTGAGAGTGAATTGATGATTTATTATGTGTCAATGCTAGCTATAGAAATGCTCACCACGAGCATTCACATTACAACAATCAGAGAAAGTACAGCTCAAAGTGTAGTACAAGGAATTAAGAGCACCTGGCTGACTACGACTGGGATAGAATGTCTCTAGCCTTAGACACGTTGTACATACCCAATCACCTAACAATTCCAGTTCATGTAACCATTAAAGTGTACCTTGTGCTTCAGATCATACAATTTTTCACTCTTGATCGTCTCATGGTGCAGTTAAGAATCCTGTTCGCGAATTCGTTTTGCTAGACCGTTTTTAAAGTGGACTACTATAGTGTTGGTCTAGGGTGTCGGTCTAGGATTTTTGAAATGGTAGTCTAGTCTTTCCAAGAAACCATATAAATTTGACACATCTGCACTAAATATTTGACACCAACTTTATTTGAACCCTTTCGAATTGCAAAGCAAAAAATACATTATAATGGGATTGGGAGAAAACAGAATTACTAGTTGCGGTATGAGACCTTGATATTCATTCAATACTTGATAGACATGATCCGACACTAGAGGTTGTCTTGTTCTGCTCTGCGGTATCACTAACCTGAACAAGATTAGAACATAGCAGATCACAGCTTTGATAAAAGCCAAGGGCACACATACTTTAACTTTGATATCAACTCCATATCTAGCTTATTAAAGATCACTTGCAGCTAATGCATTATGACTGCCGTTTTCGTAAATGTTGAATTGATGATGGTTTCATAATCCTGATCTTTTGCTGCCAAAGACCAGCTTTAGTATGAGCCAAGCTAACCACCACAGGACTCTGACTTCTTTTACCACTTCTTACGTTCTTCGAAAATCAGGAATTCCAGGAATTGTCATTGTTTGGTGCTTTCAATCAAACAACTTGGCACACTAGCATCAAGTCAAGGAAAGACGTTGAATTTTTTACGATTCTGAAGAATCTTTCCCCATGATCAAAGAGCCTTGCAAACTGTTCTCCAACTTCTTGAAATGAAAATCAGGATATATAATATTTACAGTAGTATCTCGCTAATGGCTACAACCAAATCTTCTTTTGTTAATAATCTGACTTCATATCGTGCCATTCTAATACATTAACGTACTACAACTAATGGCAGCCGTTGATACTATCTTCGACCATCATTCCACTAGCTTATACGATAACGGTTCACTGTGATAACACTAAACCATATCTACTATTCCATAAATATTCAACTGCACTTCATAAATCTCTACTTAATCAGTTAAATAATTCTACTTTTTGACAAGTCCGATGAAGCAGAGAACGGAATTTTTCAACCAATTCCGCGCAATTGGCTGCCCTATTTGTAACGAACGAAAAAAAACGAGATGATCTATGATAAAAAAAATCATTAAGCCTCAGGTATTCAAAGATATGATTTAAAAATATAAGCTGTTGCACAAAGATCTTTTAAAGGATGGGAATTTAAGATTAAGCAATCATCAACAGATTAAAAAAATAGTACTGCGCGGCCAGATAAAACAGTACGCGTGTGTACATGAATAGGGTATAAGAATACTCATTAATCTCGTTTTCCCTACCCAAACAGCAAAATTAGTACATCACATCAAAGATGGTTACTATGAGTTCATCATCATCAAAATCAATGAATAATCAACAGATAGATCCTGAATACCAATATGATCCAACATATGTGGAAAAAGATCAAGAACAAATCTTGTTGGAAAAATTAGGTTATAAACAAGAATTGAAAAGATCATATTCTATTTGGTCATTATGTGCTTTTTCAATTGTTACATTAACACCAGCTTCTGCAATTATGAACACTTTAGGTACTCCTTTAGCTACAGGTGGTCCACAAGCTTTAGTTTGGGGTTATATTATCGTTAGTATTTTCACAATGATTGTTGCAATTTCAATGGCTGAAATAGCTGCAAGTTATCCAGTTTCTGGTGGTCCATTATCTTGGGCTTATCAACTAGGTAAAACTGAAAAAGTTAAATTTTTGGCAAGTTGGTATACTGGTTATTTTAACATTTTTTCACAAATTGCATTTGCTGCAAGTGCAAGTTTCCAAGGTACAACTACAATTTTAGGTATGGTTTCTGTTCAACATCCTAATTTTGTTGCAGAACGTTATCATTATGTCTTGGTTTCCATTGGGTTTATTGTCTTGTTCACTGCAACAAATATTTATCTGAGTAAATATCATGCAAGTTCCACAATGGGTTATTAATTTTTAATGTTGTTACCGTTGTGGCAATTATGGTTACTTTATTAGCAACTGCTGAATATAGACAGGATGCTAAATTTATCTTTACAAAATATGTTAACGAAAGTGGGTTCCAATCTCATGGTTATGTTTTCATTTTGGGTTTACTACAAAGTGCTTATACTTTTACAGGTTATGATTCATGTACACATTTAGCTGAAGAGGCAGATTCTGGTAAAAATAAAAACATTGTTGCAAAAGCTTTAGTTGTTGTTGTTGCCACTTGTATTCTTTACGGTTTCATCTTTGTTATTGTTATTTGTTCAGTTTTGGATGATATTCCTTCATTGATTAATTCTGCAACAGGTTCAGCTTTTATTCAATTAGTTTATAATTGTACCAAAAACACATCTGCAACTGTCTTACTAGCTCTATTCCCAACTTTAGCAGCATTGTTTGCAGCAGAAACAATGACATTAGCAAATTCAAGAACAATTTATTCATTTGCTCGTGATGGTGCTTTTATCTTCCCAACTTTTTTCGCAAAAGTTTCTCCAGTTTATAATGTTCCAATCCCTGCATTATTATTTTCAATGGTTATTCAAATCATCATTGTCATTTTATATTTTTCTTCAAATGTTGTTTTCAATACCATTATTTCATTAACTACGATTGGTCATGAATTAGCTTATATCATTCCAATTATCTTGATGTTATTTGGTGGGAGATCAAGAATGGATCCAGATAGACCTTGGAATTTAGGTACTTATGGTGTTGTTTGTAATATCATATCCATTTTATGGCTAGCTTTCATTTCAATTACAATGTTGTTCCCAACAATATCACCTGTTAAAGCTGGTAATATGAATTATACAGTTGTTATCATTTTTATAGTTATTGCTTATGCAACAATTTGTTGGTTTGTTCAAGGTAAGAAAACATATAAAGGACCAGGTGAAGTTGTTGATGGTTCAGTTAATGTTGTTGAATTGGAGGCCATTAATGATGATCATCCACTTGATAAAGTTGATGTTGGAATTTCTGCAAAGGAAAGAAAGCAATGAATTGTACTAGGATTTTGAGTTTTTTATAATGATATGATAATTGAGTGTTTTTGAAGTTTAAGTAGTTCTGTGCGTCTACGTGTAGTCAATTCTAATGAGTAGCATATGGATTGAATAAATATAACCTATAAAGGTATTTTAATAAATAAATAGTTAATAAATAAATTAATAAATAGACATGAATAAATAAGAGACCCCTTCTTTATTTGCTTGGATCATTTCTTTGATAACCATAAAACCCTTTAACTTTATGAGTTGGCAACATTTGCATATATTTTTCAGCCAAATCTCTACATTCTTCATAATGGTTAACACCATGGTGTCTATAGCATTTCTCCAAGGCTCTGCGACACACTCTTAATGCGTTTGATCTGATCCATTGTTCTCTAAGCATCGATTCTTGAGCACTACGTAGTGCTATTGGATCTTCATAATCAATATTATCAAAAGAGACGAGCTCTGGTCTGATGTGTTCCTCTATGAAAAGAAATTAGTATTGACTCAACAGATTAGTTCCATATAATACTTACGAGCCATTGTATTGTGTGATGTGGTTCGTTATACTCAAAGCATTAGTTTTGTCAATTGTTAAAGCTCCCTGTTTTCATTTTTCTCCATCAACAAATTCCTCACTAGCCACACTGGATTATGTAATGAAAAGGTACATTCACCAGCCACGAGCACAAAATGTGGCTAGTGTATCACCAAATTTTCACGAACATCATCAGCATTTCAACGAGAAATAAGCCAAAAAAGCTTTACTTAATGCACAGAAGATATTATAATATGGTTTACCCATTTCCATCCTTTATCCAAACAAAAAATCCATAACTGTCGGTCATAATCGCACTTAAGACAAGCTTTCAACTTTTCTAACCATTTGATCTCAGCATAGAAAAAAAAACAAAAAACCATCAACTTTCTAGCTCACTCCACAACAGAGCGCTTAACATCAACAACAACGTCAGTTTCGTTTCACATCAAGTCATATCAAGTCTCCTGAGGCTATCCCTGTCAATTCACTTCTAGTTTGCTATTACTACTTTCTTTCAACTCTTTGCTATTAATTCGTGTGTTGTTTATTGGTGTCTGAAAAGGCTGAGCAAGTTATGTCCTCATCAATAATATCAATTAATGCTAAATACATATCGTGGGCACATACTATATGTGCTTCGAGTGCATTCATTGCCGCTTTGATTGTTGGTGTGTGTTTGCATTATCACAAGATTGTGGAAAATGCTCATTATGGTTATCCAGATGAATGGTTCCCAAGTGTGAGTGCAACAATTGGTGATCGATATCCAGAACGTTCAATTTTCCAAATTTTGATTGCCTTAACTTCAGGTCCAAGATTCTTGCTGCTCTTATTGTCTTATATCAGATTATATGATGAAAATCATAAAAGATTTGGTATATTTGGTGTTGTTTGTGGTGTGGTTAGAACTGTTACTTGTGGTGGTTGGGTTTATATCACTTCAACTGATGACCATGATGCTCACGATGTCTTTATGATTAGTTATATCGTCTTGACAATTCCTTGGGAATATTATGTTATTACATCAACTCCAAAAAGAACAAGTTTAAGAAATTATAGATTTTATACTAGTGTTGCATTTTTCACAATGTTGATTCCTTTAATTTATTTTTTCATTCAACATAAAGTGCATAGAATTGCAGGTGCTTATTCAATTTATGCTTATTTTGAATGGTCTTTAATCATTTTAGATGTTGCGTTTGACGCTTGGACTGCTGTGGATTTCCAAGATTTAACAATCACTTTAAGTGCTTCAAAACCAATAAGTTTTAGTATTGATCAAAATGAAGGTACAATCGTTGATGAAATTAAAGAAAATACTGATTTAAAACCAAAATCAAGAGATGATATCCCTTTTTTAGAATTGATCATTAATACTATAAATTCATTTATCTTTTGGTCTGTTGCAACTTCATTATTGACTACAATTTGGTTTTTCCCATTATGGAATATGGGTATTTCAGGTTTTGAGTTGACAATTTTATCATTCTTATTTTCATTCTTATTGATAATTCCACCAGTCAAGAGATGTTTTGCATCATATCCTCAAATCTCAAGGTTGTTAACCACTTTATTTGGTGTTGGATCATTTAAAGTTGAAGATCCAGATACAAGATTGTTATTAATTGCAGTTGGGAGTGCATTTGGAGCTGTTTCATTAGCTAATGAAACTCATCATTATGGTTCAAATAATACTAGAGCTAGGTACTACTCAACAACGTTTACATTGGGTTTAATTTTGTCATCGATTGCTAAATTTTCAAATTATACAAATAATCCAATATGGCCAATTATGCATGCCGAAAATGGTGGCTGGAATAACACTGGTGTTTTAATTGGTGTTATTGGTTCAATACTAACTCCAAGAGTTAATCATGTTACTTCAATCAATTCTCAAAAAAACAAATTTGGATTAATAACTACTGGATTAGGACTTGGTGGGTTGATTTTTTCATTGCATGCAATGTTGACTGATTCATCAACTATAATCATTTGGAATTGGGAAGGTTATCCAATTAATGGACCAGTTCCAGTTCCTCATGGTGCTATCACTTTGATTATGATGGGTGTTGGATCGTATTTAGGATTAACTCAAGATTTAAACACTAAACTTGTTTCCATTGGTGGTGTTGTATCAGCTATTGTATTATATATTGCTACTGAATGGATTGGTTATATTGGTGGTGTTGGTTATATTTTATTTTTAACAAGTGTTGTTCCATTTTTTTTCAACAATGCATCAAAATATCAACCTGGTGTTGTTTTCACATTAGCTTTCTTTGTTCATATTGTGTTGATGCTTGCACATGTTTGGATTGTTGCATATGCATTTGTTCCAGCTGGTTGGTTATTGAGAGAACGTACTGATATTGTTCTTGGAGTTTCCACTGGGTTAATTGTTTTAGGTTTGATTTCAAATTTTAAAGATGATGTTGTTGTAAATTTCAAACCAGCATTATATAAAATCAAGAGAATTTTAATAATTTTTTCAATTACATCAGTCTTGATTGCATATTTGAGATTTCCAAAAACTGATCCAACACCATATCATCCAAACTCAAAATTAATCACTGCAGGTATTTGGACAATTCATTTTGGATTAGATAATGATATGTGGGCAAGTGAAGGACGTATGATTGATTTAATTCGTGATGCTGAATTAGATATTGTTGGATTATTAGAATCAGATACTCAAAGAATTATAATGGGTAATAGAGATTTAACACAACAAATGAGTGAAGAATTAGGAATGTATGCAGATTTTGGACCTGGTCCAAATAAACATACTTGGGGATGTGCATTATTATCCAAATTCCCAATTTTGAATTCAACACATCATTTATTACCTTCACCAGTTGGTGAATTAGCACCAGCTATTCATGCTACATTGGATGTTTATGGAGAATTGGTTGATGTTGTTGTTTTCCATAGTGGACAAGAAGAAGATGCTGAAGATCGTTATTTACAAAGTATGGGAGTTCGTGATATTATGGGATCAACAGATAGACCAATGATTTTGTTAAGTTATTTGGTTACTACACCTTTGGAAGGTAATTATAATAATTATGTTAGTAAAGAATCAGGTATGCATGATATTGATCCAAGTGATTGGGATAGATGGTGTGAATATATCTTGTATAAAAACTTGAAAAGAACAGGGTATGCAAGAATATCAAGAGGTTCAATTACAGATACTGAATTACAAGTTGGTAAATTTCAATTACCAAATAATAAAGATGAAGCTAAAGAATATTCACAAGAAAGAATTGAAGAAGGTAAAGTTGATGAAGATTTAAGATTTCCAAATAAATTTTATGGAGATGGTGTTAGAGATCATAGATTTCATGTTTTCGATGAACCAAGATATTTTGTATAAAAATTTTTAATATTTGATTGATCAGTTCTGTTATGAAAGGTTTTTTTAAAGTTGTAGATACCGTTGAAATTACCTGATGTTGGTCAAAGTGGGTTGAAAATTGTGACAAGTGATCATCATTAATCTGGGTGCAAAAAAAATTCAGACCATGGCAATTTTGTGCCAAACCTGGGTTAACTGTCATTGTATACGTGTGGTGTAGGCTGACTTAAGTCTGAGACTAAACATAATTATTGATCATTCAATTAACTACAAACACAATCTCATTGATACAAGTCTTTATCAATTGATGTTTTTTTTTCGCTTCTCATTCGCTAAAGCAACTTGATCAGCTTTTCAAACTACGATTAAGATTTGAGATGACAGGATCACAACTTTTCACCACCATCACGTAAATACTAACCCAAGTCAATTCTTGTCGAGGGTTCTAAACAAAATGGTACCCACCGTTAAGTATGTCCAACGGTTTTCTCAAACCTGGTTTTCCCTTTGAAAATCTCTGTAGCCTGCCCCTTACGCTGCTAAATGAATGGGTATCCTTTCAATCAATCGGGACCGATTCGATGGAAAAACAAGGCCCAAAGCTTGATCCGAGGCCACTTCAAGTGATAAAGTACGAAATAGAGAACAATTATATGGCTCAAGGAAAGGGTGGAACGGTGGGATAGAATTGTGTATTCATCTCCACCAATTGGTTGTTCCCAGTCTCGATGATGAGGGACCTCCCCAGGCCCAATTAGTGGGACACGATGTACATTGTGTAGTCGTCGAGGGGCAAGCTTACCTTTGCCCCTTCTGGAGATCACACCCAGCCTAGTGCTGATGGTGTCCTTCTGGCTCTCTGCCTGGGCTGTCCAGCCTCCGTCCAGCGCGTAGGCAGAGACGGGTGTGTCGCAACCGCAAGGTCATCCTTTTTCCTCGGAACTCCCAGATGTCAAGAACCGGAAGTGTGTTGATTTGATCATCTGGGTTTGCCAGTATATAAAGAGTTGAAGTTTCCGTTGTTGATTCAATTCATGAGTGAATTTCACTTTCCAGAAAAGAAGGATCTTTGTAGCAAAGAAAAGTATCAGACTTTGCCCCTTTAGTTCTTTTTGGATCCCTACTTAACACATAATACAAACTAAAAATGTCTTCATTACGTCTAGCATCACAAACACTAAGATCAAATTCTTCTCTATTGAGAAAAAATTCAATCTTGTTGGCTACAAGATCTTATTCTTCTGGTGAAAAAACTTTAAAACAAAGATTTGCTGAATTAATTCCTGAAAAAGTTGAAGAAATCAAACAATTGAAAAAAGATTATGGTAAAACTGTTATTGGTGAATTAACTTTAGATCAAGCTTATGGTGGTATGAGAGGTATTAAAGGTTTAGTTTGGGAAGGTTCAGTTTTAGACCCAGTTGAAGGTATTAGATTTAGAGGCCGTACCATTCCAGATATCCAAAAAGAATTACCAAAAGCTGAAGGTGGTGAAGAACCTTTACCAGAAGCTTTATTTTGGTTATTATTAACTGGTGAAGTTCCAACTGAATCTCAAGTTAAAACTTTAAGTGCTGAATTAGCTGCTAGATCTCAATTACCAAAACATGTTGAAGAATTGATTGATAGATCACCATCTCATTTACATCCAATGGCTCAATTCTCAATTGCCGTTACTGCTTTAGAATCTGAATCTCAATTTGCTAAAGCTTATGCTTCAGGTGTCTCTAAAAAAGATTACTGGAATTATACTTATGAAGATTCTATTGAATTATTGGCTAAATTGCCAAATATCGCTGCAAGAATTTATCAAAATGTTTTCAAAGATGGTAAATTACCTCAAGTTAATAAAGATTTAGATTATGGTGCTAATTTAGCCAATTTATTAGGTTATGGTTCAAACCAAGAATTTGTTGAATTGATGAGATTATACTTAACTATTCATTCAGATCATGAAGGTGGTAATGTTTCAGCTCATACTACTCATTTAGTTGGTTCAGCTTTATCTTCACCATTCTTATCATTAGCTGCTGGTCTTAACGGGTTGGCTGGTCCATTACATGGTCGTGCTAATCAAGAAGTTTTAGAATGGTTATTCAAATTGAAAAAGGAAGTTAAAGGTGATTATTCAAAAGAAACTATTGAAAAATACTTGTGGGATACTTTAAATGCTGGTAGAGTTGTTCCAGGTTATGGTCATGCAGTTTTAAGAAAGACTGATCCAAGATATACTGCTCAAAGAGAATTTGCATTAAAACATTTACCAGATTTTGATTTATTCAAATTAGTTTCAACTATTTATGAAGTTGCTCCACAAGTTTTAACTAAACATGGTAAAACTAAAAACCCATGGCCAAATGTTGATTCTCACTCTGGTGTTTTATTACAATATTATGGTTTAACTGAAGAATCATTCTATACCGTTTTATTTGGTGTTTCAAGAGCTTTTGGTGTCTTGCCTCAATTAATCATTGATAGAGCTGTTGGTGCTCCAATTGAAAGACCAAAATCTTTCTCTACTGCTAAATATATTGAATTAGTTAAAGGTTTGAGTAACAAATAAGTAATTTAAATGTTGATCATTTAATGAAAGATTAGAAAAAAAAGAGATTATAAAAAACCCCCCAATTATTTATTAACGTATTTTTGTGTATTTAGTTTTTTATGAGTTGTATATGACGATAGAAAAAGATGAGAGTTACCTATGAATTAAGAACGTAATGACGTAGATACTGGTTTTCGGAGATTTCTTGATTTTCCGCAAAAAAAAAAAAAAAGTTCGGCCGACGGCTTAAAAATTTCAGATAAAATGTCATAAAACAACATCAAAAACATATCTTAAAGACTTTAAAACACTCACAAATATCAATTGAACTAATACTTATACATTTATATAGTCAAAATACAAAAAAAACGGCAAAAAATTGGCAAAAAAATAGAACTCCTCATGGGGGGCTCGAACCCCCGACATTTCGGTTAACTTCCGCTAAGAAATGGTTTTTTCCCTAGTTTGACTGTAAAAGCCGAACGCTCTACCAACTGAGCTAACAAGGACGAGTTCTGAAAGTTGAAAACCGTTAAAAAAACTGACTATATAGCCGCAAAGTCACGTTTTTAGTCACGTGATGATTTTTAATCAATTATAACTTTATGAATATTGAAGATATAGTAATGTTTTTAACATAGATATATTATGAATATGCTGAATTTGATGGATATATTTATTTTAGGCAATAAATAACTTTTTTGGGGGTTCAAAAAAATTTTGAACTTTTTAAAGCCTATTTTGAATCAAAAATAAAATATACAACGTGGATAAACTTGAGTAAAATTACAAAAAAACGTTGAAATTGTCATTTTTTATTATTTTGGTAGGACAAGAGAATATTGATGCTTTTCGGTATCCCCTAAATATATTTTTTTCACTTTGTACTCATTGAATGTTTTGTTTTATTCTTAAATTTATTTTGGGTCACGTGATGTTATTTTCAGATAACAATTTTTTAACAAACTTTCAATAAAATGTCACTATTGAAAGTCTCAAGATTAATTAAATGTATTCTATGTGTTAATTGACCAACCTCCAAAATATGGGCAAGGTGATTGTTCAATTTAGCGGTCATTCGTTAGCTATAACCTGTCGTTTTAATCATACATTACACATTCCAGAATCCCCATGCTAAACTACTTTCAGTCAATTGTATGAGTATTATAAATTAAATTCTATACTAGTATAATTAGATATATGTTTTGAGAAAACCAAGTAAAAGCATATTGTATTAAAAAACCAAATCAAACAGCTGTGTAACCACCATCAACTTTAATATCAGAACCAGTAGTATAAGTTGAAGCGTCAGAAGCTAAATATAAATAGGCACCAACTAACTCTTGTGGTAAACATTCTCTACCCATTGGAATTAATGACCACCATTTAGCTCTGACTTCTTTTGGTAAGAAATCAGATAAACCTGAATCAACATAACCTGGGGAAATTGTATTAACTCTTGCAAAACCTGACCATTCAACTGCTAAAGATCTACCTAAATGTAAACAACCAGCTTTAGCAACATTATAACAAGTTTGATAATTTGGAACATTTGCAATGTGACCAGACATTGAAGCAGTAATAATAAATGAACCTGAACCTTTTTCTTTAAAGATTCTTCCAACACTTTTAGCACAATAGTAAACTGCATTTAAATCAACATCTATTAATCTTCTCCATTTTTCTGGACCATTAACTAAATGAGAATTTAAGATTGAACCATCAGTCCAAACAATACCTGCATTGGCAACAAAGATATCGATTGTACCAAAATCTTTTTCAATTTGAATAACTGCATCATCAACATCTTTATCATTACTAACATCAACAAAATAAGCTTCGACTTTATTTGAATATTGAGATGATAATAATTTTGCACTTTCTTTAGCAGTATCAATACTATAATCAATGATGGCGATATCTGCACCTGCTTGACTATAACATTCTGCAATGGCGTACCCGATACCTCTTGCACCACCAGTGATCACTGCAACTTTACCTTTCAATGAAAAGTTATCAAAGATGTTTTTCTGTAACTTTGGAGCTGGACGAGGTAGTTCATCAGTGAATTCATCAGAGATGTATGAAACGAATGGTGGTTGTGCTGAGTCTCCTAATGTCATTTTTCTGGGGGTGGGTGATGGTTGGTAAAGGAAAAAGGAGATGAACAAAAGATTCCAGATATTTGATCCTTTATATACTTTCTATTGGATCTGCCCTAGGAATGATTTCATCCTGGTCATCTATACCCATCCCATCAATTAGAGTTTCACCAACGATTAAAAGTGCCGTTTTCGTCTGCTCGACGTTCCTTTTGATGGCCGTTTCTTTTCTTTTGGCAGGTTGAAAAAATCCGGGGCGAACTCGAAAATTACTGTAGAAATTAGATACAAAAGAAAGATAAACACAAGGAAAAACAGACTTTTAAGTAAAGAAAAACAAGAATTAAAGAGAAGATTATATTTGATCTCACCATCCAATTCATTCGCCCAATTGAGCTGACTTCAATAGCTAATTTCCTTCAAAATCCCCACGATTTTTGGTTGTTCCTTGTGCTCTTTTTCGCGCAAATTCAATATTTTTCGATTTCGGCTGCTCCACAAAAAAGAAACAATAAGACACGTCAAAAATCTTACAAATTCCAAAATCAACAAAGATCTAAATACTATTGTGCTTAATCAAATATAGACTTTCTCAAATTGATCAAAACCGATTTTGTTTCTTGCTCCTCTTTTGAATCTTTTTGTTGGTCTTCTTTCTTCTTAATATTACCCAACAGTTTATCAATACCATTACTTAAAAATTGTTTATCTTCAACACTTAATAAAACATCATCAAATTCCAATAATTTTATAATAATCAGTGAACTTATACTGATAATATCACTGCTTAACCCATGTTTAATAACCATAGACAAAACTTGATTATAATCAACATTATTCAATAAATGATGATTTAAACTCAACTTGTACAAGATTTCAAATGAATTCTTACGAACTTCTAATGCCTTATCAACTTTATGTTTAAATGGTCCAATTTGAATAGTTTCTTGATATTGTTTTCTCATTGCCAATTCTTCATAAACAATTGGTAAAACTGTTGGTAAATATGGAATCAATAAATTGAATTGATTATTTAAAACTGTAATCAATGTAATCACTGAAATTTGCTTAATCTTTAAATTTTCATCTGAAATCTTATTGAAAACTTGTAATAATATGGACTCAATTAACTCAATTGAAATAAGATTATCATATGCCAATATAAATTTCATTGATGCAATAATTGTATAAACAATTGAGTTTGAATTTGAATCAATTAACTCTGAAGCCTTATTATAGAAATAATTTGTATCATTATTTTTAACAAGTATTAATCCCAAGTTTTGTGCAGATATTTTAGCTAAATCATCATCAATATCTTCCTCTCTCTCTAAAATTGAAATTATAGTGTTCCAAATATCATTAAAATCATTATAAACTAAACCATTGTTAATCTTTAAAACTTGTTTGATGGAAATCAATAACAAATAACGATATTCATCATTTTGAATTTTTTGTAAAAATCCAGCCAAATATTCTTTACTATTTTTGGAAATCATTCTTCCTAAAGCTTCAGCTGCATAAACTTTAGTTTCATCATCAGCAAAATGGCTTAATAATTGATCAATAGAAATAGCCAAGGTAATTTTTTCCCCAACATAACCTAAAAGTCTGATATTAAAGATCAAATCATTATTATTTTGTACCAAATCTTGTTCTCTTGCACGAACATAATCAATCAAATTTTCATTAATAACAATTTCTGCCAATACTTTGATATTTCTTATGTTTGAAGTATCAGATTCCAAGTTTGGAATCAATTCAGATCCAATTCTTTTACCCAATTCAATTATTGCACCATCATCAATCTCATCAATTGTGGAAGCCTTCAAGAAAATTGATTTCAATTTTGATTTGTCAAATTTCAGATTTGATACAACTCTTAGGATTTGTGATTGATATTTATCTTCTTCAAATAATTTTAATAATAAATCTCCAATTGAAGAATCAATTTCAAAATAACGAACAATAACTCCTAATGATTCAATAACATTGATACTATAATTAAAATCCAAAACTAATTTCTCATAAATCTTGACAATCTTATTAATAACTTCATTTTCAATTGTATCATTATAAAATTCAACTAATCCAGTAATTGATTTTATAGTACTAACAACAATTGGTTCATATTTTAAAGTATCAACAAATAATTCATGTAAATCATTAATTTTCTTTGGTGGTAATTTTCTCAATTCACCAAGACTTTGAATTGCAGTATTTCTAATTTCAGAATCATTTTTATTAGTATTTGCAATTTCAATAATTGAATTGGTTAAAGTTTCATTATATGCCAAATTCAACAAATCAATAGATGCTTCAATGGAGTTTAAAATACTAATATGGTTTTTACTTGTTAATCCACTATTAATAGTTTCAATAATATAATTTAATTCACCACCAAAATATTCCAAATCATTATTTTTAAGCAGAGATGAATAAAATTTTAACAAATCTAAATTCAAACCAAAATTGTGTTCTCTTATAGCAATTAATAATGGTTTTAAATCTTCATCTAATCTATTGAATCTTTGGAAAAATTGTAATAAAGTATTGAATTTGCTCAAATTGTTATGTTTAACATTTGAAAGTTCTTTAATGAATCTTGATACAATTTTACCTCTCAATTTATTCATTTGAGTTAATGAATCATCAATATCTGACATACTAACATCAGAACCTCTTCTTTTACGATTTGATCTTTTGCCATGTTGTTTTATAGTGACTTCAATAATAGAATCCATAGCATGGATTTTTTCAAATGAAACAGTTTCAGAAGAATCAGAAACTGAATTGATTAACGTTTCAAAAATACCTTCTGAATAAATTTGAAACAGTATAGTTGGAAATTGAACAACTAATAATGAACATAATTTTGCAGCTTGTTTACGTAATTTCCAGGTATTATCATCACTTTCTTCCTCCATATCATCAAAATCTTCATCATCTGAAAATTCTTCCTCATCAGATAAGTCATTATCCATTTCTTCTTCTTCATAATTGTTTGTATATGGGTCATAAGTTAAGAATTTTTGAACAATTGTCAAAATCGTGCTAATGAATGGTTTGAAAGATTCACCAATTGAAACCAAACTAGCAATCAATTGTAAAGCTTCATATCTAACTTCATCAATTTTGATTTGGTCATCATCTAAATCTTCATTGTTCAAGTATAAATGGTGGAAACTAAAATCCAAGACTTGCTGTAGATATGGAATGAAAAGGTCATGATTTGCTTTAGCTAAAGAATTGAAAGTTAGCAAGGTCAGATTGATATCTTCATAACTATCACCATGTGAATTCTGAATCAAAACTATAACATTTTCGAATTCTTCAACCGATAATGAATTAACCAAGTAGCCTAATGCGACAACCGATTTCTTACTAATAATATTAACTTCACCAAAGATTGTCTTTACCAAAGCTGTGTAAATTTTAGACAGCTCATTACTTGGGATTGTACTACCCAAATTATTGATCAAGTCTGTTAAAATTTCAATTGAATCCAACGAAGTGATTAATCCAGATTCATTCGAGATCAAGCTTGGTAATAATTCCACAACTATTAAAGATCCAGTAGAGCTATGTTTCAAATTTAAATTTTTCAAAATCTCATTAATTGCCATTGTTTGGATTGACGTTGTAATTGAAGCACTTGTTGTTTGACCAGCATTTAAATCTCTCAAAATTTCCAAAATTTCTTGATCGTCTAAACTTGACACTAAAGGCTTGAAGCATTTTAACGATTGATTTTGAACGTCTGAATTTGGATCATTCAAACTATCCAATAATATTTTGATTATTTTACTTGAATAAGAATTGACCTTATTAATGATAAGATTGTGTTCAACCAACAGTTTATTCAAATCGTTTAACGCCATGAATCTTAAATCAGGATCAACATCCTTGGACTTGTCCAAGATTTGTTTCAGCTTCTGATCAGCGCTTTTGAAATCAGTCGACATCTTCTTTAGCTGATAACAACGAGATCAATTGAGTTTAAGAGATGATGTTTTGATTTTGAATGGCGATGCTGTTGGTTTTTGTTTTTGCCCTTGTGTTTTTTTTTGTAAATATCAACGGTTTGAACACTACTTTGCAAAAAAGTCAAAACAACAATTTGAAATTAAATTTCTACACATTTAATTATAAAAGAATCATCTTACTCAATAATGCTATTTCTTTGACTTCTTCTTCTTCTTTTTGTGTTTTTTCTCTTTTTTATTCTTGGATTTTTTAGCCTTTTTGTCCTTCTTGCTCTTTTTGCTTTTTTCTGTATCAGAATCTTCTTCATCTGAGGAATCTTCTTGTTCTAGAGCTTCTGAAGTTTCTGTTGTGGCTTCTTCTTGATCTTCTTGATCTTCTTGAGGTTGTTGAGGTTGTTCAGGTTCAGGTTTGACAACTGCAGGAAGTGGATCCATATAATCTTCATCATTTAAAAAATCAGTAACTTCAACTTGTTCAACTATTAGATTACTTGTATCTGGTGACTTCTCTTCTTTCTCTGTATCTTCATCTCCTGAGCTTGGTTTTGTTTCTGATTCACCGGTACTCGAGTTTTCATCCTCCGAGCTTTCACTACTAGAACTTGATTCACTTGATTTATTTGAAACATCTTGATCATTAGCTTTTGTAGCAGCTGTATCAAGATTTGTAGATTGCTCTGGATCAGTTTGCTCTTTAGCCTCGTTATCATCAATTCCTATCAATTTTATCTTTTCACCGGTAATAGTTTCCACGATTTTTCTAGCCCTTATAGCATAATCACTATCAACACTTTCCAAATCATTTTTAGCATCATTCTTCACCTCTTTATTTTCAGATTCTTTAGTCTCCTCCTCTGTTGTCTTTTCTTCATCTTCAGCGGCTGAGGCATTCCAACTCTCTTGAACTTTCTTCAAGCTTTCTATTAATCTATCTTTACTACCACCTTGCAAACCAGCAAGATAATTGATCAAGTATTCTTCATATTTATCTTCTATAACCTTTATATGTTTTAGAATCCAATTTTGTTTCTGTTTAGAAAATTTCCAATTTTCTCTATCTGTAGAATAAGTCTTCAAATACACAAGCTGATCTTTTTCAGGTGGGGGCGGTCTTTCACTCTTTGGTAGTTTTTGTCTCTTTGGGGGCTTCTTTGTACCATCACCATCACCAATTTGAGCAGCTCTTTTCTTCTTGTTTAATTGTTTTGTCTGTTTGGCTGTGACTTTTCCAGAGTCCAAATGGGTTGTGATGGCCAGTGGGTCCTCCTCAAGGTCCTGTTTCACCTTAAGCCCTATTCTCTTCCATGCCGGTACGTGCTCAGTCATCTCTTTGGTAGACTCCTATATCTTTCTTAACCTGTCTGTTCTGATTAGCCAAACAGTTCTATAGTTAACTAATTCACAAGTACATAAATATTTTTTTTTGTATGGGCCAGAGCAGGGTAAAGCTCATCTCGTTCGCGAATTTTTTTTCTATGGTGCAAAAAAAATTTTGTAGTGAAGTTTTCAACTTTGTACAAACTCTTTTCCCTTTTCTTCACATTCAAAACTCAGCAGAATGTGTTGACAATATATTTGTATATGGATGGTTGCTTTCCACATGGGCCATCTTGTCAGTCTCAACATTTTGCGAGAACAAACCAATTACACAGTTTGAGTCAGTCACAGTTGTGGTTGGGATGCAAATTCCACCACCCAGTAGGTGACTGATATAGGAGTTCGTAAACATTCAGATCTAGTCTATTTTTATAAGGTGTATAGCTTAACTCATGGTATCTCTTTGATTATATTGGTGTAGAATGAAAATGCGGTTACGAAGTTCATGATTCTCGGAGGTGAATGATCAATAAAACTAGATCTTAAAAAAAGTCTTGATGTTTGCTTCAAGTTCTCAAAACAAACTTTATGAAACCTTCAATTCCCAAGGTTATAGTACTTATTATCATATTCACAATCCTTTATTCAACAAGTCTAAGACTCTTTTCGACATCACGCACAATGTCCACAAATCTCCCCAAGATAAAAGCCATTGTTATGGATTGGGATGATACCATCACAAACAAGGATACAATTCAATTAGTTGCAGAAGCTGCCTATATCACAACACCCAAGTTCCCAAGAGATTGGAGTCATTTTGCTGAACTGTATTATTCCAATTATAAACTCTATACAGAGAACTTTGGAGTAAGAAACACATTAAAAGATGAATTTGAATTTCAAAAAGGGTTAAAACAAATTGAGCTAAGTTCCGTTAATGAATATGTTGGATTACAATTGTTTAAAGATGTCACTTTGAAAACATTAGAAGATCAAGCATCCAAAGTTGAGATAAAACCTAATTTTTTCCAAGTTTTCAAGAAATTATATGATTCCAAACTACCAGTCATTATATTGAGTTGTAATTGGACTTCAGTCATAATGTCCAAAATTTTCAAAGATCATGGATTTGAACAAGATGAAAATTTCCAGATAATAACAAACGAATTTGAGCATACAAATGATAAATTGACTGGTCAAGTTAAAGAAGATGTTTCAATTCGTACAGGTGCTGATAAAGTTGAACACGTTCGAAAACTATTGAAGGAGTTAAACAATAGTGGCATTCAAGATGCAGTGTATTATATAGGGGATAGTGCAACAGACATTTTACCAATGCTTGAAGTTGATTATGGTATAATAATTGGTGATGGATCTGCTTTGAAAACTCTACAAAAATTGAACATCAAATTCGACGAGGGTATTAATAAAGGTGACGCTAAAATAAAACATATTAGAAACTGGAATGAATTGAATGACTTGATTTAAAAACTTTTATAGCTCAATATACTTGTCAATTTTGACCAACCCTTCATATCTATTTGTCCATGAGATCGTATTTGGCGCATATTGTAAAAGTTCATTGAACGCAGGGATTTTGGAAACTCCTTTACCATCAACAATGGATTCACGCTCATATTCTCCCCAATAACAAGAAACATGAACACCTAATTTATTTTTTGGTGAATCTGATGGTTCCTCTTCTTCACCATCCTCTAACCATTTTGGAATCCATTGCAATCCAATATGATAAGCTTCTTGATCCCAATCTAGTTTATGTAATTGGAAAATATCAACACCTGGTAACCATTTGAAAATTTCATTTCCTTGATCATCTTGACTACGACCAGAAGGGACATTCACTAAAGCTTTCTTTTCTTGACCCCATCTTGATGAATTAGACGGTTTATCATTATAGTAAGTGATGATTCTAATAGGTGATTTCCCTGATTTACCAGTTGCAAAGCTGGTACTGTTGAAAGTTAAGGTACAAGCTCTATTATCTTTAGCCTTGATAGCAATTTCTCCAGTTAATGGTGAATATGGAGATGAGTTACTTTCTGCACCTTTTTTCAAAACCTCAATACTCAAATATGAATCAATATCATTTTGTTTAGATGTACCATCAATCAAATAAGGTCTATCAGCTTTATAAGAACAAGTTTGTAATCCATCCGGTAGGGATTCACATTTGATTTTTTCATGATTGCTCTTTATAGATGGTAAGTCTCTCAAAAATGGTTCAATTAAACCTTCTCTACCGAAAACATTCACAATTGGAGTTGAGCCAGCATCCAAATCAATTGATTGAGCAAATCTGAGTTTCACAGGAGCATTTGTTGTGAAAGGAGCTTCAAATATTGAAATCAAACTTCCAACAGTAATAGAAATGATTAATAAAATTGCAAATAATGAATTCAATTTGTATGCAAAACTCAAAAGTGGAGTTGTCAACAAAATGCTGAACAAGAATATCAATTGGAACAATAATGTGTTTGATTTCAAACTTTCTTGAACAGTTTGATTCAAACCTTCCAAAATTAATTCAACTGAGGAATATGATAATAAAAAGGTCAATGGAACTAAAATCAAGAATTGTAAACTCCAATCATAGGTAAATGAATTATGTGCTGGATGTCCTTTAACAACAACAACTTCTTCATCCTCATCATCTTCATATGCATCTGTATCAGAATTTGGAATTGAATTTGCCAATAATGGCGCATTCTCATCTGAACTTTCATTTGATTGTGGTACTGCTCCTGCATCAATACTTCCATAACTCGAACCTGTAACTCTTTCCTTCTTTGGAGAAGCCAATGCAATACCCAATAAACCAAGAATGACAGAGACTGAATATAAACCATAAAGAATCGTGAGCAGATAAGCACCTGTATAAATACTTGGTGCATTTTCCTTCACAGTGGCAACAACAAGAGCAATCCATAAGACAAAGAAAACTTCTAGGGTAATCAACAATTTGAAATCATGAACCGGCCAAAAATGGTTAGAAATTGTCAAGATAACATAGTTAACGAATAAGAAAGTTGATGAAACAGTGACTAATGGGCTTGTGAAATCTCTTGAGACAACTAAAGGATTTATGTACTGGATAATATCGCTGATAATTTTGGCACCGATACCTGCAAAAAGCACAGAAATTGGTAATCTAATCCAGCTAAATCCAATATCCCAAATTTCTCTCTTTTTGATAATGATTGCAAAACCAAACAAGATAATTGGAACAACAACCAACAAAACAATATTGATGACATAAATACTTGTTAATGGTAATATAATAATATGCAATCCTAGTATATCAAAAAACACTGCAGGAGTTTCTGCATCATCGGAAATTTCTTCATCTTCAGCTAAGGAGATAGTAACATCCAATGCATTTGAAAGCATATGCCATAATGCATTCTTGGAAGTTTGTTGAATGGCATCAAATCTTGTATGATACAAGTCTCTTGGTTTATAGAAAGCAATATCAATACCTCTTAAACCATGTTCTTTGTAAACTTTATAATCAGTTTCACTATGAACCAATCCACTTGCAAAACCTTGTTGGAAAATTGAGCTACCGAATGGAGATCTTGCATTTTTGTAATATTTAACAATTTCATAATCAGTTGCCCTAAATAGAATTGCACGTTCACCTGTACCTGTTCCTTCTAAATTGACAAAAAATGATGCATTTTGACTCCATGGATGATCAAAAAAAGCCTGTGCACCATAGAGGCCAAATTCTTCATTATTGTTGATATTAAATATGATAGTGCGCAAAGGTTGTGATTTGGAAGTTGCATAGTGCTCCAAAATACCCAATAAGGAAGCAACACCTGCACCATCGTCAGTAGAACCGTAAGCTGTTGGGACGGAATCATAATGTGCACTCAACAAGATAGCTGGTAAGCTTGGATCTTTACCTTCAACTTTAGCTAAAACATTTGAGCTTTCAAAATAGTTTAGAATATTGATTTCTTCTGATGCATTCCACATATTTTGTTCAACATAAAATGAAGATAAAGAGTTCTTATAATCATCACTATAAGTAATGTAACTCTTCAAAGCTGACAAGCTTTTTATTCTTTCAAGTAAATAATCATGGAGTTCATCGTTGGCATGTGATGTGTATGGATGTGGTTTTGATGAAATAACTTGAAGGTCAGTCCAAGAAGAGGATAAAATAGATGGCTCTTTTGATGGAAGTGATAATGAATTCTGTCTAGCCCAACTCACTAGTATAAACACAACAGCGTATGTTAAAAAGACAAATAAAGTCAATGAAGTCTTTCTGAAACCAAAAACCGAGCGAACTGTCTGTACGATAAATGATGGTGCATCTGACGCCTTTGTTGGTTTTCTAATTGGTTTATTATTTTGATTATTGTTGTTGTTATTCACATTTTGTTGGTTTCCACTATGAATTGAGCCATGCTCATGATCAGCTGGCTGTTCAGAGTCACTCATCCTAGCATTGACTTATAGAACAATGTGATATACTTGAGCTTACCAAAGTATTAAAGCTTTAAACTTCATAGAAATTTGATGTTTAGTTTTCTTGCCCTTGAAATTCAAAATTGATTTTACTGTATTTCCTCGGTTTGCGCAGCACATTATCACAGTTCCGTTTCAGGAAGTTTGACTTCCTATTTCGGCTAAAGAGATGTGTGTCTTTACCAGAGAAAGCTGTGCACAGGACGTACCGTTATGACACTTGTGCAGAGATCCAAAGCTATCGAGACTTTCAATTTGAATTGTAATTTGTGAATTATATATATTCAGCACACCGATTGAGAGAAAAGATTGCACTGGCAATGGATTCATGGCTAAACCAGCTTTGATGATCTGTTAATTTAGATCATATCAATTCACGAATTGGGTTTGTATTTGTTTGTATTTGTTAGGCGCCATAACAAAGGTTTATGTTATTGTTACATCTGGAGGCCGTGGCCTGTGATATTGGTGATCAATTGATCACTGTGACACCAAAAACTAAAACGAAAGTATAGAGATATCAGAGTCATCTTGGACTGACTTCTTTCGAAGAAGTCAAAGATTTTGTATGGTGAATTTTACAGAGTCACAAAAAGTCCAGGATTGATGATTTTGTGAAGTTCAACTTTCAATTTTTGAAAAATCAGACTCAGACTTCATAGAGATCCAGATACAAAGTAGATGATGTCATAGTTATTGCTGGACTGTACTACTGCTCAAGTGTTACAGCTTCCGGATTATTCATTTGTGTTGAACACAGAGACCGTGGTACAAAAACGAATCTCAAGTTACACAAAGTGATATCTTTTCGGTTTTTGTGTACAAACAGTGTTTTTGTGTCAGCAACGGTTTTTGTAACCAGATTAATTTAAATCTGCTACTAAAATTTGTTTTTGTGTCAAGAGTTACAAAAGGAAAATTGATCGTAGTATGAGTTGTTTATTTGGTTTTGTGTCACAGTTACTATTGCTTTCAACAATAAACTGTTTGGTTTTGTGTCTGGAGCTACAAAAAGACCATGTAAAGTGTTTCTGTGGCAGAAGGCCCCAAAAACTATTTAGATAGCAGCAAATCCCCAATTCTTTTATCCATCTACCATTCACTTTAGATCCTCATCTTTCATCATTCATCATCAGGTATTCATCATGTTGGTACATTTTTTGGTTGGTTGTTATCCAGAGCTGATTGTTTGGTTTCCCATGTGTTGTTGGTTTCAATTTCCATTGTTGGTAGTTGCTGCTTTCTTTTCCAGAGGCTTGTTTGAATTTAGAGTTATTCACTGTGTTTGGTTATGATTGGTTGGCACTAGGGACTTGGGTAACTTTGAGTTCGCTGCTTATATTCTTTTTTGAAGGTTTTTGAAACTTGTTTTCTTTAACTGGATAATTAATCATTTGATGGATCTGATTTTCAATACACCACCTTTGATTTATCAAAGTTTGAATTTCGTTGAAGTCTTTTGAAGGTATGACCCTTACTCTTAACTTCTCATTATAAGTCTGGATGATTGGTCTGGATGATTTGATCTCGAAGTTTTGAACTTTTGTGAGATTCTGAGATTTCAATGATTCAATTTAAGGATTTATTCATTCTGCCTTCCAAGATTAGCCTGCACATACTCCTAGTGATAATTCTTTGGGATGACAAGTGCTCCTAGGGCTGTTTTGGCTTTTGGTTTGTGGTCGATGATGAGTTGTGTTGCTGTTCACTTTGCCAGATTGTTTCTTTCTCATTTACTTTTGGTGTTTTATTCATGTTCCAGACTTTGGTGATGATGATAGTCTATCTATGCTCACGTTTTGTTGAATCCAATATGATGTTTTATCCAGTGCAATTCATTGTTGTACTTTGGATCCATCTTCTGATGGTACTTTTGATGTTTCAGTTGTTTCAGTTGCTTCATTCTGTTTTGTTCCATTTGATTCTGTTTTTCAGTTGACTTGCCTTATGTGTTTTTGTTGTTTTGAACTTTTCAAGTTGATGGTTCTTTTGTTGTTGCCAATGTTGTTGTTGAAGCTTCATTTGTCACTGGTTTCTCGTTGATTAGGGCCCAATCAACTTTAACAGAGTAAATCCAGGTTCTTTTTAAGAATAGTTTGACATTTGAAGATTGGTGGATTTTGCAAGTTTTTGTCCTAGTGTTGTTTTCATTGGCATTTGAGCTAGTTTGTTGTTTGAGTTATTGTTCCTATGCTATTCATTCGTTTATCCCTGTTGTTTCATTTTGATTTTCCATTTGTTCTTTTGTTGTTCCAGTTGTTGTTGTTCATTCTTTTGTTCATGTGATACATTATTATTGTTTCCTTTTCCAGTTGTTGATCTCCATTGTTGTTCCATTTGTTCCAGTTTTTTTTTTATTTTTGTTCAAAGTGTCGTTCCATTTGTTGTTGTACATTGTTTTGTTCATTTTATCCATCCTTTTGTTCGTTATCCCAGTTGTTCCATTTTTGATGTCCATTTGTTGATCCATTTGATTCCAGTTGTTGTTTTATTTCATGTTCCTATTGTTGTCCCCAGTGTTGTTCCATTCCCTCTGTTGTTTTTTCCATCTTTTTTTTCTGTTGTTGATTCCACCTTTGTTCCATTTGTTTTTCCATTTGTTGTTGTTACTCATGATTTTGTCCATCTGATCTATTATTGTCCTTTCATGTTCCAGTTGTTGTTCCATTGTTGTTCCAAGTGTTGTTCCATTTTGTTGTTCCATTTATTCTGTTGTTTTGTTTCATTTATTGTTCCAGTTGTTTTCCCATTGTTGTTCCCATTGTTGTTTCATCTTTGTTCCATGTGTTCTTTCCATTTGTTGTTCCAGTTGTTGCTGTTCAATCTTTCGTCCATGTCGTACAATGTACATTACTGTTGTTTCATTTCCCAGTTGTTGTTCCATTTGCTGTTTCCATTGTTATTTTAGTTGTGTTTCCATCAGTGTTCCATTTGGTCCATTATTATCAATCCATGTTCCAGTTGTTGTCCCCTGTTTTGATCTCCATTGTTGTTCCATTTTGTTGCTCCATTTGTTGTTCCAGTTGTTTCCCATTTGTCGTTCCATTTTGTTGTTCCATTTATTCTGTTGTTTTGTTCCATTTATTGTTCCAGTTGTTTTCCCTTTTGTTGTTCCATTTGTTGTTGTTCGTTGATCTGTCCATTTGATCTATTGGTCTATTATTGTCACTTCATGTTCCGGTTGCTTATTCCAACTTTGTTCTTTTTGTTTGTTCCGTCCTTGTTCCAGTTGTTGTTCCATCTGTTGGTCCATTTGGGGTTTCCATTCTTGAGGTTGTTGCTGTTGTTCCATTTTTGTTTTCTATTGTTCCAAGGGTTGTTGTTCCGATTGTTGTTCCAAGTTTTGTTTCATTTGCTTCATTTGTTTGTTCACTTTTTTCCAATTGTCATTTGCTGGTGGGTTTCCAAGCTGGTTTTGTTGTGATGTTTTCCTGTTGTTGTTGTTGTTGTTGTTGTTGTTGTTGTTGTTGTTGTTGGCATTTGGATGTGTGCTTTATCAGTGTTGATGTTTTCATGCTTTGGTTCTGTTTCAGGTGTTCCATGTTGTTTTGTTGTTGTGTTCCAGCCCAGTTGGGTATTCATTGTTGACGTTTGGGTAGTTGATAGTTGATAGTTGATTGATTGATAGTCTCTGGTTTCTACATTGTTTTAGGAGTAAACAGTTTTACAGAATAAATCCAGCTGTTTTTTAACAGAATGACTTGAGATTGATTGATAGGAGGAGAAGGTACAAGAGAGTATAAAAAAAGAGTTTTTTTATCTTGTTGTTATTACCATTGAGGTTTCAATAGCATTAGGATTTCATTAGTCACTGGTTTCTCGTTGATTAGGGCCCAATCAACTTTAATAGAGTAAATCCAGGTTCATTTTATGAACAGTTTGACTTTTGAAGGTTGGAGGTTACTGGTTTCTACATTGTTTTAGGGGTAAACAATTTTACAGAGTAAATCCAGGCTCGTTTATGAACAGTTTAACTTTTGACTTGATGCCTAAATATTGCTAGCCAGGTTTCCAAAAATGATTCCTAACATATGAATTTGCTTTTCAAGCTTACAATTCTTGTTGTTGATATCCAAACGAACTGGTTTGAAATCTCAAATCTTTTATTGTTTCATGATTTTGGTAAAGCAAAGTGGGGGGAAAGAAGGGTAGGATGGCGGGCTCTTTCTCTTCAATATGATTTATGTTTATTGTTTATTTAGGTGTGGATGAGTTAGAGATTAATGATTATGTTGTCCTGTGTTTTGTCTGTTTGTTGTGAATTTCTGTGATCAAACACTGTAGTATGGGCTTTTATGATCTTGGGATCAAGTTCCAACAAGACGCCATCTGCCAAATAAGAAGGTGAAGTAAATGGCACAACATAGATAGTATCGCTTAATCAGCCTTTGAGAGTGAGACTTGATGAGTATACTATCTAGAGATTCAAAGCATCTGTTTTGAGTTTGTCGAAATTGAACCACGTTTTGGGCAAAAACTATTGTTCAATGCGTTCTGTAGCTCAAGTATATAAATCTGTTAACGGACTTTTGCGCACTGAAAATCTATGACCCACAGGATCAGCACGTGATAGCACAGCTGAAGTCCAGACTCCAGAGTTAACAACAGTTGACTCTTCAAGCAGAATTCAAGAGTTTTGTATGTAAAAGTTAGAGGAGTCACAAAAAGTTTGAAAATGATGGTTTTTCAAGAAGTTTCATGAGTTTCCCCAGACCCTGAAGCCCTTTTTGGCGTGGATTAGTAAAGTATTACGTAATTTTTGCTTCTATGGTACACGAATACGAATAAATTTGGTTTTGTGGTTTTAAATCGAAGTCTGTATTGTTTACTTTAAATATTGTAGAATATAATTAGCTTGCTTATATTGTGAGGCATGTGCGCCTAGTTACTGCTCACTACATTAATTAATAGTTATAGTAAACGGCCCAATCCAAAACTTACTCACCTCTTTAAGTCTTCTTCGGTCTTAGCGAATCTATAATATTACTTATTCTCAATCTTTGAGCATGAAGACCCGTATTATAACTAGTATCAAATAGAATATAATATTATTACCTATTAGCTAATTATGTATGATGGAAATGTAGTCGAGCTCCAGTTTAATTTCATGCGACCAATCTCGCAAGTAAACATCTATACCAATGTTGTATTTTCATCTATTATTTTGTCACTTTCTGCTTGCTTGTGCCTTTGAATAGAAGTTTCAATGATCCTATCCCAGTCAGAAGTGTAGATATAGAAGATCTCTAATAGTGCAAGTACAAAGATCCCAACACCTAAACCTCCCCATAGGCCTCTAATCTCATATCCATACTTAAAACCAAGAAGCATAGCTAAGGGCAGACCAATCAGATAGTACGCAGCCAAATTAAGGTAGCCCCCTATCTTTTGACGGCCTTGAGCCCTTAAACATCCTGCAGCCAGAACATTGAAACAGTCATAAAATTGGTTTAAAGCAACAATTGGGAAGACATAAACTGCTTTAGATATAACAATAGGATCAGATGTAAAGATTCCAGCAATTTGAGATCTAAAGACTAAAAGAATTGAAAAATTCCACAGGCCTGAAAACAAAGAGTAGAACAATGTAACATTCACAGATATTTTGGAAGCCTCCTTTGAATTCGACCCAATAAGACTTCCGATTCTTGTTGAAGCTGCAATACTAATTGAAAATGGTATCTGGAAACTTAGAGAGGCCATGCTTGAAACAACTGATTGAGCAGCCAAAGCAGTGGTACCAAAACGGGAACATGAAAGTGTAATAATTTGGAATGCAAGAAACTCAGCTTCAATCATAAGGATACCTGGTAGTGCTAAATCAATCATTGCTTTCCAGCCTTTAAAACATTGTTTCCATTGGAATCCATACCAGCATTGGTTCCCATCTATGAGCACACAATAACTAAACAACAATATTGCCATGATCCAAAAGTTTAGTGCAACTGCAATCGGAGCTCCACAATACCCCATTCCAAGCTTGAAGACAAATAAATAGTTCATAATTGCGTTTAATGGAGCACAGAAGAACAAGGTATACTGCCCTCCAAAGAAATTTCCTTGTGCTTGTAAAAATCTTTTACCACATTCAAACAAGATATAACCAGGTAGTCCAATAGAGACTATTCTCAAATAAGATTGGGCAAGATATGCCAATTCTTCATTTGGGACCACATGTTTCAAGATTGATCCACTGAAGTAAAAAACTATAATGACTGGGATGGAAATAATGAAACAAAGTGTAACACATCTTTGTAGATAAGTACCAACAAGGTGATATTTCTTTGCACCATATGCTTGTGGACATAATGTGTCTAAGCAGGTTGCCATACCAATGAATATTGATGAAGTTACAACAAATGTAACATTGGCCAAAGATACACCAGCAAGTTCATTTTCACCAATATGACCAACTGATAAGATTGATACAGCATTTATAGAGTATTGCAAAAACATTGTGAACATCAAAGGGATGGCTGACTTCCCAATGATCATGAATTCATTTTTGAAAGTTGTTTTAGTTGGCTCGATTGTGGGTACTGAACCATAATCTGGAACTAATTGTTCATTTGAAGATGTAGAATCTTCATCATAATCTGTGAAAGAATGATGCGATGCCATTCCTTACCCACTCGAAAGCTCGTTTCTAGGCGAGGTATATGAATAGAAGTTAACAAAAGCACCTCTTCAAAGGTAATCCATGAGTATCTAAAGAGATGATTGAAATATGGATCAAATTTTTATATCTAACCTTCAAAGTTGACGTTTTTTTTTTGCTAGGAAAAATTCCGCCCTTGATGGAAAACGGAATTTGTCAGGTATTACATAACCAGAATAACCAATTATGCACAATTCATCAATACTCAACATTTCACATCAACTATAAGAAGAATCAAGAATCCACTAATTGTAACATTATATGTATATTAATAGAACATCGGAATTACCTTATATACACACAGTAGAGGATATTCTGTCAGGTTAAAACCACGAATAAAATAAAACAAGTGATCATTAAATCAACATCAACTAGAAACAATGGCTGTCACAAGAAACTCCAATAGAAGAAACACCTCTTCAACCTCTTCAACCTCTTCAACCTCTTCAACAACTAGAGTAACCAAAACCAGAAAACCAGCCAGAAAAACCAAGGCTAATCCTCGTGTTACAGCAATTGAAAACAATATTTCTGCATCACATGCTGCATCAACATCTGAAACACACCAAACTCAACCACTTCAGAAGAAAATTTTTCAACAAATGGTGTTCAACAAGCTGCATTATCTGCACAAATGAAATTTTTCAGTTTCAACTGAACGGACCATGAGACAATGGGT